ATGGCTTCTTTTCTTTATTTCCAATGATCTGAGACTTATTTATTCATCCTAAGTTTCCTTCATCGAGCCTCCGAACCCTTCCTGGCTCTGGCCGCTCAGGTTAAAGCCATGCAGGCCTCACAATAATCAAGTCTGAAAAGCGAAGACGAAAGGCTCAGCAGGAAAGGAAACAGCCATTGTCACATGAACCACAAATTTATTTACACAGATGCCTATAAACCATGTTAGAACAACATTATTGTTCCTGAAACTCTCAGTGAGCCAACTCCATACCCACCTGTCTCGTAGACACACGTCAATGGCGGCTCGGCCTTCTTTTTGACCTGATATTAGAGGTCCTTCCTAGAGGGAAGAATGATGGAGGAAAGCCGTGAAAGCTGCTGACAGGCTCATTAATCAGATGCCGACACAGAGAGGTGCTGGCCTTGTGTCCGACATGAGACGCCACAGCTCAGACATTGACTTGTTGCTCGTGCTGTAGCGACGTGTCCCCCCCAATCCCCCAACCCTCCTTCAAAGGTCAGAGTCATAAAGCAGCAAACACCACCTGTTGACTCTGTTTATGGTGTTTGATTCATTTCGCTGAGTGTGCCTCCTGCTTTATCAGATCCACAACTTCATTTGTTCGTGTTCATTCCTCCATCCTGTTATTTTCTCCTGCTCTGCTGCTTTCATTCATTTCGTCAGTCCATCCGTCTTTTGTCTGCACATTTTAACAAGCAGTGTTGTACATTGACATGCTATTTATACAGAAAGTGTGTTTAATTTTTCAATAAAGGTAACTGCACAAAAATGGCAGGTTGTTTGATTTTTATTTGAAACATTTGAAATATGACATTAGGGCTTTTAACGGCTCAAACTCAGTGATGAAAAGCAAGTTATTATCAAAAGTGCAAAACCCCAACTCTATAAATGTTTGCAAGAAATGCATTTCTGACCTTTATCAGGCAAACGCTCTGCTGCTGTTAAGTGTTAATAGTGTCCTGATAAGATCATGGAGACACAGCAATGCCTTGTCCTGGCTAAAGGACACGGCTAAATGACACTATATTCTGGTCATCTATGATGGGTGAACTCCAGAACTTTGAATATTTTACATCATTTTACACTCAAAGAATTTATAAAGACTAATAAAAGAAACTCCTGGATTCAAAATATCACCATTTGTAATATTTATCTCCAAGAGTCTACCTACCATTGAAGTTAGTGAAAGTGGCACAATCCGACCAATCCCACTTTTAGTCTCTGCGCAAAGATGGAGGCAAATATTTTAGCATCATTGTTCAATAATAATACATTTTATTTAAAAGCACCTTTCTGGACACTCAAGGACACTGTACAGGGCATTAAAAACACAGTTAGAAACACAATTAAAAGAAATGAACACAACATAGAAGTATGAAGGTGGATAGTTATAGAGAATATGCAATTTGGGCTATTGGCTTCCAATTTTCTATATTCATTTTGTCTTCATTTGGTTTGGGTATTAATTTTATTAGTCCTTGCTGCATAGAAGGTAGGAGTCTACCTTTGGTGATAGATTCTTCAAAAATACATTCAAGAAACGGGGTATGGGCATCTTTAAAGCTTTTGAAGAATTCACCAGTAATTACGTCGTTTTCAGGAGATTTATTATCTTTGAGTGAATCTGCAGCTTTAAGTATTTCATATTTAGAGATTTTTGGTCACACAAGTCCTCAAGTGTGTTGTCAATTTTTTAATGCTGTGATTTATATCTTGACAGTACACATCACTTTGCTTTTCATCAAGAGTTTGCCTGGAGTAAAGTTTTTCATAAAAGTTAGCCACATAGAGATTATTGATTCATCTTCACAAATCGTACCATTAATTTTAAATTTGCTCACAGAGGAAAATTCAGCACTTCTTTTTTTCAAGGTTAGAGCACTTCTGAACTTGCTCTTGCTATTTTCCTCTGGATTTAATGAAAGCACCTCTAGCCTTTAAATTAATAAATGAAATCCATCACAGATTGCAGAGGAGCAAGTTCTCTGGCTTCATCCTCAGACGGGTTTTCTTTTTCAGTTAAGTTCATCATTTTTGTAACAGTTTGGAGTTCTTGCTTCAGGATCTTCTTTGTGCAGAGTGGGTATAGAACCAGGGCTGCCCTCCTGACTCGCATTTGGGTGTCAGTTGCTAAAGCACTGCGCCACTGGATACCATCCACAGTTGGGAATGAGCTCTGCGCCCCTTTATCTTGGTACTTTGGCTCCTCGACTTTAAAATTTGTCCTAGATAAGGTTTGAACCTACAACCTCAAGAGTCCCAGTCCGTCTCCTAATCCTCCGAGCCATGTGGAAACACAGGAGAATTCTGTTTTTTTCCTATTTCACTGTCATATCTAGAGACTAGACTTTAAAATTCACCTTGACTTGGGTAAGGTAAGGTTCAAACCTACAACCTCAGGAGTCCTAGTCAGTCTTCTCATCCTCTGAGCCATATGGACACACAGGAGTATTTTGTTTATTCCCTCACTCACTCTCCTCTAGCCATTGGACTTTAAATTTCACCTCAGCCTGGACCTGGATCTGATTTAAATAAAGAGACACGGAGTCACAGTGTGTGTGTGTTTTTTATTCATAAACTTTGTAAAGTAGATCTGGCTCAAGGGAAGGTATTAGGAAAGCAACTCGACAGACTTGTTTTCCCAGAAGCAAAAATTTTTATTTACAGTCAAGCCCACATTTATAGGTTCCATTAAAAACTACAAACCTTTCCCAAGATCAAACAAAATGAATCTCAAATGAGATTAAACAAGGGCACATCTTCCTCCCTTAGGAGCAATTCTCCTCTCCTTTTATAGGCTGCTCAATCTGCAACCCACCTATCAGAGTTTAGCGAGTACCTAAAAGGGGAGCTTAAGATCTCTCTTGTATCACAGAAATCAAATAAAACTCCTAACTTTACTGTACCTAATTTAACTAAACTGTACTCCAACTAAATAAACCACATACTTAGACTCCTCCCAAAATGCTAAATATGAACAAAGAAAAACAATTCACAAAAAGAAAAACCAAACAGTTGGTCCTGAAAGAAAAGGAAAGAGACAATTAGTTGGTCACATTTAACCCAATAAAAGACAAAAATCTGTGCTGAGGATGTCAAACTGGACTGATACAGACATATAAAATGTGTTGGTATATGATGTTTTATTATAAATTAAGTGGAATAATATAGTCATTATTTATGGCAGGGCAGTTTTGTATAGAAACAGCTCCCTCTGGTGGACAGTAATATTTGATGGAGTTTAAAAAAAAATTTTTTTAGGAACCACCGAAATTTAGGGCTAGAATTAAAGATTCAAAGATGAACATTTCTTATTATTATTAGCATAATGTAGCTGATTTTTTTTTAACTTTAAGACTACCTGTTTGATTTTTTCCATATTTATCTGGTTTCAACACAAAATTATATAAAAATGCGGCAGCTTTAGCAATACCGTAACTTTAAAGTCATGACAAAAAAACCTTAGACTGACTTAATTTACAGAAATATTTACAGGAAAGTCAATCATACTTCTGCTTCTGTTTTTTCATGCAGCAAATTAAATGAAAAAAAAAAAACACATTAATGTCAGGTGATTTGTGATTTTCGGTGAATAAATTCATTTAATTGTAACCCTGATGTTTCAACCTCTACATTTTCTTGAAGTCGTGTCTTATCTACAACACAATAATTAATTTTCCTGTAATTAAAACACTGATGAACTTTAAAAACACAGATGATAACATCACTTGAGAGTATCCGCTGCTCTGTTTGATGATCCTCCTCTTCCTCCAATATGTTTAGTCCAAAAGCGGGTACCTGTACCATAAAGTACAACAAATAAATCATCAGAATTCGAGTTTATTTTGGATTAAACTTGACCACCTTTGTGTAAAGAGCTTTCTGTCTCTCTGTTAAGGGCATAGACTGTGAAGAAGATGATTGACAGCTATCCACTATAGAGGCAGAGAAATGTCTCCCCACTTCCAAGGTGGATAGCTGTCAATCATCTTCCTCACAGTCTGTGCTCTCAAGAGAGGGAGCAACACTGCCGCCCAGTGGATGAGAGAGGCGGTGTTCTCCACACATGTGAATATCCTCAACTTGTGTGTGTGTGTGCATATCAAAAATAAATGTTGATCCACAAACACGTTTTTCAACAATTCACAAGCAGAATTGAAGATTTACAAATGATGAGTCATGATAAATGCACGCACACAGTTAAAAAACAAATGTGAATATCATAGAAATATATTTGTGGATCAGTTATAATTTAGTTTATGTACATTAGTTTCTTATCATATATTTGATCAGTTTAAAAGCAAGCACAACAAACTTTGCACAGGAAAGAACCATCTACAGTCTATGGTTAGAACATTCAGCAAAAGATAAAAATATCTCCTATAAAAAAGGTAGAAAATCTCATGTTTATGTGGCAAAAACACATTAATTCATTTAGCTAATAGTCAGGTTACAATCACAGACAAAAACATGACCCAGTAAGTATCCCATAGTAGCCTATGTAATCATGACCTGTATCTATAATGTCTTTAAGGACTTAGAACAAACATGTGGAGTAAGGAGCAGTGCATTATAACTGTAAGGTTATGACTGTAAAATAGCTCTTAAATAGGGCTGGGCGATAAAAGGATAATGATATGCATAAAAAATTAATTTCCCTCGATATTGATATGAAACATGGTCAATATGCTTTCTGATAGCTGGTATTCTGCTATGTTTTGGTAGACTATACAAATAGCCAACTAAAAGGGGAGTTGCTCCGAGTCCGCGCCACGCTGAACCGACCATTCAGTCTGCTTTCTCTAGCACAACACCTTACCATCGAAGAGACACAAAGACCTCACAGATGCAGTAGCTTATTGTATTGCAAAAGACATGCTACCAATAAACACTGTTAAATTTCATTTGAGAGTAAAGGTCCTCCTTACACACAAAAAAATATTGATGTCCTAAATAATTGCATGACAAAAACGGTCCCGGAGTGTAAGGACCTTAACAGGCAACATTTAAGTTTGACAAGTGATTTTTTTTTAATATATCATGATATGTATCGATATCGACTGATATGAAAAATATCATGATAAACTTTTTCTCATATCACCCAGCCCTACTCTTAATGTAATAGTAACATCACTCCAGCACAAGACACACCAATAAAGAAACAAAGGTAAACACTCCCTATTTCAGCTTATTCTACCCTCACAGACCCCTAATAGGTCACATCATAGCAGGAGATATCAAAATAGAGGGGCAATGTCCATAAAGTGTGCTCATAGCTAACAATTCAATCTTATGCATAAAGAAAAATGTCCATACAAAACACATGCACATGAACTCTGTAAATAAGGACAGCTATTTCCCTTAACACAACACAAATGGGTGTTTCATCAAAGTCCGGCTGACATGTGATGCCAGCGTTAGCTCCCGAAAAGTCACCAAGGGGTTCGTGTGTCCATACACATCTTCACTCTTGCTAATTAATCCGTCTTTATCACAGCAAACAGTCTCTGTAACAGCAGATAAGAAAGGTTGTTGCTTTCGTTTTGTCTCATGTCCTTAAAATGTATCTGTCCTCCAGTAACCACGACAGCTTCGTCTTCCACGGCCATGAGATCCCAGTCAAGATTTCAAACAATCAAAGGGCAAAACTTAGCCCCGAATTTTGCCTGTCAGCTCACATTTCATGAAACAGCGTTTGCAAATTCTCAGTTTGAAGTGACTGAGACGTTTCAAAATAAACGAAAGAATCAGACGTTGGTTTGGCAAGGCACATTTGTTCAAAAAGCGAAACAGAAAATGCCTTGAATACAAAACTCAGGGCTGAGAAAATACCACGAAGACTGTTTTGGTAACTACTCTAGCAGCTTAAATCTGTGCTTCATGCCGCAAAAGTCAGGTAATTAGCTTGATAAATATGAAAATTCGGGCTTATCTAAGCAGTTAACCTCGTAAATACTTTCAGCAATGAGGAGTAAACTCCACGTAACCGAGTGATGTTTAAGTTCCCGAATTTTAGCATTTGTTTTAGATGTCTGAACCGGGAGTGCATGTTATAAACGATAACCAACTTAGAAAACTAGTACTGTTAGCTAGCTCTTTGTTGAAGTTACCAACCGCTACTCAGTTTGTAAAGCAAATAAGACGCTACTTCTTGTGTTGAATGTAAATATCCGCCTGTAAATGTCAGAAAAATCTGGTTTAACTCTTAACAGTCGGTGGTGGTTTGTCGTTTGCCTGTGTGCCATGGTGACACAGGGGTGGGTCTTCACTCCTCAAGTTTTGCGGTTTCCAAGGTAACAGACCCCTGTGGCTGTGAGGTCTGCCTGCGAAATCTCCACAGCCCTCTGAAACCCTGCTGAACCGACCGAATAAATGCATTCAAGTCAAATAAAAGGTAAGTCTGCCATGCATTTATGTTAAAAAAGAGTTACTTTGACCTCAGGTAAATGTTCACTGGCTTTTGGTTTGACTGCACCGTGCTCATGACTGAAAATATCCCTTTACTCTGTCTCGACCCACCTGCTGGACTGGTTGGACTTGGTTAACAGTTGTTGAGATTTACCTTACGACAGAGGCCTCAGTGTATATTCTTGTCTTTCTAAGTTGAACATTTTCTTTGATCTAATCTTCATTAACTGTTGAGTTGTAAGACCTGTTGACATCGTGAAAAGATGCAAAGCAGAATTTCTCCAAACCTCCAAATTTGGTTGTTTCATCCAGTATTTACTCCAAAGTTCAGAAATATTAATTAACATCTTTGGAGCTTTCTGTTTTTAAAGGGTACTGTCACTTCACAAGTGGGAGGGATGAGCAAGGAAGCATGTCAGTTTAGGGTTAGACCACAAAATATATATATATTCATACTACATGTTCTCCTTCCTACATACTGTACATTTAAAGCTCCTGTCAGGACATTTTTTGATGTTTATGAAATAGACAGCTTGAAAGTAAAGCTTCAACGTAAAGGTCATACAAAATGAATGTAGAATGGCACTCAAATGCCAAAACTGATTATTTAATCGGCGTTGATTAATTTTCTTCTTTTAAATTAATTTTCTTCTTTTAAAGGTTCTCAATTGGGAAATATGAGCTGTCATATCTGAGCCCCCAGACCATCCTGAACTGCTCACTGTACTTTTGGTAGCCTCTGTGTCAGCTCAGCTACACTCCTGTTCACTTTAATCCAAATTCAGACAGTGTAACCCTGTGAAAATCCACGTAGTGTGTCTCTTGGCCTGGCTGACTGCCTCTCTGACAGCTTTGGAAATGACAGCAGAGCTTAGCAGAAAACTTCCCTCTCTTTTTTTTATCTGTTTGCCACCTTCCCTTCCTCATTCTGTCATGCTTTTTCTTTCCTGGTTTAACTATCTCTTCTTCCCTCGATCACACTCCATCTGGCCATCCAGGATGCAGTGTTAGCTCGCCTGCCTGTCAGGTGATTACAGCCATGCTGCTGTCTGGCTGTGAGGAGGTGAAGAGCTTAGTTAGCCTCCTGTCCTGAATGTATTCTGATGATCATTGTCCGTTCACAATGCTGTAAGGGCTTTAGAGCAGCTTAATTCTCCCCCATCTGGCAGCTAAGATAAGTCTGTAGTTTCTGCGGATGAACAGGGAGTGTGAGCAGAGTAACAGGTGAGTTACTTCTTTATCTTTAAATAACACTGGAAGGCTCGAAAATGTAGTAGTTGTGTTACTGAATGAGGAAAAAAAAAAGTGTCCCCAAAAACTCAAATAGTTTTGTTGAAAAATTCTGCATTGCACAAGACCTTCTATGATTTTATTACATTCACTTTCAGCTCAACAATATTTTTGTGCCCTTTTGATCCCCCCAGGTGATTCATGCTCTCTTGTTCAGTGTTTGTTGCTTTGGCGCAGCAGCTGTTTCCTCTGTTCCTTTGGTCAATTCTGTTTCATGTGTTCGTTTTTAGATGAGTTGTCACATAGGTCGAACTGAACACAGCTTAACTGCTGTCAACTTTCATTTGTTTCATAGATGTTAGTGGATATTGGACTGTTTTCACTGTTGAGTTAAGAATATCCCCTCACTGCTGTCACTTGTTCTGGTGTAAATTATGCTTGGTTTTCAAAAGCGGATGTAAATGATCGGAGTCAATCCTTGATCTGCCAGGGAAATCTCCAGATTGGCTCTGATACAGTGGTTGAGCTGTTCGTTTGGTGCTTCGCTGCTTTATGCAAGATTTTTTTCTTTTTCTTTCTTTTTCTATTTTACATCGTCAGTTTAAAAACAAGCATGTAAAATCTGATTTCTAAAGGCAAATAGTCAATTTTTTACTGCAAATATCTGATAGCCAAAGTTAAAAGGGACCACAAGAGTAGAGGAGTAGAAGTCAATAGTTGCGTAACATCCTGGTACTCAGGGTGCTGGAAAAGAATAAAAAATGTCATAATCATAGCCTTCGCTTCAGCTCTTCTTAAAGAAAGTTTTATTTTCTGCATCTCCATCCTCAGTTGTTTACCCAACAAACTGCACCCTCATTCCTTGTGGTCTGCTTTAAATGCATGGTGAGTTTGCTGTGTTGGCCGGCATGCAGACCTTCTTCTGATCTGTGTATGAAAGGCTCGTGGAGAAAACATGATGCAAGTTTGTCAGAGCTCTACACTTACTAAGCCTTGTGTTTGTTTTTAACTCAGTCAAAACAAGTGTCTCTGGGTGTGTGTATGCAACAAACATACTCTGCTGACAAGTGTGTGTGTGTTTGTGTGTTTTTCCTGTTGGATGAGAGACACTGTAAGAGGCTAATAATCTTCTTGCATTAATCCGTTTGCTGATGAAAGAAGCAAAGATGCTTGCAGACCACTTTTCTTAATGAGAATCTGAGTGCTGCTGTACAGAATTTCCTTCCTGCTTTTCAATGCTGATTTCATCACATCAAGTTAAAAGCAGTTTTCCTGAAATAAGAAGCTTCTTACATGTTTTTAAGTTCTGAGATTTACACAGTATTTGGACATTTTGTTGCTGGCTGCTGACACTGCTTAAAAAACCTAAAACTAAATAATGCAGTGTTCAGATGTAATGCTATGAACAGTGCCTGGCTAAATAGTGGTATGGTTGTAGTATGAATAATAAAAAATATAAATAATAACAAATTAATAGCAGAAACAATGCTTTGAGTGATTTTCAGATAGCAGCAACATGAAGTTTGTCCAGTGGTGTTCACTCTTATCTGCAGTTTACATCTCTCAAACTGTCTGAGCATCATAGTCAAATATTGGTTGAAGTTTAGTTGAAATTCTGAGTGGAGATAGGTTAGGGCCTCAGTGTTGGAGACTGTAATAGAGATGAGATCTTTGTGGTGTAGTGGTCTCACTCTGTGAAGTCTTGTGGATGTGTTTTATTGCTCAAGCTGAAAAGCTCAGCTCCTGGTGATGTTGTGGTGTTGCCATAGTGAGTGCTGCAGCTTCACACAAACACTTGAATGAATGGTTCACTGTGAATTAGGGGTTAAATCCCGGCTTGGGTACATGAATGGTGCACATAACAGGTCTAGTTTCAAACTCAGTCCCTAAAAAGCAAGATAACAGTTTTTGTTGTTGTTGTGGAATTGATTTGTATAGTATTAACTTTTTTTCAACGTCTGCGTTCCTTATGACGGCATTTCTTTCCTCGTTATTGACCCTCAAGACTTCAAACAATAGTCATTCTTCATGTTGGAGAGTATTGAACACTATATTGATGAGGGATGCAGTGTGGGAAACATTATTGAGAGCTGATGCCTGCAGTGTTTAGTGTTTCTAGAGGACAGCTCTGTGAGCTGCATAGTCTCAACTGCTGGTCTGCAGTCAGTTATGACTTTTTTAAACTAGTGTTGTCTTCGAATAAGATTTTAGTTATTTTCAACATTTATTTATCAATTTACCACCAGTTTGGTAACTCATTGAAAGGAAATTGCAGAAACATTCAGTGTTTCTCCTCTCTCCTGAAGATCTGTAACGAATCTTTTGTTTAACAGATACTAATTTCTGGTGCTATTTGAAGTTTCAGCAGCGTCCAAAGATATCTCCTGTCATCAAGACTGACCAGCACGTCCTCCTTCCCTTCACTAAAATGACCTACAATCAGTGAACTTCTGTAGCCATGGCTTTGAAAGTGGACCCCTCTGCAGAGCTGGACCAACTAGAAGAGACGCAGAAGGTTCTTGTGCCTGGCTGATACAGTAACTGAGGTCTGGGCAACAAACTGGCCAAAATGGAGAGACAATCCAACACCACAGCAGGGATTCTTTTCTGGACCCCTGCCCCAGCTCGCACCTCACCCCCCAGTTCTGCGATATCTGAGGATGAGCGGGAGCATGAGGAAGAGGAACAAGTGGAGAAAGGTGATGACTTTGTAAGTCAGATGGATGAGAATGGCATCATTGGACTGACAGAAGCTCTGGAAGATGTGGAGGTGAGGGAATCTTGTGATGAACTGGACTCAGAATTTATTGCTGATTTGAACCCTGGACCCTTCACACCAGAGGAGGAAGACTTTCGAGACCTAAGAGATCAGTCCAACAGTGAACCATGGCTAAAGTGGTTACTTCCTGGGAGCGACAAGTACTTGGACATGATGGAGAAGGAGGAAGATGGAAAAAAAACAGGGAAGAGAGGCAGGAAGCTGAGGGAAGAGCACCTTGGTATTATCAACGGCTTGACTGAGAGCCAAATGTCCAAAGTTGAGAATGTGCAGACCAGCCCTGAGCAGTCAAGTAGTGCTCACCTGCCGGCTATGGAAACTCTTAAGGTCTCAAATCATCACTGCCCTGTATCCCAGCCTGCCTCATCTGTCACCCGCCCAACTTTCCCTCATCTTCTCCACTTCATCGCGGAGGAAATCCTTGCTGCCCCAGGGATCCAAGCTGAAACTTTACCAGACATGAGCTCCTCAGAAAGTATACAAGATTCACCCAGGAGCCACACAAGCCTCAGGTCCAGCCCTCCTTGTCATGAAGAAAAACTCAGGGCCTCTCCTCAGCCATTAGCTCTGTTTTCTGACGGTTTGTCAGATACATACAGTAGAGGAACTAACAGGCCCTTAAATGGAACTGTAAAGCCCGATAGACATCATAAACAGCCTACATCCTCTCCAAGAACGACAAGGCTGCCCTGTCCTAAAGCAAGTTATTCAAAGACTCAATGTCTTAGCACAGATGGGGCTGATTCCTCAAGGCAGACTAAAAGTTTGAACAGAGAATCTAGAGCCAAGAATAAAGCTGCCAAAGTAGATGAGACCAGGTGAGTTTTATTTCCAAAGACTTTTTCAACAAACTTTGCTGTGAGATTTTAAGAATTGTGTCATATTTCCAGAAAAGAGTCTTTAAGCTACCCTACACCAGACTTTTCCAAGGTGGAGCCAAGAGTTCGTTTCCCCAAAGGTGGCTACACGCCCCCCAAGAGCAGACGCTCCTTCAGGAGAGACTCCCTGTCTCCTGAGTCCACCTTTGTTTTTAAATCCCCTGCTGCAGAAGTCTCACTGAACACAATGGATGGATCAGTACCACCAGTCTCCTGTGAACCAACAAGCAGTGCCCTGATCTCCATTGTGCCTCAGGAGTCTAGACGCAAGCAGCAGGCCACCCCGCTGATTCAGCAACTGCAGGTACTAATAGTGATGACATCTACAGCAGTCATTTTTTTTACTTTTTAGTCCCAAAGCATAAAGTTATCTCAAGACACTTCACAGAAGGAGCAGGCCTAGACTGCACTCTGTGTTAAAACACTTACAGAGTTTATACTATGGGTCTGCCCTGAGCAAGCCCGGGACAACCTTGGCACTAATTGCATGGTAAACATTCAGTTAAGAGGCAGGTAAGTTGCAGACTCATCAACAACAACCATCTGCCTCAACTGGCAGAGTGGAGAAGTTTAGAGACAGAAGAGAGTCATTTCCATAATTGAGATTATAATAAGGTGTCAATTTATGCTCACATATGGTGTGAGATGTTGACAGTTCATCTACGCAGATACCTACACAGCTTCAGAAAACAAGCATACATAACAGTGTGTTACTTACAAGAGAGACTTGATCATATTTGGCCGTAAAACAGCCAGAGAGAGACAGAAAAAAAATCTGCACATTACTTTGGTAAAAGTCACTTACTGTATGTCGTTTGAAATACTAAATTAGCACTTATATTTTAAATCAATGTGTCAGCTGCAAATTGCAAACACATTGCTGCTGATTCTCAGAGGCAGAGTAGGCAAGCTCTTTATACCCTCCCAGTTTCTGTAGCAACACCGCAGTTAAACAGACACCAAGAGCTCAGCAGGGAAATTAAATTCAGATGTTTGTTTACTATCAGGTAAATTAAAAAGATTGAAATCACTATGTGGTACTTGGAAGAAGGAGTAATTGAATAGACAAAGTTTGGCTGCTGCTCAGAGCTGCACTGTGCACTTTAGTCCTGACAGTGCAAGTTATATACTGTACTAGGCTACTTCAGGCTACTTCCAAGAGCAGAGCAAAAAGTAGTTAATTCAGATGGGAAAAAAAACACCCCGTTGTGTGTAATGACACAGCTTTAATGTAAAGCCAGATGAAATCCTTAATTGTCATGAATAAAGTTACTTTTAACAAATAGAGAGACTGAGAGACTCAATGTTCAGAAACACTAATTCAGGTCACAGAGAGCTGGAATGTTTGGTGGATCACTGACAAGTTAAGACATGACCAGGTTTATACAACCAAATCTCAGTAGGCAGGAAAGATTTCTCTTTAAATGTGCATAGCTACTGGTACTGGTGTTTGTGGACCAGGTATTATTTGCAAAGAAAGAGACATATTTTGTTTCAACTATGCATAATGTCTTATATAATTGCATGCAGACACCAGATTTTAACCCTGTGTTCATGCTCTGTGAACTAGAAAATGTCCTTTAATGAATTAAGCCCAAAGTTTTAGAACACAGTGATGTTTTGAATATGACACAAACTTTAATTTAACGTCTCTGAAAGTTAACAATTGTGGTTTGGGCTTTGTCGTCACTGCTAATAAGCAAAGTCCCCAAACTGTTTGAAGGACACTGCTGTATAGAATATGCCTGCGTGCTGAAGCATACAGATTTACTTTGTTAGAGCCAGCAGGCTGAAAGATGAAAAATCATACCCACATGTTTTTCTGTGACCATCTTGTGACCCATAATGTTCCCTTCACTCTCACTGGTTTCTCAACTTTTTCATCAACTTTTCTTTTTTCACTTTCTTTTCATGTTTGTCTTTTTTCCACCTCACATACCTCCCTTTTTCCTCCTCTTATTTCTTACTCCAACTGTTCTTATTTCCTCTCCGCTGCAGGAGGACTACAATAGACTGCTGATTAAGTATGCCGAGGCGGAAAACACCATTGATCGTCTGCGTCTGGAAGCCAAGGTAGTTAATCTAGAAATCAGGTCTATAATTCATCACTTTTATAATGGTGTGCAGTGGTGCAGAGTTTTAAAAACAGCACATGTACAGATTTAATTTTGCTTTTCATCTTAAGTCACCACAACACTTCAGCGCGGAGGGAAAACTTCCCGATAATGCACAATTAAGTTTCCTTGAACAAGAATTTGAATCATGATTGGCTGTATACTCCATCATACAAAAAACATGAATACTAGCATAACAGTTGTAGTTTGTGTTTACTCAAAATTATAGGTAATATGGTGAAAGTCAAAATAAGACAAAGTAACCAAAAGTAAAACAATGTAAAGTGTCAAGGAGAATCAAATGAAAGCCTGTTTGAAAATGAGTTTATAGATATAGTGAAGTCAGAGTGAGTACTTTTTCATTTCAAGATATCCTTAATCATTTAGTGGCTTTGTTTGAACTGTATTCCTACAGAACAGACCTGCAGCCATCAAACAGGCCCAGTCCAGACAGTGTCAGCACATCACAGACAGAGCAGTGAGTCAGAGAGCATAATTAGAAATCTCAGAGAAGGATGACAATGAAGGAAGAGAACTGGAGGAGTTGTAAAGTAGCTCTATTAAAGAATTATAGATCCCTTTTCTGTTCAAGCTGCAGCCCCAATCTCATAATCAGCACCAATTAAAATCAGATTACTGAGCCCCCCACGACCCTCCACCCTCCCTTCATCTCCTTTAGCCCAGCACTGAACGACCATCTGTCTCCCCCTCCCTCTTTAAAACTGGATCTCACAGGCATGCTAGGAGGAGAGGCTTTACACTGAAATGTTATTTTTTACAGCAGGTGATGATATTTGGTGCAGTTAATAATTTTATCTGACCCCAATTTAGGAATGTTAATCAAATTATTTTATGACAAACTCAAAAAAAGTCAACATTTACTTCACTTTAATGCTCACTTGAATTAAAATCTTCAACTAATCTTTGGTAGTCCCCAGTCAAAAACACCTGAATAGATTTTACCTGAAGTTTCTTAGTGCCTCTGCCTCTAGTTTATTCCTCTTTTTTGACCCCAGTTTTCAGAGTCTTGACTCTTAACTGTAAAAAAAAAAGCCCAACCATCCAACAATGAGAGCGGGGAAGAAAAACAAAAGCAGCCGACAGTTAGCGGCACACTGGGTGAAATATAGCCGGAGAGCATAATGTGTTTTATGTCTTTTGTGTTTGTGTTTGTGTGTGTGTGTGTGTGTGTGTGTGCGTGCGTGCGTGCGTGCGTGCGTGCGTGTATGTTTTACAGGACTCTTGAGGTCAGTTAAAGGTCACTATGATTTACTGCTAGACAGCCCTGGTGGGAGGGGCCTCCTTTCTTCTGTATTATCATTATTGGTACATGAACATTTGCAGGGAGAGAAGAGAGGCGCTGTGCGTACCCAGATTAAAGTCTGTTAGTACTTCTGTTTTCATTGAAAGAACCTGTTTTGGCTTCCATCAGCTGTGGGAAAAGTTCAAGTGTAGCTTAGTTTAATGTAATTTCTGGTTTAGGACAGAGTTTAAACTCTGTGAAGACTTTAGAGGTTGCATCAATGATAGTTTCAATGACAGCATATGCACTCTGTTTGAAGACCCAATTTGCACAGAGCTTCCTAAAGAGGCCTCTGATGTTGTGAAATTTTGTTACAGAACAAAAGCAGAAAAGGATGGGAAAGAGACAAAGAACATTTTAATCAAACAATGTTTTAACACTTTGACTCTGCATATTGAGCAAATCTGTTTTTTTGTGATCCCCAGTATCTTTTCTCTGAAACATAATTTGTCTTTCAGTTTATTTAGGAAATATTGAGAGGGAGAAATCATTAATAAAATGTGAAAATATCGTCCTTTTGGTCAGCTTCAGAAGAACTTTACAGTGTCATTTCCATTCATCCCAATCCTTCATGCATCTAGCAGTATTTCCTATGTGGTCTCAAAAAGATAAGTCATTGAACTATGACAGTGATGGAAGTTTCTTAAACTTCTTTTCAAAAGACATGGTAAGCCAAGTAGACTTGTGAAATTTAAGTTCTCTGTAAGTACATGAAAAAATGATCGTTGAGAATTTTTGTACGTTATTATGATTATTTTCATTTTATTCGTGTGTGTTCGTCACTTTCATTCCTCCACCAGGTGAACCTGTACTCAGACCCTCCAAAGCCGGGCCTCTTGATGCAGTCAGGACTAAACAAAGAAGCCTCAAAAGTCATGACGTTGGACTTCCCTCAGGCTCAGAGAGCAGAGGTCAACACTGCCCCTCTTCATCAAAATGAACGAAGCAGACATCAGGGTATGTTTCTATTTCTGTCATCTTTTACCTCTTTCCCTTCTTAATCAGTGTTTCTTACCTTAGTTAGTCAGTTTGGCGTGTATTGTGTAATTCTTCTCTTCACTGCAGAGAGTTCGTCTGCATGCCCCTCTACAAGAAGTCCAGGCCCTCAGATTGGAGAGCAGCTGGCCCAAACTCTCTACAGTCAGACAGAAAAATTCCTCCAGCAGGTAAATGACCCCTTACATCTGCCAAATGTGATGACAATGTGATATGAGAATGAATCCAGTGTAAAAGGTTTCTTTGTTCAGCTGCAGACTGTTGAAGATCTTCTGAGGAGAAGAATACTCACTCCTGTCCAACAGATGAGGGTAAGGACAACCACTCACAGTAAATGTTTAATGGTGACCTCCTATCTAAAATACTGGACTGATGCCCCCCATGTCTCACAGTGTGTCTCACAGCTTGCTGAGGGGTTCAACTCTTTAGGAAAAGGTTACCTGTTGGCAAGGGATGAGCACAAACTCCTGCAGCAGCAAGGGGCAGATTTGGGCCATTTTGACCCTGAACGGTGAGACTGATGTTCAAGAAAGTTTTCAGTTATACCCCCAAACTTACGTGCACTCTAGGGCTGTAATCGACTGAAGTAATTCTTGTTCGACTAAAACCCTCAAATGTTCGACCAAAAAAATCGACTAATGCTAATGGGACGCGGTGGGGGGCGACGCGGCTCGGCGGGGTGAAAATATACCAATATCAGCACAAGAAGACAATTAAACACAAAAGGCAAGTTGAAAAGCTCAAAATAAAAATAAATATTTAACAAACCATTGGCCGCTGATTGACGTGGTGGACGCTCTTTAATCTTCCTATCTCCAGCCCTAGTAGGTTGGGCGAATCCAAAATGGCGAAAACAAGGGGGGTGTTCTGAGACAGGGTGTTACCTGTGAAACCGGGGTACTCTGAAAACACCCCTATTAGCACTTGGTACGTTCCTCCAGATTAAATTAACCATAGACTGTAAATCGACGCGGGAAAAAACCGAATGACCAATCAGAATTTTAGTCGACTCAGCACCTATCGACCAGTAAGTCGACTAGTCGACCAGGACTTCACAGCCCTAGTGCACTCTGCCGCTTCTTTCTGTTGTTCCTATTATTTCTTATTTCTATGCATGCACGTGTGTAACAGGGAGCTGGAGGGGCTGATCTTTCAGTGTGGGCAGCATTTGGAAGAACTGAAGGAGCAGGTGGAACAGATTCAGCAGGAGATGCCCATCTGTGAGGTTCCTCCCTCTCCATGTCCTCATCACACCTCTTCATCTGTTTCCTCTGAGGAAGAAGACACTGAGACCAAACCACAGGTAACAGCGATACAGCACTCCATGTTTGAAGTGAAGTATGGGTACTGATTTTCTGTTACAAATAAGAGTTTCAGCTTTTCTCTGATTGTATCATTGTCAAAAGAATATAAAGGCCTTTGAGGATGTAGCCCACTACAAACAAGTCATTTGAAGCCGTGATCTATCTTCCCTCAGAGCCCACCTATGTCTTCACTGGCGGATCCAGAAGAGGCAGCAAATGTGGTGGGGACCTCAGCCAGTACAGACGGAGAAACTCCGAATTCTTCCTACCTCAAATCTGTGGATGGAAAACACAAGCGTGTTGACCAACATCCTGATACAATAGTGGATGAGTTAGTGCCTGTTTTTTTCTGTTTTGTTTTTCAAATATGCAATCCTCTGAGTAATTTAAAAAGACTTGCAGTGGTGTTAGGACATATTTTTCACCTATATTCTTTGATTTTTTGCTCACTGTTAGAGGCTCTGATTACAGAAAGGAGGCGCTTAACCGGAGCCAGAGAGATGGAGTTCATCAGTCTACAACTCTGGGAACTGACCGGGAGGAGAGAGACGGACCAGCTGATGCAAAAGGAAATCTTAAAGTCCAGAAAAGTCTTCCTCAGAGGTTTGTTTGCAGAGAAGCAAACAAGATTGACTACAGCTTAATCTGCAGCACATTAGTACTTGCCATATTGTAGGTGGTAAGACTGTGTATTTCTTTTACTTTGATTAAATGCTAAACAGACAAACTTTTTCTCTCTGCCGCTCTGTTAATAGGAAACCAGTTTATCTGGACTCCCCTCCTGTTAATAAACAGCACACTAGCAGATCCAGCTCCATTTCATGTAAGGTCTTCAGTCAGCCCACTAGCCCCTCTGCTCCTTGTCCCAGTGGCAGAAGAAGTGTAGAACTGGGAAAATCCCACAGCAGCAGTTTGAGCAGTCTGGGAGAGATTACTGCATCAGAGAAGAGGAACTCTAAATTCCAAACCCAAATCCACAGAGTGCTTTCTCAGGTCAGTTCATACTGCGGTTCTAGTTATTTATTGTTTTTCACAATAATGGAATAGTTAAAAATGAAGGGCTCAACATCATTATCTATTATTTCCCATTAAATGTTCTGTATGATCAGGATGGAATCATCTCTCCAGAGATGGACAGTGGGTTTGTTGGTTCGGAGAGCAGCCATCCGACACCTGCCGCAGCGCCCAGTCCTCTCCACCAGAGGGCGCCAGAGAGGTGATGAAAACCTGCTTCAGGGCCTCCACGCAGTTTTATTGCACCATGAATGTTACCTCCTGTTATGCTGAACCCTTTCCCCACATTTCTGATCCTGTCTTTTGTGTTTTTTGTCTTTCCTGATGCTGCAGTGTTTCACTGCTTCAGGGGGGGAACTCAGGGAAGCCGCAGACAGGCCCAATCACAGCACCATCTCCAACCTCCTCACTGTTACACACTCAAACGGTTGTTGAGCCAAGAGGGGCCCTCCAGATCAGCCCAGACATACCAAGAAGAAGCAGACAGAGACAGAGAAGACGCAGGTTCTCTGGCTCTCTACAGCGCTGGTCAGCTCAGGACAGAGCCGAGAGTGGGACCAGTGAGTTTGGGCTGGAGAGTGACAGCAGTAAGTCTCCGAGTGAATCCATCACTAAATGTTTAAATCTCTAAATGAATTCTGGTGCCTGCTATATTGGCTGTTTTTGTATGTAGACTATCACTTTTATTTATTTGTGCATTCTTTTACTGTTCCCTTTTGTTCGTGCAGCCGCATCTGAAGACAGATTGAATGTCCACGACACAGAATCCATCAACTCCCTACACAGCTCAAGCTCCTCCCCTGCTGAACATTATCGCCATGGCAATTCTTTTAGAGCACTGAACTCCAGTCAGGTGGCGGATCGCAGGTGAGTGTGTTCAGCAGCAGCTGTGATAGCTGTGCGAACCAGACCAGGATGAAAATAAATTCTAAGAGGAAAAAATCACTGTCTTTGATTTTTCTTGAATTCCACTTATTTATAACCGCAGGATTAATCGCAACAAGAAACCACTGATCAATAAAATATCTGTATCATTTTATTTCTTTGTGTATTTAATTGCAGAGCGGGCTGCTAATGAATGTGATAACATATGAGTAGGTATTGTTTGCTGCTTGGTGTGGTGTTGCATGAATCCTTTTATAGAGTTTGTGTGTTCCAGTATAAATGAATTTACACCTGAGAAGAGATTCACCTTGGTTACTGAGTATTCAATAATTTCACACCACAAGTGTTGTATCACTTTTACATGTCTGTTTTGCCTTGGATGAGTGTGGTGGTCGAAAACTAAAACATACTGGGTGTTTCAAATGCAGCTGTAATCTATTTAATGTGATTTCAATTGTGTGTGCTTAAAGAGCGGCTGTCGAGACTCTGCAGGCAGAGGTGAGCAGACTGAAGGGAAGACTGGAGAGCTGTTTGAAAAATCAGAAGCCTATGTTTTCTCGTCGAGCTCATTCATCAGCTCAGGAGAACTATACCGCCTCCACACCTTGTGACAGGTATATTTTTCGTTTCTATATGGTCTTAACTTCACTTGTCTTCTTTTTATCCTTTTTATGCATTTCATTGAACTTATTCCTGTCGCTTAGGTCTAATGAGAGAGGGAGTGACAGCAGCAGACAAAGGAGGGACAGATGGACAGCTGATGATGTTGGGGAGTCCACAATGAGACGAGCAACCAAGAGACCAACATCTGCACACAGACAAACTTCTACACAACATGATGTCTGTAAGTGGATCTAAATTTACACCCCCTACTCAACACAGAACTCAGTATGAAACACGTTGTATAGGCACACTGGTACATTTCCACCAGTGTAAGACCCACTGAGTAGACATGTGACAGGCAGTACATGTTGAGATAACACACTAAACTATGCTACTTTATGTAGTTGTGCATAAGTGACAGACATGCATGTACATTAATTTCAAGAAAGAATACATGTAAAGGATTATAGCGTAGATTTAACGTATGTAAAACCGCTTTTGTTTCCATTGACAGGTGCAGAGTCATCCACTTCTGAACCTCCTCCTCTGGTGTCCAGATCAACTCAAACCTCTTCTGCAGCAAGACGCAGCCACGATGCACACACTAACACTGTCCACAGCAGAACTCAGATCAGTAAGATCCACACAGAAATGTAACAGCATGTGAATCAAAGACGCACATGTTCTTTTCAACACAGTCTCATAAGAAACAAAGTTTTTGGTTATCCAAATGTATTTAGGAAAAGTTATTCCACAACAGATTGTGACCTTTCAGCTCATCTGTGTGTGTGTGTGTGTGTGTGTGTGTGTGTGTGTGTGTGTGTGCGCGTGTTACAGAGCAACACCCTCGTGTGTCTGAAACAGCAGATGAACCTGACAGCAGAGGTCGCAAAGCTCCCCTTTGTCCGCAGTGTTTGTCACGTCACCAGGGGCAACCTGAGAGTAAGACGGCTCCTCTCACCTTTTGTTTAGTGTTTTCTTCTTCAAAGCAGTTCTGAATTGTCTTTCTTAAATTTTCGATAAAGATACGAGCAGAAAAAAGCTGCAAAGATCCGCCTTTGTTTTTAATCCAGTTACTGCTCGCATGGCAGTTTTATTTTTTCATCAACTGTACCGTTTGTATTTTTCTGTCAAACCAGATGTCGGCAGCAGAGAGCCAGCCCACTCTTCGCGCTGTCATCACTGTCTCCACTGTGGATGCTCTGAACAGACCAAAAGACCTGAGCCAGGTTAGACAGCATGCAGTCAAAGCTGTGATGCTGCTCACACATACAAATGCGAAGTTTTAATTGCTTATTGACCGGAGGTTATCAGGTTCAACTTATCTTACTCAAGGCCTTGTACTTGCTAGAAGAATAAGGCTTTAATTAATAACTTTTCAAGACCTGAGACCTTTTCCAGCATTAGCAACACAGTGACTGGGATCTTCACATAAATCACATCAGTCTGCAGTAAATTAATTCATTTTAATTACTGTATGTGTTAACGGAGCTACTGTCCTGCCCTGTGGTTCACAGACTGTCGCAGAGTCTCAGACTCCTCCAAACACATGACCTCCCAAACTGCCCAGCCTGCTCCTGGAGGTGTGAGCGGCAGACACTTCACAGCTGCAGCTCCACCTGCTGCACTTCACTGCATGTCAGTGTGTCCTCCACCACTTCTGTGAGTAATATACCCTCTTACAAAACACCCACACCCCAGACAAAAGCACCCATGGGGGGTACTAAAGAATAGGGACCACTATTCTAAGACTTTTGGTGTTTGTAAAAGTACCACAAGACAGTATTTTTAGTGTTATCTTTTATATTATATAAATGTTTAGCTGTAACTCTGCGTCAATAAAGCGAATGTTTATTTATTAGCACTGGTCTCACTATTTTTAATAACAGTTTTAGATTAAACTAACACTGTCAGGTATAGAGAGCTATACAGTATTAAAATAGTCATCTTTTCCAACTTTATTGTACCATAAAACTTGCCAAAATTACAAGTTTGACCTCTTAATTAACTCTGTATTTGTCAAATTAAAGGCTCCTTTAATAAGCTTTTTAACTTTAGTAGGTAATATCAGCCAAGACATAAGTAAGAGACATAAGGAAATCTGATATTAAAGTTGTTGTTTGTTTTTTTTGCGCATCAACCTCCCCCTTTTTTCAGGTTTTACTCTCTGCCCCTCTACGTATCTCCTAGCAACAGCAGTGGTCAATCCTCAGGGGTCAGAGGTCGTGAGGAGAGGAGGGTGAGGTTGAGACACTCCCTGTCCACTGACCGTCAGCTCTGCACGGACAGTTCTCTGGACAGAGCCATAAGAGCAGCTCGAAACATGAAACATACGTCCGCACACATGGCTCGCTCGCTGGCTGCAGGACTTCACTACCAGGAGCTGCTCACTCAGTCCTGCAGCTACTAGACTGATGCCTTCAGTCAGTCAGTCAGAGCTCATGGGCAGCTTAGACTGAGTGACGTTCAGTCAACCTCAGCATCCCCTCTGTCTGGCCATCACCAGGAGCAGACAGGAGTGAGGTTTGAACCATGTGAATAAAAAATCTGAGGTCACCTCTGCTTTTTAACTTTTCTCTTGTGTGTGGAATACAAATGTGGCTGATGCTTTTTTTCATACTTGATTGTATAATTTATACACATTAAGTCTCAGGTAGCAAACATTTTGTTTCTTCAGCGGGAAAAATATTTTCACAGATGTGCCGGCAAACATTTAAAGGTGCAGTAAAGGTGGAGCAATGAGCAGCATTTAAATAAATAAAAACACTCTTAGACTTGGAACAAGTCTTGGACCAGGTCTGCCAGTGTGCGCTCGTTAATTATCCCCATTTCTACACACTGTATCTTTAAATGACATTCTTGACTTGTGTAGAGAAACATTCCATTAATCATATTGATTGTAATTTATTGAGTTTCTGTCTTTTGACATTGTGTGTGTACTGAAATATAAACATCCATAGAAGTGCCTTCAAACAGCAGATCCTCAATTATTGTGATCTATTTATTGATTACGTCTCTTGATTGCTTAAACAGTCGTGTTTTTTTTTTCATGTCTTGTGAAGTTATGATTTCAGTGTTATGGTGAGTCTCCATGTTAATTCAGTAGCATGTTGCACTGTTATTGAAATACATTAGTCATGCTGGGAACCTATTTAATAAGTAGTCAGTAAGTCATCCTGCTGTCTAATTAACAGAATGATCATGTGGCCATCAGTGACCTGGGATGCTGGATATCCTCAAAGTTAGTTTGCTCATATGTTTATTATTTCATTGAGTATCTCCAGACTTGACTTTTTATATGGAAGAATTACTGGATAAGCTTACTGTACATTTTTAATAGTGAGCTGTTAAGAGTAAAAATATTGGCTAGAGAAGGAGGTCCATTGTAGCTAACGAGCCTCCTGTGAAGGAGAGACTGTTTTTATACATCAAAAGAAAAAAAACTTTTATGGTTTGATCACAGAATAGGACAGTGGATATTTTTTTGTGATTTTTTTTTTTTAATCTTTTTTAAATTTTGTACTTTTTTTTTCAAATTGTTGACCCAGATTTTTAAAAATTGTATGGACTCAAAAATAGAAACTTAAAAACAAAAATAAAGCAAATGTGGTGAACAAATATTTGATGTATTTTTGAGTTACTTTGTTGATAGAATCTTATTAAAATAACTTTTAAAAAAATCAGATGAGACTGTGTAATGGAAGCCAATTTATTAGACAGCCTTGGTACATATTAGGTACACATGGAAGTATTGTTTGTGCTTCAACACTCGCAAACATACAATCCCAATAAGTTAAACAGTTTTAGGACAGACTAATGTATCGTTATTTTTTTTTCTCTGATAAATAATTTTGATTTCTGAATAAATCAATTGATTTGACAGAGTAAACCCTATACAACAGCAAATTATAAAAGAAAAAAAAAGGAACACAAAGTCAAGCGTTGGCATCACAGAAAAAGCATTATAGTGCAATATACAACTTGTTTGGCCTGGAACGAGGGGAGGGAGGAGGAAAAAAAGAGAAAAAGGTGAGTGTAAATTCTTTTTTGCAAAGCCATTCACCATTAGAGGGTTTTACATTGCACCAGAGGAGGAAACAGACAAAGAAAATATAGATATTAGTTCTTTTTCCCAGTTGACGACTAACAGCTAGAGCTAAACATCACAAACACGGCGGCTTCACATTGGCATTTTAAAGGAAAAGTTTCACTACTTCACAGTTAGAAAGATCACCAGTCAACAGTGAGACGCTAAAACAGCAACATATGGCATATACACAACACTACTCAGTGCATGGCCCAATTAAACATCATTACTAACCAAAGATAAGACTTATTCTGACACAATACTGAAATACAACTGGCCCTGTAAGGTTATTCATAAATATCAGCAAGCAACGGCCTTTTTGACATTAAAACGTGAAGTTTGTCTGGAGAAAGGAAAATGTTGTGGTAAGTAAATACTTTACAGTCTCGACAGCCGGAGGAGGGACGATTCTTGCTTTTTTACAGAGCATTTTCAGTTTCCAACATCTGCTCGTTCTGGTGTTTTAAAAATACTCCACAGAAAATCTCAGTTTTGAGTATCAAACACGGGAAAGCAAATATATCTATGCCTCTCAGCAGGTTCGGTCTTAGCCACGCCCCTTTCTTACATTTCACAGACACACCCCTTTTGCTTTCTACTTCACCTGCAAGCTCACAGTTTCGTTTTAATTTTGCACACAAAGAAACACGAGCCATTTATGATTTTTATCATACAGGCTAGCATTAGACACAACGCACTTTCATTCACACTGCGTACTTTTTTGGCTAAGTTTCTATCTCAACACCTTCCTAATTAAACCTAAAAATAATTTCAAGCTCATATAAATGGGTCTAGTGAAGCCACTAGATTGGTATCAGAGGCGAAGGATTGCTTTCATTATTAAATTTGGATGGACACTTAGGCTAACTTAGATATATAATGATTCCACCCCCCAAAAACTGTTTGTAAACACGCTTAGACACTCCTACCACAAGTATTGCATAGTCCTGGTCTTTAATATCTAACTTGATGCCCAAAATGTTCCAAGCAAGCTCCATTAATAAAATAACTGAGGACAAAGCATCGCTACCCATGGATCTTTTACTGTGCAAGTAGAGAAAACATGGCTGCCATAGCAACCAGATATGTTAAAGAAGCCCCCACTTTGCCCAAAGTTTTGAGAGCGTGAATGAGTTTGATACTCAAAACAGAGATTTTCAATGAGGCTTTTTTTTCTAGGAAAAAAAGCGAAACGCTGATGCTTGCGGCTCCCAAAACATCCACACTGGATACAAACACAGTAACAGTCCACACAAGTCCAAGCATGCTACTGAATACGAACATCTCAAATGGGCAACGGGGGGATAGGGGTCCTCTCTGATAAATATATTGCATGTTCACTGATATGATATATTTTACAACATCAATCTCTCAAACCTCACATCCCTCCTCCACCGGCTTTCAATAAAACTCACAGCAAGGAGGAAACCCAAAGGAACAGAGGAGAGATATGTCTACCTTTACACATTCTAGCAGGTTTTCTTAGCATACAATATTACATTTTGGTACTTTCAGTTTTAAATGGCCCTCTGATCTGATATTTAAACCTATTTCAATAAGTTCATTTAGTTGCATCCATTGTAAAACATGAGAATACTTGCAACAGTTTTATTCTTTGATACAACATATATTTTTTATCATCTAAGACGTCTTTTTTTTTCTTCTCAAGCAAGATGCATACACATTAATGTGGGGTTGTTGGGGAGGGGTACAAGGGTCAGCGGGGTAAAGGTGAGGAGGAGGAGAGAGATGTTATTGGAGGATTTTAGCTTGTCACTTCCTCTTCTGGTTTGTTCATGGCCTTGAGCTGCTCCAGCAGGGTGGTGGGGGTGAGGAGGTTGGTCGATCCTAGAGACAACACACGTTCATAAAACACAGACACACACAAATACACAGAGTTAGATCAGCACCTGAGAAAAGACACAAATAAAAATGTGTTTTCAGCTCTTGCTATGCAGGTTACTTCAGATGAGTGAGGGAGTGTGACGTGATGAACGTGGTAATAGTAACACTGAGTAACAATGTTTTAAAACTACCTCTATAACCAAGATTAGTTAGCTACTTTACTGTGCGTTTACTGTGTTACTGGAGGGTTTGGTTCAGTGTGTTTTTCAAAAGTAGTCTCAGGTGTCCTGCCAGAGTCAGCTAGTTACTATTCACTCAACAAGAGGCCATACTCTCATATTCCCATGGCAGCTATCCTCTCATGACATCATGTTCAAGGCGGTGAACTTATAGCCTGGCTGGGCCATCCAGTTGCGTGAATCACTTGCCGTTCCTTCCCACAACAGTCTGGACTTCGGCCAATTGGGAGCCCTAAAAGTGGGCGGGAGTACGTTCCTTGATAGACAGACTACTGTAACCAATCACCGTAACCAAACATCTGACGTCATCAAAGTGCGCAACTGTGTTCCCTGCTGGGCTCTCAAGCATCAAGTAAAGGTTTGGTAATATTTCGACGTGTGCGAGCAAACAATGTCTTTTACGTCTTCTTCTGCGGATATAAACGATTTCTGCCGACTTTGCAAAGTCAACTGCAGAATTAATGCCGTTCTGAATGAGCGGCTCTTTGAAAAGTCCAGCAGCATGTGTTAGACGTCACCATCTACACATGGACCAATCAGGGGCTGCCTTTCACTGTTGTCCGGGGAACAGTGGAAACACAGTCACTGATTGGCCCGGTTATTTTCTGATTTCTAATACTCGCTCCCAATGGGCCGAAGACCAGACTGTTGTGGGAAGGAACGGCAAGTGATTCACGCAACAGGACAGCCCAGCCAGGCTAGTGAACTTGTATGTTGATATCATTTGTTAATATGCTGTTCCAGGTCATGTTTTAGTAAGCTGAGCTCAGTAACCACAGTTACTGAACTTTATATGACTTGTGACCTGGAACACCGTAATAATACATGATAAACAAACTTTAGGGTAATGTCACAACAAGATGGCTGCCATGGGAATATGGTCTATTAGGATTGTTTTTACACTTAGAGGAGAAAATGTGTCATTCTGCTTATCTTAAAACTAGGTCAGTCACCAACAAAACACAGTCACCTGCCGTTTACAGGACTGTGTTTGACTCTAAATCCCCTAAATCTATTCCATATTGCAGGTATGAAATTTTCAGTCTGAAAATGTAGCTTGAAAAAGTGAAAATGCTTTAATGAAAAATCAAAATCTGAAGGAAAGCGTTGGTGGTGACGAGATAAACTTGCATCTCCCTGCAGAAAATGTGTGGAGAGGTTTCGAGGTTTTTAAGAAACTGCTTCTTCTGTTGTCGACATCTCCTAAGACAGTGCTGGTATTAAAGTCATCTGCCTGACTCTGTGTGTGAGGTGACAGCTGGTCATCAATACCTGGACTTGGTTTAAACAAACGTGAGGAAAATTCACCAAAACTACAACATTTCAGATCAGGGTAAGATCGAATTCATTGCTTTTACAGAATGACCCAAAATGATAAAGTAAACAGGAGCTGTGGTTTGGTATCAAGGAGTTTGAGCTCTCTATGGAAACAATTTACACCTACTAGCAGCCCCTGACCCTAAACCTAACCCAACAATTTTGACATTTTTCAATTTTTTTGTACCTATGGACTCCAAATTGTTTAAAACGTGCTCCTAAATATGTCCTGGACAGTGATTTTAACCCTAACCCCTAACCCTAAACACTTAGAAAAACTGTGTCCGATCTTGCTATAGAGGGTAGCAGGCCCGGACAATCCCATTCACTTGAACAGGAATTTTTAAAAATTGCCCATAACTTTTGAACGCAATGTCGTAGAGACTTCATTCTGGTACCAGTGAACTTGGGTTACATGAAATAGGGTGGCTTGGTCTTGGTTCCAGATCTCTAATTTGTTCCCTTGAGGATCGCTGAGGATCACTGGTTGGCTATTGTGGTTAAAACCCCTACACTCTAACCCTAACACTTAAAATTTTTCCTATCTTTTTTTTGTACCTATGGACTCCAAATGGTCTGAAACATGCTCCTAAATAGGTCCTGGACAGTGATTTTAACCCTAATCTCTAACCCTGATCCTAAACCTAACCCTAAACACTTAGAAAAACTGTGTCTGATCTTGCTATAGAGGGTAGCAGGCTCTGATTTACTTTTTAATCTTTCATAGTACAAACTTCGAATTCACATATGGCTTAAGAAAATGGTTAAACAATGACACAACAGCTGGCATGAATCTTTGAGTTCAAAGCATCAAGTAAGCGGTTTGAAATCCTGCAACACCACATGTATGTGAAAATGCACAGCCAATCAGGTGTTAGAAAGTGTTAAGGGGAATAAAGAGCATGCAGGCAGCTGAAAATAGTGGCAGAATTGACTCTACACGACATGAGATCAGACAGGGTTATGTCTACTGTGTGTCCTAATGTAAGTGTAAATGTAAAATTGAGTACACTAATACACAGGGGTATGAACTGCTGTGACAGCTGAAGACACATTTCTAACATTTCATAACTTCAAAGGTGATCGTTTGGAGTAAAGCAAACCTCGTGCCATTTTTTGTCGCTCAATTACCTTATTCCGTCTGACTTCTTGATCACATACGAGGCAAAGAAAGCGTTTGATTTACTCCTCACACCCGTTCAACATTTCCAACAGTATTTCTACTACACTGATTTGTTTCTGTGTAAAGCTGCATGTTTCTTCCACTTTGATTTGATTGAGAGCTTTACCTTCAGTCACCTACAGTAAAGCTAAACTTGCTCCTGTGAGGGGTCAGAACAAGAAGTGGAAGAAATTCAGGTGAAAACAGCAGAGAGAGAAGAGGCAAGTCCATTTCCAGTTGTGTTATTATGTTGATGGGGAGGTTGTAAGTGTCAGGGGTCACAGGTGAGGGGTTAAGTGGGGGTCAAAGAGGTCAACATCGGACTGACTTCACCGTCTTCTCTGCTGTTCCCCAAACACACAGCTTTGTGGGCTTTCCCGCCCCAGAAACACAACACTGTGGCGTTGATGTCCAACACCACTAAATCATAACTGTACATGTCTAGATTGGACCAAAAAAGCATTTGAAAAACAAAGACTTGTTTTAGTAAGTGATGGCCATTTTGCTCAGGAAGTGTTGAATGCAGCAGTATGTGAGGAAACAGCCATACTGCTGATGGTGAGAGCTGCTTACTGAGAAAACCAGAAAACCAAAAGTTGGTTTCAAACGATATCGCTTTAGCAGATTAGTAAGAGATGAGATGGCTACCCAGGTCTGCAAAAAACAGTCTTTGGTAGGTGAAAGTCCAGCTTATTTTAGGGAATATGTGTTTAATGTGTATTTAGATTTGATCATTCATTACAAAAATGGACAATGAAATGATCATGAATATGAATGCAAATAAGGACTATTTATTCACTACACTATAAAAAAAAACTGAGATTAACTGAGGGTGTATTTTCCTTGGATTTAGGTTAAGGTTGAATCAAATGTGTCACAGAGGGCTGTAAAAGTACTGTGCACACTGGTCGAAGCTGAAACATTTAGCCTTGACACACACTGGCTCAAAATGAATATAAGACCTGTTCTTGAACATAGTTTATCCACATTTTTACTGGTTAATAGAATAAAGCTCTGTCACTTACAAATATCACTGACGCTGCAAAGTCCGTGTGGAAAAATGTGGGATGTGCAACAAATCATTACACCTGTGAAACTGATCCTGATTATTATTATATGAAAATTTATGCTAATTATGAATCTGATTCCAAGAACAAATTTTGCAAAAGTCAGGACAGGATCATGTTTACAAAATCTTCATCTCTTCTTTTAACATTTGGGAACTCAGGGGACAGATTTCTGGGTGTTTGAATATAAAATGTTGTCCCGTTCTTGCCTGTTATGGGGCTGTTATTTGAACTCATGCGGTAACTTCCACTACAGAGTCATGTCTCTTTTTAATGTTCATAAAAGCAGATTTTGAACAGTGTTCCAATTTCCTATATTGGGGTTATGACATTGAAACCTAATCTGAAATCTTGAGAATGTTTTATATCTGCCAGTTTCTTGCAGATTGGACTCTAAATTAACTGCTTTAGAAACACATTTCTGGTTAATGTAGTTTGTGCAAACCTGCAAAGTCTATTTAACTGAAGAAGCTTTGACTAAATGGTGGATATTACTGTGTTTATTTGAATGTAGAGACTGATTAAAACCTCTTTAACTCTGTTTAAAAAAATACTTGCTTTAATGGTTGCTCAGCCTTGAAGGAGGGGCATTTTTAATACTTGTACCAGATTCTTTTGAATATGCATATATTCTTGTTTCTATGTTCTATGTAAGTGATGTAAAGGGCGCTCTGAAGAAGTTCAGGTCCTCTTACAGGGGGGGATTAATGGTAGCTGTTGGGCATTTGCAGCACCAATATTTTTTCATTAGGTTGCTAAAGCGTATCAAAATGGAACATTACTACATCCTCTGACTCTGTCAGCAGAGAGGCATCGAAGTGGTTATGATACAAAGGACAGCTTTCTAACCAACATCACTGTGCTGAAATAATTTTCATGTTTTGTTGCACCAAAAATTGCCCTGTGTATTAGCAACCTGGAGATGTTATCAAGATAAAGAGAAAATTAGGTGCTTAAATTTAGCACCCTCTGCAGAAGAGCCATGAGGCATGTAAGCATGTAATGGTGGTCTGAGGAAAAGTGACATGGACCAGGTCAGAGGAGGACTAGAAGGTCAAAAATAAAAATAAAAATAAAAAAATAAAAAACAAGAAAAAAGGAAAGAATCCTTTTTTTTCCAACTCAAGGACCCGTCCTGAAAAAAGGAGTAAGAAAATCAAGGTGATTGTCTTTGCGAGGAGTTCACTAGAAAAATAATACGACTAATAACTAATAAAGATGGATCTCGGGGTAGATTAAATCAGGAGTTAGTGTTTTACTGGCTCAAACGGCCTTTGGGTGGCAGTGGAGGGGCGATTTAATCCACCCAGCTGAGATGATGGGAGGAGGCAGCAGGGATGGGGTCACAACTCCCTCAGGCATGGCCGCTCTTCATCAGAGACAGGACCTGGGCTTCATCCAAAGGACTGGAGGGCCCTGCAGGCCAGGATACACTGTGACATGCTTAGCATCATTACGTCAATGTTACAAGGACGGTAGACTGAAAGGCTGCATACAACAGGACTGACACATATCTGTCAAAGCTTTTTTCACAGATGTTTCTACTACTTTTCCACTACTATTCATGAACCACATTTTTATTGTGAGTAAGAAAACCGAGCAAAACCAAAATGAAGGTCCTGACTGTTAGAGTGAGGCCAATGCAAAAGGAACAAAATTGCAGTTTCTAGTAGTGACCAGCAGAGGGCTGATCCACCAGTTTCAAAACTGGGTCAGATCGTATGAAAATAGAGAGGGAAATGTTTACAGAGACAAAAAAATATCATCAAGGCTCTACTTCTTAAGATCTTCTTAAATACAGTATAAGATGAGTTTTGTAAATTTAGAGCAAAAGACGGGGGACTAAAAGGTCTACTGCATCAGAACAGAGAGCTCAGGTATGGAAGTAAATCTGTGCCATCTGATTTTGAATTTAAATTTCTAAAGCAGAATTTCTTTTTGCATCAAAATTCGACTTTTAATTTCAAAACTATCGGATATCGGATACTATTGCATTTTTATTTCTGACATTTATTTTTTCACAATGATGAAATAAATTCAGTGTAAAAACCTCAGTCTCTCAAAAGATATGTTTAATAAAAATTCAACTTAAAAAAAAATTAAATGTCAGAAGATTCAGTGTTGAATGTTGAGTCTGTCTGTTGTACAATACATTTTTTGACACTGAATTATTTGACACTAAATTTTTTTTTACTGTTTTTTTTTTTCAGTCGAATTTTTACTACACAAATTTTTTTGACACAGAATTTTTTTTTACACTGAATTTTTACCATCATTTTGAAAAATATAAGCGTAAGTAAAAAAAATGCATGCTTGAAATTTGATGGTTTTGAAATTCAAAGTCTGATTTTGATGCAAAAAAAATCAGCTTTAGAAATTCAAATTCAAAATCAGATGGCACAGATTTACTTCCATACTCAAGGCTTTAAAATGATCATTCACAAACAAAGGACTAAAATCAGGATAATTATGTCGCTCTCTGTTAAACAGTCTACGGCCTTTCACAGTGACCTGCGGGTATTTAACTAACTCAAATCTGCTGAGTTCAACACCCTAAATATATTATTTAAATGTCGGGCCCCTCAGGGTCTTGATACATTTTGAATCTGTAAGTCGCCACGGTTTGGATAGTTGGATTCAGCCTTTCTGTTGGGATAGCTGGAAGGTACTTAAACTCTGGGCATACAGGTACTCGACCCTGATGGAGCAGCCCATGCATTGATGGGAGGTTGGGGGTGCCCATCCCTGAGGGACACGGGGGAGGAGGAGGGTGGAGTTACAGAAAACAGTACTGAGTGTTCAAAGAAGAAGAAGAAGGAACAGGGAGGAAGCCCTTATACTGTGAGGGTTCAGAAAGGGCTTCTTTGTGCGGCTGCCTTTACTTTTTTCTGTGTGATTTCTCTCTCCCTCCCTCCCAATCTGTCTCTGCCTCACTCGGCTGAGGCATCTGCGTCCTCAAAGGACACCCTAGTGGACTCTCGGAAGTCGGGGTGCTGCAGGTCCGATAAGAATTTGGTGGGGGTGAGCAAGTGGGTGGAACCTGTGGAGGAACAGAGGCGGCTTCACCACTCGTCTCTCAGCACAGTCCAAGCCCCCTCCCCCACTCTTGCATAAACAAAAGGGTTAAAAAAACAAGCAACCTGACGGACAGTACATACACACACAGAAAGACTCATCATCATCATCACACACATTCAGAATGTCGCAAGAACACAGGACACACACAGACATAGAAAAGACATGGCAAAGCAGCAGTTCAAAGACAACAGTGGTTTTTAAAAGACAACAGCTGAAGCAGAGCACAACAGAAATCAACAAGACATTTTCCCATAAATAACACAGACTTGACTGCAAAGCTGTAAGACATCAAATAAACAGTACAGAGGGTCATAACATAAAGGGCTAATTTAACGTAACATATCGCACACAATAGGTAGGCTGTTCAAAACTACCCGCAGCTGCACTTCTTACTCATAAGTTTAGATTTATAAACCTGAGTGCGTTTGATGTATGTTCTACGAAATTCACGTACTACATATGTGAGATTGGGATTCATGAAGTGGGAGCATCAAAGTCAAAATGGACATGTTGCTGAACTTAAATTCTTGATTTACCAGTTTGTACACAAAAAAGTATCCACTTAAAATATAAGTGCAAATGTTTGTGAGCTTCATATAAAAAAAATTAAGTCCAGAGTTAGTTGAGGCAGGCTTTACGTCAAACTCAGCCCACAATGCATCAGCTGATCCTAAACCAACATCAGCTCACACCTCAACCGATTTCCTTCTACGCATCCAACTGGCCTCTGTCAAAGTGGGTGTTTTGTTTAAACTGTTTATTCTTGCAGCTATCTCTGTAAACAGCTCTGAAACCCGCCTCCACCCCAGCTCCTGCTTCTTATGCTCTGACTGATTTCACTCCAGTACTGTGTATTGCTCTGCTCTGTATCACGGGGTCTTTGCTGCTGCTGCTCTCCTTGCCTTGGCTTCTCAAATGACCCTTAAGTGAGGTGTGCTCTCCCTGCCTCAGGCCTCGGCTTTCTGCTTACGCATGTGGAGAGGCAGGGAGCTCCCAGGGCAGAGCCATACCACCAAATTTGACTTTATTGCATGCAAACTTTAATTCTGTTTGGCTAAATTTGTGCCACCCAGGCCACAATTATATGTATTTTTTGTTTCTTGAAGCTTCAAATTTATTATTTTAACTTTTTTATAGTATAGAAAAACTTATCCAAATTCTGCAAAGTTACCTCCAATTCAGATTTTATAACAACTGTTAAAAAATGCACATGATCAAATTTCATTCTTTACTTGAAGAAATACGTCTCAATCAGAACACATCATATCTCAGTTTTATTCTTCTTGTTTGAGCGGTGAATTTGTCCTTATTAAACCTGAGGTTTGACAGTCTACACCTCTAATTTCATTTAATAGATCAATCTTGAACTATGTAGCGCCAACTCACAACAAAAGTTAGCCAGACTATACTTGAGATGGAAAAAGATTGAGTCCCATCATTCTCATTCCCCCTTTCTTCAATTTATTATATTCCCTCAGAAGATCAGAAGACCACCAAAATGGACCTACAATTACCCTCCCACACTTCTCCGTTCATGATTTATTTCCACAAACAGCCCCTGCAGTAGGACAGAGCTTGTAAAGTCAAAGAGGAACTGGACATGAGGCTGAAAATCTGCGTACGGGAAGCATCACTGACGGATATGGCTCAGTGTGGTCAAGAAGGGTCCGGACAAATTGTTACCACATCCAGGAGTGATGTTGTGCCACCCTGAAGCACACCTGCAGCTGAGGTAAGAAGGAACACTAAAGCAGGTTTTCAGACTGTGTGAAGTTCCTCTTATTGGTTCAAAGTTCTTCTGAATGCACCTACAACTAGTATGTATTTACTCCTCGACCTCTGCCCTGCGCTCTCAAGCACCTCCTGTCGCACTACTCACCGATGATGGCCTCCCATTTCCCATTGGCCTGCGTGACCTCATAGGCGCAGCGCATCTCGCTGAAGGACACGCCTCCGATGATGAAGACCATGACACGGGGCCCAGTGCGGTACTCTCCGGGTGTCTTGTTCTTGTGCCAGTGGCCGTACCGAGCACTGAGAGAGGAACAATTTTTTTAGTTGTAAAATCTTATACTGACTTGAATGAACGATAAAATGTTTTTCAATTTGTCTTTGCTGGTGTTGTCTTTGTCTGAAATGCCTTGTTATGAAAAAATTAATCTACTATACTAGGCATATTTTGGAAATTTGGGGCACTTCAGAAATATTGTATCTTGAAGTCAATGGCTATGCTGAAACAGTTAATTTACATTACTTACAGCTAACAGGGTATTATATAAGATCAGCTGGGTAGGCAGAGTGGGGAATAACATGCAGTCAATCCCAGGCCATCCACCTCCAGGTCTACATGAGTACATGAGTTGCTGGGCCAAAGTGGCATCCCAGAAAATAGGGCTGGGTGATACGGCCTCAAATCAATATCACGATATAGAGAGCAGTTCACCTCGATCGAACGATAATTGGACGATAACTACTCCACAAGCTGCTCACCCCCTCCCACATTAACTTCGTTTACTCCAGCCGCTACAACTTTCAAACCGTCCTCCATCTCCTCACTTGTCTTTCCCTCTTTGTTACGGACTGGATGGGGTGGAGTCACGTTTCCAATGTAGGACAGCTTCTTAAAGGGACATGAGACCATAGCCTACCTACACACATCCAAAACCAACTTCTATTTATTTATTTTTTTGACACCGAATATTTTGACATGAGCAAAATGACGTTAGTCATTGTCATGAATTTTGGTATCGGTAAATTTCGGTTTATCGCCCAGCTCTACCAGGACACCTGTATATTCTTTATAATAGAGAGCAATTTTTGCTAATAGGTCTGTGAGAAAACTGAACTCATTCTTTTTGGATTTTTTTGAATATTTATGTTGTTTAGCGTTCACTTATACTTGATAAAGCTCATAGTTAGGGCTGGTTCAGGCCTGGGACAGCTCTTAACTATACTGTTATAGGTTTAGACCGCTAGTGGTACTGTCCCACTGAGCAGCTTTCTCTCCCTCTCCATCCTTTTTCCGTATTTCTCAGTGACCTTTAATCACCATGTACCATTACAATCACTAATACACAGTCCTTTCTGGGCGTCCCTGTGCTCCATCATGCCGTAGGTTCCTATGGATTGCTGCAGATCTTTTGCCACCGTAGCCTGCCTGCTTTCCAGCTGCTTGCACCAGTGTCACCTCTGTCCGTCTCTCTCTTTCTTTCCTATCTCTAAGACGGTTAATTTTACCATTATTATTTTCACCAGACAGCTACTAATTTTGTCTGATTATTTTGTAGAGCCAGGCTTGTAGCCTACCACAAACTCATAAAAAATAGATACTTTCTAGATCAAGACGGTAACCTAATAAGCTGATTTTAAGCCCCTTGCACATTTTATACAATAAAAGATCATTCTTAACAATGAGAGGCTTCTCCTGCTTGAGTGTAGCTTCCTTTTGATTCACCTACATGTGACCCTTAGCGCTGTGTGTACATGTGTGTTAGTATCCATGTGGGGGAGGGACGTCAAATGCGTTACATCAGTTTGTAACAGGATAGTTTAATGCTAAATCAATAACACAACAGCAGCTTCCACCCGAGCTGGAGTTTAGGGATGAGTGGGGCTCAGAGAGGCTTCAGCACTCCCACTCAAAGACACATTTACATGTTTGCAGAGCTGGGAATGATGATGACTTGTATTAAGGTCAGCTTGCTTACATATTGGCATAAAGGTGATATTGTAGCTGAGAAACGTGTTTGTGGGAAAAAGGCTGCAGCAAATATATCTGAATAATTTGTGGAAACTTTTTCCTGCTGATACTTCAAATTTCTTGACTGCAGAATATCATCGATCCATTTTATTCAGTGTTTAAATTATAAGAAGCTCCAGCCAAGTGTTGTTTTCAGTCCCATCCTTGCATTTGGATCTGTACGGATCACTAACCTGCAAGTCATCAGCTCTGCTTTTTCAAGTATTGATCCATTCAACCCATCTCCCTTCCCAAATTACTATTGATCCGACACCATCATTTCTGCCTGTTTGATTTAAAAAGAGCAACTTCATGCAATACAATAAACGCTGCAATGTGTCCGTATGTACATGTCAATGTGGGCTACAAACACTGATGAACTACCTGACTGCAGTGGTGCTGAATGAGGCAGAGGAGCGAGTGGAGATGTAGGGGTAGTGCTTGGTGTCCAGCTTATCATCAATAGCATCCTGCATGGGGACAAAAGAACAAAACAGATGTTTGTCAACTATAATCTCTGTCTGTGCGTGCACACAAACACACTTTAATAGGGGCGCCACAGTTTTGTCATGTCTCCTAGCAACTGTTTGTGGCTCAATTACTGGAGAAGAGGCTTTGCGTGTATAGGAGGCTAAATATAGTTGATTATGACCGAGCTGGAATAGCAGATGTTTGACAGAGGTTGTTGTGGATAAATGATGGAGACTGTTGTTGTTAAAGGCCCACTTCAGCTTTGTTTGAAAGAAACATTCACCAAACTGGAAAATCATATCCTAAACGATGAATTCTCAATAGTAAGAATGTAAGAATGGTGTAGAAATGCTGATTAAAAACAGATGCTGAGACCCATTATTCTGGACCTGCTGAACCATTTTCTCACACAGTCTCTCACAGGGTGGTTGACCTCTTCCAGTTTTTACCTCTCGGACACTCAGCTGCTCTGGATTGCCATGCTGTAGTCATGTTACCAACCTGATGCTTGATAAAAAGGAAGATGATCATCCGGGTCTTTTTTTTAAACATAAATTCAACATTTTGTTGTCCTCCTCCAAATTTTTTCCAAAAAGTGCTGCTGGGGTCTGATTCAAAATGATAATATATTTCCTGTTTACACCTATGTTTATGGATTACAAACTATCACTTTCTTTCTGTCAACATTTAACACACCATCTCAACTTTTTGGATTTGAGGTTTTGCCGATCAAACTCAAACTTAACAATGAAATAGCAATGTAAGCCCTCAGGAATATACCTCCATGATGTCCTTGACCAGTGGCGTCCAACGGGACAGCTGATAAGTCTGCTCGCTCACACGCTCCTTCCTGTCCTGCTTCTTTCCTCGGCGGAGGGTGGACTTATGGAGGGAAGAGAGGAGAGAGTGAAAAGCAGAACATGAACCCATGCTGCTTTACATGGGTTCATGTTCAAAAGAGGACATACACTGCAAATACAAAGGAAAAAAGAGAAGTAAGAAACAAGAGTTATGAAAAAGGACAGAGAGGGGGAGTGATACTCTGTGAGGATCTTACATCTGTGATGATGGGGGTCCCCAGGTTAGCCATGTTGGTGATGATCTCACTGTCCTCAGGGGGGATCTGGGCGTGCTGGATCAGCTTATTCAGGTTCTCCTCTGTGATGCCTGAACACACACATACACATATGCACACACACAGTTAATATCTTATAACTGGATTTTATGTTTACATTTGATATGTCCAGCGTGTTTTGTGGTGATGCTAAATTCATGTTTTGCAAAGATCAAAACTTAATTTATCAAGGCTTGCAGTGGACACAGGAAACACCTGCCAAATACATTGTTCTACTTCAGTAAATATACACACGAGACTTTGACAAGGCCTCCTTACCGTTCTTGAGGAAAATGTAGAGCAGGATGATGCGGATCTTGTCATATGTGCTGACATTGGCGTCCAGCAAAATGGGCACGATGGCTCTCATAGGGTCTTTGATCTTCTCACCCTCAGCGTCTGTGCCCATAGCCAGATCCTACAACGAGTTTATTCACTTTTCCATGAAGATGAATTTCAATGAGTGACATTCACAAGGTCATTGTGCCATTACATTTCCTCACACTGTCAGTTAAACTGTGATTTCTCCGTCAGGTATAGTTTTACTAGTGTTTCTATCTGCTCCTCTTTCTTCATTTCTCCTGTTTTTTTCTCCTGTTCCTTCTTTCTTTCCTTCCATCAAGCGGTTTTCATCCTCATTTCCCCTCCCCTTCCTTCTCTCACCCCTAGCCCTCCATCTCACCTGTTCCACGCGGCACAGCTTGTCCACTGTTCCTTGGTAGTGCTTCATGCAGTCCTCAGCCAGCTGCAGATGAGTGGAGTACTGAAAAACAAAAACAAAGCAAGAGGGGTCAGCGAACATACCTGCACACATAAAAGACGAGAACACACTCATGGACACACACCTTGCTGAGCTCCTTCTGATACTGAGGCATCTTCTTCAGCATCTGGGACAGATCCCTCATTGTGGTCTGGTGAAACAGAAGAAAAACTGTGTCAAAACTGGTACATGATATTTCAAAACACACAATTCGATTATTGCTGACAGCTGATGTAAATGTGTTTTCTGGATGTTACAGGACTATCAGGCAGACTTTGGGGAAACTTCAGGGTCAACACCGGGTTTTAAGCACTCCAGTTGTTTTGTACTCTATGGTAGATTATCATAGAAACTGCTAACCTGCCCCTGAGCAGATTATGTTCGGAAAAAATATCAATTTTGAGGAGGGCTGACATTTTGTCCATAATCATGAACTTTCACATAAATATACTACATTTTCTGTAAGTTATGTTTTTGCCTTTATTGGACAGAACAGCTGAAGAGAGACAGGAAATAAGAGGAGTAGAGGTCGGGAATAGAGCGAAGAGTTTGGGTCGGAAAAAGTCCTTTATTGAGTGTACATTGTTTGCATATGTTTTGCAGGTGATCAACTGAGAAGAAGTGCGTTGATGACGTCAGGAGCAAGGACTGTGGATATGGTGGAATTTACATTAGGGTTTTGTGTGTTGAACTCACTGAAGCAAAAGGGAGTGACGACATAAATTAGACTGACAGTGACAGCAGGTGCCAAATGAAATTCAGCCCAATTACAGGTATGAGTGAAAGATGTCAAAATATTTGAGCTAAAACAAAGACATTTGGATAGAGATGACTTTCTTTCAGTGTTACAAAAACAAAAGTAACACTTCTCTCATGCCTGTATGTTTGAAAGCTGGTAAAACTAGCCAGAAGTCTGTTATTGTAGTTCAGTAAATCCATGTAAAATTAAAAGGCTAACTGTTTCCACACTTTACGCTAGATGACAATGTCTCTTGATGGTGTCTGTTCAAATAGAAATGGGCACCTCTATTCACATCTCAGCAAGACAGGGAATCACCATATTTCAAAATGAGGACTAAGTGCATAAATTAAACATGTCTCTTTACGAAATCACTGCGGTAATCAACATTATATCAACATTTATTGTAAATTCTTTCAGTTTTTAAAGTTATCCATCACATCAAAAACACTTGAGAGTCAATATTTTAGCGATACCAAGTGTTTAAACTGTATTAATCATCTATTGAATGTTTTTTACAGTAGTTGATTTCTTTTACCTTTTCCCCTGTGTTCATCCTCTTGCTGGAAGAGAATTCCTTCAGCTGGCGTGTCACTTCCCTGATGACAAACAGTGACGTTTTTAAAGATGTTTTTTTTGAATCCTTATCAAATCTTGAGTGAAAAAAACTTCTCGCAGTATGAAGAAAAGTACTTACTGGGACACCTCGGCTATGTGTTTGTGTCTCAGGCTCACCCACAGGTCATCGTCTTCATGCAGCAGAACCTCCTTCTCGCGGGAGTCTCCAATGCCACTGGTCTCGTACCTGCAGAAAAAAAAGACAACGAGCACAACTTTAGGTTCAAACCTGTGAGTGCATTTGTAATGCTTAATGAAAAAGTTTTTCTGCTTCATACTTGTAGACGTCGTTCTCAATGGGCAGCAGGTCGTAGCCCATAGCCTGGAAAGTGAGCTCATGCAGAACAGGAGAGACGGGGTCGAACCCTCTGTCCAGGATGATCAGCTGTGAGCGAGCCTTATCTGGACCCTGGGTTTACAAATACAGGAATTGATTAACTTCTTAGTAGGGATCAAACATTTGACACAACAGGTGATAAAGAGAGTAAAAATATTTAACAGGATTATCAAAAGTGTATATTCTGCTGAGTCTCACCTCTCCCATGGTGGGGTCATCGGCTTTGTAGGCATCCAGTTTGTCCTGCAGCAGCTGGGCCAGGGTGGCATTGTCCTTGTACTCACTGACAGAATGATGGATAAATGAATAAATAAAAGCACTTGTTTGCACAGGAACGCAGCTTTAAAGAAATTACAGAGAGATATTTTTAGAGATTTTCATTATTCAGTTTTCTGTGGCCTTCAACAAACTCTATCTTTACTGATTCATGCAGGTCATCCACCTATGAACACACTGAAGAAGAAGTCCCTCAAGTAGCGAGTCATACCAGATGTATGTTTCAGAGTTATTGGGAAACAGGCAAAGACAATAAAAAAACTTCAGAAGAGAACTTGGAAAAGCAATGTCTCATCATTTCCAAGCAGCGCCCCCTGCAGCTCACCCTCGGTATCTGACGGCAGGGTACTCCTTCAGGGTGGCGCAGAGTGTCGCAAGCTGCTCGGCCAGCCTCTCCATCACAGGGTTCTTCTGCTGGGTCTTATGGGGGCTGTAGAAACTGTGGAAGGCATCTGAATTGTCCAGAGAGTACACCTGCACACAGACAACAGTTTGTTTGAGACCGTTTTACCATCTTAGAGATGCACTGATTGAGAAAGTTGGGGCCAATACTGCTTCAAATGTTTGGCAATATCTGTTGTTACTGACTCCCCACTCTAAGTTGGTCCGATCAAACATTGTTAAAGTAATTCAGGTCCCCATTATACTATCATCAAGTGAGCACAAATTCATCCAGCCATTATCTATACTGCTCATCCTGTTTGGGGCCTCAGGGGAATAAAGCCAATCCCTGCCATCATTAGGGGACAGGGTACACCTTGGAGAGTTTGCTAGTTTATCACAGAGCTGACATAGAGAAACACCCACAGCTATTTAATCCCACTCATTAACCTCATGTGTGTATCTTTGGACTGTGGGAGAAAGCCAAAGTACCTGAAGGGAACCCTCGCATGCAAGAGGGGAAAACACACAAAAAGGCCCAGAGCAGGATTTAAATGCAGAACCTTCTTGCTGTGAGGCAACAGCATCGAGGACTCAAGTCTTTAAGCAATTTCAACTCCACACACTTACAGACAGACCCTTCAGTTTAACCCTTAACCCTCAGTTTCACCCCCATCGATTTTACTGAGCTTTTAACCGTTCAGGAGCCAGGTAGAAATCTGAGGTTGTCAAACCAACTTCTGTTGGAAGTTCCCACATCAAAATACAAACACTGGGGTGACCGAGGCTTTGCAGTTGTTGGTCCCAGACCCTGGAATAAGCTCCTGACCGAAATGTGACTTATTTCTGACCTGGGCCTTTTCAAATCTCCGCTGAAAACGTATTTATTTATGCTGGCTTTTAATACCCAGTAGCGTGGTGACACTTCATTTTATTTTATTGCATTGTATCTTATTCTTTTTTAAATTGCTTTTATTGTTTTTAATTTTTTTCATTCATTCATTTTTATTTACTATGTATTGATAAGCACTTTGGTTTACCAAAAGGGTTGTTGTAAAGGCTTGTATAGATTAAGAACATTTGCATTTACATTTATAAGAAAAGGTTATTTTGGAAAAAGTAACTACTCTTAAAGTCTCTATAGTGGCTTTACTTGCACAATCTCAAAGGGGCATTTTTCTGTTTCTTCACAGCCCAACAAATGACATCCCTTTTTAATAACACCCATAATACTTTGTTAAAATAATGCAAAACATAGGCTCAGGCAGGCCACAAAGTCAAGCTAAGCCCTCAGTGAATTGGCATTAACAACCATTAAAATCGCCTGACAGCTCAGCCTGTTACCTTCTACCTTTAACCGGCGATCGTCAAAATCGGGCATCAAATTTAGCCTGCTTTAGCCTGCTTCCTCTGCAAAGTGCCTTTCAACACGCCTCCACCCCAGCTTCACTTTTACTGCTGTGTCTGAGTTTATGTGTAATGTCACTGATGCCTGCTCTGTCTTTGCTGATGCTCTTCCTGCCCTCACTTTTTACGTAGACAAATGAAAGAAAGGAGGAGTGTGCTCTCCCTTCCACATACTCACAAAGAAGAGCAGGGATCTCTCAAAACAAAGCCATAATGAGGGTTCATAGAGTTCGTTTAACTCAGTTTTTTCAACCCTTTTTTTCTTGTTCATGGAAGACAACGTTCTAGTCGGCTGATACATTAGGCTAACTAGTTGAACAGCTCTGAGACAGTTGTGGGATATTTATCAGCTACTGCAATGCCAAATGGGCGTATATCTGTCAGCAGGGGGAATATCAGCCAAAATCAATACCTGCTTGATTTATTGATACAGATCCACACTCGTGGTTCCTCCTTTTCCTCTTTGTCTTTCCGTGTTCTCTATCCTTCCTTCACCTACTTTTCTTATTTGTCAGTCTTCCCACATGACTCTCCTTCCTTTCCCTTGTAATGCTTCCTCTACTCCTCTGTCCTTATTTCCTCCCTCTCCTCTCCTCTCCTCCTCTCCCCTGCATCACTCCCTACCACTCCCTCCTCCCACCCCATCTGTCCAAAGTCACATGACCACTTTTTACTGCTCTGCAGAAGGGTCCCTATGTTAGCCTGGCTGCAATTGGCTATCTCACGCTGTATGGATCCTGACTCATCCAATGGGATGAGAGAGTTGGATTGTGGGCGGGGCTATGAGGCAGCACTTTGCCTGGAGCAAAAAAACCACTGACTCTGAATTAATCACAGTAGACAGGAGAGGAGCAAAGCATTGTGGGCCAAACAGCATCTTCAGATAGTGAGAGAGACAAGGATGGACAGAAGGAGAGATGAAGGAGATGGATAAGGAGAGAGGGTGAGGTTGGGGTAGAGAGAGAGAGAGGGAGAGAGAGAGAGAAATTTAGGGAAAACATGCTCGGAGGAAGAGACCAAAAATAGAAAAGGCAAAAAAATAAAAAGCTTAATGAAGAGCAGAGAGTGACAGCAACGTGCAAGAGCCTAGGGAGGAGGACGGTGGGATAGTAAAAGCAAAAACAGACAAAGAGAGGAGGAAAAAACATGATGGCGGCAAGAATTTGGAAAGATGGCATGGGTGGAGATGCAGCAAGGGAAGGAGGGAGGGAAGGTGATGATAAATGTGAGTCCCTCTCGAACAGTCTGGCAGAAAACACAGCGACTGATGAGTCAGCAGTTATGTGCCATGCCGCCACTTGAGTGTAAATTTGTGTTTCTTCCTCATCTCTCTGTCTCTTTCCATCCATCCATGACTCCAACAAATTCTCTGTTACTATTCCTGTCTGTGTCCTTTACAACATCTCTCTCCTCCTATCCGTCTTCATCGATCCCTCTCTCCACTCTGCTCTAACTCTCTATCCCCCTATCTTCTCCCTCTCTCTCTCTGTGGTTTCCACTCACAGTCACCAACAAACAACAGAACAGAGAGGGATCATATTTCTTCCTTGCTAGGAGGAGAAAAACGAGGTGGACAATGAAAAGCAATCCAAGGGTCTGATGAGTCAAATTCAGAGTGGGTCCACAAAGGTAGAAATAAACATTTGCACCCAAGTGGGACTTACACCAGCTGACCATGGTTCTGTTTTAGAAGTCACAAGAAGTCTTGCACACATTCACAAACGATGCTTTCAGGTTTCTTTGACAGTACCAAAGTAGCTGTTTTCTCTAAAGACTATTAGATCCACAGCTGATTGTTTACCTGCGACTCATAGGGCAAGAAGGCGATGTTGATCTCCGTCAAAGTCTTGATGGTTTTGGAAGCGCGGCTCTTCACCAGCTCGTTGAAGAGAGGATCAGGGCAGGCTGAAGGGGGGGAATGCAAAAACACGAGAGTCTCAACAGCTTGTCTAAATCTTGCTTTACTCATCAAGAGAATGAGGGCCACTAAAATATATACATTAGGTAGGGATATCGTTATCGGTCCCGATACTGAAGAAAATTCTCGATTAGGTATCATGACAATGGGCCTGATGCACAGGGGCCAATCTATTCAGTCTAACTCTATGCTGTGCACCGTGAGTGGCATCCACAATAAACACGCTGAGTGGATGCCCACAATGTTTTCAAAATGTAGCGAGCAAAGGGGTCTGCTAACTTGAACTTTGTCACAATACCTCAGCCTACAAGCTCGACCGCCACTTGCAATACCTGCGCAATTAACGTTAAGAGGGGAAGTGGTAAAACTTCAGGTTACAACAAAAGGTAATTCAGCCCAGCTTTTCTGTATCAGAATTGGATCTGTATCGGCCGATACTAAACTGCAGATATCTGTATCAGTATTGGAGGTGAAAAAAGTGGATTGGTGCATCCCTAATATTAGGAAAGAATTCATACTTAAGTTTGACTTTTTTCTGAGTTTGAAGTTAAAGCAACCAGAATAGCTTTAAGTTGGTTTGAATCATAATTTCCAATATGAAGATGGCCGTCTCTGGAAATCACAAAGACTATTAAGAAACCAATGGATGGCATCACGAAGACTACACTGTATGTGATTAACATATAATACAGTGCACATACAGTAATGGTGGAGCAGCTTTTTTTGTGAATATACTCACAGTCAGTGAAGAAAACATGGGCTGCCTTGTATTTGGCTGAGTGAGGGTCTTTGAAGTCTCCGATGAGGGTGTGGACAGACTGAGGGAAGAAAGCAGAGGCAAAGTTTAGAGTTCATGTGACTTCATAGATTACAAGACACGTCAAACAGTGTATGCTCTATAATATTTAAACTTTAACCCATAAATAAATATTGATTTGATATTTCGCTCCCGGGGCCTATTAATGGTTTCAACAGCTGATGACGAACAAATTCATATCTGAACTAAAGGAATGAGCATAACAACCCTTGAACTGTTAGTGGAGTTTAAAATCGAATGTTTGACAAACTGAGTCTTAGTACATTCAAACCAAGCTCTTTGATATGGTAGCTGCTCTTTAAGTCATGCATTTGCCATTAAATTATGTTTAATATCAATAAACGAAAGAAACAGACCGGGAAACCATGGAAACAAAGAAGAGCGAATGTGTGTTTTACTCCAGCTGAGTCAACAGCTTCTCTGTCAAAACCGCAGACCTGCTGCCAAAGACACACCTCTGCATGTATAAGAAGAGAAAAGAGACAGGGAGTAGGCAAACTGTACCTTCTCTGTAGGCGTAATCAGGTAAATAGCCTCCAGGCTGGGAAGAGGCTCTCGTCGTTTCATGATGTCCTCCACAACTAGAGGAGAAGAAACAGACATCAGCACTCAAACACAAACGAGCACGCAGATGTTTTAGTAGCTGTGACCATCATCTCTTACTGGTGATGCCCTCTGTCATGATGTCTGTCATCTTGCAGCAGGATGACAACATCCTCATGCTCAGCTGGTCCACAATCAGCGCCTGGCAACAAGAAATATATACGTTACAGTTAGGGCTGGGCGATAAGGAAAAAGTCTATCACGATATATTTTTTCATATCAGTCGATATCGATATATATCAAGTTATTGGTAGCATGTCTTTTGCAATACAATAAGCTACTGCATCTGTGAGGTCTTTGTGTCTCTTTGACGTTTTGTCATTAGGCATTGCGCCAGATAAAGTGGCCTGAATGGTTGGCTGTTTTCAGCTGCAGCTCGGGGTTTGTAACTTTTGCATTGCGCATGCTCTGCCACATGGCACTGCTTCAGGTGGTGAAAAAGATTTGAGATATTCCCCGCTTCACGTGTTAAAGTTCTATGGTTGCGTGTAGCTGCAGCCTGCTACTATGCAGTTATTTGCTACTTGGTTCTAATTCAGCACATGATTGGTTCAGCGCTAAATGGACCCAGAGCAACTCCCCTTTTCATTGGCCATTTGTATAGTCTACCAAAACATGACAGAATGCCGACTGTAGAAAAGCATATTGACCATGTTTTATATTGATATTGAGGGAAATTCACTCTTGATATATATCATTATCTAGCAGCCCTAGTTGCAGTTAAACTATTTCACAAAAGGTGAGGGACTGCAGAATTGACACATTTTCATTAATGAAACATTACTCAAAGACTGGGCAGAGAGGAAATGCTGAGTAAGCCCAGGCGGAGAACAGTTCCAAATACTGAACAGCCTGTTTCCCTGAATTTATAGCATTAAACAAATTTATTAAATGGAGTGAATGGCAAAGCTTCCAGGTTCAAAAGCAAACTTAGGAAAGAGGAGAGGCTGTAGACCTGTTCATCTCAGCCCACATGTCTGCTTCACCCTTCAGTTCCTATTTCAGGGTAATTTCCTATAACTATTGTTACGTTCAAGTTACCTTGGAAGTCAGAAGTCCGAGCTGGGAATGACATCACACCCGAGTTACCAGCATTTCAGTTACCAAGTCGGAAGAAAGCAATATCAGAGGTGGAAACAAGATGGCTATATCTGTGAAAGTTATCTTAGCGCTTGCCTTGTCCGAATATAAGCAAGGATAATAATAATAACTTTCGTATGTAGCCTCCAATTTTGCCTTTTTCCAACTTGGTAACTGAAACGCTGGTAACTCCGGTGTGACGTCATTCTCAGCTCGGACTTCTGACTCCCAAGCTAACTCGAACACAGCACAAGAACTCCTTACCTTCCATTCTGACTTCTTCTTCACCTTCTTGATGACATCATTCATAATCTCTGTGGAGGGAAAAACAGAATCAAATTCAGGACTCTGACTAATGCACAACAGTGTGATCAGAAAAAAAGATTCAACACATTGACCCGTTAGGAGACACTCATCTGCACACTCACACACACACACACACACACACACACACACACACACACACACACACACACACACACACACACACACACACACACACACACACACACACACACCTTAGTGGCAAGAACTGTTCTCCACATCCTCAAAGCTAGAGGTCTCTGCCTCCTCACATATCACATATATACATCAGCATACAGGGATATATTTCTTTTTCTATCTAAACATCCCATTGCCTCATGAAATCACAAACAGAGCTGCATGGCAGGCTTTAGTGAAGGGGAGGATTTTCACAACAACAATATTACAGCGATATTAATACAAGACTGTGGCAAAATAAAATAAAGACGAGAGAAGGACAGAGCCACACATTCTTCATCATCTGTTTCAAATAAGGTCTAAATCTATGTTTCACCCACATCACCAGCCTTTGAAGCCCTCTCCAATGCTAAACTCACATTATGAATTTCTGACCGGCACTTCCTCACAGCTACAAATAAGCAGCATTAGAAGAAACATTGCTAGTAATAAAAGTATGACATGGTACGTCACAAGCCATTTTAGGGTCTATATTAATCAGAGGACCTTGAATATAAACCAATAATTTCACAGGAGGGACTGATGAGTCTCAATGTCTCTCTGCAGTGAACGGGCTAAATGCCAAAAGTGCTCAGAAAATATCCAACGCCAGCTGCCGCCCATCTACAGTCAGAGAGCAGAAATGTGTCACGCCTTGTGCATGACTAATGTTCAGTCTAGTTCTTATCCGAAGTATGTATATGATGCTTATAACTTTTGTTGTAAATGTATTCAGAAGATGCAGTCGTGTGCAGTTATCTGTTTGTGTTCACACTATAAGGAAACATTTCACTATCAAAGGTGTATCAAAACACATTAAACTTATACAGGAAAATTATGAATGATTAAGAGTGCCACCGTTTTGAAGTCACTCTAATGATGACACAACCAAATCAATGTACACTCTATCCTACTGACTAAATATGCAGCCATCATATGGAATATCAATAAACAATGCCTAACTTTACAGAGTTCATTCATGATCTTTCCCAGGACCTTTCATAGCCGACCTGTAGTTCCTTTGTGACCCAGCAGGGGGCCTGGCTAACATTTTGGCGTAACGCTGCTGTACACAGCCACACTGCTGTAACATGTACAAGAACGAGGATCTTATTCTATTGATTTTAATTCATAAGACTGTACAAGAAAATCAGTAACATAAACGGCTCTCAAAAAAAATCTGAAATGATCTCGCTCCCCCCACCGATTAGCAATGCAGGTCATATAGTTAGCCTTCATTATGCTAACATGGTACATTAGCCATAACAGAAAATTAAGATACAAGTCAAGTCACTGAAAGTCATTACAGCTAGTTCTAATCAGACTGAATTATTTCCAAATATTTACTTTTCAGAGGAGTTTAAGGCAGAAAACTGTGATTGAAACATTTTATGTTCAATGTTTGTACGGAGAGGGCAAAGTTTACCAGAGTCAAACTCCTTGTATGTGTACACATACTTAGCTAATAAAGCCGATTCTGGAAAATCCTGTAGTTACATGCACTTGCTTTGCAGAGCACAGGACAGGTGATGAGAGAAGTGCACCAACGCTAAGGCAGACAGTGGTCACTTTACTCAAGCTTTTACACTTTGTACAGGCCTGAGAGATCTTTGCTGTTTGCTGGGTGAGTTAAATTTGAGCAGAAAGGCGTCACTACTGTGGCTCTGAAAGCTGATCCACACTTGTCCACACTCTGGCTCAAAATGGGAAGGATGTTTGCACTCCTCCTGGGGGGGAACTTTTGGTTTCACTTCTGAACAACAACAGTATGGGCTTTATCAGCTGACCTGAATTCAATTCACTTGAACAACACACAAACTGCAACAGAAAAAAGATCTACATCTGGACATCCCATAATGCAATTCCAACACTGGAGGACAGTTACACACAAAGAACAGATATAGCCTCCAACAAGGTGACTGATCTACAACAGTAAAGAGTAGTAACACAGAGATTATTGGATAAAGAATCAGCTTTGTTTGTCAGTAATCTCACAGATCCACAGGGGTAAATAATAATCCCCTCCACTGTGAGATCATGAAGCAATGGTCATTTTAACTCCACGGTTTTGGCATTAGACTGATCACTGTACAAACCATCTGCCAGCTGTATTAGCATGAATCCATTTAGGGTAAAATACTGTTTAACATCAGGCTGAATCATCATGAATATAAACTACTAAACCTTGTGGTCCTGGCTTCGACCTGAGGTGACACAGATACTGCTGGATTACCACAGATTCAAAAAGGACAATAGATGAAGGATAGCTTGACACAACAAACAGAGACAAGGCCTCAAGCCAGCGTTTTTTCTGTCATGTTGAATAAAGCTGTAATGATGCTTACTGCCCTCTTTAGCTTATCTTTTTTTGCACTGACCAGCATCCAAACACCAAACTTAAATATTCCAATTAGTCTTTGCAAGGCTACAAGCGGTACATTCTAGGTTTACTGGATATAGATATTCTATTCAAGTCTGATACCAGATTTAAGAAAAACTGAAAAAATACACACAGATTTGTTGTCTTTAAAATTCCAAATAACTGAGTAAAATGATATCATTGAGAAAAGTTTCAAAAAGTCTGAAATTATCCAACAATAACAGTCTGTACATTCACCAGGCTTCAAATGGTGACAGACATGGCTACAGAAAATTGATCAAAATGTGACAATGCACCCAATAATGACACCCTCTGAACCTGGACTGGCACTGTTAGTCTACTTGAAATGATTCCAGTGAGGTATTGTTGTCTCTCAAACACTGAGATAAAGATAGCGTTTCCTCAGTCATCTGTTGCGAGTTGAAGCGTCCTCACCTGGTCTTTTGCGTGTGCATCTGTGTGTGTGAGTGTGTGAGTGCTGCATGTGTTGAATGGGGGGTTGGGAGGGAGGGTGGGGTTTGGTATTTGTATTTATTTTCTTTCCTTGTTTTTAATATATAATATATAATGCGCTACATTATATGTATGAAAAGTGCTTTACAAATAAAGTTTGATTGATTGATTGATAAAAATGCTGATACCAATGTTGCTCTTATTACTTTTACATTATTTGTATTGCGCTTGCTTGTCCAAACAAGGGGCTGAAATTTACACTTTGAGATGCCCTGATTTTTGAGATGAAAGGATGCAGGAAGAAGAGATGAAAACAGGAAAGAATGAACAGTAACAGAAAGAACTTGAGAATAAGTGTGTGAATACAGATCAAATACATGTTCTCTAAAAACTGCAGACTGGCCCTTTAAATTCAGCCTGAAGACAATTTGTGCTATGACTGTAATTTGACCTAGTGAATCTTGAAACACAGAGACTCTAACCTGCGCCTCCTTAGAGTCAGGAGAACTGTATCTGACCTCCTGTGGGACGGATGAACTTGGAACAGTCCCAGTATTATTCTCTCTAAATGACAGAGAGATTCCCTGACTCAGCTCCAGGCTATTCTCAACACCTTCAGTGGCCTGGTCTTAAAGCTGCTGCGTCAGCAACAACAATACAGCCGATGTAAAGTGAATCACTAGAACAACATCTGAAAGACATGGGCTTTTATTCAATGAAGAACTGAAGACTTAAAACTTGATGAGTCTAAATTACTCTAAATAATACAGACAGTTTGGTGAGATTCCTAAACAGGCGACTTGTTTTTCATCAAGCAGCAGCTCCAGCCAGCAGAGTTTGACACTTACACAAACGAAAAGCTCAGGGGATATCAGCCACATGTCTTCCGTCTTCCTCTGCAGCAGCTGAGGTGTTTCCTCTCCTCTTATGCAGGAGCATTTTTCCGAATTAGGGTTTTCTGATAAAAGCAGCTTCAGGTCCTGAACAAACATTTAACTCTGGCATAAAAGATTTTTATTTCAAGATGTAAAGTTTTCCAATTCGGTTTGAGGTCCATCATACATTAATGCTTATGATAAATCTTGCACTCATAAAAACATGCACTCATACTGCTTAGAAACAACACGGTGCCAGTAGAATTTTAAAGGTCCAATATATTAGTTCCTTTTAGCTGATGACAAAATATCCTTATTGTTTTTACAACATGGCTAAAAACCAGCTAAAACAAAATTCAAGCCTCTGTGGAGGATCTGCAGCCTCTCAGTTTTGTATTCTCATAATCCACGCAGTCTGAGCTGTCGGAAGGAGGAGGGTGCAGACTGATGATACACCAAAACAAAAATGGCAAGTGCTCCAGGAGAACCCTTGCTAGTACCGAGCCACACTTAACGAAGACAGATCTGCTGTTGCTGAATCATAAATTCATAAAGATCCTTGTGTCAGGAACAAGGTGAACCCAGCTTTGTCCTGACCCTCATGCAACCAATAAAAGAGCAGCTGACATGGCTGACTCTAACCTGCAACATCTTGACTATGCAACAGAGAAGCAAAACCATGATTGTGTGGGATGAAACAGATTAGCTCAAGGAGTGAAAGTAGGAGTGGTCCTGTATGCAATATTTTTTTTTCTAGGATGGTTCGGGAAAGTCCCGCCTCCTTCGTTTCTGATTGGCTAGAAAAGCTGGAAACATCATCGTACGCTCAAGCCAAACATGGGCTGTTGCCTCTGTACATCGAACAGAGCATTACAGAACATTATCGCACTTCTGAATCTCCTAACCCTAACCCTCATCCTAATCCTAACCCTTACCCGACAGATGATGACGTTTCACAGTCATAAGGAATAACCAATCGGAGCTCAGCACTTATAGCCAATCAGAGGCGAAGGAGGGCGGGACCTTCCCTTGCCACCCTACAAAAAATAATTTCGCGCCTTGTATGCATGCCAACATAAATCACCATGTTGAAGGCAGCTAAACATTAGTTTTTGACAAATATTTGCCATCGGAGCTACGTAAAAGTCAGTGTTGCTCATATTAAGTTCAACATACTTATGAATTTATTTGCTGCTGACCTCTTGGCCAGGTTAACCTGCATGGGAGATCTGGATCTTACAGGGTTAATACCTGGTAAATATATGCTAATGTTGGCAAACAGATGACTGCTAAAGGAAGAAAAGGCTTTCAGGGTAAAGAAAAATAAACACAAAGGTGTTCTACATTTCAGCCTTTTACCTCCTGTGTTGACCTTGACTTATGCTGGCACAGAAACAATGACGATAATAGTACAGTGGGTGCTTCACTGACAGCTAAGGAAAAGACAGCGCTGTTGGTTTTTCCTCCCTGACCTTCTAAAAGAGGCGCAACAATACAGGAACCCACCAGTCAGACAGAGGGGTAGGAACCTGAGAAAACAGTGCAACAGCTGTGTCAACCAAACAGGCAGTGGCAAACACACACACACAGAAACACACACACACTATAGCGCACACTCAGATACCTCATAATCTCTCACATCCAGTTAAACAGGATACACATCCTTATGGAGGAGACAGGGGGAAACAGAGTGATTTAAGGTACAAAAAGATACGGCACATTTTCCCCTAAACTGGAATTTGCTTGTTAAAAAAAATCACAGCTGAGTGTACTATTTTTACCAACGCCAAAAGCTGACCACCACACTCATTCATATCTTAAAAAAGAAAAAACACAATAGTCTGAGCTGATTGGTTCAGTAACTCTGCTCATGATGCAGCAGTGAAGAGCTGACACTTCCTCTCTTTGACTCGTGCTTCTGCCCCCTTCAGGGACTTTCACCTATGAGTACATGACCCATTTTTTCTCCAGGTCTTAGCTTCACAGCAGCATCCCTCTCTAGAGAATCTGACACGGCTGATCTTAAAGAGACAGGCGGACTTTTCGGCAGGGCTCACGCTGAAATGCATCGACAGCCTTCAACACTCTTTAGTCCGGAGGCACGTCTGACTGTAAGCTCTCTCACAGTCTCTCTCACAGTCAACGGACAAAAATAGGCTGTTTAAAAGTAATGCATACTAAGGAGAGGATAGAAGGGGCATCAAAAAACAAAATGGAGGCAAATAATAATTTCAACATGGATTCCATTCATATCTAAAGTGGGACGCATCATGATTCATAGTGTGTCCAAGCTACATCTGAAATAATACAATCTATCAGACAAATTTTTTGAAACAACTCATACATTCATGGTGTTTTCAAGCAAAAAGCTCATCTGGTTGTCTAAAAACAGTGAAATATTTCACTCACTATGAGTATTAGAGAAGGAAAAATAAATAAAAAGGCTGTTTCTTTAACCTGCGATCAATCATCTGGTCTAACATCAATCCCATCACAGCGGTTTCAGGCATTAACAATATACAACAGAGAAATTATCAGGCTTGTTGCTGATGGAGCTCAGTATCAGTTTCAGTCTGATTTGCAACCACTTAACCCTTTAATGCCTTTTGTATCATATTTGATACATACTTTTATATACTTCTATCAAATCAATATGATCAAAAAATTACTAAAGAAACACCTGAATACATACCGATAAATGATAAAAATGTTCTCTTGTAGTTTATTAGTTAAATAAAATATCAAATGTTTTAAACGAGATGAATAAATATATTTGTTAAATATTAAATAATAAATTAAGGACATTTGAGTTTTATGGTTTTCAGTAGTAAGTGAAAAAAACATTTCAGCTCCAAAAAATTTTAATTTTCTGGCCATAATTTGTGGTGCCAAGCATTAAAGGGTTAAAAACTACTTATAGTGCCTTTAATTTAAAAAAAAAAAAAAAAAAAGAAGAAAAACATGACTTTGCAGCAGGCAACAGTGAAAGAGGTTTCCAAAGTGCCTAGGGAGGAGGGCTTAAATAAAAAAGAAGCTGATATGAAGTGTTTCAGACAGATGCTGAAATTACGGTTTTCAAAGACACCAGCCAAAGATAGTAAACACCTCTACAGCTGTGCTATCTGGATGATATAAAAGCTTTCAAATGAGCGTAAAAGCCCCCTTTGAAGATGTTGGTTTAATTTTCAATTATAATCCATGAGTCTTTTCTAATAAGAAAAGGCCAATCTAGAAAACCAGACCAATCTAGAGAACCAGACCACGTCTGCTTTCATTGCCTGATATGAGTCTGCAGCTTCAACAGACAGGCCTGCACTTACATAACACCGTAACCAGCCCCAACCAGCACAAGTTGGCTGTGAGAAAAGCCGACGAGGTTGACAAAAACAGTAGCCTCTCATGCCTCCAATGTACACCAAGTCAAAGTCAAAGGTCACTCAGGCAGAGGAGCTGCATGTCACCCAGCTAAAACACGGAGTACACCAATGTAGTCGACCTTTCCCATGACATTCACAGAGAGGTTGACGGGACATGACGTGGACAAGCAGAGAGGAAACTTCTGAGACCTCTGCCAGCATGTCTGTATATTCATGCTGAATTTTGGCAGCTGTGTTATATCCTCCAGTATACAGCACATAAATGTTCTTTGATGGTGTTGGCATCGCTACATCCCCTCTATTTTGACTCTGTTGAAACACTACCTCACAGGTGTGCAATAACAGAGAAACAATCAACATATCAACCTGCTTGAACGTCTCAAGACCTGCAAGCAGATGTTCAATCAGAACAGTTTGCTCTACAGCTGAGACTCCCTGAGCTGTCAGCCACTTCTCTCCATCTGACAGTGAGGAGCTTCTTCGAGGGCAAACTCAGATTAAAAGGTGCCCTCAGAAGCTTTCAGAAGTTGCCACTGAAGCAGCAAAAACACAATTTGCTAAATACATAATTTCACCCATAGATTACCTGAATTTAAATAGGCATAAAGGACTAGTTGACCACTTCTACCAGACCAGAGGATCATAGTCAGATGTTTCCACCTCTCTCTTTTTTAATACTGCATCAATCTCACAGTTCAGTTTCAATACAACACATATTGTTCATACAAATGCAGCTTTAAGAGTATTTTCTTTCTTTCTGAAAAAACAGTGACCAGAATAATCCTATTTTCTTACGTAAATAGGTCAATAACAACCATTTGACAAATCGATGACTATCAAAATCTGGTGTTATAATACTCCTACTAGACACCCCCAGATGGAATTATTTTAGAAGATATGATATCTTCAAGCTGTTATTTTTTTGAATACAAAGCCATGTTTCTTATTTTTAATGTGTGTCATTGCAAGTGCTAAACTCATAAATTTCTAAATATCTGGGATCAGAGCCTCTCCGTTTTCCAAGTCCAGCTTTTAGAGCTTAAGACTCTAGACATACAGTAATGAGGGTATGTTGATTGAATATGGAATGTTTTTTTTATTTTTTTGTGATAAGTAAATTTAGAGATTTTTTATTGTAAATGAAACAAAACAAGTAGCATTAGGACAGCTTGGATGCGTGTTTAACATCTAACATTTTTAGATGTTTTATCAACACCTGTGTTAAATACTTGATTCTGATTGGTCAAAATTGCTATAACAGTACGTTATTCTAAGAGACAACCATATCACACGTCATATCAAATCAAGCTGTGTAACATTTCTCTTCTGCCTGTTGACACTGTGGCAGAAATTTCTTTCTGTTAGCTTTCCAATTAGTTAAAATTGTTGTGAAAATGTCAGCCCCTGTCTCAGTCTGTTCCTGAGAAGCAGGAAATGATGACAGTGACTGGAAACATACATGAGATTCTGAGGAGCTGCAGCAGCAACAACAACCATCGAGCAACATCCTGTCTTCAATCCATGCAACTGCCAACACCACTGGTGAATTTCACCTTAAGCTGTTGATCTCAACAAAGTAACCGTAACCAAAAGCTGTAGCGATGCTTTCAACAATGTTGCAACATTATAGTGACATTTGTCTTACTTATTCTTCAAAGTGAGTCAGCTGTGATTTAATGTTAATTCGTTTAAATTTTAAAAAGTAAAATGAAATGTTTTAATGTGTCAACTTGTTTACATTTCTAGATAGACATCAGGAAAGAGGTGGGATACTGCATATTGAATTTGTGTTAATGCAAATCAGAATCTTGACAGGGTGAGCAGACCTTGACACAAAGCATAGGGGTCTTATCTCACTAGATATGGATTCTAGTATGCATAATCACCTGTTCATTATGTACATTATCCCTTACTTCTGATGATTGTAAAGTAATGTTAATTGATGGGTTGGTATTCAAGTTGAAACTAATCAAGAAGTCTGTTGCCGGGCAGCTTAGATGCCAAAAGACAGTTGATATCCCTGCTTCCTATGTGGATTTTTGTGTGTGTGCTGAAATGCTAAACAGAGGAACAAAAGACAAGCCCATAAACGTCATGATCAGATTGACTGTTACTTAAGCTTCATACATGAATAATGTTTGTGGGCAATCTGAGCTCCTTAAACTACAGACACAGCCAGTTACGCAATAACTCATTGTATTAATGTGCATTTTGTTGGCTATGCCATTTTAAACTAATCATACGGTTTCTTCCTGTAAACATGGTGAATACAACCCTATTTGAAGGCACCATTACTGCATACCCTTCATCGAAGTGTATGCTGTACGATATGAATACAATCAAATGTAAAGGAGGAAAAAGGACTTCATGCACACTGCAGACTCTCAGATTGAAGAGCATGAGTGATCCCTAGGAACTGTATATTCAAATGCCTGATAGCATTCATTCATTAGATTATATGTTATTCATGCTCAACCGATAATACAGGTGGATGTGATATGGATAGAGGCCGACAGTCTTCAATGGGTTTAAATCACTATGCTTCTCAAGAAGGCTGAAAGTCACTGAAGCACACGTGACGAGCAATCAGTTAAAACCCCTCAACTTTTCTACCAGGTCTGTCTTGAACAACACCCCAAATTTACGAGTCTTATTCTTATATTCAGCACAATAAAGAAGATTAACAAGTGCCAAAAGCTGCTGCATTGGTCTTTATGAAAACTGTTTAATCAGTTAATTGTTTTTTGGCTCTACTGTAAAAATAGCGGTGTAGACGACTGGAGGACATCATCAGCTTGTAGTGTTATAAATTAAATATGTTTTGACTAAATTTTAGAATAATTACTAACCAGAGAGAGCTTTAATGCACCTGCAAGAATCACCTCCCAGACACCTAGAGAACAGAAACTGCAGACAAAATCTAACGGCCTGAGGAAGCAGGTAATCCTCTGGGATGCTGCAGGCTCTGACAACCTGGCTGAGGCCGAGTCTGTAGTTCTGATTGCTCTGCAGTCTCGTCCAGCTCAACTGTGCCGGGTGTATACAGCATAAAAGCCCAAGCCAATATCATTTTGTGCAGTATATTAAATTCGCTCACTGTTATGAGACTGACTTGACAAATCACCTTCATGCCATGCAATCCTGACTCCTTTTGTTCCCTTTCATCCACGCCCTCTCCATCCAAGAAGAGGCCATCTTGGCTGCTGCTGCACCAATCTTCTATATGTAGATATTTCTGTAATAAATATGTCCGCACTGTACATGTGCGTATGTTTGCAGGGGGAGGATGGTGCGAGTCGTTACGTGCAGCTGAGAGGAGTAGGAGGAGGAGGATGTGTGCCAGCTCTGACACAGCACTCTTCCTCAGTGTAAGAAAGGCAGAATTCATGAGGATTATAAGGCACTGTAACCCTGTATTAGAAAGCTTTATTTCAGCCAACCCTGCATGCTCTGTAACCACAGTGACATGACATTAAAGCATGGATTTATTTGGGACTCTGTGTGTGCGTGTGCAGGGTTTGTATTTGTTATGTGGGTGTGATTTACAGAGGCCTAGAGGCTGCAGTCACTGCGTCAGATACTGAACCCAGACGGGTGTGTGATGCTGTGGTTCAGTGATGCTTCCAAGGTCAATGGAAAGCTTATCGCATGCATGTGTGAGTGTGTGTTTAGCGCGCACATGCATTAATGTGTTGCTCTGTTTCACCTTGCTCCTTTCCCCATGTACACAAAGCTCCTATACACAGACGGGTACACAGATGCTTTCAGATCCTTCTAATGACAAATGTACCGACTCCTCCTTACAGATCAAATGTTCAAAAGAATATTTCAACACTTAGTAAAGTGCTGTTATTGCCTCCTTCACAAAATATCCAGATTTTACTCAGTTACACTGTTTATTGCATTTTTTTTTCCTCATGCAAAGAGTAAAAATCTCAGTCAAATTGGAAAAATTTAAATTTCTAGGTTTTACTTTGCTTACTTCAGGATCATCAACACTAAACCTGGCATCCTCACTGTAATGTCTCCACTCTAAAAAGGTGCAAGGCCGCAGACCAAAACAGAAACAGAACGTACAATTTTTAACATTGACAGGGATCGAAACAGATACACAACCTCGCTTTCTGACTCTTTTCTGTTGTCCAGCAATGAACCCTGTTGTTCATAGTACAGAAGTTAATTTAAGATAGTGAAGGAACCGAGATGGAATTTTTGCCTAAAGGTAACGCTAGAAAGCAATAGAGCTTTACTGCATGGTAATTAGGGCTGGGCGATACGGCCTCAAATCAGTATCATGATATATTGAGCAGTTCACCTTGATAATGATAAATGGACGATAACTACTCCAAAAGCTGTTCACCGCCTCCCACATTAACTTTGTCAACTTCAGCTGCTACAAATTTTGAACTGTCCTCCATCTCCTCATCTGTCTTTCCTTCTTTGTTACGGACTGGATGGGGAGGAGTCACGTCTTTGACGTAGGACAGAGTCTTAAAAGGACATGAGACCATAGCCTACATACACACATCCAAAAACAACTTTTATTTATTTATTTATTTGACACCGAATGTACTGATATGGGCAAAATGACATTGGTTATTGTCATTGATTTCAGTATTGGTAAATTTTCGGTTGATCGCCCAGCCCTAATGGAAATAAATTTGTCATTGGTTGCTTTGAAATGTCATAGGTAAAGTCATTTCAAAGTGGCAACTTGCAATTTACCAGATCAGCCTCATAAGATTGGATAGAAGGAGGAAATGTGACGTAATCTACGCTTAGGGGGTACCATTCATCCGCATCAGCTAGCAGGCCAGAATTAGCTTAAAAACATGCTGGCTCATCTGCATTTGTTAAGAATAACTGCACAATAACCTACAAGACCAGTGTCCACTAATGTTCATTATCACTGGCAGCACCTGTTTTCTGTACGAACCAGCGCTGTTCAGCTTTTCCAGCAGGTAGCTAAAATGATAAAAAATTTTAGTTGTATGGTACACAGCTAGCCTAGGAGTGAACACATGCACCCCATATATAGAGGCAGTGCTGGGCGATACATTGTGATATCTTTATGCTATATCATGGTACGCCATTTCTATCCCAATACTTTAAAATTCCACCATTTGATGTGAAGAGTGAACATTTCAAAACTTCATTACAACTGGTCTCCTGTAACAACAGCCTTCATTGGGTCCTGTTGTTAATTTTTTTTTTATATCATCTGTTTCTGCACTCTTAAGTTGACCCGTACATAGTCTCTGTTGAGCAATTACAAAATGCTAATCAATATAATGGTGCTTGATGCCAGGACTCAGTTTAACAGCATGTTCTGTAAAAACCTTACGACCCTCAATCGAAAGGGACAAGAGCAGAGTGAGTCTGAGATACAACTATTTGTATGAATTCATGCAATTATGCCCAGTGGCTTATGAGAGTTACAGGGTTTTTGCATAAATGTGGACATTTTTATATTTAAATATTTATCTCCATTTGTTTTAGCTTAAGTTTATCTGGCTACCTAAAAATACTTAATTTCATAATTCACTAACTACAGTAATTCAAAATGTCTATACCTAAATAGAGAATTACATAATCTGTGTCCCGCCTCTACATTATGGATTTAGGGCATAATTAACAAAAATAAAACTAATCTTGGTTAACAATGATCAGTTAAACATGCCTTCCCTTTGTGAGATTCATTAAGGATTGGGCAAAACTGCATAAACAATACTTTAAGATCTGTATTTTTGAGAAGGAAACACATTTTTTCTGAAACAAAGGGATCTGCAATGCTTCATCAGTTGAGCTGCAACACTGCTGTGATTTCAATATGTGTCAGCCCAGGTTGTACGTAGCTGACCATCCTCACCCTTCAGCTTTATTTTCCTTCTGTTTCTCTCATGGACTGATGCTCATCTACAGTCGTAAAAAGGGGAGGGTGAAGCGCTCTTCACTGCCCATCCCCCTCCTTCATTCTGGCTGCTACATCCACTGCTGCAGAGAGGACCCATGATGGTGTCGCCCTCCCTTTCCTCCCCTCATCCACTCCACCAATCCCAGTCCAGCTTCACCTCAGCCAAACAGAGCGCAGGTGTTGCCTGCTGCGTCTCTGCCTTCACCTACTGGGATACATGCACGCCTGTTTACATTGTTCTGGAAAAATTCATTCAACTACGCCAGTCTGCATGTTCCTGCTTTTAGTTTTATAGACTGGGTTATATAACGGAGAGTTAACAGGGCCTGAGTAATTAAATAATGCACGCCAGAATATTTGGAGTATGAAGCTGAATTGTGTAGGGGTGTAGTATTTAAATCTAGTCAACTTACATTGAAAAATAAAATGCATTTTTAGAAACAAATCTGATCGTACGCACAACTACAAATGATGTACACCTAAAAATACAAGTCTGGAATCAAAATAAAGCTTTTTATCATATGAAACCATATAAGATGATATGATACAATTTTAAACAATGCTTATAATATCAGATGGTACGATATAGCAATATGATACAATATGATATAAAACCACGATACAAAATACGATATCAAACCATATGTGGCACAACACGATACGGTATGTTACGAAACAGTATATGATACAATAAGGTAGGATATGACACCATTTTAAATGGTTCATAAGATATCAAATGGTAGAGTATATTATGATATGCTATAAGGAATACAATATGATAAAATGCAATACATTACAACATGATAGATATGATACTGTTTTATACAACACGATGTGACTGTATGGTAAGATACAATATTCGATATGGTGCGATATATGATTTGGTATAGTAAGAGTTGATATGATACAGAACGATATGATAAGAAATTAAACGATAAGATGTAATACTGTATGTTAGGATATGTTACAATGCGATAAAATACTGTATGATACAATATAATGAGATACAATCCCCTATATATGATATTATATGATACGATACGTCGCAATGCGATACGATGCAGTATGACATATTTTATTGACACATTGGGAAAAATTTGTCTCGGACTTAAGTTACCACTCAAGATTCAATTCAAAGCACTGTCAATAATTCATTATGTTTAACTATTCTATCATAATATTATGACAAAATATTCTATATTGACATTGCTCGATGGTACAATCATTGAATCAAGGAAACTTCAAAAATTACTCGCAATATCCCTTTTTTTAAACCACAAATCCTTTACTTTTGCATTGAACACAAATATGATTGCGATGTATTGAAATGCATCTTGATTTTATCACGATGTAAAACAACTTTATCCACAACTATACTGATTTTCATGAATAAATATAAATATATATAAATGTCTCAATATTTATTTATTTAGATGGGGATTTGTATCTTATAAGTTTAAGCCTGTAATCATTGGCCTTTCTGGCGCAATTCTTGCTCCATGTGCGAGGCCTTATTCTCTGCTAAAGCATGCATCTATTTTCATGGTCCATCCCTTCAAAGCACTACAACTCTCTAACTGAGGAGGTGTATTTGTATGTGTGATGGGATGGGGTGGGGGTAGGGAGGAGAACATTTGCAGCAGAAGGCGTGACAAATATAATGATCCTAAAATTGATTGGGGGAAATTTGGGGATTTGGGTGTCCCACGCAAAAGAGCAAGACTCGACTACAAAGCAGCTGCTTAGATTTCTTAAAGACTAAATCCATAAACTGGACATCAGGAATCAAATGGAGCAAATCCTGCAGTACTTAAATCGTGCTGGTAAAAAGACTTGCAGCTGAAATCTGCTGGAAACAGTCGTGATCTGAGCTTGGGCTCCTCATTTAGACGTCTGTGTGCCTTTACTTGCAGGCCTGTCTGACATTATCACGACCACCAACACTTGCACCCAGCTGACCCTGCTGAGGAGAATGGAGCTGCGCCTCCATGTTCAGGCCTGCATCAGCACCACACAGCTACACTGCATGAGCATCAGCCAAAATAAATGAGTCTAAATGACAAATCAGATACTGAGCTGTCTAGTCTACATCCTCCTGAGTGACTGAGAAAGGGCACGACGGTGATGCAGGACGCCACTGCTCGTTCCGGATGGTAGCTTGTAATGCGGAATTTCTTGCGTAAAGGCCTTTTTGTGGGGAACTTTCTCGTCTTGGATATGAATCGGCGCTAAAAGCAGCTTGATTCAGCAGTAAGGCGCTCTGGAGGAGAAAGGGTGTTTTACGCAACCTACGCTGTTCCAGCAGAGGGGTGAGGCGCTGCTGAATCCAGGGAATCCCACGGATGGGTAGTGTTAATCTCCTGTCGCTGTACTACCAACAGAATTAAATCAGATTATTGGTAATAATTAGCGACGATAACGGCGAAGACTACCCGTGACATCCTGCAGATTAGAAAAGCTGGTAACGCTGCTGCCCCGATCATGGGTGTTTATGAATGATCGCTGATTGGGACCAGAAGGGCGTATATTCTGCAGCCTTCAGAGGAATCATGTCCACTCTTTAGTGGGCTAATCACCGCTTTCTACAGCCACTTCAAATACAAATACGCATCCGCACCGCAGCAGCCTTCTGAGACAACCCAGCCTCTGCGGGTCATCTACACCTCCCGCACCGCACCACTGTGGTTTACAATGGTAAAATGGAACACCAATGGCACCACCACCTTCATCATCATCCTCATCATCCAGATGCACTAGCCCACATCCGCATCCTGCAAAAACACACGCATACAGGCACACACAGCAACCGCTTTTACGCACAACATTGCCGCACAGCATCTTCAAATGATAACCAAGCTAATTAACTCAAGAAATAAATCTTACTTTCGCCGACCACCGCCTTTAATCCGATAGGTGCCATGATGCTGCTGAGTGCTAAACCGAGTGTTCCTCCTCTGCTTCCTCCCTCTCTCTCTCTCTCCTCTCTCCCTGATCACCTCACATCGAAGCGGAGGAGCCTCCAGGAGGAAACGTCACCGCGTATCCTTCCGCACCATCCCCTCATTGGTGGGGCTGGACGTCTGCCAACTTCTGCAATTTATAAGCAAACAGCCTCATATACTGTAGCTCTTTCCCCGTGATCTTATTCATCCTTATATTATTTTCAGAGTTTCAGAGTCAAAATTATCATCATTTGACTTTAGACCTTATACATTTTTAGCAGTTAGGGGAGAGTGGGGTAAGTTGAGCCACCCCCTGTTGCTTGGAAATGGTAAAAGAAATTGATCATGTGACCAAATATTTGGGAGATGGGCATCAATCGTGTTTTATACATCAATTGTGGTAATTACGAGCTACAACATGAGGTCAAAAAACTTAACATAAAAGTTCACCATTTTAGTTTAGAGGACTAATAAAGTCATCATAGTAGTTCTGGGGTAAGTTGAGCCAAGTAAAGGAGTCTGATGAGAGGATCAGAGTTTCAGTTCAGATTGTTAAAATGTGTTACTTTTTCTTCTCAAAAATACAGCTGTGAATGTTCTGAATCACTGAAAGACATTCTCATGTTAAAATGGCTTTTTACAAAACAGCTTTTTAGCAATTATATGTGACAATAATAAAAATAATTATTGTACCAGTTGAATAGTGTATAATAGATAAAAATGGATTTGAAGAGGTGACTGTTATTTAGGGAGAGAGAAGGTGAGGGAGGGCTGGGGTGGAGAGTGAGGGGATAGTAGGGATACGGCTCAACTTACCCCACTTTATTTATGGCATGCTAAATTATCAAGACAGTTATGTTTACACTCATTCTGTTGGTTTGCGGGGATGCGCAACATCTTGAAATATACGCAGATACACTAGTTAGAGACCAAACTATGAGTGCTTTGATGTAGTGATCAGAAATATGAAAAATGGCTCATCTTACCCCACTCCCCCCTACTGTTTAACTGGGTCCAAGTTGATGAGTTATTCTCTCTTTATCAATATCATGATTATGGAAAAATGTCAGCGATGAAAATCCCCCAAACCCTGTGATGTCTATGCAGCTGTTACCACTCCACACAGATGCTAAAGAAGCCAAAATACAGATTAAAATAGCTGCAAGTAGTTGTAGTTAGAAGCGTTATACTGCATGAAGGAGAAGCAGTCAAAATGCAAACATTTTACAGGTTTAAATCAATATCAACATATCTGACTGATGGGTAAATTTCGAGATAACAAACTCCAACCATAAACTAACCAGAATCTGAGAAGTGAAATATGCTGTTTCTACTCTTTTATGGTTAAGGTAAATTATTTTAGCACCAATTCATGTTTGTCAGCCTCATAAGGACCAACTGAAACCAATGACAAGGAAGGAATGCTGATTTTGAAAAAAAAGGTTACTCGTCTACCATGGTCATGATGTAAACTGCAGAAACATTGGTAACACTTTACAATAACCATAATTTATAAATGATAAATAGATAGTTTATTTATGTTTAATCATCATTTAAAAACAGCATATAGACCAATTATGAATGTCAAATAGATAGTTTATTAGTGTAAGTTAATAGTTACTTCACCATTAACAAGCAATAAAATTGTGATTAATAATTTTCATTAATTATTAATAGACTATTTATTAAAGGTTTAAATATTGGTTGTAAAACATCTAGATTAAAATGTGTGTCAGTAGCACTTTGTAAATATTTAATATTTGGTTTTTAAACCATCTATAAACATTACTCAGATGGTTATTGTAAAGTTGCAACTGATGTTTGTAATACTTTGTAAATGAAAAAAAAACACGTCTTTATTTCTCTCTCTCTCTTTCCTTGTGGCCATTAAGTGTTTGAGACTCGTCTTAAAGGGCGATGGCTTCTACACTTACCCACTTACTGATCATTTCTGAGCTATGCTTTCATAGACTGAAATACTTCACACGTCTGAAATGCTTGTCTGTGTTTAATATTGTCTCAAAAATGTTGGGAGTAGTCTGGTGTGATTTCAATGACAGGTAGTCTACTGCACAGCAGAGACCCACGGTGTCCACTTGGGGGCAGCAGATTTCTTTCTACAGGAACTCGCATCACGAACAAAAGGGGTTCTCGGAGTAAAATTTCACATTATATTTACTTCATTTTGAGTTCGAAGGATACTCTAGAGTTGAAAATAGCTCCAAACACGTTTTAATGAGCTTTTAGGAGTGTATGAGTCTAGGCCACTTAAGGACAGGTCCTTGTTTTTCGCTTGTCAGACTACAATCAAACATTACACTCACATGTACACTAACTATTGTATCTTATACTTCTCTATTAGGCTTCTTGTTCAGGCCACACCCTTGGCAGAGCCGACTGAACACGTCGGACCAGTGATGACTCCCAGAGGGTGTGCCCTGCCGCTGTGAACCAGCCTAATGTTCACCTCTTGTTGCTCCTCACAGGCGGGTAGTTTTAGCCCGCAGTCCTCCCCCTCCGGACCTCAGAGAAGCGGGAGAGCGGAGCCGCAGCAGCAGCAGCACCAGAGCAGAGAGTCTCTGAGGAGGGAAGAGAAGTGTTTTTTTCCCCAGCGGATTTTCCTTTTGTTTATAACCTGTGCACAAGCAGCTCGGACTGAATCTGTGAGGCTCTCCTGTAAACATGGGGGACGTGGTTTCCTCTCACCTGGATGAGAGCAGGAGGGAGATGATTACAGGTAAGCAGCTGGAGGGAGACAGTTTCCCACGGACTTTAGTTCTCTTAGTCAGTCCTCAAGCAGCACTAAATATACATTTAATTCACCTTAGGTGAGTCTTTCATCCTTTGGTTACACTATTACATAATCTGAGGTTCACTTTGTATTTTTAAAATCCTGTCTTTTCTAGTTCATCTGTCAATCTTTTTTGTACCTATAACTTATGCAGTCTCCACTTACTTTGGAAACATAATCCACTGCTGTATTCAGTGGTTCTCAACTGGTGGGTCCTGACCCAAAAGTGGGCAGTGGACACATTCTGAATGGGTCACAAACAGCTGGTCAAAAAAGTAAATATGTTATGCACATCTGATGTTTCACATGTCTTTTATTTTGAAAAATAGCTTATTTTCTGCAATTTGATATATATTGATATTTACTGATGCAACTTTAGTAGTTGCCATCTTCAGTTCATGTGCTCTGAAATGCACTTTACTCAATAAAATGGGTGTATCTATGTTAAAGATTTGAGTCTTTAAAGTTTTTTTTATATATATAAAAAATAAATTTGCTTGGTTTGAATTCTATAAAAGTGGGTCGCTACATAAGGATCATGGGAAAATTTGGATCCCAGAGTGAGACCAGTTGAGAAACACTGCTGTAAACTATTGTTTAACTTAGCCGTCTGACTGGCAAAGAGGGAAAAACAAATCAGCTTTAATCTCCCTACATGAAAAAAAGGATCAGATAACTACTTTTTTTAATCATTCTTATCATTTCTTATCAGAAAATCCCTCTCAACAACTGTCACCAATCCCTTGTATCATTCAAGGGCAGACCTTGTCAGTCATATCAGTGCATTGTTACTCTCCTTGAGAAGTTTCCCTCAGTCCTAATCTCTGTTGCAGGCCTATTTCTCAGAGATAATAAGTAGGTTTCCCAAAGGGGAGCATGCTTGTGTAGGCCTGGGACTGGCTGCTATTTAAGTCTCAGATTGCTGCAGCCTCCCACCGTGAACCACTGTGAACCGTGCAGGTCTGTGTGGTTATTTGTAATGCATGGGCAGCTGAGCACAGAGGACACAGTGCAGAGGCTAAAACATGCCCATGAATCTGGAGATGAACTGCTGAAAATAAAAGGACTGTCATTGGAGCGGAGAGGAAACCTATTTGTTTGTATTTTGGAGCTGGCACTCAGGCCCTCCAGACTTGTACTTGGCAGAAAACCTGGATTCAGAGGCATTTTAGCCTCAGTTATGTGCGTATGCTGGCATGCATTCTTTTATGAGGAAACCACTTCTGGAAGCAAAAGATTATGTTGTTGAAATCAAGGCTTTCATTGTGTTTGTTGTTGCCGTCTTTGTTTTTCAAACTGGAAAGAGAAATACTTCTTAAAACAGGAACATTGACACTGTTAGGAAGCCTCCATTCCTGAGAGACACACCACACAACCTAAAGACGTCCCTCTAGATCGAGGGAAATACGTCTTTGGAGTTTGGGATTTCACCAATTTTATACAGTGAACACTTACCATACATGCACACTTAACACAGAGTGTTTCCCGCTTCTGAGTGGGGTTAAGAAAAAGATGAGCCCACACTTGAATAGATGAGTCAGTTTAGGAGGGAGATCGAGGGTGAAGCTGCAGAGGTGAAGCAGGTAGAAACATGTCACAAGATTAATAGCAGCCTGGCTCTCACACGCCCTTCCCCTGTGTCCTCTTCTCCCGTTATCCTCTGTCTTTTTCCTCTCCTGCCTGTACGCAGGTATTAGTGTTAAACAGTATAAAGAGAAACAGTGAATAAGGACTAATCAGCATTTATGAATAAAGAGTACATACACATGAGCATGAAATGAATGATAATATTCTGGTTAGTTTTAGTAAGTAATTTTTAAGACAACATATTCAACATCATTGAAACACTCTTGTGGAACAAAAATGACTTACTTGTCAGTTGAGTTATCAAAGTTTTTATCACTGCACGAGCAGAAAGCCAGTCCTATGTTGTGTCAAAGGTGAAGCATGGCCGACAGTGACAGCCATAGTAGTAAAATGCTCCACTACCTGGATCTAAACAAGCACATAATGTAATAGATAGCATCTTGTAGCGTGGCCTGGTTTGACAGTATTTTGATCTAGAAAATGGAGGTTAAGTTGTTTGTACGCTGTGTCAGTTAACTCAATCAGATCAATGCATAACATCACTAAAACCAAACCAATTTTTAACTTTAAAAGTGGCCATCAAATCTGGACATGAGGATTTCTAGATGGTTTAGAGATCTCCCGAGGCAGTAGACCAGTCAACTGGACTTCTAAAACTTCCTAAGAGTTGGAGAAGTTTCTGGTGGCTTCAAGAAGGACTTAGTGTATATCCCAAATAAGTACTAGCAAACTAAAAATATGAAGAGAAAGACAGTAGAGCTTGGCTTAGGTACCAGTCAGCAAAGGAAACTCTTAAACATTAAATCCAGTAGGAGCCAGAACAGTAGATGATCTCTTTAGTCTTGCAGAGGCACTGGACAGAAAAGTGTTTGCCTTTTATAAAAAAAAAGATTTGTAGACTTGAAATGAGCTCACAGCCCTGTCTTAAGGAAACTCTAGGGGATACTCAACATTGTGAGCCATCCAGCACCTAATAAAAGCAGGAACGTCCATATTCCTGGTGGAAAGTCAAGTACATTTTTAGTATGTTTGGTTTTTCACCATCGAGATTCAGTTTCCTCAAGATGCTCCTGCTGTGTTAAATTGAACGTTAAGTTGAGATGAAGTTAACACACTGTAGCGTAAAGTACACTGATCCTCTGGAAAATCCTGGACTGTGGGTTCTGAGGAAGTTTCTGAGCGAAGAAGCTGATGTTTCACAGGAAAAGTGAGGTAGACAAAAGTACTGGCACGGTATCAGTGGTAACATGGGCAATGTACCAGGCCATTGTGGTGAGAGGGGAGCGCAGTCCAAAAGTACAGTCAGTAAGACTTGGTTCCAGTCCTCGGATATGGTCATGGCTTTAGGTATCGCAATGAGACTGAGGATTCAAGAAGTTCAATGCAGTGTCCTTTGTAGAGACGGTGTCTGCGAGAGTAAGGAGTGCAGAAGCAGAAACAGCTACTCCTCACAGTGGAAGGAGCCAGTTGAGGTGATTCAGTCATGAGAGCAGGATGCCTCCTGATAAAGATAAGGAAGTCTGGATTTTGTAATGTTTAGCCTGCTGCCAAAATGACCCAGTCTCAGAGAGGCAGCAAAAAAAATGGAAAGCTGCGTTGTCTTTTCCAGGTCCCTAAGTCCAGGATACAGTTAATTTGGTTACACAACATATTATTGTGTGTTTCCATTTGCATTTTCCCAGTGGACATGGCTTACATTTTATTGTTTGCTAGCATCAAGTTTCTTGGTATGGTCAGGTCTGTTTGTTATTCTTTGGGTTGGTGTACAATGTAAGTCCAAAAGAAACATCGAAAACCGGTTGCATGAATAACCAAGACAATTTGTGGAGACTCCTTCGGTTGTTGTTGATTCCATCACATCACCTCCAGTACCTCAAGAAGAGCTTTGGGTGAGATATCTTAACAACTGTACAGTAGGTTGAGAGAAATTTGGTTTGAACATTTTTTCCATTTGTGGCTTTTGGACTCATAGCTAACTCACATAAATAAAACCCCACTTTACACGACAGTACAATTCAACTATCTGAAAAAAGGGTGAATTTTAAGAACTGTCCCCTTTTCACCAGTCGATGGGATGTTCTTTTAGTTTTCTCAGATTCTGGTATAACAGGAGGGAAAAAGAAATCCATAAGAAACAGGGATGGATACTAGGATATAAGTGAAGTGCAGCCTGTCTCTTGATGAATTTGCCTCAATGAGCTGATGCAGCTCAGGCGTGACTTTGTTTTTATTCTGTGCAGGTTGTGCCAAACATAATGAACCAGCCCCTTTTTGAGAGCGACAGCAGAAACACATGGTGTAGTAGACAGTGGAGCCTTTGTGATTGAACAAGTGTGGTATTTTTAAGTGTAGTTAATCATGAAACTGGTTAATCGCTTCATCTAAAGTTGGAGGTTGATACTGATTGAGTCAGAATGTTAGACAGTTGCTTTCTCCAAACAACCTTTTTAATCAAACAATACAGAGGGAAATGTGCTCTCTTCTCCTGGTTCTGGTCCTGGGGCTGCAGGATTTTGGACCAGCCGAAGAGTCTTTAAAGACTTGTTAAGACTTATTAAAAACAGCTCTGATGGAGGATTTCAGTAAACAGTTAGAGCAGGTAGTCCTGGAGCCCATAGGAACTGTTCTAACAGAAGTATTTATATCAAAACTTGGAGAACTGATTACAGTTCTTATTTAACACTCAGGTAAAGTACTGTTGGTGCGTACAAGAAATTTGTCTAAAATAGTCCAAACTAGGGCTGGGCGATATGGCCTCAAATCAATATCACGATATATTGAGCTGTTCACCTCGATAACGATAAATGGACGATAACTACTCCAAAAGCTGCTCACCCCCTACCACATTAACTTTGTCTAACTCAGCCGCCGCTCCAGCCGCTAAAACTTTTGAACTGTCCTCCATCTCCTCACCTGTCTTTCCCTCTTTGTTACCGACTGGATGGGGTGGAGTCATGTCTCTGATGTAGGACAGTGTCTCAAAAGGGACATAAGACCATAGCCTACCTACACACATCCAAAACCAACCTCGATTTATGTTTTTGACACCAAATACAGATATGGGCATAATGACGTTGATTTTTTTCGTAAATTTTTGGTTTTTGGTTTATAACCCAGCCCTAGTTCAAACATTATATGGATTAATGCAATTTAGGATGAAACCAACAACAGGTCTGACTAGACATTTAACCTCCTGACTGTTTCTTACACTCTGAGCACTTTAATTCAACCTTCTCCGTAGAGTATTATGGTTTGGTAGTTAGCTTTCCTCAACAGGAGATTTAGGGAGAGACTTAGTTTACCTGTCTTACTATCTTGCCTCATATTTCCTGTGACCTGTCCACCCATCTCCCCCTGATACAGCACAGTGTTTTTAATAACTTTATGTGTCCCTGTCCTGTCTCCTCCACATTCTCGCCCCGCTCTTTCTGTCCTGTCAGCTCTTTCCTTCCTGCACTCCCACTGCAGGCCGGCTGCCTCCTTCCTGTGCTGTTCCTTCCATAAACAGATCACAGTCAACACTGTCTGCTGCTGACCAAGTCAAACACAGTTATCAGCTCAAAAACGGACAAATTTTTTTTTTTCATCAATGAAGTGTGGGAAAGGAAATGCAGGTTTTTGGGATGCTGTGGAAAAAGATGCTGAGTCAGCTTTAATGCACTACAGATTACATCGATTCAGGTTGAACGATTCACAATACAGATGACTCCAATCATTTTCAGTTCACATTTTGAATATGCTCATCACCAGGGGTGGGAATTACTAGTGGCCCCACAATACAATATTATCACGATACTTGGGCCACGATACAATATTATTGCGATACAGTGAGTATTGCAATACCATATATTGCGATTTATACAATTTTTCCAACTGTTTAGCTAATTTAACATCTGTCTTTCCTTTATGTTTGTCTTATTTACACAGTATTTTATTTTCATGTAGCTCATCTTGCAAACCTAACGTATATATATTTGTTGTACTAACTTTCTCCTGCTCTGTGTCACCTCTGCCAACTTCACTAAACAAAAAGTTGATTTTATTTTTCCATTGTCATAGATTTGACTTCATATTAGCAGTTAATTTGAAAAATCGATACTTGGTAAATGAGACGATACGATATATCATCAGACAAAACATCACGATACTATGCTGTATTGATTTTTTCTCCCACCCCTACTCATCACAGTTCAAAAACAGTTATTTTGTCCAACAGCAGACAACCACCAAACACTGAGCAGGACCTTTATTAAATTTAAAGCTACAAAATACTCATTAAGTTGTGCTGACAGTATTTACAAAGCTGTAATTTTTCTCAAACATCATTTGACTGAGCTGTGTGTTTTAACTATGCAAAAACTTTCTGTCCTAAAAGTTCTCCTGATGACCGATCTTGAACAAGCTGCCATGTTATTCAGTGATATGTGAGCTGTTCTGATAAAAACATTTGTACTATCTCCTTATCAGAGCTGAACAAGAGTCACTTTGTATTCTTTTCAAGGCCTCATTTTAAATTTATCGTATTTTAACTTTACATAAAGACATGATAGCAGCAGAGTTTTATGGTCTTTCTGATGAGACTCCATTTGTGACAGTTTGTCTCTACAGGAGGACCAAGTCTCCTCATCTGCATCCAGTTTAAAAATTAACCTCAGAGACATGTGGTTAAATTGTATCTATGTTTGACATTTGTGTCAACTACCATTATCTACGATTATAAGCGTTAATGCACAAGTTGGTTGCTTTTACACAAACATAGATACAGCATTCAGATTTTGATAAGTTATAGTGCTGTGGACTTAATCATGTGTCTGTTTTTGTGCCTCTGCAGCTCGGACCAGAGATGTGATGAAGGACTTCAGTGATATTTATGAGCAGCAGTACGCAGTTGCTCTCTTCAACAGTGTGCGCTATGAGATCGAGGGAGGAGGAGGACCGCAGTCGCAGCTGCTTCACAGAAAGGCAAGTGCCCGGCTTTAGGAGGGAAAAGAGGTCTAAATCTGCTCAAGGCTGGAAAATAACCAACTTTACTATCTTAGCTGCAACTTGACCATTTTCCTACAGTCTAGGAAAGCACCAAGCTTTGTGTTCCTCAGTCAGCATTTAAACGAACTGGGTAAAGTTGTGATGGTCTATATACCACCACATCCCCCAACAATAGAGACTTTTGCTTCACTTTGAGTTAAATTTCAGCTGTCCTCTCTTCTGTTTTGGTCACTGAATGAACTAAAGGTTCACATTTTCAGTCAGCGAGGGGGAAATGGGGCACATTTCACACATGAACAGAGATGCTGTTTGGAATTCATGATGGCGGCTGACCTGCTCTGATCCCCATGTGGAGGACAGCTGCTCATGTGTGTTGTGATAGGAATGCCAAAAGATGCATTCATTAGCAAACACAAAAGTAACTGATGGCAAATACTGTCCTGTAAAGAAACAGCGGCTCATTTATTGGGTGGCTCTGAGGTGATGATGAAGGCAGTTTTAACCTGAGAGAGTGCCTGTGTTTTATGAACAACCTCAGCACAGCATGTTTGCTTTGTGTCACAATATAGATAGTATAAGACAAAACATTACTCACAGATATCTCTGAATTTCCAGGACCCTCTGGCAGGCCGCTCCATCTTCTCAGGAAATCTGTTCCAGCATCTGGAGGAGAACCGAAAGTTCAGGAATCGCTATGTATCCGTGCCAAACAGATACACCATCAGCCTCTATGAAAACAAAGCAGTGAGTGCACTTCCTAATTTTGCTTTGGGGTCATTTTGGCATTTTTGTTAATGCAATTTAAAGTGATTTTGGCCTTGTTAACAGGCACATGAGCGAGGCCTTCATCCCAAAACAACCATCGACTGTGCTGGCTACAAGGCGCTGGCCTCAATGGAGGAATACATGGAGCTTATTAATAACAGCCTGCCAGGTAGGTAAAAGACAGGGGGAGAAAAAGGAAAGGAACTCTATTTGCAAACCTTGGCATTTTAAATTCATGGCTCCTTCTGTCCTCTGAAGGTATTAAGGCCAAAGTTGGAAACCATCCATTTATCAAATGTGCAACTGAGTTCCCCCTCATCCTCTGGCACCCATATGCCCGCCACTACTACTTCTGTGTGATGACAGAGAAGGAGCAGAAGAAGTGGCACGCTGTGCTGCAGGACTGCGTCCGACACCGTAACGATGGTAACTACACACACACACACACACACACACACATGTACAGTGACTTACAAAGCCAGAGAGGTCACAGCAGTGTTGAGTCAATGTCATTTTGGTTGTCTATAGAAGATTTAGACGAGGGTGAGAGATAATAAACCAGTAAAATTAAGTGTCGACACCTTTGTGCATGTGCAGCGTTTTATATGCAGCTTGTATTTCTCTTGGAGCTCCACCCTGGAGGAGAAGTGTCTCTCTCTGCCTGTCTCATTGTTGGAGGTTCAGCTGAGGGTGTGTGTGCATGTGTGAGTGAGTGCGTGTGTGTGTGTTTCATAGTGTGAAGTTTGAGCATGCCATGTGAGTGAGCTGGTTGATCTGCATATGTGAGATGCTGCAGGAATGATGTCTTTTGTTTTTTTTATTATTATTGGTCTTGGTTACACTGTATGACATATTGTTGTCATTGGATCGGAGCTACGAATGTAACAAATTTTACAGCCCATAAACTGCGTCAGTCAAGAGCGGGCAGGGCAGGAACTTACTCGCCTGAAGATGAAACCAGGGTTAGATATGAGATGCGAACAAGCTTCCAGTTTCAAATTTTCATTTTATGTTTGATCGCTGTTAATGTGAAGCTGGTTGTTACTTCAGTGATTTTTTTTATGAAGCACTCTTTTAGTTTTCATAAAATAACCCCTTGCAGAGCTGAAAGCAGAAAAAAGTTACCTTGATTAAATTTCACTTCAGTTGGAATGAAGTCACTGGTCTGTGAATCTACTCAAATAGCTCTATAGATACTTTACTGTAAATGCGCGTACAGCTCCTGTGAGGAACTTTCAGTTTATGTGAATTTTGGTGCCCTCAGTCCGTTTACAGAGTAGTCTTTGCTCACTGTGAGTATTCAGTGCTTAAAAACACGTCTGTTTCTTCAGCTGTTCTGCAGACACCTACCTGCTCCCTCTGGGCTAAAGTCTTAAAAATAGTCACAGATGGACTTGTTTGCCTTCATTTATTCCAAGTGTCAACTTGAAATTAGACATTTTTTATAAACGTCAAGAATAGAGAACTTACCTTGTAACCGGGGATGGGGAGTGACATAGCTCCTATGTTATGTAACACTTGCACTAGTGTTTTTTATACTTTTGTCGATGTTAAATGTATTTCTTTCTTTTTTCTTTTAAATTGCTGATTTTATCTTTTATTCTCACAAAAATCCTCCCAGGGACAGGTGTTGCGAATTAGCATTTGTTATCATACTTGCATGGGAAGACAGCTCCCTGTAGGGCTGGGTGACGAACCAAAAATTTACTGATACCAAAATTTATGACAATAATCAACGTCATTTTACCCATATTGGTATATTCGGTGTCAGAAAAATAAATAAATAATAGTTGGTTTTGGATGTGTGTAGGTGGGCTAGGGGTCTCATGTCCCTTTAAGACGCTGTTCTACATTGGAGACGTGACTTCATCCCATCCAGTCCGTAACAACAGTCCTTGAAAGTGGCAAAATAATTGCATAAATGGATCCAGGGGAGTCATACTATCAATATTACTGCCACAGCCTCATCTATTGGCTTATCTTTTTTTGCGTAGGGGGTGCAGTGGAGTAGTTATCGTCCATTTATCGTTATCGAGGTGAACTGCTCTATATATTGTGATATTGATTTGAGGCCATATCGCCCAGCCCTAGGTCCTGGTTTGTCTTTATAAATTGTGTCTGTTTGTCTCTGTACATCAGGCTATAAGATTTCTGGATTGCTTACCATAACCTGAAATCTGTCTCTGACCCCAACTGGAGTAGCTTCCAACAAACCTCTACATCTGAACAATTGTATGTTCTTCCCCATTTGAGCTCATGTTATTGTGCCTTCACTAAATCAAAAGCCTTACAGGAAATTATCGATCCTGGGCTGCTGCTTTTCTCTCAGCCTGTTTGTTCGAGCTTTGGAAGAATAAATAGAGTCTTTATACAGTCTACGCCAGAATATACAGCCAAGCGCCTTTTTGTTTGGTTGTACGTTAGCAGGATGTTTGTTTTATTAGGGTGGAGAACTACCCTTGATCTGCTCATTTGGTTCCTTCTTGTGCTGGCATGACTCATGTATCATTGTGCTGACACACTGAAGGCAGAGACCTGCAGGAGGATGTGCAAACATAAAGTGATACATTCATTAGTAGTGTTGTCATACTGTGTCTCTACAGCTTTGGCCTTTTGACTAATAAAGTAGACATAATGGGTCTGTTTCCAAATTTGTTAGTGTCTCAGTCTGTTGCAGATTGTACACCAACTTTTGATTGGCAGTCATCTTAAAGGTTTGTTGTGCTAAGAGACAATATGCTGGAAAATTCAAGCTACATTTCTGTGGTTTGAAGCGCACGTGGGTGAGTGTGTGATCCAACGTTCAGTCAGCTTTATTTAAACTTTGCACAGAGAGGACCAAACTCCGCGGGCGCCTTGGGGAAGTTGAGATTAAAAATACAAAACAGCAGAGATTCAGGGATCAAAAAAGAAAAAGAAAAAAAACGGCTGCTGCAATAACGTGATTGGGCTTGTTTTGATCCTGTCTGCTACAAAGGCAGGTGGAGTTGAACTCAGTCTTTCTGTCTGATAAAGCATCAACATCAACAAAGACCTTACAAGTAGTGCTTAATTATTTGATGATTCATTTATCAACTTTCTACAAGAGAAGTCTTTGACTTTAGGAAGCATATGAGCATGATTTTGGTTTTACTTACATTTGTTGTAGAGAATACTCTCACGCAGTTATCCCTAAACTGGGGGCACAACCATCCAGAGTTGTGACAAAGGCTCAAAGCAAAGCTTCAAAATCAGTGTCAGCAATGCAGGGTCAGTTCACACCAACTGAATTTAGTCGATCAAATGATAAAACATCATCACCTTTTCAAATCAGCAACAGAACTACTTCACAAATTTATTTTTCACCATTGTAGGCCTGACATGCCTTATGTTGTGCTATAACTGCAGCTGTATGCCTCCAGCCAAAGCTACTGCTGTAACACTCTGATGCTCTACTGACTGTATGTAAATAAGCCTAAATGATGGACGGCATCTTGAAAGGGGAAGACAGAGTTATACTTAGGCTGTGTCTGGTTAAAATTGCATATGAACACTTCACAAGAGCACCAGCACATGCATGTAGTTACCAACCTGCACGGAGGATCAAAGCCTGGTGGTGCTAGCTTTGCTAGCATTAGCTGCACGCGAATATCATTTACCCACAGACACTGGAATCCTGTGTTTGGTGGTGTTAGATAAATTGGGCTCAATGTTGACTGTTTTCTGGATGTTTTTTTTTAGCTTTAGGCTCCATGTTTAGTTTGATTTTAGTTCTTTTAGAGGCTGTTTTGTCAGATTAGTTTGTTTGACTTTAGGGAATGATTTTATGACAAACTTGTACATTTTAAAACAAAGTGTGATCATCCTTTTTTAGTGCATTCAATAAAACAAACCTCAGCTTAAGTTGAAGTCAATTGCTCAGCAAGTAACAGGTGTGCATGTAACACCAACAGTACCACATACCAGCTCCGTCCAACAAATGACAGCTAATGTACGGCTAAAAGTTAAAAATGGTCGATCATAATGCACAAGGAGTCAATCAACTTATCAAGTTATTTGCTTTAGAATATGCAGAAAAAGAACATTTAAGCAAATAATATCTTCTGCAGTTCAGAGAAAAAACAATCCCGTATCATAAACACTAGCACTGAATGCCATGCCAATGTTACAAATGAAACAACACACTCTGGCTCGGAGTTCATCTCCAAGCAGGCAAAGTCGCTCAACCTGATTCGGTTTTGTTTTGCATTTAGCCAACTATGATGCCAACCAGCTATGCTGCACGAACTCAAAACGTTCTGCTCAACCACACGTGACAATGCTTACAGCTGTCCGCCGTCAGTGTTTGAAATCATCCACTGCACGCTTTTAAAGCCACAGCCAAGCAACAGGAGCTCTATTCCCAAAGTTCAGGAAAGTCTTGGTTGAGAGAAGCTGACTGAGACTAACTGAGAAGCCAAACAAATGCTTCTGTGCTCACATTTGTGACTGTTGAACAGAATCAGCCTCTGTGCAGCTCAGCTTTTATTTCCTATCACTACCTGTTCAGGCATGCTCAGTAAAAGCCAGAGTCTCTGTTGTACATTCCAGCTCTGAGGCTCTGCTCCAGGAATATGTTGTAAGGAACAGAGTGTGTTGCTGTTTTACGGTCCCCATAGCTGGTGTCAGCGTTGATTGGCATTCATGTTTTTAAGGCCTGTGCCGACACGCCCAGTTTCACCTCTGTCATGTAGGTGTTTGAGGAAAACCAGAGCAGTGAAAGAAAAAAAACTTCTCCTGAGGGTGATAAATGGCCTTACAGCCTGACCCCTGCCCTCTCTGCAGATTCTTACTCGCTGGACTCATGCACACACAAACATTCACCTTTATACTTGCTGTACATGCTCCTAGTTGTGATCAATGTTAAATTGTAGGGGATTAATGGGAGTGTTTTGATTCAATACATTTCACTGTCTTTGGTGCTAATTCAGTTGAAAGACACATCAAGAGAAAATCACACAAATCTCTAAATCCACAGAGCAATTATTGTCTTCTAAACAAACAACTTAATGTGTGTGACTTTATAAGACGCTAAAAGAACCTGGCAGACCTCCGTTTTTGCCTGTCTTTGAATGATGGAGTTAGCAGTGTAGGGCTGAATATTGCAATAGCTGTGTTGTCACCTCAAAAGCCACATTGCAGTATGTGGGATGTCACTCAAATGACCAGAAACACGTCAAGCTGTCACCACTTCCTCGTTATGCAGAGTTAATCTATGATAAAAGAGGTCTGAAACCCCTTTGAAGCAGCCTCTCCCTAACACACAGAGCACTGACCACTGTACAGGCAGTCTCTGTATGCGTCTCACATGACCGTAGAATGTAAACATGCACACAAACCATATATGTTTCATCAACAGAAATTACTGACTGCATTATTAGTGAAGATTAATGGTGAAAGTGATATTCCGGCTTCAAATTATTTAGGGTCAAACACACCGTAACACCGAGTTAGACACCCCGTCGAGAGATGAATCTTGCTTCTCTAGTTATACCAACTTTAGTAACAACCGCAGATAGCATTACAGAGAGCCACACGCTCAACCAAAACGCCATTCTTTAGCCACTGAAATGCTCAGAACAGCACCTAACTTCATCAACAGTACATATAGGGTCCCAGCCATAGTACTAGCCACCAAACATTTTTTTTAGCTTTGCCTGATTCTTTAGCAAAGAGACTAAACACAACTCCTCCAGCAGCCGCTTGTTCGCACAGAGACCTCCAGGCGAGTTCATTGACTGCAGCGCGGGGGAGGCAGCTCAAGGAAGAACATTTATGATCATAACTTCATGGAAATGCAATCAGACCAAGACGCTAAGGCAAAAGAACTACTGCGTCTGCAATGTAAACTGATTAATATGGTGATTATTACCTCAAGGAAATGATAAAGTAATGATCATAAATGTTCTTCCTTGAGCTGCGTCACCCCGCTGCAGTCAATGGACTCACCTGGAGGTCTCAGTACAAATAAGCAGCTGCTGGAAGAGAGACAGTGAGTTGTGCTTAGTCTCTTTGCTAAAGAAATCAAACTTAATTTTACGCCGGAATATTCCTTTAAGTTTGAGTAGACACATGCTATTCCATCTGTTTTTGCTACTCCCCTACGCTCACATTAATTTGGTATTTGATTCATGTATTTTTGCAAAAATCATTGTAATATTGCAGAATGTAAAAAACTGTGGTAGCGGCTGTGATAGAAGGTGGAGCAGGGACACACACAGCAGATAGGAAAAACTTCAGAAATAAACCCAGCTCTTTTCCAAACATTTGTACAGAGATATGGAGATGTTTAAAAGTTCTGTATAGCATTTTCACTGTCAAATGGGTAGATAACAGCTTCTCATTTTTCAGTTTTGGCCACATTGCATTGCTTACTTCACCAGATAGATCTGCTTTTCTACAGACTGGTGTTTTTTAGTACTATGAAATATTAAACTACATATGATCTGATTTTAAAGCACTTGGTATTGAAAAGGGTTTAACATTTTTGTAAACCTGGCACTCTAGGTAGCCAAGATATGAAATTGTTGTGATGTTATCTGGCAGTTTAAGAGTTTTGAGTTTATTATTGTACTGGATGAGTTAGCTCATGACACACTCTCTCAGTAGCAACATTAGCTGTGTTTGCTAATCCATGAAGTACTTTGCAATAGTAGCTTTAGGCAATTTGCGGTTTGATCAGGTCTTATATCAGAATTTTGATGTTCAAAAAGGGTTTCGTAATCAGTATTGTCAAAAATACAACAAAATTCTTCCAGTGATGATTCTTCATAAACTTTGGAAAGGGCGCAGTAAACTTGCTACCTGTGCATGGACGTACCTTATTTTCCATTCAGACGATAAACTGCGAAGCGGGGTGCTGCTGCTACTACTACTGTTGTCCATTTAACGCCCTCATTTTTTGATGAACGGCGAACTGAGCCGCTCATTTTACAACTTATGAGTGAGCAGCTCATTCAAGATTCAGTCAACGACTGCTCACAGTCAGGTAGGATCCGAGAATTGCCGAGAGCGGCTTCTACGGCAGCCGAAGCCGGACATACAGCACCCGGCGCTACTAGGTTCTATCTAGCTAGCAGAGGCGGTGTTGGTGAAGCAGCTAGCTAGAACATTGTTCGTAGATTTGTGAACAAATCGGGGCCGATCACATCCGATGTGATTTTTAGTGTTTCTTTAGCGTCCCTGTTTTATTTCAGAGGATGTAAAAGCCATCTGTCCCACACCACAAGTGCCATAAGTACCATAAGTTAGCATTTTCGTCCACCAATGATAGTTATTTTAAAGTTTTCAGAATTGCTTATTTCCCCTTACTTAAATGGTGAAACACACTAGAATAGATGTTTTTCTTTTCATTTTTCCTTTGCTGATAGATAATGTAGGTGCAGCCAAAACAAAATGAATGTTATCTACTTTAAAAAGAAAGTGTGTACATCTGTGTATTCTATTGTGCATACTACTGTTTATCTTAAGTTCAGAGGACTTTTGCACATATCCCATTATGAGTATGTTCTTCAGTGAACACTGAAAGGACACATTTTAAATATGCTATTATCATATAAGAGTATTATTTATAAAATTTCTCAAACATTTTAAACATACGTGGTTATACATTTGTTCTTTATGAATGTTTTAACACTACAGGTAGCCTACTCAGGTAACAAAAATCAAGTAGGGCACCGATTGAGTTCTGTGGGGACCCAGTCAAAATCACTACCCATGGGTCTCTGGAACTTACTACTTTCAAAAGCTATCAACATTACTGTTCTTCTCAAGGATTGTCCACCCTGCCTTTAACACTTTAATTTCATGTTCATATCATACCTGGGACTTGATGAACAGCTTCTTAAAGAATAACCAAGTGAGAGGATACGGATGAATTCAACAGATCTGAGAGCAGGTTCAGAGAATGTCATTGGTGACACAGAAAATGTCACCTGCAGCTCATGCAAAGCAGTTCTTCTTCTGCACAGTGACAGTGTTCAGTTGGCTTTGATAAGTACAGACCACAAGTTAAATAGTCGCTTCATCACTTCAGAGAGGAATTTGAATCCTCTACAGTACCTGTTGTTTCCTCCTTGATAACTCGCCAATAAAACGATCAACTGCTGCTTTACATCGCTGTAACATGATGGTTTGCAAAGCACCTTGCTAATCAGCTCAGGTAACAGGTGACCTCATTGCACTATTCTCTGGAGTCCGAGCTCATCTGACTGGTCAACATGTCAGACTGAACGTTGAAAATACAAAGATAAACCATAAAAGTCAAAGCAGCAAGGCTCTCACTGTCCTCAAAGTCATCCCCTGCGCTTTGAAACTGCAGACCTTGATGTTTACCTTTGTTTACAGAGAAATAATAAGTAGTGTTAGGGAGAATGATCAAATTAAAGTCTGACTGCTCTGGATCACTGAGTTTTAGAAAGGACTCTGTTGTTAAGCCCTGTGGACTACAGCGGAGTCACCGTGTCCCTGTACCTCACATACATATAATTAACCTGCTGAGTTAAACATCATGACCCAGGAGGGCCACACAAAGTTTGTTCTTAAAGCTGCAGACCGTCAGACTCTAGTTACATTACAGCATGGTGACGAGGGGTGTTTTGAAGCAGCTAATTTCCCTGTTGTTTGAATGAAATTTGAATTCTGACTTACTGGCAAGTTCAAAAGAAAGAAAACACTTGCGATCAGCGAAAATTGGGCGTTTGTTATGGCTAGCAACACCAGCCTTTGGTCTTCAGTGCAGCTTAGTTTCTATCCGCCATGTACTAAGCAAGTGGTTTTAAGCCAGTTTAACCAGCCACAGCTTACATACAACTTTATATCCATTTTCTTACTTTCATCTTCGCTTGTTTACATCCAGGTAGTAGTGCATTAGCGCAATAGTGGCCCTAACTAGTGCAAGGTAGCTGTGCTAAAGACTAAACACAACATAGGAGACGAGGGAAAGCGCTCTTTAAACATAGTCCATTTTATACACCATTTTATCTATGACAATACCAGCATCGCACTTCTTTTGTTTTGTTTTGTTTGGTACAAAAACATTAATACTGTTCCAGCAAGCAGGCACTGTCAGTACCCAACTGCCTGCATCTGATCGGTTGGATGGCATTCACATGGCCACAGCATGTAGTGTGTGGTGTGTCTGAATCTGAGCAGTGTGGAACATCTTTGGCATTTCTCAGCTCTCAGTTAAATATTTTTGAAAAAAGGAGAAATAAAGAGATATTTATGGGGCTTTATATTACCTTCCATCTGTAATGGATTTGGTTTTTGCAACCTGCAGGCAGCAGTCTGCAGCAGCTGGGATGATGCTGTGTCACATTAGTAGTCAGAGACTGATCCGCTGCTGGGCCACTAGAGAGTCATCAATCACGGCCAGCTCTCCACCCCTGCAGACAATAAAACCAGCAGGCAGCTCTCTGCTCTGATCAGGAATCAGATCAATTTTACTCAGCAAGACGAGACCTGGGATCAGATCACACAAAGGACAATGAGTGAATGTTAAATGGCAGCTGCAATATAGGAGTATGCTTCAGCTTGATGTAAATTATTCCATTTTTTATGTACGCTATGGCGCCTCTACCATGCGCAGAAAAACAGACATTCCAGTACAAGGTGTCCAGCATTTACTCGCTGCAAGCTACTGTCGGCAGAGATCAGCGTAAATTGCATGTTAGGACTTTCCGTTAATGTGTTTGTGATGTCTGCGGCTGATGCTGTGCTGCATGAATGTTTATTGTACTCTGGGTTTGGCTGGTTCTATAGAGCTTTACCATAGGAGGAATCGTACCCATGCATGACCGTGGGAGCAGCAGCAGTGTGAGGGTTCAAAAGAAACGCTTTTACATGAAGGCAGGTGGCCAAAAACTAAAATCTAATCACATCCTTTTTTCAAGATTCAATCACTAAATAGGTTTTAAAATGTCAAATGTATTAAAGTTAGACACACATACACACACACACACACACACACATATTTTTGGATGTGAAGGCCTGGGAACTCTTCCATAACCAGAGCGGGGTGAGCCAGGCAGGGAGGGAAATGCCTCAAAGAAAGGGACCGTGGTAAGTGCTGCCACATGTGCTATTTATACACATGCGCACACACACACACAGACACACTTGCACACACACAGACACACACACAGTCCAGAAAAACCGTAATCTGTTCCTTGATCTGGCTTGGTTCGTACACATGGAGAATGTGTAGTGGTTTACAGGCCTGACAGTGAGCCATAAATTATTTTCCTTTTTTTCTCACAGGTAAGAATTCAGAAATCCACTTTCACATCAGTGACCTGGAAATGTTTGAAACAGATCTCAAAAGATCTCAAAAGAGATTTTTTTGTGAATATGTGCTTGGATCAAATTTGAGTGGAGATCAAGGAGTACTTCTTCATGCATACAGCATCTGCCTCCTTTTCCTAAATTTGGAGTGGCTTCGTATGATTATATGCAGTCTCAATAGTACCCATGGTATGGGATGTGATGAAGATATTAACTTTACAAATTTGGTGAATTAGAGGCACAGTTAAAGGCCTTAAGTCACAAATGGCTCTGGTTGGTCAACTGAAAGTTGGTTGATCTGTGTGATACTTATGATTTGCAAGGACAGAAAAAATATCCAAATAACAGATAATTGTGTTTTGTTTTTGCGGAGATGCCTTCCCCAAACAAGTTTTAGCCACAGGACTGGTGATGAATTTAGATAGCTCTACCCTCCCCTCAGATGAGTTTTAGAGACGGATGGGATTTTCCATGAAATAGCCATTATTAATTTATAATTTATAGCAATTATCCTGAAATGTGTATGTTCAAAAGTCAGCTAGTTAAGTTTGGCAAAGAGAAGTCAGTTCAATAACTTTCTTATCATATAATGTTTTGTTCTTGTGCCTGATACTGGAACAGGATTTGCAAAAAGATGTTTGTCTTTGGTTTAAATAATAATTTGGTTTAGAGAAACTCATTCAACGGGGCATCACTTGTACTATAAAGCTACTTAATAATGATACTTTATTTATCTCTAATTGCATTGTTATAACAGCTAGAGTCTGATATAACAACAAACAGCTGTATTTTCTGACTGTACCTGACAAAAACATACTCTGACATAATCAATCTTCTATCTGGTATACTAAAAAGCGAGGAAGTACTTGTATTAGAATGCGGTCTTAGGAAGCTTGGAGCAGAAACGACTTCCTGTCTGGCTTTGGCTCTCCCCTCCTCGCTCTTTGGTCACTTCCTGTCTTTGTGAGCCTTCCCTGAGTCACAGACAAAACAACTTCCTTCAGACAGTGAGGAAATAAAACCACACACATGCACATGGCTGCTTGTGTATGACAGACTCCACAGGCATGCTGCGGGTAAACTAGCTATCCATCAATCACTGGCACTGCTGCATTTTTTTAATGTGTTGGCATTTCAAGAGGAATAATCTTAATTGTCTTTGAGGGTTGGTAGTGTAGTGTTCAGATTATGTCGTATTATTTCTCTTTTACTGCAGAGAGACTGACAAAACTGTCAAACCTAACAGCTAAGAGAGAAGTAGGTCCCAAAGTCAGCATGATTATAGGAACAGTTAAAGTAAAACCACTTTAAATAATAAATATACCAGTAATACTTTGTGGCACGAGACATTTACTTGTGCGCACTCCAAATTAACCAGTGATATTTTTCATTAACTGATTACTGTGATATTGTTTATGCTTTGGTTATATCACTTTGACTTTTATGTTGATAAAGGTTATCTGAATTGAACTACTGATAATCTGATGCACATTACAACATTGTTTTGCAAAAATTAAAAACCGGTCACTCTTCATTATCATCGGGAATTTTACTTCACAGTATAATAATCTGGACACAGATAATAACATGACACCCGGACACAGTAAAACAAACTGCGCACAATAGATAATAACTTGCAGTACAATTGTAAAACTTTTTAAGACAGATTTTAACTTGTTCATGAGATTGTTCCACAAGGTATTATATTGTCCATATCAAACTGTTATCTAAGTGCAGTTTTTAGCATACAGCTCTAATGAAGTATAAGAGTTCAAACTTGGCATCATTCATGAGTCTCACTTTCTCATTTTGGATGCAAATTAACACGAAACCTCATTTCACCTCCATTAAACTTGAAAAAACATTAAACTTTTTTGCCAACGATAGTGAAGGATGCACTCTGTTTTTCACACAAACACACACTGCACAATCAGCTGGGCGGAGCAGCTGATCACAGACTGAAGGAATGACGTAACACAAAACTTTGCCTGATGATACGAGTGTTCCTGGTGTTGACGTTCCTTAGTTTATCTCTGAATTAAGGTGATTACGCAGCAGACTGGAGTCTCCTATTATAGTAAAAAAATAAAAAAAAACAGACAAAAGGGCTGACATCAGCACACATCCAAGCACTAACGTAATGAAGTCTACTTACTCCACGTCATTCACAGCATGTGGAAGTATTTATCATGCATCATATCAGGGTGTGCACTGAAACAAAGGACAGGCACCATTTAAGCAGTAAAAGAAACCACATTAAAAAGACTGATCTGTCTACCTTATTTAATATATATATGGGCCAAATATATCCAGATTTTTTTGTACACTTAGGCTCGGTGCTAAACATATGGATACATGTGGGTTGAGTAATTGGATTTTATTCCCTCCTCTGCATGTACTGATATGTGTTCATCACAGCTAGTTAATAAGTCAGGGCAGATTTCTTGTGATCTAATACTCAAACTCAATTTTAATGCTTAAAGTTATTAAAGTGTTGTCAGCAAAGTTTTAGCATGGATGCTGTGGTGAGGACTATGATCTCTTTCTAAAAATTTTCAGTCAAAAAAATCTCTTCAAAAGAAACAGAAAAGGGCTTTGTTTACTATATTTGCCCCTTTACAAGACAAAGCCAAAGCTAAAAGAGAAGGGCAATGATGCTATTGTTTACCGACCATCAAACTGAAACATTAAAATAAGGGCTTGGTCAAAAAAAGGCAAACTTGTGCGTCAGAAAGAGTGACTCTTATGGCCACAGGAGAAACACGACAAAAGAGTGATGCACATTTATTTAAAGAAAGAACTATTCTCAAGGACAGACTGCTTATTGTAGGTGTGTTTTATTTTTATCTCACACACCTGTTTTACACTTTTTTGTTTGGATGTTTGACTTTCAGCACTTAGTGTCCCTCACCTCTTTAACGTCCTTGAAAGAAGGGCAGAGGCAGCTCCAGAGCGGGTGTATTTTCATCACTTTTACACCACCACAAACCACAAAAAAACAACTTCCTTAAAATGCACACACAGCACCGAGCTCTCTGGTAGTAGCTTCTATTGTCTCTTCAGCTAGGAGGGGCAGTAACCATAGCAACCACATGTAATCTGTCCTCTAACAAACAATCATCTTCCTGTTTTGAGGGATGACACAGCTGCGTGTGGTAGGGGCAGGGTCTCTGTGTGTGTTTTCCGACACTCCAGGAACTGTTACTGAATAAACTGTTGGCCAAAATTATCCTGTAGACCGCCTCACAGATGTGACGCAGACATAATGGAAACTGTTGTTATTGTTTTTCATTTTCTTCATCTGTACTGAATCACAGCAGAGTGTTACAGGACCAACACAAAGAAATCATATAATGCAGAAAATCATCCCATTACTCTCTATTTTCAGTGATGAGACACATTCGGTGACCATAAAAGTGTCTTGTTATGTCATGTGACTGATCTAGGTTTATTCTTGTCACCAACAGGTCTCCCAGAGGAGCAGACAGTCCAGACACCGGCCTTTACTGATGCTGTGAGACTGCACAGACAAGCCAAGGGACACTATGGGACCTGGGATATGATGTGTGGAGAGCCCCCACAGGTCAGGACCACACAGATCAAGTATTTCATTGCTGTGTCGTAGTTCAGAGGCTGGATCCTCTAAAGTATGCATTTTCAGATGGAGAAAGATCCTCATGGCCTTTGCGTTTAAGAATGAACATAAGACACATCGTAACTCTGGTGTCATGAAAGATGGCCTTCTTTACCACTGGCAGAGATTTTACACTTACTGTTTTTGAATGCCACCTTACCGGTGAAATCAGTCAAGGCCCGGAAACAGCTCATGTTTTCCTCTCAGAAATAGCCTTAAAACTTGGGATATTCCTCCTTGAAATTGCATGTTTTTTTACAGGTCAGAGATGATTTAAGAGCTTTTCAGCAACAATTTGTAAGCAGGGCCTTTGAGTGCCAGTCCAAAGTTCAGGTTCAGGTCATAGTTTCACTTGCAGAGAGGTAGCAGTGATGGATGCGGTGCTGGTTTCCAAATCAATTTAGCTCATGAAAACACTCCAGCTACATCATGCACACACCCCTTTCTCTCACCAAAGTACAAGAATGCACCAACACAAGACCTTCAAAGAGTCTGAGGGAAAAAAGACCCACCCCTCAACATACCAGCAATCACAGGGACACACACACAAACACACACACACTGTTAATAGGGGTCTCCTCTGTGAAAGAGACCCTTTCAGGACCCTGTTTGAGCTCAATAGTGCCTCTGTGTGTTTACTGCAGTCACTTCATTAATCTTCATGTTTCCTGTTTGTATCCGCTTCGCTGTAGCCCCCTGAAATTAATGTGTTTACTTAGTCAACTTTAAAAGCTTTAGCAGGATGATCAGTATTTTTTTGATAAAAACTGTATAAGTAACTTACTGGAAATGTACTTTGTATGCGCACAGTACGAAAGAGGATTAGGGCCACAAGAAGAGAAAACAATAATTACAGGAAAGTTTTTTTTTTTTAATTTCCATTTCAAGATTAAAGTCAGAATTTCGAGATTAAAATCGAAATTTGAAAAAGTTGAAATTTCAATTTTATTCATGTCGACTTTAATCTCGAAATTTAAATTTTTTTAATCTCGAAATTTCTACATTATTCACAACATTTCGAAATCTCAAAAATTTGACTTAAATCCTGAAATTTCTATTTTTAATCTCAAAATTTTAACTTTATTGACAGTAAAAAGTATCAATTTGATTTTTTTGAAATTTGAAATTTCTACTTTAATCTCCTTTTTATAGTTATTTTTTTCTCTTGATGTGGCCCTTATCCTCCTTTGTAGAAAAGTAAAAAGGTTCTCAAATATTTATGAACATTTCTTACTTCCACTTTTATTTTTGTCCATAAAAAGAATATATACAATATAGACTGAATTAGAGGTGTGGTGAAAAACACCCAAATTTGCTATTACTTTATGCCTTAAACATAGTGAATATTTTAACAGCACATTACCTTTTTAAACATCCAGAGTTAACAAATTGACATCGTAGCTTCAGTATAACTTGTAACAACAATACTGACTATTTGATAGACAACAATCATGTAAACAAGTCAAAATAAATATAACTAACTTATATTTATGTTAATTATAAAGCGTAGATATGAATTTCTTTTCAGATGAAATATTGTAAGTGTGTGAATACATGACTGTTGTATTTTGTGTGTGCAGATTCTGGCTAACCTGGTGATGGAGACCCTCCATCCAGAACTGAGAAACGTGATCGGTCCTCGTCTCAAAGGGAAGATGCAGCAAAGACAGAGGAGCTGGATGTTGGTGAGTTCCTGTCCCCTCAGAGACACACTGCAGGCATATTTCACAAACAAAGGAGAGAGACATAAATGAGTCTAAACCAATTCTCTTTCCAACATCTCTCCTCTCAGATATCTGATGCGGTGTATAAGCAGGTGCTGGCTCAGACCACTGGGCAGTATGATGCACTCGTTGTAGGCTGTGAAGCCCAGAGAGTACAGCTGGACACCAGACTGCGGACAGACATGGACCAACTCATCACATCTAAGGAACACGTCAGCAACAAGATACGAGGTGAGATCTACACGCAGGTGTCCCTCTGTTTGAGTCAGTCACTATCAGTCAGAGGTAATGAACTATAATAAAGGCACCATGTTTAATGATGTTTTCATCAAAGTTTTGTCTGTTAATCGGAGGCAGTATTTAAGTCATTTTGTTTAAGTTGTTGTCGTATAACCATATTATTTGCATTGTTATGCAGTCAGAACACATGTGGCATTTAACATGCATTATTCCTCTAATTCAAGATGTCAAAACACTGCTTGACTGTACCATGTGACCTCACCTGTAAATACTCAAAGTAGGGCTGTCAGCCTTAGTACATTAGGTTGAAGTGATTAAGGACCAAATTCCTGCACTATTTTTTAAACTGCTCGTCATTTTGTCCCATTTAGCGCACTGTAGTTAAGCCCCTGCTGAGTTTTACTGTCCTTGCTGCCATTGTGATTAAACAAGACAGCTAAGTAAACAAGTCATATGCAAAGAACACTTTGTATCAAAAGCATTTAAAATATCACTGAACTCTTTTGAATCTAAGCTGACACCCATCAGTGAAGCATACCGGGGCAGCCATGTCACAGGGAGCTAAGTTTCATGTCTATGGTCGCAGTGTGAAACAGGGAAACCAACTATACTGGAACTCCTGTAAACTTTAACTTAATTATTATCACCCTGTGGAAAATTTGGTTTACAGCAGGCATCAGCATAACAGTACATGATAAACATAAAAACATAGAACATACAGGCACAGGGAAAAATCCTGAGTACAAGTGAAAAATAACGACACTAAACTACAGAAAGCCAGAAACTAAAAGATAAAAGATATTTCAAAGCTCCTTAAAGTGCATTCAGTCATGAAGCACTGCAGATAAATGAACAATTATGATGAATGGACAAGGTACCAGATATAAGAGATTATATAAGTAACCAATAAATGATCAATGATAATAATTATCCTTGCTGTTGCATGAACTTAGTGAATAAAAAGGTCTTAAAGAGTAATCAAAATTAATTACACAGTAAACAATTTTTCTTTACATATAATTGTGAACTTTTAAATTTTTTTCAAATGAATCATTTAACTATTGAACTTCGGCAATTAATCAGGATTTAAGAGATTAACGCTCAAAGTAAAGCTTGAAAGTTTTGCGCTGTTCAAAAACCCATAGTTGTGTTTATTCTCTGGAAATCATTAACTAATACTCAGATGAAATCAAGTTTAAAGTCAGTTAAATATATATTTTTTTTAAGTCAAGAGGAGATTAGAAATACTAGGGGGAACACCAGGAAACTTGAATGAATGAACGCTGTACATCATGCGCTGTATTTTGACTTGGTCCACTTGCTGCTCATTGTAATATGATCCTCTGGCCTCAGGTGAACGCTTCATTGTTTGACTCTTTGAGATAAAGCTGTGGGATCTCTGGTTCACAGATTGTTGGCAGAGGGGAATGATTACTCTGACGGCTGAAAACCACCACACTACTCAAGTTTCTATCAAATAGTTTTAGACATTTTGTACCAACTGGGCCTTTTCTTTGTTACGTTCCAGCTTTAATTTTACCCTCCACAATTTCTCCTCTCTTTATTCAGTGAGTCTCTCCTTCTGTCAGTCACTCCTCCTGATTGATTACCTCTGAGCATGAGCCTGTCAGCTCTCTATTCAAAGGTTATCTTGGCACTGTCTGCTCATATTTTCATGTGTGGTGTCCCACTGAGCTAAAGTTGCAGAGCTGCATTCCCTCGCCTGCACTGTATGAGCCGTTTCTGACTTTATCCCACAGATAGGGCTCAAAAGAGGAGTCAGCTGCACTAAATGATGTGAGGTCACGTTACATGAGGGCGATGCAAAGATGTAATCCAAGCTGTGAAATGTATCTTGTCAGCAGATTGTGTGCTGTTGTACAGCTGGGTGCATTGAAATTACACAATTGTCATCGCAAACATACCAACCATTTCAACCCATGAAACAATCCACTTTACTCTGTGATCAAATATTTGAAGAGTTCACGTGAGGTTGGAGCCGTGCCTTTGTTTTCCTCCATACTGTGGCCTTATTTCCCAGCACTAGCAACGTTTTTTAAATTAATTCTTCATGTGTTCATACTGCAGCTCTGGTGTTGCCCAAGGCAGAGCAAGTCCTGAACACAAACGTCCAGCCCTACATCAGCTCCATCCTGGAGGCCCTGATGGACCCCACCAGCAGAGGTTTCTCCGAGGTCAGGGACGTCTTCTTCAGGGAGCTGGTGGAGATCAGCAAGAACTCGCTCAATGGAGGAGGCAAAGAAAAGCTCGGAGAAGTGAGTCAGGAGTCTTCGGCAAATATCTCTGATGCTGTTTCTATCTACAGATGAGTAACGCTATGATTGAAGAGTGATTATAGTATTAATAAAGCACATGACTTTATAAGCTGTTTTATCAACAAGGCCTGCTAAATGAACGCAGTGTTTGTCTGTCTTGCTGGGCACTAAAAAGTTAGAGATGTCTTGTTTGTTAAAATTCTCTTCAGATCATAAAAAAGACGAAAATCAAATGCAAGAAAATAAAATAAAAAATTGCATCTGTGGCTGTTCAGATCTGTTGTAGCTCACATAAAAAGATTTGATGGTCTCATGCATGCACTGAAGGCTTCATAGATGTATAGTCATGACAGAAAAAAGTAGTAAGACACGGTCACTAATGCATCACAGTAGCTTTTTGTCCTCAAAAGCCACCATCACTTCACCAACCTGAGTTTTACTAAAACAATCGACTGTTGCCCACCTCTGTGTGTCGCCCCGCAGCACATGGACAGGCTGTCCATGCTCGCCTTCCACCCGGTGAAGATGCAGAGCTGCTATGAAAAGGTGGAGCAGCTGAATCTGGAGGGGCTGCAGCAGAGATTTGAGGTCTCCAACCCCTCTGTGTTCGTCAGCAGGGCTCAGATCCTCATGAGGGAGGTAAGGCACAATAGAGGGTTTCTCTGATGTAACACTAAGATTAAACATCTATCTATGTGGTGTTAGGAGGCCTTTGAAATACTTCCTTGAATCTAGTAAGGGAACACACACTGTCAGCTCATCATGTCTGTAGAAAACCCTTTAGTGACACCTGCTGGAAGAAGAGAGTGTGACAAACTTCACAACAAACTGAGCCAATAAGGCCAAGATCTTATTTACAAAACTAACCAGCATCAGATATTTTATTGTGCTACTGTATACCATAAAAAACTTCTTCTATGCAACATTTGTTCCCAGCAAATGGACAATGCAGTGTACACGTTTGAGCAGCTGCTGAATCAGTCTTTAGAGGCTCAGGGAGACGACGACATCTGCAAGACCATCCAGCGATGCCAAGACAGGGTTCTCAAGGTAAAGAGAGAAGGACTCAAAACAGAAGTGATATAGAGGACAAAGAGAAAGACACAGCCTTCATGTGTTTGTCTTCTCCCCCCTGTCAGAAATATGATTATGACAGCAGCACAGTGAGAAAGAAGTTCTTCAGAGAGGCTCTCCTGCAGATCATCATCCCGTACATGCTCCAGCAGCTGTCTCCGTCCTTCTCATCTGTGAGTAAAGCCTGACAGCCACTCAACACTTTTCTGATAAATACATAATTTAAAACCCAAATATATCATTTACACAATCCACAGTTTATGGATTGCGATACTCCTTGATTTTGCAGGAGCTGCCTCGCTTTAAGGAGCTAATCTTTGAGGATTTCTCCCGTTTCTTGCTGGTGGAAAACATGTTTGAGGAGGTGGTGCTGCAGTCCGTCTCCAAGGACATAATGATGGGTGAGGGATGCAGATGAAAGTGGGGGTTAGCACTGTTGTTTCATCTTTACTTTGACCTTACACGTTTGCTTGTCCTTGTTTTCTTCGTCTAGCTGTGAAGGAGGCGGCCGTCCAGAGGAGACACAACCTCTACAGAGACAGCATCATCCTGACAAACAGCGACCCGAACCTGCACCTCCTCGGAGAAAACTCTCAAGTGGACTGGGCCGCCAAATTTGGAGGGGATGAGACAGAGGGCACTGTTGATGGAGGAGTGGGAGGAGGAGGCTCTGGGAGCAGACGCAAGCAGGTGGTGTCCATGATCCAGCTGGACGGAGTTCCTTTACCCTATGAGTCCTGCATGGAGGTCCCAGGGGTGGATCTCATCCCAGAGGAGGGTGCTGATGTGTCAGGGGTTAAAAAGGATGAGCAAGAAGAAGAGGAGGAGGAGGAGGAGGAGAAGGAGGAGGTGATAAAAGAAGAAGAGGAGAAAGAGAAGGAGGAGGTGATAAAAGAAGAAGAAGAGGAGAAGGAGGAGCAAGACTTCAGCCCACTTGAGGATCCCAAGTCTCCTGACAGTGTGCACGAGATCAGGGACCTGATTAACCCGGTCATAGAGATGATGGTCCCTGTGTCAGAGGAGAAACAGAGCGATGAGACCAATGAGACGGAGCCAACCATCAGCAAAGTCACCCTGGAAGACGGGGTGGAGGAGGATGTCACTCATGTGACCACCGTGGTGGAGGATGTCCCCAGTAAATCCCCACGAGACAAGACGTCCCCACAGTCGCTCCTCCGGCAGCTAAAAGGAAGCAGGAAGCAGAAAGCTGACACGGAGAATACAGAGGAAACAGCCGTCAAGAACGCTGTGGATGAAATAAACACAGCGGTGCAGAAGGACGAAGGGATCGCTGAGGTCTCCACTGCAGAGTCAGATAGCGAGTCGTCGCCGAAACCACCATCAGCTACAGACTCAAGCTCGCATGGAGACAGCGGCTTCCAATCGCCGACCAACGAGGGTCTGGATGAGGGCGTGCCTGAGCCCATAGCAAATGGCCTCAGCAAAGAGGACAAAATTATTGACCCTGTAGATGTGGAGATGACTCTGGCGTGAGGAGACGATCTTCTGGACAGAACTTTGAAACTTTAAGAGGAAACGTAAGAGGATGTACCTCCATGTGATGAGAGAGAAGGGGAACGGATAAGGATTTTATTTAAACGTTTTGTTAGCTTAATTGTTGTTGAAATTGCACATCCTCACTTGTTCATATTCTTACTGTATGGTAAAAGGTGTTTTCTAAATGCAAGATAACTAACCTTTATAAAAGTCTTTCTCTAATGTTGCGTATGTTACTGAATTCAACATATCAGATTTTAAAAAGGCCCTTTAATGCTGCATTACAAGGTTAAGGGCTTATTCAACCATCATTTACTTTTTAAACTTGCAAAGTAAGAGCTAAATACTAGACATTTACTTACTGTAAAACTTCTAATAGAAGCCCCTTCAGATTGAAGATTTCTTTAGTATGATGCAGGTTGACATTTTGATAATTAAAGCAGGTCTCACAGAGAAGCTTTTATACATTTGAAGTTTATCAGGTTGACTGTGCAATGAAATAAGTAAAGATACTCCTTTAGTAGTCCCACAAGGGGAAATCCCCAGTGCCTGGTTTCTACTTACATTCAGACTTAACATCAATTTACTGATTGACATTATGGCACAGAGAAAACAGGGGCCTGAATGCTGTCAGGTTTGCAAGGAAGTGACTTCCCCGTTGACTTTTTGGAGAACAAGCAGCAACATTAAGCTGAACCCCAACTTTTGTCGGAGAAAGATAGTAAAATGCTTGACTGTGGAGTGGCAGGAGAAGGGTTAACACTCAGCATTAGCGAACAGGGAGTGTCTTTACTACCTGAGCTGGCTCTAGAGATGGAAATAAAGGGATTAAATTAAAAACAATATTAAAAAATTTCCAGTCTTTACTCAGCAGAGGTCTTTTTCTAAAGTAATTAAAAGCCCGTCTCTTATTAAGACTGTCCAAATAAAGGCAAATTGACTTTGTAGATTGAAACAGACAAAAGCCTTGGTCACTCATTTTGAAGTTTTACGGTAGTTGTATATGTTTTCAAATCACAGTGAAGCTTTTTGTTCATAAATTATATCTTTCACATAAAATAAAAAAATAGAAAAAGTTGGAAAGAATGACAGACTGTGCCTTTAAATGAATTTCTTTTACGTGATATCAGCTTCTTTCTGGGCAGCAGGGGGCGCTACAATCTTACCTTTTAACTGTGTGTGGGGATTTGTATGAGGACTTTCACTCTGTGTTTCTAAAAGACTGGTCTCTATTTCTAATTTCGCTCACTTTATAACTTTTTCTGTGTTCACAAGTGGCCGTAATGTTTCAACTCTGGATATTTAACCTGGAAGAAACTGTGTGGAAAAGGAAGATGTTCATATGTTTTGTGGCAGAAATATTTAACGGTGTTGTTGTCTCTTTGCCTGTGGGTGTAGACGGCCAACATGTGTAAATAATCGCGTTCAGCTCATTGGATTTGATGAACTTGTAATCAGAGATAGACCTCCACCTGATCACGAGGGAGATTCTGGACATTTGCTTCATGAGTTTATATTTACCAATATTTTCCCTTAACTTCTTTGTACAGCCAAAAAACTTTTCTATGAGCCAATTTTTTCTTTTTAGATTCTAATCGACTTTTTCATGTCCTCATCTGTGCAGAAATATAAGCAACAACCATACTACGAAAAACACTCACAGTTCTGCAAATCAGGAAAACGTCTTTCTGGCTAAAGATAAAGTTTCATATTTTCTTTATTAAATGCCCGTAAATTGAAACATTTGAAGCCATTTTTTTAAATTTTCATGGCTGTGGCTTGTATCTTTGAAAAATGTAAATTCAGTATCTCAGAATAAACAGATTATTCCTGAAGATCAATCAAAAACGATTCAAAACATGTCCAACATCTGAAAGTGTGTTCTTATACAGACTCAATACTTAGCTGGGGCTCTTTTGCCATGGGTTACTTTCTTCAGCAGCTGATGGGAGTTATGGGATGTTTATAATTTTCTTATTTTGTGAAGATGCACCTGTAAATGTTCAGTAAAATTGAGGGGAAAGGATGTTACATTAAAGGTTCATAAAGAAACCTGCTTTCATGTGCAGGGAAATTGGAGTCTATGATTCTACATTTAAGATGGACCGCGTGTCAAGCTGTTAGCATATTTTGCGAATGTCCAGCTGAGTGGTCATGCACCATGAAGAGGACATAAAATGCTACCAGTGACTCAAGAGAAGAACGAGCAGAAAGGGCTCCTTTTGCAGGAAACAAGAAGAGAAGCCTGATAAAGATTAAAATATAACAAAACATCTTGAAGGTAAAAACCTGAAATAATTTGACATAAGAGTTCACAAAAACATGTTGAAATTATGTATGTAAAGACAGAGTGTAATATTTGAATAAAAGTACAAACTGTTTAACATCTAAATTTTATTGTTTGTTGCTTCATGGTGAATTGCTCTCTGGGAACCTTTTAATCATTGCAACATGATCAGTTTCTTTTGAGGACTTAAAGGACACTGTGAGCCCCCGGGGTGTTAAGTGTTCTCAGTTAATCTCATTAACCACATCTCACTTTCTATTGGATGAATTTGTTCCATGTTTTTTTTTATCTGTGGTCACCAAACAAAACTGCAATGTCATCCTGAACACAGTGGAAAGACATTTGCCATTCCTGCTTTTGTAATGAGTCAGTTTCCTGTTGTGAAACTGTGTTTATTTTTTACCATTTCTCAGACAGTTTTGGGGTTTTCTGTCTTCAGATTCAGACATAAGATTGAGCTCTAAAAGAGGAAGACTACCATGAATCTGTGAGGCAAGCTTCATTCGGAACAGAAGCGTCTTTATTGGTTTAAGCAGCCCTTCTTAAATGTTTTGGTCTATTTTATCAAACAAACAGATGGATAAATAAAGCTGTTTCATTCACCTTGTTCTTTATTTTTGATCCACAAGAACTCCAAAGTGTGACAGAAAATAAGATATTTATCCAAAAATCCACCACAAGTGATTCACTGTATATAAATACGCCTCTATCAGATACAGAAGAAAGCATATTTCAGTACTAAACAAATGTTGGCAAGGCACTCAAACTTTTTTTTTTTTCCTTTGGAGTTTGGTCGATGATCTCTAAAGAACCACATGATCAGCTCTCTTTGTCTTTCCATGTCTTTATGACAATGACACTGATTCGTTAGCAAAACAAGATGACACATCAGAGAAGTTTTACGAGCTGCGACCATGTGATCCCGTTCCTCAAACAGAATCAAGTCTTGTGACCTTTCAATCTTAATCTCAGCTCGAAATGAAAGACTGCGTCAGTGACCCACAGTGAAATATAAACCCCCTCAGTATCCAGCTCAACTGACTTTTGACTGAGTAACAGACATGTTGCATTTTTAATGCTTTAATCACCCGTAGTGTCTAACTTCTATATAAACTGAGTTATGGTTCAAATTGATCAGACAAGCACAAAGAAAACAGAAGTACGGAAACAATAACAATTAGCACGGCCTGTTTCCTACAGTCAATTTGGTTGTACCTCTGATGTAGAACATCCCAGTGTTTGTTCTCATTTTTGTTTGCCCACGTTAGGTGTGGATTTGGATGTTTGCCGCATCAGAGCACGAGGACGAATGCGCCTGTAACACCGAGGAGCAGTTTTATCCCTTTCACATACATAAAGGCTTTTTACATATGAAATAATACACCTTGTCCCAATGGTTCACTTTGTTTTTAACTTAATATTCTCTATTCAAGTGCTTTGGAGTCCCAAAGCCAGAGGACAGGGGACTGATGATCTGAGAAAGATTTTGTGCTGGAAAACTCCAATTTCCACATTCAGATGGACGTGTTTGCGCAGTTAGTGTCGCATAGCTCATTTTTAGCACATGTACCAATGACTTGCAGAATTAAATCATTCTGGAAGTTTCCCCATTTACCTCGGTTAACAAAAAGACATCCTTTCTAAACTGTCTGTACCATCAGATCTGTTCCAGGAGAGGGAAAGAGATGAAATAACCGAGGGTGGAGCCTCCGATGACACCGAGGAAGACCCAGAAGTTGTAGGTCATGACGCACAGCATCAACAGGTAGCCCAGAGACACCTGCATCAAGTGTAGGATCGTCTGAGTGATGTGCATCAGCAGGCTGAGGATGAAGAAGAAGACGAGTTAAATTTATTACAGAGGATCTATGTGTGCATTACAGATGAGCAGGTTGGGACCCTTCAAAGGGGTTGTAGGACACGGATTAGGGAGCTGCAAGATGCCACCAAAACTACCTAACAAGCTAATTTACTGAATAATTAATAGGGGTGGGAGAAAAAATTGATATAGCATAGTATCGCAATATTTTGTCAGGTGATTTATTATATCATCTCATTTACTAAGTATCGATTTTTCTAATTGATTGCTAATATGAAGTCAAATGTATGATAATGGAAAAATAAAATCAACTGTTTGTCTAGTGAGGTAGAGCAAGAGAAAGTTAGTACAACAAATATATTAAAAGGTTTGCAAGATGTGCTAGAGGAAAATAAAATACAGCGTAAATAAGACAAACATAAAAGAATGACAAATGCTAAATTAGCTAAACAGTTTAAAAAATTTTATAAATAGCAGTTTATTGTACCACAATACTCACTGTACTGCAAAATGTTGAAAATTGCAATAATATCATATTGTGGGGCCTCTACTGATTCCCACTCCTAATAATTAACTCACATTATTGTGAAAGTATTAACAAAAAAAGTTCAACTTTAAACGATCCATATATGCCCTCAGGTAAATATACCCTAGGGCAGGGTTTCTGCTCAACAGCTTAATTAAGTATCTTGGGCGTAAACCAGTACACAGAATACACACAGAGTCATTCGTGCAGTTGCCTAATTGAGCATGTATATGTTCAGTGTTATGCAACAGCCAAAGACTTTTATTATTACAACAGAGTGTATGTAAGCCATTTTACAGAGGTAGGTCAATGTTCAGTCTCACACAGACTGAGAAATATCTCATTACGTGTTACCTATAGTCTGTTTACTGACAGGCTCATTTACAAAGAAAACCACCTGAAAGCTTCAACAGAAAACAGTGGATGGATTACTGCTGCAGTTCACCGTGACTCTGGTGTTCCTCTGACTCAATTTATCAGTACTTTTGCACGAAATGTAAATGTTTGGACAATTTACGATAAGAGGGGAAAAAAGTGAGGTAAAGAAAGAGAAAATGGAGAGATACGACCTCTCTCAATCCCAATGTTTGTGACTCTACTAAAACTATTACTTGATAAATACAAACAGTCTAAGTCGTTGTGTTTATACCAGGTCCTGACCTGAATCTGTGTGGACCAGGAGAGGGTGGGTCTATGGGGGTCAGCGAGGACTCCGAGGGACTGTTCTCCAGCACTGAGCTGTTGTCACAGCGAGAAGACATGGCGGGGCCGTACCGGGACTCATGCTGGGCCAGTTTATGCTTGACCCCCAGCCATACCCTCCACACTTTGAGGATCTCATAGAAGACGGTCAGCAAGAAAACCACAAACACTGACAGCACCATGCCTGTGGAGCACAGAGTCACAACACACAGCAAAAGTCTGTGTTAAACAAACTGCATTACACTCTGGACAATATTTATACATATTTTCAGGAGATCAAAACCCCTCTGAGAGTGCATTACTGAGCTTACAGACTCCCAGCTGTGTCTGCAGTAAAACCCGACCACCAGCACCACTTAGACTCAAAGTTCAACTCGTAATATAAACCTTGTTTAATCTGTAAAACAAAATATTTCATTGAGGGGTCTGTACTGGAACATTTCTTTTTATGGTGCAGAGACTTCCTGGACTCTTGTGTACAGCTGAGAAACTTTTCACTCCACATGAGAGGAATGAATCTTACAGATTACAGAACAAATGTCCAACTAAAAAGATAAAAACTTATCCTGTTTATTTTTTTTATTTTAATGTGTATTTAACAGGGACTAAACATTGCCACAAAAAATGGAAACTGTGATGCATACAAGACGTCTAGCTTTAGCTAATTTGCAGACTTTGTCCCTGGTCAGTCTTAAGTGTAGGATAAAATATACAGAATGCTGAAATACAACTGCAGTGGATAATACAGTGGATGGCTAGGTAATATGAATAAATAAACACAGCAATAAAATTTAGGTTAAAAAATGACACGAGTTAAATTTAACAGTAAACATTAATTAAGCGCTATATTGACAGTGACTTGACAGAAGTTTAGATAGATAGATAGATAGATAGATAGATAGATAGATAGATAGATAGATAGATAGATAGATAGATAGATAGATAGATAGATAGATAGATAGATAGATAGATAGATAGATAGATAGATAGATAGATAGATAGATAGATAGATAGATAGATAGATAGATAGATAGATAGATAGATAGATAGATAGATAGATAGATAGATAGATAGATAGATAGATACTTTATTAATCCCACAAGGGAAATTCAAATTCAAATTTGATGTACTGTGAATAATAAATGTTGAAAATGTAAAAACGTTAGTCTGTTTCTTCACCTTGTCCCTTGCACTATTGCACCTGGGCACTAAAATTACAATGTCAAAATGACCGATGTTGCTGCTGATGATCTTGTTTGCTTTTGTGTATCATAAAAGGTCATTGACGTCAATTACGGCCTCGTTCATAAATGTCAGAAAACTTTACAAGAGCTTACAGGTGACAAACTGAGGCTGATACACACCAGATACATCAAACTTAAGAGTGGCACCAAAGAGTTTATTAGTTTGCTGGAGAAAAAGTTTTTTTTTTTCTAAACTTTTTATTTAGAGTTTTCTCCTTAAACATTGAACAGTATCTGAGACGAGATCAGTGTTAGGGTTAAAAATCCCAAACCTAGGTATTGCTGCATATGATGCAGATGTAAATCAAATATCTTAACTGATTTTTTTTTGTGTGTGTGAAAAAAATATACATTTTTCCTCATTTTTCTTGGAGCATAACAGTGTTGACTCCAAAATCAAAGTCTTGGACACACCAATTTCACACCAAGAACTAACATGCTGCAACACAAGAAGCTTCCATACATGATCTTACACATTATTTTACATGTAACCAGGCCGACGTTTTAATGCATTACTAAAATGAATTTAAACTCATTATGTCTCCCTACTCCATCTCCCAGGCCTCGGATATGTGGGTTTAATGGAACATGAATATTAAAAAAAACAAGCACTTCAACTGGAAGTAATATCAAACACCGTAAACAATTTGGAGCCAGCTATGTCTATTGGCATAACAATTTAGTGTGTTTTAACCAGATGAACTGGTTCTGAGTGACTGCTAGCCTGATAGATCTGTCATTAGTAAATGGCTCATCTATGTGAAGATGATGTTTGACATTTGGCAGCCTACCTGCTGGTCCACGAACATCCCAGAAGTCAAACAGCAGTGTCACGCTGTCAGACAGCTCAAAAGCCATCTAGGGAGAAACAAGAACAACATTAAACCTACCAAATCACCGTATGTTTGATCTTACTCTAAGAAAACGTGTTCAAAGGCAGGACTTAGGAAGTTCAGTGAGGCTGAGACAAATATCTTTCTTGAAATCATCAAAAAAGCAAAAAGCAGCAGCAAAACCCAACAGAGAAGTACTGAGAGGTTGTTTTAATGCTGTAAGATTCTTAATGATTATTTTGTTAATCCAGTGATGGAACCAGGATAAAATTTCACACAAAATTACTCTTACAGTAATTAAGATATCTGATAGGCAGACATTTTAAAAATCATCTTGGCAAAAATAAGAGATACTGGCTCGAACAATAATCCTAATGTATCGACAGTCTGTTGGTTGGATTTTCTTTGTTGTCGATACTTTTTTGGTGTTGATACTGATCAGGATGACGGTCCTTGTCATGCACATTTGACATGGGAGTGTTACAGGGAGTGTTGTTTTGCTCCGTCTTGCATCACTTGAGCTTCACTGAAAATGACCATTTTGCCGTCTGTTCCTGACTCTTTGAAACACTTCCACATGACTAACATGTAGATGCTTGTTGAGGCCACGCATCATCACTTTCACATACTGAATGTGTCACCTCACGGGCGGTACATGCCAGTGGAAAATTTCACACCGTTAAACACCATAATTTACTTTTTAAACCGTATTCTGCAAACATAATGCTGATAATACCATGCATCCCTGAGAGTCACTGTTTCTAATCCACATTACCAACACAAAGACATAACCTACACAGCCCAAAACACGCATTTTGTTAAACAGGAAGAACACTATTGTGTTAAAGTTACACTGAATTTATTATTTCCCTAAAACAGCAGCCTCATAATAAACCTGCTACAACCAATATGGTGAACAAAATCAAGAGGAAAGACTATAATCGTTTCTAGCTCCAAAACATAAGAAAGTCAACCTCCAAATCTGTAATCTGGAGATGATGTTTGGATCGGATATTGGCTCTGATATTGACAAATTAACTGGATAGGATATTTGATGAATGATGCCTATTCAGCGTTCCAATTCAGTCTTTTTTTTTTTCTTTTAATTAATATCATACACAGCAACACAGTGATTCTGTTCGCTCCAAATTCTTTGTCTGTGCTAATGTGCAATTTGTCAATAAATATTATTAAGTAAATTTATATCTCTGTTAATTTGATATCTTTTTTTAACAAAGCTAATGTCAAGCCTGATCCCTTTACTCACAGGGCAAAGTATACAGTTCATTAATTCAACAGTAGTATTGGATCGGTATCAGATATCAGCCGATACGCTCAGCCCAGGTATCTGTATCGGATTGGATCGGAAAAATTGGATCGGTGCATCTCTAGTTTTTAGCCAGAAATCTGTCTTACAAATCAGCAGGAGGGTCATGTACAATAATAAACAAGTGGTATTAATGAAAAAATAGTGAAACATATCAATAAAATACTTTTAAAAAACACACAACGCCTCTATTTCTTGTAGCTGGTGTTTACTTTTCAAACCCTCCTCTGTTCTTCACTGAGGTTTTCTATTATTTAAATAAAATCACACTAATCCTGACTTAATGATTTCCATCTGGGGATCAATTAAGTTCTTGTATTGTATTGTACTTATTTCGACTCAGCTGATCCTGCCTCACAATTGCAGAATGCATTGTCCAACATAAGCACTCTCTGTTCTGCCTGGCTGCTGTCGATGTAGGAATGACAGAGGAATGTACTGTTTTGTGTGTGTGTGTGTGTGTGTGTGTGTGTGTGTGTGTGTATATGTGTGCGTCTGTCTTGTTACTCAGACTGCTGCCCCCAGTCCCTGCCAGGCTCTCTAACTCCCCGCTTCACTGCTAATCCAAGTCTGGAGATGAGTGTTTCTCACAGGCTGTTCACTGATGAGAGGACTAACCCACTCTGCAACCTCCATGTTCAGAGGAAAGTCTCAACATTCACAAAGAAATAGAAATCATGAGCTGTTTCGACGAAGAAGCTGCTTTCTTTATTTTAAACATTAGGGCTGACGATACATTTACAACATTTTACTCTACCTCCAGAGTTTCTTTCTTCTCTTAGGATGACATTCTCTCCGTTTGCTCAGTTATTTTTGATTTATTTTATTTTTTTAAAGCTCCTGTCTAACTACATCTATTGATTGATGTGTGTGTGTGTGTTTTCAGGGTGGGATCCCTTTGTATGAATTTCCTTTTCTTTTTAAGTACAGCACTTTGCGTTGCATCATTGTTGTATGAGAAGTCTGCCCGCTTATCTAATGTTATAGACGGATAAAAACAGAGCAGCCTCAGTCCATGCAGGGTCCGTGCACACACAGGATGAGTTCCTGCCGCAGGACGGCAAAAGACAAATCAGAGGTCCGCAGAAATTCTTGTGGTTTTGATGTTTGAGCCTCATCTTCGTTTTTTCAGGATGTCCTGTTGACATCTACAAAATCAACATACAAATGCTCCGCAAACTAGAAGCTGATTGATGAAGGTGGTTACATCACAATAATAACAAACTTTAAGTCAACAGTTCAGTCACATAGGACAACAAAATGTGATACGGCTTTTAATAACGGCGGTTATCCATCACTGTAGCAGCTTTCAGGATGGCGACGTGGGATTAGTGTTTTCAACAGCTCCTAAAATTTAGATGCTGCTGTTTGCCACCATTGTGTTGACTGTGGGAGTGCCACATTCTAAAATTACTGTCTGAAGAACAACATCAACACTTCAGGATTGCAGGCAGGGTGTGAAATTAAATTTTAAAACACACAGCCTGAGTTGGTAGGTAGATTTAAAAAACTTAACATCAGTGCAAACTAGGGCTGGGTGATAAACCGAAAATTTACCGATACCGAAATTTATAACAATAACTGATGTCATTTTGCCCATGTCTGTATATTCTGTGTCAAATAAATAAATAAATAAAAGTTGGTTTTGGATATGTGTAGGCAGGCTTTGGTCTCATGTCCCTTTAGGATGCTGTCCTAAGTTGGAGATGCCACTCCACCCCATCCAGTCCATAAAAAACGATGGAAAAACAGGTGAGGAGATGAAGGACGGAACAAAAGTTGAAGTGGCTGGAGCAGCGGCTGAAGTAGACAAAGTTAATGTGGGAGGGGGTGAGCAGCCTGTGGAGTAGTTATCGTCCATTTATCGTTATCAAGGTGAACTGCTCAATATATCGTGATGTTGATTTGAGGCCATATCGCCAAACTCTTGTGCAAACTTTGAACTTGCCAAAATAATTTTGAGTAACATTCACTTTTTTCAGAATATTTCATTAAAAGGCCAGATCAAAACCTTGAGGCAAAATCACTATTTTTGATAAATTGATGATCAATTGAAGCCTGAGCGACAACGACACGCAACTGCAACTATTACAACGACACACACAGATACACACACCTGCCTCCTCCTGCTCTTTTCCCTGCTCCCTTCTCTCTTATCTCCACCTGTGGCTGTATAACAGTAGCCTGTAGAAGCTGGTAACATCTGTTGAGAAGGTCACTGTACACTACAGTACGTGTGTGGTTTGTTTGTTTTCTAGTCTTGTGGATTTCAATTACAGTACTTTTATTCCTGCTCACATTCAGAATAGTAAACATTTGCACTGCTCTGAATGTGCCATCTCAAAATATCCTGGCATCTACACATGTACCTCTACACCTCTTGATAATGCATGCTCTGTCAGACATCTATCTGGTGTTGTCACCATGGTCACAAAATTCTGCAGATTACATGGTGAGTAAAATGTTACTAAAAATGATGACTAAACCCAAAAATGACAATCACATGGATTTAGCTTTTCCTCAAAAGAAGAGAACAGTGAGTGCATGAAAGTGTTTGTTTAGCCTATCAGCAGCTGTGAAAAGTTAATATTTTAAGTCCTATGTGATATAAAGGCTTAAAAACATCACACAGAAAGTTAAATATAGACTTGAGTCAACAATTCAACTTAAGGGCAAGCAGGGTGATCATTGTCAGCTTATCCTCTAAGCTGCTTGAGGAAACAAGCCACTGTGTTTGTCCTCGGTGAATGTTGAGACTCCAAACTCTGCAAGAAGGGCTTTGACTGCAAACAGTGTCAGCCTGTATTTATGCTTTTGTTTCTAAAAGCTCACATTTTCTTTGCAGGTGGTCAGACTTGTCAGGTACAATGAGTTGCATTATGTCAAACTAGTAAAAGGAGCCCAGTAACCCAGTTTTGCTCTGTGGGGTATATTTTAAGGACATAAGGCAATCCAGGGACTCCCGAAACAGGGAACAATCATATCCTCTGTCATGGGAATTGGATTGTGATGACAGAATCCTATCATATCATTCTCAAGCAACATTATGTCCTTAAAATGATGAGTCCAAACAACCTTAAGCAGACCACGCAATCAATCTTTAGGGTTTAGGTTTCAGGAGTCCTGTTTCAGTTTCTTTTTTCAGTATTGTGGGTTTTTCCATACACCAGTGTATAGTATTGCCTTATCCCACTCACCAAACTGGGTTCACAGAGGTCCATGTATGGTAAGAGTTCCATTATTCCACTCTGGGTTTATTATAATCTGCAAATTTGCCTCATACTAAAGAATCCAATGCCTCATTTCCATTTAAAGAAACTACTGGAAATGCAAAAAGTTATGACATTTGAAGAATAGGAACTGCATGTGCATAACTTACAGGCATCATGGTGAACTCCTTGTGCGCAGGCTAACACCACAGTTTCAGCAGTCACACACCCCGAATGTCTCCATTCCCGAGCTGTCCTGAACAAAGCTGTTGGTTATATGCAGTCAAGTGCGAGCCATTTGTGAAATGAGCCGCAGTGACTGCAGGTGGTGACCCAGCTCCTTAGTTAGTGCTGAGCCAAGTAGGAGGAGGCGACCTCATGACTTTAGGCAGTAAACAAAAGGGCTCACGGTAAGTTGAGTTCTTCGGCGACGACGCACAAACTCCAATTCGACTAAATGTTGAGAGTTATGATTGAAATGGCTTGTCAGTTGTCCGTAAAATTAAGCTGGTGCAACTGGCAAAGCGATAAAAGTTGGTGCAGGTGGCAAATATTTGCGTATGGCTCTTATCTCCAAGCTAACTTTAGCCTACAATTGGAGCCTATGGACAAGGGATGCGCATGCGTGTAGCAACTCTTCGGCAATAACAATGGACCACGTGACAGACGGAAACAGCCGAAGGTTTTCGGAATATGTGCTATTAAAGCTGTAAAAGTACAGAAAAAAGCAAACATTTATGCTTCGAGTGCCTTTAGATGAATAAAAGCGGTACACCGGCATGTTTTACACTTTATTTTGCGATGGCCCTCTTACCCCTACTCCTGTTTTAGGCTCTGCACCGACTTGTTTTTGATTTTAAATGCTTAAAAGAACCACTTAAATAAGTTTTTGCATCGAGACTTTTTGACTCGGAACCTCTATTTCAACAAAATAAAAAAAAATAAAAAATAAATTGACTAAATTATAAAACGCTCTTATTTAAATTATGGCACTTGTCGTGATAGGGTTGCTGTTGACCCGGTTAGATCAATATCTAATAACCAGAGCAAACACTGAAATCATAAGTGAACTGTCAGTCAGATTCTCTTCCAATCATATGAGATTTAGGAAATTCTCATTTTGCCACGTTTTGCCCGACACAAAAACAGGCATGTCCAGACATGTGAGATCAGTTCAGTATAGATGTCTGTATGAGGGGTATACTGACAAAGAAAGGCCCAGAGGCCCACTACAAAAACTATTATAAGCAATATATTCATGGATAATGAAACCTAACAAGGTAACCTAGAGATGAGAACCAAACTGGATGGTAAAGAATTGTTTTTAGTGTAATTTACAGCTGATTTAAGACACAGGTCAAAACCAAACCTTAACATGGTGGGTGTGTAGTAAAAGCTAACACAGGAGGAAGGATAAATAATATCCTTTGTATGAGTCTTGAAGTTCAAAGCTAATATTTGATCATACAGTATGATCAGTCCTAGTAAATTGGAGGATTGTCATTGAAACTGAACTATACCTGCTGTGTTTCTGAGGTTTTTAAGTTATTTACTGACATTCAGTGTTGCACAACCTAATGCTGCAGGTTTGTATACATATGAAATGTACAATCTTTATTAATCAGTTAATCAATCATTTATCTTGAGCAAATTCAACTGGGGGCTTGCATCAAACTAGGAAGGTTAACTTATTTGTATATCTAATTCCGTTTTTACTTTAAAATAATTTAAAAAGGGGTAATCTTGCACTTTTTTCCTTTCTTTGAAAGGACAAAGGACTTCTGACAGTCACTTTTGTCATTTATTGTGAAGTTGTGGAAAATGGGGCTGTTTCTTCAGCTGCTTGGCAAACACCTTACCTCTCATACTGATTCAAGGCATTAAGAATTAGGATACAAAAACTGTCAATGTTGTTGCTGATGCTCTTGTATGCTTTTGTATATCATAAAAATGCATCAGTATGAATTTCAGTCCATTTAGTAAACCTGAAGAAACTCCTTATAGGAGCTTTAGGGAGACAAAAACATTATATTTGTCCAAAGTCACCATTTACAGTTCCAAAAACAGAAAATATCTGTCAATGACATGCAAAAAAGGTACCAGCAGTCTGTTAAACACAACCAAAATTTCAGAGTAAGTGCTCAACAGTTAAAAGTTTTTTAACAAGTGATGTTATTTTGGCATTACACGCATCTCCCTAAAGATGTAAAGCTTTAATTTAATCCACATAAACCACAAATACAGGTCATATATCTTTATTGTTACACTTGACAGTACAATTTGGATTCTGTACTGTAAGTTGAAATATAACATTAACTGATTGAGGTGCCACCGTAGTATCTGCATACTGCACCTGTAAACAGTTTACAAGTAGAAAAATACAAAACCAGACACTCATCAATGTGTGAGGGAGGAGGAATGACAAATGACACAAAACAAGAGGGGGCCTCATAAAGCTATAGTACCTTTTGGTGGAGAGGAAATCAAGGGGACTAGGTGTAACAGAGGCAGTGAGAAATGATGTCAAGAAGCTGCTGCAGGGTTTTCAGGAATGAGAGGAATTGCACATGAATTCAAAACAATAAAACGGGGTTCAACAGGTTTAAGATCCAGTGTGTTCACTGTTAGCTACATTTGTATTCATCAAGTGCACTTCGCACAGTCCACAGGAGAGGAAATCAGGGAGAGCTGCACATGCACATCCTGATATCATCCCTGACAGATGAGAAGAAAAGTCCATCTCAAGCTCCTGGATGGTGAGCTGGGATTCAAGGTTGTTTAAGGCATGCATTCACAATAATGTAGAGCCAGAAGGTTTTAAATCTGAGTGAATGTCAACAGTGACAGCACTGACAGCACTTTCCCTGCATGAAGAAAATACAGATACTCAATAAAACTTGGCAAGATGATCTACAGTCAAGAGCCGACACCAGCACTGTTTTTTTTTCCTCTAAATCTGCAGGATGAATTGTACTTACATGATAGAATAAGACAAACACATCAATATTCATACAAACAATTCATACAATCAAACAAACAGTACAGGAGTTGTGCTTACAATTTTCAGTGACACAGTTTCCAACTGATGAGTGACAATTAAGTGTGGTGATGCTCTTATAACACAGAAGACCTGGGTAAAAAGGTTGACATAATTCAAATTATTTAATTTGAGAATATTTCTACCACCACCATATGACATGATATGACAAATTTCTGCAAAATCAGATATAAAATAATTTAAGTGATGTTCAAAGTTTACAATTTTATGACTCATTCAAACTCTTATGTGCAAAAAAAATCCAAAAATGTCAATGTTAAAATTCTTTAGTTTTTAATTACAGCTTCAGGGTAAGACAAATTTGAAGATATGATTGAATCCGACCACAATTCAACTGTAAAAGTAAATATTTTAAATGAACACCCTGCCCCTTTACACAGGCAAGAACAAAATCTGAGACATAATTTAACACTAATGCTGAATAAAACAGGTATGAAATTGTTGAACTCTAAAAAACTTATCTCAGTGAAATCAACATTTTGTCAAAATTAGCTCTATTATATATTTAAACACACACGCACACACAAACACACACACACTCACATACATGTATAGCAGACATGTATAAAGAAACCCATGCACTCCAATGGTAAAAAGTGCTGTGTTGTGCAAACGTCTGCACCAACTATAATGTCAGAAGATTCTCATCTCAATAAAAGAAAGTTAAGGCAACAAGTGGGAGGAAAAAACAAACATCCAATCTCATTCAGACTGAAACTGAAAACAGGATGCTGAACGATGCGTCATCTATATAAACAATACACACTTCCAATCTTAGTTTGTCACCTGCAAGGAAAAAAGAGATTTACATCCATACAGCAGATCTCAGTTGTTGCATCTCATTAGTAAAGTCTTTAAAAAGGATCTATTTAGCACTATTTCGTTGGCTTTAGTTGATGAGTTCAGTTTTAAACGTGTTTATCAAGCGATGACCACAAGAGGGCAGAGTTAGACAGCCAAAGCGCTGCAGAAAATAAGCCTCTTCCGCAGAAACACCATCCTCTGAATACAAAACTTGTGCCAGAGCAAAACCTTTAATCTGTGTGAGACAAAACTTGGAGGTGGTAGAAGAGATGATACAGAACTTTAAGCTAAGATCATTTTTTCCCCCAACAGTGCACGACAGTTCAGGCTCTTCTGCTTTAAGGTCGTTGTCTCAGCACTGGGAGAGTATTTTCAAACATACTTACAATCATATTTTTTGTGCTTTTAAAACTTTTTAATAAACGCTGCTTGTGTTAAACATTTGAGCAGTGTTGCTTGTGTTTGCTTTTCGGCCTCTGGGCGTAGGCTGCATATAATCTGGTAGTTGTAGCATAAAAAGACACTAGCAGAAAGCAAAGCATGCAGCTACAATGTATGCAATGGTCATTTTGAATGGAGTTGGGTTGCGTCTTATTAAAAAAATCCACCCATTTTGATTCCTTTCATTAAATATACATTCAATCTAAACTATTTTGACCTTGGCCCTTGTAAATTTTGTTTAACAATAGTATATAAGGTTTTTCTTCTGTTGCATTTTGCCTACACTTAAAAGATTTTCTTTCCAGGCCTCATAATTTCAGATCTTTTCTATTACACTGACTTTCTGAAGCACTTTGGAAAATGAAATCTTAATAAAAAAGAAAATGTTAAAGTCTTATTCTCTTGACAATAAAAGACCAAACCTACACACAAGGTTTCCACTCTTATAACTTACAAAATTAAACGCTAGGCTGAAAGATCGGCTTTAAATATCCAGCATGACAACAGCTCTGCTCTGCTGATGATGAAGACGACTGAGACATAAGCAGACAGCAGTAAGAAGTGCACATTGGACTGCGAAAAAGGCTGAACATTTGATCTGGTCACAGATAAGCCTCAATAGGCCTAAATCATTTCAAGGCATCACAGATGCAAAAAGTCATTGAAAAAAAACAAAAGTGAACACATTTCCCCCTTCAGGCTCAGTAAAGGCGTTTATCCACTCACTGACTGCTGTAAATGCTCTAAGATGACACTCAGCACTTCTCAAATACTTCTTTTAGGCACAGTGATGGTCACCCTGTCTGTCTGACACTTAGTGTTGGGACACAAGGTGAAATTAAACGTATATTCAGTATCAGATATGATCCCTTTTCCACTGATTTGAGGACGAAGAAACAATCTTTGGGGTGTTCTGGGGTGGAGTTATGGTCCATCCTCCTTTACCCAGCATGTCTCCATCCTGAATTGTTGAGAGGTGAGTGCAGACAGGTGAGGGTGGGTGTGGCCATGTTGCTTCTTCACCTGCTCCTTTTCTATTGTCTACTGTTAAAACTGGTGTCAGCACTGCTGCAGCTCTCCTCATAAGTGGGTGGGGGCTCTATAACACACAAAGGCAAAAAAAGTCAGTGTACGTACTTGTGTATCTGTAACAGCAGATGTTGTCCTAAAGCATTTCTTTGAACAGTCTAAGTGAAATGACGTTATGCTTTTTTTCAATGAAACACATGCAGTGATCTTATCATAGCTGATTCAGTCAGTGCCACTTCTTATTAAGACAGATGCTGTGCACATTTACATTTTCAATAAATAGGTTTGTCTCCTGGTCTAAGACCTTTCCTGTCTCTCTTCCGATGTCCTATCTAATAAAAGCAAGTGTCCCAAAATACGACTCAAAAAAAGGAACGAAATCTGTTTTCTGCACATGCAAAGGTCTGACCAAGTCATTCTCGCCTCCTGAAACATCCACAGGAATCCAGGAATAAAGACTCAGACGGACTCAGGTGATTAGGACATGACTTGAACATGACTCAGATCCTTCACTGATGGTTCAAACTTGACTCAGACTGGACTAAAACACTGGTTAGTGTCCCAGGACCCAAATGTCTCTACAGTGCCAGAGTGTACTCAAAGCACCGACTGTGATAGAGATGGCTGAATATAGCTCACTCAGCAGACTGATACTGTATGTGTCCTTGAATGCATCATGTATGTGTTTTTTTTAATCATAAAGGACTAACCATGAGGGTACTCCCAGCTGCTGTACTCTGGAGGGAGGATGAGAGAACATGAAGTGGGAATAGGAGTCACTTCTCCCTCAGTGAAGAAGGGTATGGTGGCCCCGGTGGACACACAGAACAGAGGGGCAGAGGCATTAGGTCGTCTGTGGTTGGGAGGCAGGGCCGCCCCGGGAGCGTGGCTGAAGGCGCTGGGTGACATGGTGACTGGCTGACCTGAGGGGTCCTGCTGAGAGTGACTCTTGGTGGGAATCTCCTCACTTGCCACGCCCCCTGCACATAGCCCCTCCTCTAGCTCCTCCTCTGCTGGTGGGGCGCTGGGTGTCACTCCTGTTGCACCCAGAGCGATGTTTGCTGAACTGGAGGGAATGGGTCTGGATGGAGACAAGTTCAAAGCAATGTTCCCGATGTAGATGGGCAGAGTGACGACTGCCTCTGGAGACTTTAGTGACACCTTTAAGACAAACAGGATTCATGAAGACAGCACAGGCCTCGGGTAGATTTACCTTTGCCTACATAGATACATGATTGGACAGAAGCTGATCACTGAGGATGGTGAAGATCTCTGATCTCGCCTCAGTAGTTTGGACTTCGGTCCCTCTCAGCTGACTAAATCAAATTGTTGTGGCATTTAAGTAATCAACACAGAGGAGGCATTGTTGCACCCCAACCCTAATCTCTACAGATGATATACTTTGGTGAAAAATAAACACAATTAGATATTTAAAAAATATACAAGACCCAAACCATCTAAACGTGTTTGGTCTAATCGATCGTATTGCCCAAAACTATAATAAAAGATCACGTCACGACACCATCCTGCTGCTGCAAATACAACCACCACAAGTGAATGTGAATCTAAGGAAATGAAACAATATATATGTGTGCAGTGTTTAAAGATTTTGGTCCAGTTGGAAATAATGGCCTCAAAAAAAAGAAAAAAATTGTTTCTGTGTCATTAGTTTTGGCTTTTCACAAGACTCAAGGGGAATATTTCAGCTCCAGGTACGTCGGGCACAACTTTTAGGTATTTTACTATTAGAGTAACTCTGCTGCAGTCATACATTTCCAATAATGTCAAGAAAAATAAACACATTATTGAATATTCAAACCAAATGCTGAATGCTGCAGATACAGCAAACACATTATGTTCTGGACTGTCGGTTTATATACAAACATTAAAAGTTGAAACAATAAATGTAGCATTTAAAGTCTTGACTCTCTCAGCAAGTCCTAAAATCTAAGATGATGCTGAATGAGTGTTGGCACCAGCATGAACCACAAACACATAAAACAACGTTGCTCTCAGAGTTCATCCCACTGATTACAATTTGAGGACCTTTGTAAACTGTGTCGAGTGTTTTAAAACTTGCCTTCACTTTATTATGTATTGTAACCTGCCATTAACCTCATTTAATGCTCCAAACAGAAACAGGGAGACACACTCTGACCTGAATGAAATAGTCGATATCTATGAGGCTGCAGCCGGCCAGTGCAGACTGAGGCAGAGGAGGGACGATGATCTGCTCCCTCCACTCTGCGTGTTTTCCTGCTTTAACCCCGGCTCCTTCCACCTCAGCGATGGTGCGCCAGTCGTACACAGGCCGCTTGGTCCTGTAGGTCACTTTCTGGTGTGAAAAATATGCACATGAGTCATCTAATAATAAAGTTTACTAAACATGTAAATGTTTAATTTGCATAACTAAGCAAAAATTAAGACGTGCAGAAAGATTGTTTTGACTTCAGCAGGTCATATGTGATAGCTTACCTGTATAAGACTTGCCAGTACACACCCTGTGTCCTTCCCTGATTTGTTGTGGATCTCAGTGGCTAACTTGATGACCTGGCCGGGGATGTACCCCTTCATGTCACTGTGAGCTTTCAGCATCAGTGTCCCCGTCTTCACCAGGAGGTAGCTGAATTTCTTAGTAATCACAGCGTAGCTCAGATCCTGAGGAGACAGAATCAGAATCACGGGGTCGGATTGTGGTTGTTAGAAATTCAGAGGTCTAATCAGCTGTTTCTGCACTGATGAAAACATTTTGTAAAGGTATGAAAAGAGCAGTGAGATTAAGATACACTCACCTCAATGTCAGGCACCTCATTGAGGTTGAGCAGATTGAGAAGGTAGAAGCCCCTCTGGGCTTTGTAGTCTTTACTGAAGCGGGGTGTGTCGATGGCCGCCCTCACACGGTACGCAACCTTTCCAAAAGGGCCCTCAAAGGAAGTTGGGGCGGCAACTGAGAGGAGGGAAGGGAAGGGTTGAGAAGACATAACAAACATCACTCCAACACATCACTCCAAAGGATGCACATCACTCCAAAGGATGCACACTGAAAACTGGGGCGAAGTAACACAATATAACTGAGTGATATACAGATGATATACTAATATAAGATGCATTCGACAAATTACATCAATCTGAAAAAAAAATGCAAAAGAGGAAAAAATATATATATTTGATTAGATAAATGAAAAATATTTATCTTGGTAAATATTGACACAAAGGGATTTTGAATGTCTGTCCAGCCATCTTTAATTATTTAAAAAGAAATAAAAATACATATAGATAATGTGGTTAAAATAAATAATAAAAAACAAAGTCATATATAAATCTATTATTTCATGCACAATAACATCTAAAAGACACGGTTATCTTAGCCACTAACATGTTTAAAATGGATTTTGAATGAGTTTAAAAATAAAATACACTGGATTATGTTATAGATTTTAGGACATGTCTGATATTTCTATCTAGCTGAAGCAACATTAAACTTCACTTTTTCCTACATCATAACAGAACTTATACCACTACTGTCACTGAGGAGGGTAAAAATGTGTTTTCATGCAGAAATAAAAAGATCGTGTTGCCTTGTGAGGGTCAATACAGGTAATTTCAAAATGCCATTAATCGGCTGATTGATGAATTGATCTTTTGAATTTCCCCTAGGAAACTCTTCCAAAAGGATCAATAAAGTTCTGTCTCATCTAATCTAAAAGTTTTTCAGTCTCTTAAAAGATGAAGAAATTTCATGCTGTGTTGGTTTTCCTTACTGTACAGAAAATGTACCTAAAAGACATTAACAAAAGATAGCATGTGTCTGCATTGCAGAGAAGCCCCATCAATCAGGATTAATGTGATTTAATTTTAGATAATTTTGAGAAGTGAAAACAGAGTTAAAACTGTGTCCTTCTCTACGTCGGCCTCTATCAGAGCTGTGAGGAGCTGCTCAGACTGATTCCTGCATATCTCATCTTTATTGCAAGGACACTGATTGTTTTTGTGACCAAAGGAAAGGGCAGAGGAGACAAGGAAACAGAGATAAACTGCTGGGGGAAACGAAATTTAAGGAGACCGAGATAAAAATAACTATTTGGGGGGAAAGGAGGCAGATGGGCCGAAAGAGGCAGAGATATTAGAGACACTGAAAGGGGAAAGCATCACAGATATTTTGGCTGTGTGAGCACTGTGCAGCCCAAACAGGATGTACAATAATGTGATTAATGTGTTGCCAAAACAAAACCCGAGCCACCATCTCAGCCTCCCCTTTCTAATGAATTCTGTTTTTTCACCAAGGCTCATTCAGATGTTAATGTCAGCGAGGCAAGCGCCAGCTCAAGGGGAGGGTCTGCTGCTGTTGTCAATAGGAATTAACCGAGAGGTGGTGGCACGTTGTTTTGAGAAAAGTGGTGGTGGACAGGCTGTAATACAGGCTGACCTTCATGGAGACAGAACCAGACTGAGCTGAACAAAGCAGCTGAAAGCCACCAAACAATCTACAGCCTGTCCAGTTTCTCCAAGGACTTAATATCAAGCCTCGTCCACACAACGATCACCTGTGGATGTTTAGATTATCATGTGAAACAGGCGACTGTAAACATCCTGCTGATGAACACTGCCTAAAAGTCAGTAGTTCGAATCTGTAAATGACCATACATTATGGCACCCTAACCTCATCCAACATGAACATTTCTGTCAACAAAGAACAGAGTAGGACATTTCTGTTTGATTAGTTTTATTATTGATTATTCTTTGGAGGAGATTCATCAATCTGTGACATCACAAATTGAGCAGCTCTTGGGTTCCTTTTTTACCAACTTTTCTGAGCCTTATCCTGGGACTTCTTCAACAGACATTTTAGCTTAATATTTATATTTATTTAGGTTGTTAGTAGTTTGTGTGTTAACCACAATGGATACCAGTCAGGTGATGGGTCTGCTCCCTTACTGAGAAACAGCTAGTAGAAACAGAAGGCTAGGCATGTTCCCATGTATGGTCGACTTTGGCTCATTTCAAGATTGTCTGACCCTAACACTCATCTTGGTTTGAATGTATGCTCTACCTTTATTTTGCCAGCTGAAAGCCCATTTGTTTTTGCACTATTTGCAGACACAGCACACAGATGTGTTCCTCCACATGCTCCTTTAATGTCATCTTTAATAAAGAGGCCAAGCTGACCAATGCAGGTTAAGATGGCTCGGACATCTGCTGAGGATGCCCAATGAAAGGCTACCTAAAGTTCTAGTGACATCTAACTTATACAAACTCATCTAAAAAATCTGAAATATCTCTTAAACACAGCTCTCATTTGTATTTACCTCACTTTTTAGTGAGTAACAGTATAATGTTAAATCTTAATTTATTGCCAGCATGCTCGCTCTAATGAGGAACTGTATTCATCTATGGATCAGTTCCTCATTACATGTTGAAATGCTTTCACAAAGATTCCTTTTTTATTTCAAATCACATGAACCTCTAAAGAAGATTTCAGTCTGCATCCAAATTTAGCTCACTTAAAACCTTCACCTGCAACATTTCATAAACTTAATGCTTGACAACCAAGACTTTCAAAGTAACCCTCTCACACAAGTTCACAGATCAGGGACAGAAAGTGTTATGGCTAAACACTGAACCAAGTGGGATGTGAGAAGAAACTTCAAGGTAACATTTTGTTTTCTGGCTCATCAGCAGAAGCAGCAAAAATTTCACACATACTTTTTTTGACAGTATCCTCCCTGATCTGAGTAAAGCAGCTGATAACACTCCCAAATCCCCAACCCTCCTCCCAGCTCAGCGCTGATGTTTTGAAATGTAACACAGCTGACAGTCTCATTTCAGAAAATCAACACTGTGATACGAAGATGTTTTGGGGATTTAGATAATCATCTGCTCCCTGGATGTTCAGTTGTGTTCTGTTTATTAGTCTGAATACAAATGATTACAAAAGAGAACAAGTTTAGAGCGCTCTGTTTTTTGAGTCAGCTTTATTCTCTTTTGTCCGCTTACCTTCCTGAACTCGTATCTAGTGTCTCTTTGGAATGAGGCCAAACAACAATTCATGTAACTCTATTTATCCCTCTAAGTGTCCCTGCGCTTTATCTCAGCCTACGCCTTCCTATTATTTTTGAGTTTCTCTGTCCTATCAGTGAGAAATGATCAGACAGAGACAACACCTGATGCCTCCGTCCTGTCACCTGATCCTGGCTTGTGGGAAATTATGTAAAAGAAAAATACTTGCTCACACGGCTTTCTTTTTTTTTTTTATTAAACTCCACCCCAGGCTAACATAACTCCTAACATTAGCACTGTAGCTTAAAATGTAATCTTCTCAACTCCTCCTCTATCAAAAACTTGCTTTTTTATTTTGCTTGTTTTAGATGGTTGACAGTAAAGTTACTCTTTGAAAACTATGAGACTGATGTGCTGCCAAATTAAAGCATTATACGGCCCTACTTTGGTAAAAGTTGGGATACTGTGTTAAATTTCAATAAAAACACGTTTTAATGGTTTGCAAAATTTTAAACCAAATTTTAAATGTAAAAAAAATAAATAAATAAACACCCGGAGGAACATCTCTTAACTCATTTGGATAACTGGTAAGAGGTTGGTATCATACGGCAATGACCTTTGGGCCCTCAGGTGGCACAGTTTTAGAAAAACAGACATGACTCTGTAGTGGAAGTCACTGCATGAGCCAAAAATCACCTCTAAATACCACCGTCTGTGAACACAGTTTGTCGCTGCGCCCACAAATGCAGGATAAAACTTCACCATACAAAGAGGAAACCGAGCACTTTGTAAACTTCTGTTTTTAAAAGTGCTATAAAAATCTATTATATTATAGAAGTTATTATCATTATTATACAAACAGGATCCAAAATGCCTAAGTGGGGTTAGGTTAATTGGCCACTTCCAAATTGCCCGTAGGTGTGAATGTGAGCGTGGATGGTTGTTCGTCTCTATATGTCAGCCCTGCGATGAACTGGCGACTCGTCCAAGGTGTCCCCTGCCTTCGCCCGAAGATGCTGGGATAGGCTCCACCCCCCCGTGACCCCAGGAACGGGAATAAGCGGTAGAAAATGGATGGATGGATGGATCCAAAAATGCCAAAGACATATCTGAGCCTATGCCACATAAAGACCAAAGTTAAAGGCTGTACTGTGGTCTGATGAGCCAAAATTTGGCATGATTTCTGAGAATCATTTGGTGGTGGTTGTTTCTCTGTTTTGTTTGTTCAGGTTAGTCATGCACTCTCAGTCTTTACTCTAGCAGATGCGTCTATCTTGATTGTTGGGTTGTAGGTACTGCCTTTGCTTCCTTTCAGTGACTGTGGGTTTCACTGTGTTTTAGACTTGATATCTTTTGTATATTTAAGAGTATGAGGAGATTAAAAGACACTTGCATGATTGTTGCATGTTGGAATAAACAGTTCAATTCACCTTCGCTAATACTGATTTTTCAGTGTGATCTGATGTATGTATATATTTTTTTAATATGAGGATCCTGCTGTATCAAAAGTCAAGTTTCTGACCAGCACACTTTAAGATATCAACATATCACGAATCCTGCCTGCCTCTTTGCTGCACCAGCAGGGGGCAGTAGGACACATTAGATTCTCCAGTGAGTTACTTATCACTACATGATAGCTCGGTAGTTAATATGCCCTGTGCTGATGCTCTCAATTCTGAGGGCCTGACAGGAGGGGAGGGCGAAGCACGGGGGCATGAAGACCAATTAAACAGTGACTGCACAACAGGAGGGGGGACTAAAAATAACCCCAGCCCTCTCCTGTGCTCCAACCCACGCCTGAGAGAGTGGAAGATACCAGACAGATGCAGCACTGTGTGTCCTCACGGGTGCCATGTATTTTCAGCTCCTCTCTGCGTGTGTTATTATTTTCATGACTATGTTGCTGAGTTTTCTTTTTGTCAGCTTTCAGGAATCAACAACTTCAGTTCCTGTAATGACCGTGCATTATCACACTGAGCATTTCCATGCCAAATCTTTCAAACATTAACTTTGTAATGAGCTTTTACACAACATCCTTATCACACGTCTGCTCTGTGTCAGATACAAGGAGCTTTGGGCTGAACACTTCTTAAATACACACTTAGAAAGTCCCACATTATCAGAGGTCATCACACCTGCACGCCCTGATAAGACAGACCCATTAGGAAACTGTTGCAGTAACCAGGGTTGTGTCTTTGACGTGGAGGGATAAGGGTTGTAATGATAAATCCCACACTTACCTGGAATGAGAAACTGGAAAGGGAAACTGTGTTCACCTGCCGCCAGAGTTCCTGTGAAAAGAGAAAGACTTGTGAGTTACATAAGTCACTCTTACAGATAAACAAAATAAAGTTTCCAAGATAATTATCAGGCTTTGTAAATCTTCATAATAGCAGTAAATGTGCAGTTGTAGCACAACGCCTGAGGGCCTCACCTACTTTCCCAGGGGGGTGGGGTTTCTGAGAGAAAGACAGCTGAGCCGAGGCGTCTTTTGAAGCGAACAAAACTAACAACTGAAACCAAAGATGTTTTCACGCATGCACTCTGGAACATTTCAAGGAAATTCCAACAAACCAGTGTCTGAGCAAACAAACTGTGGGCTGTAAAGCTGGAGAAGTTTCCCAGCAAAGATAATCAATGATTTACGAGCCCTGTGAGGTAAGCTGTGATTGACCCGAGACTGGATGCATTCTTTTCCTGTGTGTCATCCACACGTTAGCGTCGTCGCACCAAAACAACTCGTAAAGAAATCAGAATATATGCCAATGGTGGCAACACTGGGTACACTCTCTGTGGCATCAGGAAACTGGTCATGGGTACTGGTGTGTATTAAATCGAGGCACCGGTTGATTTGAGACAGGCATTATGAAAACAAAGATGTTTTCAACAATATCAGTGTTTATAAGTACTCTGAGTGCTTTCAATATCTATGTTTGGTGTGTTGGAGTTCATGGATCATCGATTACATTGCCCTTCAGTTTTTACTGCTTTGGGTTGGAAACAAATCTGAACCAGTTTGAAAAGAGGCCTTCACACAGGCGGGATGGAGTTCAACGCAACAATATCTGTCTGTAAACTCTGTGTTTTTGATATTATCAGTCAACACAGTGCAAACCAAAGCAGGTCTCACCGTGTTTACACAAACACAAGTGCCCTTCTGAGAGGTGTGAGGCGGTGTTACGGAGTAAAACTAACTCTGTTAAGTCCATTCTATCTGAACGGAACTTATTTATGTGAAGCTAGGGCGTTAGCAGAGGCCAGATATAATTTGATTTTAATAATTTATAAATTCATATATTTATGAATTTAATGATTTATAACTTTAGAGTCCAATTTCACATCCTTGAGAGCTAAAATTCATAACTGAAAATATCTCTGACCCAGGACTGCCTGTATGCCTATGTATCATGTAGAATAAAACTTGTATTACAGCAGCTTTAAATATAAATATAATCAAGAAAACTGTATATTTTATCAAGCAAATGTTCTGCAACTCATTTAAACTTCACTTCTTAAGCTCAGTCACATTATTCAACAGAGCAGAAAGCACCTGCTCAACACGTTTTATATCCCCGTCACTCTGAGAGCACCTTGAATCAGTCAGGTTATTAATTCCCTGAACAGCTGACAGCCCCATCAGACTGAACTCTACAGCAACATGTCTCACCTCATTAGGGGCGTGCACAATTTTTTTCCGCTGATCTGTTTCCTGGGAGGAAGTGCCCAATGTGTGTCTAAGTGTGTGTGTTCATTTGCATGGTGTTTCCTGCTAGAGGAAGCAGTCATGCTCTCAACCAGAACTGTGCAGGTGCAACAGCCAGTTTATAGACTCAACTGAACTTTTCAGGCTGACTAAAAATAAACAATCATGAGAGAAATATTTCTATTTTGGTAAACATGCAGAGAGAGCTACTTTTCATAGACTCATGACCCCTCTAATTTCAGCTGTGTGTAACTTGGCTCAACACTCAGTGTGTTTACATGCACAGTTTTATCAGACTAAGCTCATAATTTGGTTTATTTTTTTGCAGAATCAGACTTCTCTCCTTGTCTGCGTACACATGCAGCTGAGAAAATCGAGTTATTGATGTGAACGTGTCCTCCTCCCCAAAACTAGGGGGCGATATAGGTCTTTTCAGCGGAGAAGATAGAGCATCTTACAGCGTTGTTTTTGTCGGACATGATGTACGTGCTACTTTTTCTGCAGATGAGGTGCAGGCTACTCCTCTTCTCTGGTGTTTTTGTTCCAGGGTTACAGGGGCGTGGCACACATGAGACACGTCAGACTAAGGTGCTTACATGCATTTCAGTTGTCCGGACTTCATCAGAGTAAGACAATAATTCAGTTTTCTCAAGTGTCATGTAAGTGTACGGAGTGTTTCAGTATTTCTCTGACCTTAAACCAATTAGTCTTTTTAAAACATCTCCACCTACAGTGCTACTGATTTGAGAAAACATTACACCATACAGAGTGTCAGGGAAAGCCATGCTGGAAAACCTACTAACAGCCTATTTACCCCTCAAAACCAAAAATTCAACCAGGCATTCAGGACTCTTTCTTCAGCTGACACCTACCCCTTTGCACAGGTTTCAGGCATCAAGAATTAGGATAAAAAAATCCTCAATCCTGTTGCTTACGGCCTTCTTTGATTTAGGATCTCATATAAAAGCATCAACATAATCAGTTTACTTCATTACCATAAAAAAACTCCTCAAAGGAGCTTTAAGTACTCATATTTTTGTAACCACAGATTTTACATAAACTTTCCTGTATGTGTTTTTATTAGTGCTTGAAAAAGTTACAGCTCGGTCATAAAATCTCACTACGTTGAATCTTTAAGGGTCTAAAATGAAAAACCTTGTTCAATATCATGATATATGAGGTATTATAAAAGTAGGTTTGTTTTTAAAGTTAGTCCCACCCTATGCACGGCTGTTTGCTTTTTTGGGCACAAATATTTTGGAGTTGCTGACCGCAAAATAAGGACTGATAGAGGACGATTTTCCAAACTAAGAAATGATAATCCAAGCTGCAGCAACGTTAAGTAAGTCGATATATCTGCTTTGTGCTGTATGAATAGATCATAAGATGACCTATAAACCCTGAAGTCAGTCATTAAACTATAAGAACTTCTCTGGTCCAGTATCATGAGTTAGGCATGTAAAGTATGCTACATTAATGTGACTCTGAGTGTAAAGCTGTGAGTGTCTAAATGGAGTCTCCACTGTAACCACTCCAACTGCAGCAGTGGGAGGGGGATCCTCGTTTCCTGAAGGTCATTAACTCACAAAAGTGACAGGATGAAGAGCAGACGCTGACATCACTGGTCCTCACCCATCGCCAACCGTCAAGCATCTGGAGCATACCACATAATCAGTCAACCTCACCAGCTTTGTGTGTGAGCGTGCTTGTGTCCGTTTGTGTGCATGTGTGTGTGTGTGCGGTGGTCTTCTGTCACCCTGTCTTACACTCCCACGTCTCTTCGGGGCACAGCGGTCCATTTTGGGAAGAGAATGGGATATGGAAAAATGGCAGAGATAAAGGAGAGCATGGAGAGGGTGTGTAATGAATTATTTATGTCTCCTTTTGGAGTGAGCTGTGTCTGGTGTGTCAAGAGTCTACGGTGTGTGTGTAAGTGTGTGTCTAACTAGATGTTGAATGGGTTTTACTCTCACTCAAACTACTCCTGTCAATACGGCATTGCAAATATTGTTTTATGGTTTCTTCTCTCCTCTAGGAGGTCTCCGTGTGTGTGGACAGATCATATGCAGCAATTTGGGCGAATATTTTGCTTTTTCGAAGTTTAATTCACAGCTTAAATTGAACAGATTTCAAAACTCTGTCCTTAAAGAATGTTCTCCGTGTGTCTGTGTGGGTTTACTCCGGGTACTCCGGTTTTCATCCCACATCCTGAAAAAATGCTGAAGTGCGGTTACGTTAATTGGTCACTTCTAAATTGCCCGTAGGTGTAAATGTGAGTGTGGATGGTTGTTTGTCTCTATATGTCAACCCTGCGATGAACTGGCGACTTGTCCTGGATGTCCCCTGCCTTCACCCCAAGATACAGGGATAGGCTCCAGACCCCCATAACCCCTAATGGGAAGAGTGGTAGAAAATGGATGGGTGTCCTTAAAGAACCACTCTGATGAAAATCATGTTTTTCTTATTGTCTAGATGTTCATATGGCATTTTTCTGATGCTAGAGGACATATCATGAGAAAACTAAGTGCAAAAATGCATTTCTGAGTACGCCCCCAGCTCTGCCCCCAGCGCCCCGCTCTGCAGGCCAGACTCCGAGAAGTAGAAAGGATGATCGCAGAACAAGTGTGTGCAATAGCGGATTGCAATGCTTGCAAGAAAGCTAATTATGTTATTAGCTTTCATCATGCTCCCAAAGACATTAGTGTCCGAAAACTCTAACCCTAGATTACCTGCTACTTCTGCTACACCAGCAATGTTAGGCTACAAGCTAGCATGATGGGGAGTGTGTAGAGCAGCACTGTCTCCGCCCACGACTCAGAGGCAAATTGCTAGTGAGCTACTGGAGCTCTGCAGAGGAAATGACCTCGAAAATGACACAGGTAACGTGATTTTGGCCAACAAATTTGTAATTGAATAGTAAAGAAAATACTTCAATACCTCAGTAAAATGTGATATGTGTGTGTTTTCTTGTTCACACATTTGTATCAGATTTATACCCGTGAGCCAATCAGAGCAAAGCTCAAACAGCAGTATTTAAACAGGTTTGAGGTTTAACTGTATGAGCTGGATCTTCATGTTTGTACCTGCTTTTTGCTGAGCTTGAGTACGCTACGCCTTTGAAGCTCTCATTTCACTTCCCTGTTTGGTATTTTCTCCAACAATAGACCCACTTTCTCTCAAGTCAACTGGGGTAAATCATGTAAAAGGATACTAAAGCTGACATTGTACCAGTTCGGACAATGTGCTCATTATAATGTGCCCTATGATGAAGCTTTTCTTTAAATAGAAGAGAAATAAAATATCATGCGTCAGTTTTGACCAAACAGGAAACAGACACAGGAGAAAACAGTGAAACATTTGTCCACTAAAATGCAGATGGAACATTCAGAGTCCCTTTTTATCCAACTTCACGATTTCCCTATCAGGTACATCTTCAATGAGTAACTAAAACAAAGCAGCATTTACAAGGACTAGTTACAAGTAGTTGTTCACTTATTCATTACTTCTTATAAGCGAGTTCATCTGGCGGTGCAGCTTTTATAATTATTGTAGAATAACAGTAGCCCATTACTGAAAACCAGAACAAGCATTTCAACATTCTCCCTAAGTACAGTACACCTCAGATAATGCACTTTCCAGCAGCAAGGCATATAAAATAAAGGTGTGATGTATACTGTGTGTGTTGAAGCGCACAGTCCTGAGAGTTAAACATTGGACTGCTCGTTGGTGTTTGACCAGCATGGATTTTATGCTCCAGTGCCTACCATGACACCCAACGATGTAATTTGCATTTACCACAGATTTCATGCATGAACAGCACATTTCACCTTCTGGCTGTGGGCGGTTTGTCAGCACATACAAAAGATGGAAGATCACGCTCACAACAAAAGGCTGTGTAAGCTCTCTTTCCCGTGGGTGAGTGGGGCCTCAGAGCAGCGGGGAAGGGTGTTCGACACAGACTGAAGGAAAGGAGACATTAAACTTGTCCTCTGTGGGGCTTGTCCAACCTTTTCACCAGCCAGCGCGCCACATTGATGACCACGTCCCCTCAGGGAGGCGGCAAACAGAAAGGCAGGAACATCCCCTCCCTGCAGGGACCACTACTCGAACTGATTGAGGCGTCAACCCTAAACTACAGGGCTGCAATAACCTGCTGATGCACCTGGGAGATTGAACCTGTGCAGCAGATTTCCCATGAACCAAATGAAGGGAAAGGTCTCAGCCACCTTAGACTTGTTGCTTTGGGAGGAAAGTTGAGACTCAGACACTTCAAATTTTCATACAAAACAGAGATAAGAGTCAAATTCATTTAGCATTGATCTGCTGTACGTGTAAAGGACTATGAAGCTGTTACACAATAAACTTCTTGCCTTCATCAAGTTGCAATTTCATCTCATTTAGCATCATGCACATTAAATTCATTATCCAGGAAGAAGATAAAGGTTTTACTGTCTCCACACACCAAGCGCGAGTAAATTCATTCACGTGAATGAACTACACGCAAAGACGCGGTTAGACGCTCCTACTACTCTGGCAGCGTGAATGACGTGAACTGGGCGGGAGCTGAGTATGTCTCGACTTGAGCGGATATTCGTGTCATGATAAGGTTGCCGGGGGATATATGAAAACAGACAGTTGTTCACTGGTATCGAAAATGGAGAACAAACTGATCATGTCGGTGTGTGGATGCCCGGATAAGGAGCTCGGCTGGAGGCAAGTGAGTGAGGAGGTCGGATCACCTGGTAAATTGTAAAAAATCTTTGTCTATCACTTAATCCTGCCGGTTGAATTGGCAGGGATTACCATTGAAATACTGTTGACGCGTGAATAAAGCGGGTAAATACTATTCATTCACGCGTCTAGATTCATGCGAATTAAGCAAGTTAATGATTTTACTCGCGCTTGGTGTGAGCGCCCCATTAAAGTTTGTTGCAAATGCAAGAGCCCAGGTTCAATTTCACCCTGTGGCGTCTTTTCTCCTGTCCTCTGTAAGACTCACCTCTTTCTAGTCCTCCACCTTTGAAAGACAACAAATGCTATTTTTTACTCTATTTGAGCCTCACAGGATTTATGTTTACTTTGATCAAATCCTCTGACCAGAAATTGAAAATGTTTCAGATAGAAAAATACTCCTTCTTGGTGGGTCAGTTTTATTCCTATCTGGGCACACTTGGAGAAACTTCTGGATAAACTAATATGCGCGTAAGTCAGTGACTGGATTTTAGTAGCTCCTTAAAAACTGAAACACATGAGACTTTAAAACTAATCTTTGCATACTGATGAAATAAAGCACCAGGACGTTTTCAAGTTTTTTGATATGATTACCTTTGTCAGCAACTGACAACGTGCTGTTAAAGTACTGCTCCTCCAAAGTCCATGAGCTGTCGTTCACTTTGTTGGAGATCCCACATGAGCCCTGACAGTTCACCTTGATGGCTGTAAAAAGAGGAGAGAAGAACAGAGTCAATCGACTTGTAAGATCCTTTACAAGTTGACTAGTATTTTTACAGAGGGATTGATAAGAAATTACTGCTTATACCAACATTAGGTTGCAACTTCTTTGTGTTTCAACAGTTTTTCTTTTTTTTTAATGCAAACACATTTAGTCACCGTCATTAAAACTGCCACACTAGGGTGCAGGTTGGATATGGTTAGATTGCACAGCCCGTTACTGATCCTTGGTTAACTTTAACTGAAATAGAAAGTATTTTATTTGGCAACAAATGAAGCTGTTTAGTGTAACTGCAGTCAGTGTGGACATCAAACAACCGCCCAGGTACACAAAATGTCCTGATTAGGATGAGAATGACTCCCTCAAAGTGACGCCCGAGTTAATGATTATAGGCCTTAAGTGCTGTTGGTGTTTATTCTGCTGCAGTGGTTCATAACAGGCTGTGAACAGAGTTTGAATCAACAGATGGACACGAGGAGTAACTTCAACAAAAAGCTGCTGAAATCTGAGAAGTTGCTGTGAATAAGGGCTGGTGTGGATAAATGAAATGAAGAGCAACACAGGCCGGGTTATAAAATGAAAAAATTATGTAGTCGAGACTGACAGGTCTAATGCGGCCGTTTGTCAAATATTTAATCAAATAGTCTCTAAAAGCAAAAGTATGTTGGCTTTTAAAGTGACAGAATCCCACATGTGTAAACCGGACTGATAAAGGAAGTGTTTTTTCTATGTTATTAATATCGAGGCCTGCTGCTCTGAGTACAGATAATGGTGCTATCTTCTTCTGCTTGACTCAAAGATGAGGGAGGTACAACAAAGTTCACGCTGTTGCTGCTGGAAACGCTGTATGTCAGACATCAGCAGTCCAACAACAAGCTCACAAAGTGAAGTGAGCAGCGGGGGAAGCACCGCAGCCCTGCTGCCGCACAGTCTCATCTCCTCTCTATCCTCTTGTCTCTCTGAGTTGATCTGTCTGTGAGGAAATGAAAACCCTGAGATAACGCACACACGCACAAACACACACAACTTAGCTGCGACAGAAGCCGGAGGATTAAACAGACAGCCTCAGTATTATCTAAGCCTCCTGATAAGAAAACAACAGACAGACAGATAAGCTAAGTATCACTCTAAATGATAATTCCGCTGAATCAATGAGATACCTGAGAGTCTTAACTTCACCTCCTCCTCCCCAAGGATTAAAACTTCATATTCTTATTATTTAAACATTGAAATGTTTCGAAGTAAATGAGTCACTTATGTGAACGCTGAACAGCTATACATCAGCATTAGTAAACATCTGTCTGTGTTTGTTATTCTATAAGCTCAGGATTATCAGGATGTTTGTTTTCTGTTGGTTTAAATGAGAAACTGTCATAGGAATCAAAAATAGTTGTGAGATAACAGTGAGCGTGCAGCATAATTCTATATAAACTACTAATTATGCGTATTAGCAAGACTACACATTCTGAAAGAAGGAGGCAGTATGCTAGCAGCAGAAACAGACATGGCAAGAAGAAGAAGAAGAACAACAACAACAACGACTGTGTCCGAAATAAATCACTCAATCCCTAACCCCCATATGGGATTTTTACTATATTGTTGACTATGTAGTGAACTCAATCACCGGAGGTTTCAGACACTACATGGCAAGATGCAATGCATGATGGGATGCCCACCACCGGTGAGTGACCATCGGATGGTCACCACATTTTGCAATGGTTAATGGGAAGTTTTGAGTCGCCTATATGGGGCACTGGAATTGGTCACTCAGGTTTCAGACACTCCTCAAAATGGCGCTAACCCCAATATAGTCAGAAGAAGAAGAAGAAGAAGAAGAAGAAGAAGAAGAAGAAGAAAGCTGCAGCTTGCATTACCACCAAAAAAATGGTGAAGCCAGTTCAAAAAGGGTTTTGAGAAGTGCAGAAAGTTATTCAGAGACAACCCAAAGCCGAGAACAAGTAGTGAAAAAATATTCACTGCATTCACAGAACGTGATGACCCACATTTTTTGACACAGAAAACCACAGATTTCACCTGCTGACAGAATAATATGCAGAGTTACAGTTACTTTGTAGACGTATCCCTGCCTGCCCTGATGTGACCTCTACACACATCTACAGTCTGATCCACAGCAACTGTGAGTACACTTAGTGTGACAGATTTGAAAGTGAAAAAGACATACAATGAAAAACAAAACAAAAAGAGGGATTTAGTCTGAAATAATACGTAAAATAATCTTATAAACATAATTTTTCTTTGCTCTACAAATCTTGGCCTTTTCCAAGTCTGGTATATGTGCCTCTGCACCACATCTACTCTGTACCTACGCCATGGTAACCAATGCCATATTGAGTATCATATACCTCTCTGTTGGTGTGCCCGTGTCACTCTGCAGCACTCCACCAGAAGTCTGTACAGTCAATAATGTCTGTACTAACTTTAATACCAAGCACATCGATCCACAGTTGTTGCAGTTTTTTTTTATCAGTTAAAGTGTAACAGGGGAGGACTGGGCTGCAGTATTTCAGTCCTGGTGGTCTAACCAAAGTAAAACAGAAGGAGCATGGTTTTGATTTTGTAACCAGCAGACCTTCTATCAATGCATTATTGTGTTGATACCAACAGTCCTGCTGTCCATTACTAAAATTAAACAGTCTAACTCAATAATTTATTGACAGGATTGACCACAAATGAATAAATCTGAAAAAGCTACTTTGTAAAAATGTGCAGCTCAACATATTTATATCAGCTAACACAGATAAGTTTAAAGAAAGAGGAAGATATGATACAGGGACGAAATAAAAAAGCTCTCTGTCTGCACAAGCGAAAAAAAAAAAAAAAAAACAGACTAAGGTTCTGATATCAAAAATACCATGGCACAGACTGTGTTGGCTCACACCATGCAGGATCCTGTGCTGGCATCACAGAAAACACTCACACACACAGTTATAGTGGCAGATGGCTGTGCTCTCCACTCCGGCAGGGCTGCTGGCACAGTTTAGAGTAAGAGGGAGGGACCTATGCAGCCGCTAAAAACAAAGACTAAAACCACAACACTGAGCGGTGTCCTTCACTCATGCAGACTAACGTCCATTTATTTGGTCATTAATCAAACCCCACAATCTGCTCCTGCAGCCATCTGCCTCATTCGTGGATTAGAATAATACCTTTATTCTCCACATTAACACACCCCGTGAGCTTTCTGGAGACATTACACTTCAAAGAGGCAACAACACAAGTGTAACACACACACACAAATATGGCAGAAAAAGAGCAGCCATTACTGCAGAAAGAAATTGTTTACAGCTATGTGTTGTGGAAAAACAAAGAGCTCAGCTATGAAAGGTCGGCTCACGGGTAATCTGTTAATATCCCCAGCAGCGGTAGCGGCAGCTGAAACAGCAGCAGAGGAGTGAATAGTTGTGTCAGAGGAGACTGTCTGACTGAGGCTGAATAATGGGCCGACCTCTCCACAGACACACAGAGCCAGATGGATCAGGACTAGTCATGATGTGTGTGACGAGACTCACATCCTGATATAGAGAAGTAGGTAGGAGAGGGACGTGACCTTGAGATTTCTTGCTGCTTTGTCCGGATATAACCTCAGAGGATCAAACATTTTGCAGAGGACATCTCTGTTCCTAATCCTTTCTGAACAGAGAAGATTCCCTTCAAATCCTCCCCGGCAAATAATTATGGAGACTTCTGCAGGAATATTTTTGACTCTTGTACTCGTGAAGCTTTGCACGGGTTCATGCCAGACATGGAAATCATCCATCCCAGCTGTAATCAGCTGACAGCCAGCTGAATGTATCAACATTTCAAATCAGTGACGGACCAATCACAGCCCACTCTCACAATAAGGAGGTCCATTTCAAGAGGCAACTGCTGGTGTTTAAAGACGGAGACGACACACAAGTGCATAAATGTCTTCACGTATCCTAAAGGTGTGCAATATGGTCTAAGAAACAATCACTGTTTACGTTAAATATGTGGGTAATGACAATATCTGGTGCAAGCAAAATCTAATCGAACACACCTTAGCCATGTTCACATGGACAAAATTTTTTAATCCGATTAAAATTTGAGGGATCTGATAATCTGAATCCACTGTTTACATGGGCGCAAAATCAAATAACCATGACGTGTGTATACATGCACCGAGCTTCAGTCAGATTAGAAGCATTTGGATGCAAAGTTGTCCGGTGTCACAGAAGAAGAGTTGTATTGGCCTGTGCTGTCAACAAACCAACAAACCAAAAAACCAACAAACGCGGTAGTGGCTTGGAGAGATACAGGTCTCGGAGAGGTTTGCAGGTCTTTCCTTCCTGCAGCTGTCAGACTCCACAACAGGAACCTCAATGTGCAATAAATCCAATTATTATGTAAATTCTGTACATATGTAAATATGATGCATGTATCTCTTTTTTTTTAACTCAAAGTTTCTTTATCTTTTATTTTTTCTCTTTTTGTATCTATACTGTGCTGCTGTAAATTTGGAATTTCCCCCCATGGGACTATTAAACATCTTATCTTTTCTTATCTTATCTTACATGCAGGTTCAAACAAAACTTAGCATTTGATATTAAAACGCATAAAGACATAAGATTCTAAATGACTGTGCAGCCTGTCATAACAATGTCTCCGTTGACGGACGTAGCAGTAAAATTGAGCACTTGTTTCGCAGCCGTTTGTCTTTGTTTCAGATTTTTCGAGCTGAAATAAAAAATGGTGGCTGTCCAGAACCAGAAGGAAGAACTCGTCCTTAAAGTTCCACGTCTATGATTTACAATGCCTGGTTCAGGTCGTTCAAAGATCGGTATTTCCGACAGCGCAAAAACAACTCTCAGGATTTTGTTTTAGTGCTATGTGCAGCTGCATGTTCCTGACTTGTCTCGTCTACTACACAGCCACAGATCACACCTCGTTAAAGGCCGACAAAGGAATCCGTGCCAGGGGCCAGCTCTGTGCAAAAAAACCTCAGCCTGAGGGAGACAGACACTCAGTAGTAAGAGGGAAGCCGGCAGCAGAGCGTGCACTGACTCAGCAGCTGCCTGGATTTGTTGCCAACACACTGGAGCCTGTCCAGGCCTTCTCCATGGTTCAATGAGACAGTCTGTAGGCGGAGATGATCCTGGTGTTACTACTCATTAGATTTTACACATCACACCGTGTGGGCAGGCGGTTCCAGAAGAGAAAGTGAAATCAATGGTGTTTCCTGATCTGGCTGCTTCAACTTGACTGCAGGGTTTTACTGCATTGAACTGTTTTCGGATGTGGGTTAAAACAGGGTGTTGGTGGGTCAGGGAGGATGTAGGCGGTATTTCAGTTGTGTATCTGTTACATCTTGTTTTTGTAAGGTTGGGTCGTATCATCCGGCAGAAGGTGAAAAAGTTAAAAATAAGATGAGAAAAACACAGCAGAGTTAACCCCACATCTGTTCGTGTGGAAGTGCTCCCTATGCTTCAACCTTCGAGTTCACACATTGAATTTTTGTTTGGGATATCAGTGCTGAAAATATTAAATATTACATATTGTTTTTTTGCACCTTTATTTGAGGCCCAAAAAGGCAGAATGAAGACATTTCAGTCCTTGGTTTTCACCTCTCCCTGTGGAGGAATGTTGTCCTTCAGGGCAGATTTCTCTGAGATGTTGTGTAAGTTACGCAACACTGCTCTTTGCTGACTTTCTAAACAGAGGGCTTAATACTTCACACAAAGGCATGAGCATCAGTATAAAACATCTAGGGGGAGAAATGACTTGAAAAACAACAGTGTAATTTCCTGGAGAAAAAAAAGGCGGAACTGTTTCTGTGAGATAAAACCATTTGGCCCAAGCTTGCTGCCAGTTGCATCAGCCCATGGGTAAAATGAGTCAGCTGAGAGGAGGGTGTATCAGTGTGCAGGGAGGCTGGGCTGGTGATGACGGTTCCTTATTTACTCTGATTACACTGAGTCCAGTTTCAGCTGACCGCCTGAAGCACAAAGGAGCCTCAGTGAGCTGGTTGAAGGTCTGAAGGCGAAGAAAGCAAGATGAGGAAAACCCCAATGTCTTGTACAGGAGAACAACGGCTTGGATTTCATCCTCGCAGACGTCGGGAGTGTGAATGGGATGTAGAAAAGGCAGCTTGAATTACTTGAATCGATCAACATTCAGCAAATGCACTAAAAGGCTCCTCAGACGTCATTCCCACATTCCAGTATCATGAGGCAGGGGGACTTCAGATGCAGTGACAGTCTATATAATAAGACAATTCTGAGTCAATAAAGCTTCTTTAAAAAACATAACAGAGGGTACAGCTGATCAAAATGGGTTGAATTTTGGATTTAATGAAGTTCAACTGGGTCAAAATAAATGAGGCTTAAAAAAACTTTTGTCTGATGGCTCAAATTTGACATCTGAGATGCTTCGTAACTAACGGACATTTAGCAGGATTCATAACTAATGACTAGGGCCGTTAAATTGCAATTTTTTGCACGATTTTAATTGTGGTGCAAGTTGAATTTTAATTGCATGTCTTAAACTCAATTATTCAGTATTTTTTAACAATTTTTAGTCCATTTTAACAAAGTAAAGCAATTCTTATAAGTGTTTTGATTTAGTAATCAAACAAATACACTTTATGATCTTCACTTTAGATTTGTTATTCAAATGCACTATGGTCTGAAACCATGACTCAGCATTATTGGACAGCTACTTCTAAAAGTACGACACTCTTCCAAATAAGGAAATATGTTAGAGTGCATGTGCAAAAATGTCAAGTCAGCGTCAGTTTGGTCGCTCATTGACGTTCAGTGATCCCTAGGTAATCTAGAAGAATTTGCACTTGTTAGGAGTTACAGTTTAGTAACTCTCTCTATTTCATGCACGTCCTTTATGTTTGAAATGATTGTTCCCTGAGACAGTAAGGCATGACTGGTCACAATGCACTCCTCCTGAGGACATCCCTTAGATCTGAGCCAGTAGTGTGCAGTAATGTGCTGAAAGGGGCAAAAATGCAAGCGACTGAAAAGTACAACTCATTTAATAGGACCTTAACCTCATCATCAATAATGTGTTAACACCAATAGCTCTCCTAATGACATTATTTTCTTTACATGCAGTATTTTAGGACATCAAAAAAGTTGTGCTATCACATATAAATACTGTAAAAACACCATTAGAATTAAAACCGCACAATAAACAAAAGCAAAAACTAGTAAGCCTGTAAAATATCTAACTAGAAGCTCATGCATGAAGAGATTTTGCTGTTCACAACAAGGCTAATGTGGATTTTGAATGTAAATCAACCAGCAAAAAGACTGAACATTCATTTTCACTCAGTACATTATCGCTCTTATCTGGCGTATTTAGGTAGGGTGAGCCACTCTTAGGTTATCTAAATTTGCTTTACTGTTGAATTGTACAAACTAAATAACTGACCGAGTAATAAATGGCCCAAGACAGGTGCTTTGTTGTCAAAGTCAAGACTATACATGGCCTTTTTCAGAACCATTAGACTAAAACCTGGGCTTTTTTTTACTTTATGTTCCTTACAAGGCCAAAAAAAGGCTTGTTGAGGATACGTCAAATAGATATTCAAACCACAAACTAGGTGCAGCTTCTACATACAAGTATTTTGTTATCTTTTGCAATCAACCGACAAACCAAAATTCAAATATTTGATTAACTACAAAGGAGCAGGTCAGACAAATACAATTCAAAGGTGAAAACTTGTAATCAAAGACTTTCTTTTTCATTTCATATCCAAGCTCTACCAGGGGAGCTTTGAAAAGGTTTCATCCTCCGATTGTGATGCTCATGGAAGGACGAAACTATCCACAGAATTAGACTATTTTTTGTACTTCAAAAACTCATTTTGCAAGCAAGATCGGAGCTCAAATAAACAGAAATTTCTGGAGGATTTGAAGAGTATTAATTTGTTTTGAACCTTCAACAGCCACAAAGGGCTGAGAAAAAGAGCCTCTGTTTCTGGATATTTGTCAAACTTTTCGTCCATGAAAAATTCCTCCTCTCTACCACAACTCTAGAGGTCACAGCCTTTGATGTACGCTGCAGGACAGCTGAGTAATTCAATGCTTCACTTACTACCTTCATTAAATCTTTAAGTGCTGCAAACAATTAGTCCCTCTCACCTTACCATCATCTCCCTCCCTCGCCTCCTTTTAGTGACTCTCAGCAGACATGTCAAACACAGACACCTGATCTCATGATCTATTGCTCCTGACTGTAAGGGAACCCCCCGCAGCAGAACAGGGCTGGGGTTGTTCATTCAGACCTGTCCTGAGTTAGCTCTCTGTGAGATCAGTAATAGCATTTAGAGCTGCTCCAGTGGAGGAAAGATAAATTTAATGCATGGCTTTACGCCCTCTATTAGAGCTTTTCAACCATATAAACTCAGGAAGTAAGAAGCCGCAAGAACTAAATGCATGAACCCCAGTTGGCCTCTAAACCTCTCTTTAGTGTGTTTCTGTTTGTCTGTTTTTTTCACCGCATCTCAAGATTCATGAAGATAAATCTGATTAACAGACGTTTTAAATCAGATTATCGACTAAGACAACGACATAACGTTACATAACAACATGACACACAAATGCATGTCGAAGACAGATTATTCAGATGTGAACAGAAAAAAATAGCAAAGTCACTCATCATTATACTAATCATTATGATTTAGTGTGCGTCACTCTACCTCTTTCTCTCTCCTGTCCTGTGTCTTCAAGGATGTCTTTGTCAAATAAAGGCAAAACCCCTAATGGAAAAAATCTACTTCAGAATCAGAATTAGAAATATTTTAATGATCCCCAGGAGGATATTGCTTTTTGTCACAGTACTCCAGCGCAAACACAGTAAAAAGAGGAGATAAATAATAGATAAAATCAGTAAAAATAAAGAGATAACTAGATAAAATCAGTAAAATAAGTAAAAATACAGAGATAAATAGATAAAATCAGTAAAAATAAAGCGATAAATAGATAAAATAAGTAAAAATAAATAGATAAATAGATAAAATAAGTAAAAATAAAGAGATAAATAGATAAAATAAGTAAAATAAGTAAAAATAAATAGATAAAATAAGTAAAAATAAAGAGATAAATAGATAAAATAAGTAAAAATAAAGAGATAAATAGATAAAATAAGTAAAAATAAAGAGATAAAATAAGTAAAATAATTAAAAATAAAGAGATAATATAAAAGTATGTACACTGTATACAACACATATAGTAACATGGTATGCGTGAGCAGAGTTCAGGTAAAGACTCCTGACTGAGGGTGTCAGGGTCTCCGAGGGAGGAGTTAAATCTACATCACATCCCGACAAGAGAGCACACACATCAGCAGTGTCTCACGTCTCTATCTGACATTGACATTTCTTATCAATTTTTCACTGTTATCTCAAATTCACATTCTGCATCAAAAGTCATTTTCTCCCATGGACTAACCAAAGCATTCATAATACTGCTTGACAACGGTTGATGACAAGCTTTGCACACTTAGATCAGTTTATAATAATGTTGCATGCACACTGCACACCCATCTCTGTGTGTGCATGCATGTGTAAGAGGCTTATCCCTGCAGAAGTTACATCATAAAATAACCAGTAGACATGTAATCCATGCGCTGCAGCTGCTCCAATGTTACCCATCATCACGCCACAAAAATGTAAAATCCAGACAGACTTCTTGACCTGAGGAGACCCCCGCTGTCTCTGTGATCCGAGCAAACACATTACTGTGAGAACTTCTTTTGACTTTATGACATGTAACTTACTTTCACACAAAATGTGAACAAACACTTCCTCCCTGCCAGTTCAGCATCCCCTCAGATGTTATCTAAGTAAGCAGATATCTATATTCAAGCATTAGCTTCTCGTTTGTGGCAACCAGCTGTGTCCTCAGTTGACCTTATCTCATACAGCTGATGTACGAGACAGAAGCAGCTTGTCCTGTCTTCAAATTAAGTTCATTTTTAAAAATTAAATCAGAAGGAGAAGAATGAAGAGTCTAACTTTGTGAAAAATGCTGCTAAAATAAACCCAGTATCTAAACTTAGTAATGTCTTGTCTAGTTACGTGTTCTGCCACCAGATTTGTTTGTCTTCAAACAGACCAAAGTTTAGCGAGAGAGTTCAGTAGCTCTCTTTGAAGAGATCTATTTTTTAGGTTTATAAAGTGTTTGGAATACATACAGCTATGATTGGTTACCACTGACCTTCATCGCGATTGGAATAAGGGTACATATTTGCATTTCAGAAATCTTCACTCTGCTCTAAACTGAAGAAATTCAGGTGGATATCAATGCCAGTAACCTGCACAACAACACAAAGCCACTGAGTGTTTTTGCTTTATCCAAGCTAGACACAATGGACATCCAATACTATTTAAGTTTCAGAAGTGAAGTCCATGGTCAAGTGCATTTTACTATATTGAACATCATTACCATTGGTAGAAACACCGATCACTAAAACTTATCTTTAAGGATTTTGTTTCATGTTCATAATGCTGGTCATGTGTTATTTCTTATTTTCTTGACTCAGTGCATCCCTACTTTTGACATGGACACCAATGACCAAATCCACTGATTGCAGAATGACTATTGAAAGTATTTCCTCTAAGATAAAGTTCCAGATTTAAAGAATGTCTTCTATAATGAAAACATGATGTTCAATTGTTATCAATGTTCCCATCAAGGGCAAAATAGTACATTCTGAGAGACAGTTTGTGCCGACTCCAAAACCATGACAACAGCTCAGAGGTCTGTGTATGCTTTCAACACCAATGTGATTTCTTCTCGCTCAAAAATAGACAGACAGTGAACTTAGAGCTTACAAAAAAAAAGAGTCCATGAACCAATTAGAGGTTTTAAAGTGGTAAAATTCACCTATTTCATTTAGTTTATGTGTTTAACTCATAAACTGTTTTAACGAGCCCGAATCTGTGAAGGTATGTTTAAGGCGCCACTGCTGTCCTTTCAGATGTTGACAGATTAGGGTTTTCCCGAGAGTTTTCTTTAGAGTTCAAGCAAAGTAGGTCCAACAACAACAACAACTGCTGATGGCCTAAGGGCCCATGGAAAACCATGTCAATAAAACACACCTAAAACCAACAGCGGACCTGAAACCTGCTTTAGAAATGGGTCAGTGCTACAGCAGGATCATGCCTAAAAGATTTACACCTCAGCCCACAAGTAAAGTTAGCAAAAGAAACGTCACTTCTCTCTTTTATAGACACAGAGGTTTGAGGATGTTGTCTGATCTTGGATTCAGGGACATTGACTGTAAGTCAAATTTATGTGAAATAACTTTGTTAGTCTTTGTCGTTCTTGATCTGCTTCATGTCCATTTGTGTTGAGTTAATTTAGAAGGACACAAACCAGAGACCAAGTCCTATTTTCAGACACATGCTTGGACAGTAAATGTGATCCCGGGATATTGTCATGTTGTCAAGCCATTAAAGCAATGACAATGGATGTTGCTGCAAAGTAACTTCAGTATCTTAACAAATGTAAAAACAAAACTATCACAGTTTCCAGATGGGTTTTGGCTTTGAATAATAGTCAGAAAATTGTTGTTCCTGAGCAAAAATAATTCTCCATTAAAGATGACCTTTGATATTCTGGATAGAAAATGCCATCCTGACATTGTGTTGAGGAGATAAGGACATGCACAGAAAAGCAAACACATTATTCTGCCTGGCACGACTGTTGCACTTCAACCAGTTTGGTTTGCTAGTCGCAGAACCGCCCAATTGACAAATGGAGGTTTTTACACAGAGATGCAACTCATTTCCTGTGGTCATTTAAATAAATCATAAGAAAACTGGTAGTCTTTAGGTCAGAAAATATTCCAAAAATAGTCAAACACAACCTAACAGAGATGGGCACTCAATAAATACGGTCAAAATTAGAGTGTATAGTCAAAGAATGGAGGGTACAACTGATTGAAAAAAGTTACCCAATTTATTTCGCATCATGTCAAATCAGTGTTTTCTTACCTCTGAATATATTGCATTAAATTCAAATACAAGTGAGCTAAAAATTAACAACATGGTAGCAACATATGAGCTAAATTTCCAAAATAAATCAATATTAGCTCAATAAAAGCAATCATTCACTTCACTCTAAAAAGGCAAATAGCCGGTCAAAGTTTTGGACTTTTGAGATGTGTAACTAAATTTCAGAGGGGGAGGGAGGCACCCCAAGATAAACCCTGAATCCGCCCCTGACACCTGCACCTCTCCTCCTTTAGCAGCACTGTGACCTGTCTCCTTCCTACAGTTTCTTTATGTATTTCTGATCTTTGGAAAAACTCATCAGCAGGACCCCAAATAACACAACTCACACTCTCAATGTTTTATTGTCAGGACAGCTGATTTGTGTGAGGCCGATCACCTGAAGAAACAATCCAAAGCTAAGAGCAACGACAAAACAGCGATATGAGAAGGTTTATATCTAATATGGGACACTTATCTCAATCATTAGCCGACATTAATAACATCTCTTTGTTTCGCTCTCTCAGATCTTCCACAGAGAAAACACTACTGCAGCATATCTGAGTAAAGAGAGTAAAAGGAGTCAAGGAGAGAAAGGAAGGTGGACTGATGAAGTCTCTCATACCTTTACAAAAGCTGGAACAAGAGAAACACACAGGTTTACCTCAAACTAAAGGCTATTAAAGATATCATCTTTGTTTCCTTCTTCCAGTTATTCAACGGTTTCTCATGTAACATCAAAATCTCACTGCCTTTCAGCACCACAGACCAAACGCCACAGTAAAAACAGGAGTTTATGTCTTTCACTGTTTTGCTTATTTTGTCTTTTGTTATTGTGTGACATTAAGTTTGGTTCTACAGCCCACCATCATCCCAAGATATTAAGCAATAAAGGCAACTCGTTGTCCTGTATGGTAAATAACTGTTTTGTGTAAGCAGCTTTGGCGCTTTAATGGCCTCTGTTTGTAAAAGAGTGTCTTAGTCCTTCACAAAAAAAATCGATTTCTTGGGGCAAACTCTGCATAATTGTGTTAACTCTTAAAAAAGCAAAAGACAATCACTTTCAACACCCATCTTTCGACAAACGCTGTGCCACAATGGATTAAATTACAGCCATTATACTTCTTAACACAGCTGCTGGCTGGAGTAATCTACTCTGAAGCTTTATCCTTTTAATGCTCATTCTAGACCCCCAAATATGTGAATGTATAACCCTTAGTTTAAGCATCAACTCTCAACCCTGCATTGAGATTAACCATTTACTAAGTAGGGCAGCATGAGAACACTCGCCAGTATACATCCCGACCATAAACCAACTTCTTATCTCCCAGCTGACAAGTGCTTCATCTTTGCTTTTCTTTGTTTGCACCAATCAGTGTTTTGTTCCCCTTCCACAAAACGAGTGACGTCCTCTCTCTGCAAACTCATTCAGCGCAGCACGGGAAGTGGGCCAGTTTTATCGAGAGAGGAAGAGGGGGAGTGATCAGGGGTGTGTCTGCGTCTGCTTATCGGAGGGAATGAAGCAGAATCCTCTTATGTTAGACCTAGATAACCAGCTGTGGAGTTAGAGTGGGTGATGGTTATAGAGGTCAAAGGATAGTTATCATTAGCATGACTAAGAACAAGAGGAAAAGGAGCAGTTTCGGTTAAGGGTTTCATATGACAGAACAGCGTCAAGAACAGGACACTGAGTGAGGACCTACATGTTGATCCATGCCAGCCGCCCTTCACTGTGGGCAGACTCACTGTTCCTCTCACTGAGTATTCAAGTGTCACCTTCCTCGTTCAGGACAAAGACAAGAAGAAAAAATACCTGTTTTCTTCTGACCATTTATACATAATGAGAAAGTCACATTGAGCGAGGTAGGAAAAAGACTCCAGAAGAACCGAACTGAGCAGGTTTACTGCAAAACAATCTGACACGTTTGGAGGACAAATCATCTTTCGCAGAAAACCCCCAAATTGAATCATAAATTTTAATGATTTTCTTTGAACTGTAACTCTTTTACTCATAATTTTTTGTCCCCCTAAGGTTCAGGAAACCAAACTATAGCAGTCGGTCTGAGGAAAAACCTGGAAACTACCAAAGAGGTGGAGTAGAGGCTACAGCTGTGCTGCTTGGGGAACAGCTAAAAACCTGCCTGTCAAGAAGAAGACCGACTTTATTAGTCCCCAAGCGTTAAATTCAATTTTTTCACTCTATTATTAAACGTGCCACACACATTGGTCAAAAACCCACACATGCACAAAAAGGATCTCAAATATATACACTTACAGAGAGATGACTGAGCAAGAGGCCTGCAAGCAAATGAGCTACTCAAGCATCTGAGGGATCTGTGTCTCGGTCAAAGGCACTTCAGCAGTGCCCACGGAAAAAATCACACAGCTTAAGCAATCAGTGCATCTGCATCACCCATATTTTGGTATGTAATGGGACTTGGACCGGAGACCACATCATGTCCGTGTCCCCAAACACACACATACACACTCATAGAATTGTGTTTGTGTATTTTGTTTGAAATAGGATTGCAAAATCAAAGTATTCCTTGTGATTTATCTTTGAAAATATGAACGATTGATTATCAATGACTCTTAAAAGGAAACCTAGATTTTTCTGATGGAAAAAAAACATCTAATGCTTTTGTTCCCTTGATCATACACTTTCTACAGCCACATAATGGATTTATCTGACAGTATTGCAAAGCTGCAGAACTTATCCATGATTGTAGACATCCATACATCCAATAATCATGTTGAACCATGGCTCAAACAACTAAATGTGGATTTGCTGCAAAAAGAGATCTGAACAAAAAGTAGTTCAGACTTACAGGACCCATTTTTCCTTCTACTCATTCTTATCGAAGAAAGCTTGCCACACGGTCTGGTGTCTGGCGGTGCAAACCCTGTATCAACTTATGGAGGGTCTTTGTTGTGTGCAACACCTTTAGCCAGTTGGTTTGCACTGAAACATTCTTTACACTTAAAACACCACCATGGCAGCTCAACATAACACGAACTCACGCATTGCTTATCATTACCAAATAACTAAAAAACTAACAAAAACATGCATGTTCCAGTACATTATTCTCAACAATTATTCCTCAATAGCTACTTGATTAATTGTTAACATTCCTACTTATGAATAAAGAAACCAAAACTGTAAAACTATCTACTTTCTTCTGGGCTCTAACAGGATTTTATTGGCTTTAACTTTGACTAAATTGAACCTTCAAAGGGTGCTGCTTCGTTTTGCCACTAACAGCAAAGGTTGCAACAATAACAGCCTGGAGGTGTCAAGTGTAGCTGTTGCTGTGGGCTAGCTAATTAAAGAAGTTGTACAAGCAAGTGTCAACCACTGCAGGGGAAGTAATAGTACAAAAAGTAGACGTGACAGAAGCAGTAGCAGTAAAAGTATAAGTAGGGAAAAGAGGAACAAGATAAGTAAAAGTGCAAAAGGGAGGAGTTCAAAGTGTTATAAAATGAAAGAGTAGAACGAGTAGAGTGGAATAGAAATAGTATTTACAAGAGGAATACTGCAGTGGTACAAGAATCAAAGATGATCAAAAAGAGTCTGTGCAGGATAGATGAAGTTCAGAAGTGAAGAAGAAGAGGTCAAATTAAAGCTGCTGAAGTGGAAACAGTGACAGTAAAATAAGTTGAAAAAGTTTCACAAGTAATAGTGATAGTAAAAATAGCAGCCAATAAAATCAAAATGGCAGATTTTTTACTTCTGTGTTTTATTTCCAGGTCAGTGCAGTGAGCTGACTGATGAGTCCTCAGGATGTGTCACTGCGCTGCTTTCTCAGGCAGATCTCTTATCAGTCGCCCTCGGGGCAGTGATGTCATCTTTTACTCAGGACCCTGAGTCTAGACACACACACAGAAACTCACCCCGCAGGAGCGCCTTTATGGGCCTGACCTGGAGATACTCATAAACTGATTGCATTCATTTTCTCTGAGTCCATTCAGCTCAGGTTCTTCAGCTGATTCAATCATAAAGAGATGATCTGAAATCACAGAAGCGGTTAATAAAACAGTTTTAAAACTATTAAAAACTATTTTCACAGGTGGTGAACTAATCTTCATGTAAGAGGAAAAGTGTCTGATAAGTATGATGGTGAGACATTGAAGCCTATTCTTTTATCACTGTTTCACATCATCAGCCAGATTCATTTGCTCGTGACTCATCATTTTGGCAGATCAAAACTCAAGACAGACTTTTCCAGTCAGAGGACACTCTCTCCATTGTTCGTCAGTTTCCATGGAACTCATATCTTCTGAGATATCGATGCCCACCCCATTGTTTGTGTCCTCGCACTTTTTAATCAATTTTTTCGTTGGAACGATTGCTGCTGCGAGGACAAATGCTGACTCATGAGGACAGACATTCAAATTCATTCAAATCAATACAAATGCTCTTTAGACCCACATGCAGATAGATTTAAAATTATTCTCATTAATATTAGCCTCCTTATGAGTAACTTTATACCTAAATAAGCCCCACCACAAGTATATTCAGAGACACAGTGTTTACATTCTGTGCAACGACAACAATGTTGAGACGACTCTTGTTTGCTGGCTGTGCACAAAGCAACCAAAACCCTTATGGTTTGATGGTTTTAAAGGGATTTTTACCACCTTTTTTATAGGTTTTAAAAAAAGATAGAAACTGTTCATTCTGGAGGTACGAAAAGTGTGATTCAGTGGGTTTTTGCGCACACATGCCTGTGGCCAGCTCTCAGCGAACACGAGGAGACACCTAGCTTTGTTTACACAGAGGTGGTGGTTTCTGTTACCACAGATGATGTTTGTGTATCTGCTTTGCTGAGATCTACTTCAGTCACATGAGATACAAAAGAAGTACACGCCTAAACATCTCGTTTACACTCACCTCTGTTGAAAGTCTACTTTGGTTTACTCTATGAGGAACAATAAGATGACAAATAAGTCTTTTTATTCAATTAAATCCCGCCTGCAGTCTACTGTCACACTGTCACCAAGAGGCTGAATGAAACTGCCAAGACAGACATAACCCACGAGAGATTAAATATCCATGAAAGCAAAGACAGTGAATCAAAACAGCAACATCTCCTGTATCAGGTGGCAGTATTGGACATGCTTTTAAAAGCAGGGAGGCCGAGTAGGACACAGGAGGAGACTAAACCAAACAGACAGGCTGGCTGCCCTCGCTACTTTGGATCTATAACTCAACGCCATTAACAACACAGAGGAATCCCCGGCTTCTCAGTGAGGGTGTTTACAGCCAATAACAAACATCTACATCAAAAAAATGAGCTTGTAGATGAAACACTGTCATGATTTTACCTTTAAAACAGAAGATAAGTGTTACAGGGCTATGATGGTAGCAGAAAAACAACTAAATGAAACAATTTAGGAAAGTTATTTTCTTCTACCTGCGCACAAAAACCACAGTTAGTGTACTTATCATAACTTTTTGGTCGTACTTATTGAGTGAAGTAAGTAAACTTGATATTTCAACATGTAGTTGCCATGAGTAAACGTTTGAACTGGGCTGCACATGTAAGCAATGCGTGTAAGTGGCACTTTTCTGTAACGACTGTCTTTGTAAGGAAGCCAATCAATAGAAATGCTGTCTAATGGTCTCCATCATCAATAATAGAGAGAGGCGGAGAATATGGCCTCCACAATACTCGGCATCTCAGAGAGCTTTTATCTGTTTATTAATATCTCTGTGTATTTATTTCATTATATGGCTTGTAGACACACGATTCACAATGTAAACCCACTACATCAGGATCCATAAAGCTACTATGGTGTCCAAATCTAACAGAGAAAAACAACCAAAGGGCTCTAAATAACTCTGAAAACGTGCTGATTCATCGCCAGATTGGACCTTGCTGTAAACCAACTGTGGATGAAAAATCACTCCGCAATTAAAAAGGTTTTTCACTGTTTGTACTGATGGGGAAAATGGTCCTTGGAGTAAACTCTTAATCTGAATCTTCTTCTAGATTTAATAAATGTGGAAATGGCTTCTCAGATTATTACCCCTGCGCCTCACTGTTAGACCTAATGGGGCATCTTTAATCTAATAAATGTGGAAAATAGATTAACCAACAGTCTATATAACAGTTCAGACAACAAGAAATAAGCCAACAATTCCTCTTTGTTCTCTTCTAGAGAAACAAAAACAGGAAATTCTCACGCTTTCACAGAGCAGACAGCCTAACGCTGCCCTGCCTCAGCATGATTCACACCGCCTGATTGATGGAGTCATCAACAGCCATGGTCCAGAGGGGTGATGTCACCAGACATATAATGCAGCCTTGGCGGTACAGTACATTAATGGATAACCTGAAAGCCCGAGATGGAGCCAAAGTCTCCTCAGCTGGAGCAACTTTCACCCTGACGTGAGCTGAAGACTCTGACGGAGGACTTTAAAAACAGCAGCTTGTCATCATCTTTAGAAAAATCAACTCTAGTGTGGTTTAACTTTATCTGGCAGTGAAGACAGGAACCGTAATAAAAAACTTAAGAAGTTTCAACAGTGTTTGAGAGGTTGGAAAAACTCTGCTACAAAAACTGGTGAAATCTCTCATCTTAAATCTGTCAACACACCTCAGGATGATTCAGAAGCAACAGGTCGTGCTGCCACATCTTGAGCTCCTAACCTGACTTAAGGTCCTAACACACCGGGAACGTTTTTTTTTTCATGTGATTATTTCAGACGTCAACATTTTTTTTCGAACCCGTATCCTGTCAATACAAACATTCACATGAGCGACGTATTCCCTTCCTGCGATACTGCGGCATTTATTTTTTCATATCACAGTCGCATTTTCTAAAGTTTCGCATACTGTGTGTCCACTTCGGACCAATCAGATTTCGTGTTGTTGCGACTTCAGATTCACTGGTATATCCAACATTACGATTCGGAGAACAGAGAGCTTTTTGATAAAAAACACAATTATTACAAAGATAACGACCTGAAGGACAACTTGTGGAGAGTCAAAGTGTCGGATCTCTCATATGACGATGGTTTGTCTGCTTTAACAGTTTGCTAAACGTCTTTGTTTTAACTTTCATCTGTGCTAAGTAACTTTAGCTTGTAAGCTAACCTGTTCAGATACAACATACCATATGTATTTTCACGGTCTCAAACTCAATTGCTGTAAAGCAGATTTAAAATAATGTGATCAGACTAAAGTGCGCTGCAGGCCAAGACCAAAAAACACTTCACAATCTAGAGATGCATGTAATTGAACTTCTGCTGATATCTAATAGACTGATATTTTCAAACTCACTTAGGTCGATGCCAATGATACCAATCCAAGTATTCCCCTGCAGAAGTCTGTATCTTCCACCAGGCTCAGAGGCCGGATATCAAGAACAAATAATTCATCTTTGTTTTGAAAAGCTGTTTAATCTTTGGGTGGTGGTTGCTGCTCTTGTTTCTTGGTTTTGTGGAATAGTTTATGTAAAGGCTGCTGACAACAATCCCATGTTAACTCTCGGTGCTGTTCTGAGTGACGATGACAATACAAGAGAGTTGTTTTACTCTTCCTGCCATCACCTGTTCTTCACAAGCATAACAAACAGCCTTCTTGCTGCCTGTTTCCCATACTTCAAAATAATGTCATAAAGCTGTCATGTTGAAGATCACTGGTGATGCACACAAGCTGTCACTGCATGTGCACTCCACCCTATCATCCTTACATATCTGTGCAGAAATTTACACCAGATAAATACAGTGAATTTAAAGGGCATGAAAACAACTGCTTATATTACACTGTCCAGCCTTCTGAGATCAGCTCTAACACACACAGTGCTAAAGGTAAACAAGTACAACATACATTCATACATAATCAATCAATCTTTTTTTTATAGAGCTTCAGTTCACAGTAAATATATTCCCAAGACACTTAACAAAAAAGCCTGTGTAGACCATAATCTATGTAAAAGACTCACTGCAAAGATGGGATAAGAAGGAGCCCCATCCTTCAAGATCAGACCCGCTCCCACCCCATCTACAGCCACGAGTGAAACGCTTTGCAGCATTTAGCAAGTTACAGTGGAGAGGAACAACATCCTTTAACAGGCAGAAACCTTGAGCAGAACCTGATTTATTTAAGACAGCCATCAGCTGCAACTGCACTGGGTTTAGAGAGGGGGTAGAGGAAGATACAGAAAGTCAGAGATGGACAGAGTTGAGACTATAGCAGCAAATTTAATCAAAGAAACAAGGTCAACTTACTTCTGTGTGAACAGTACTTCCTGTAATTGTTAAAACCATGTTCAATTTGCCCGGTGATGGTTCCTTTCATTGGAAGAAAACTCACCATCCTCTTTTGTGAATGATTTTAATATCACTATGATGTGCACGCGCTGAAGGTGCAAACACTAAGAGTTAACACTGTATTATCACGTTATTCTACCTTGGGATGTCCTAATCCGATATTTATATTGATATCAGTTCAATATCAGCAAATAAACGAATACCGGATTATATCGGCCTGCATCTGAAATCTCCGATATCACCACTCCAATACAAGCAGTCTATTCCAGACTCCACTCCAGCACCTATATCTAGCAGCCCCTGGATCCAGCATTCAGACCCCACATAATCACAAAAACAGTGTGTACTAAGGTACTACCAAAGTAGCAAGGAGTAAGAGTATTGTCAGCTGTGTGACAGTAATTTTTGTTTAAGTCCAAAAAGGACGTTGCAGCTGAGTGCAAAACTTGTCATGCACAAGTTTGTGCCAATATCGGATCAATATCGGTATCGGCCAATACTGAAGGCTTGAATATCGTTATCGTACTGGAAGTAGAACAGTTGTATCAGGACACCCCTAATTCTAGCAAGGCCGTACATCTGCCCCCTATCTTAACAGGTAATGAGATGAGCAGGACATCCCTCTAAATTTGTCTTATGTCATCAAACTAATTGCAGGTGACTGTGACAAAAGCAGCAAAGCAATTCAAGTACATGTTTATATTCAAAGCTGAAAAAGGGGCTGTAACCCTTGACTTTATAAGTCACAGGGGACAATAACGACAGACTGCTCAGAGGACCTGAGTAATGGGATCAGGGATTAAATGGGTATCTAGGCTCCTTTTAAAGTCTGACTGTAGTTTTGTCCTTACTTTAATTGAGCTTATTGAAAAAGGCCTCTCATAAAATTCCACATACACCTTTCTAGGTTATCTTCTGCTTAGGTTACCTTGCAATGCAACAACGTCACCAGTTTTTGCAAAATGTTCGACCCCAATCTCTTCAACAGCAGAACATAATACTTAAAAACTATGTGGCCCGACCTTGGAGTGAGTGGGTGGTAAAAGGACAAAAGAGTGCCAGCCAAAGGCAGAATTACGGGTAATTGAAGAAAATTGTTTGATAATCTTTCATCATTTGTTTTTCTTTGGGAGATTTTGGCATAATCATCTTTTTTTTTTAAGCCACTTAACTGTAAAATGAGGAATGTGCGATCAGCAGTTTCACCAACTGGCAAATATTTCCGCAGACATGCAGAAGAATGAAACTACATTGTGGTTTCTCACACTTGCAGGATGCAGGTGTCAAAGCTTTCCTTTTAGATTTTGGAGAAACAAAAGTTAATAGACAGAGCGACAGTAAATAACAGCTGTATGAAGATGATCTGAGCTGATAATGAATGACAATCTCCTCTTCACATGCTGTTTTTACCATCTTATTGTACGTCTGCTGAGCTGTTGACTCATTGCAGCCTCTCTGTATGCTGCAAGGACAAAACATCATCCACCACAGCAGACAGAGGTTTCATTTGGGGACAACGCCTGGTGTCAGGTACAGATAGCAGCATTCGCGTGACCTTACAATGTAACACGGCTCAGCAGGAGCTCTGACCTCCACTGTAGCACCATCTGTCACAGGTCAGTCTGTGCATTATGGCAAATTAATCACAGTATGGCAGACATACAGGTGGGAGCGCCGCCAGTTTAATGCATCTGAAACTCAATCTGTCCACAGTATGACTAAAAATCACATGATATTAGACTGTTGCGGGGATTAGTTTCCTTTATAGTCTAGGTACAAGTTGCCATCTAACAAGTTGTCCTTAGCCACATAGGCTAACCATGTAAGCAGTAGATTGTGTCCTTCCAGAGGAGGAAATCTACTTCTACACTTCTACACTACAGCATCTCCTCATCCTTGGTGTCATCGGGGTAAATTGCTACCTGAAAACCTTTCACTTGTTCATCCCCGCCCGTTCGCATGGTGTGAAATAAGAGCCACCTGAAACACGGGGTGTTTTATTTTGAAAAGAAGCCGGATCTTTTATTTTGTGTCTGTGCCCGACCTCCGTTCCAGTACGGCTTAATCTGTGCTGTATTTATCCGGCATGCTCCGGCGTCCGGAAAAAATAGAACTCTTGCGATCAGCTATGATTGGTGGTTACGTCCTTTTCGTAGCCGTTCCAGATATGGGGGAAATGAATGGTTAAAGTGCTATGGTTGCGTGTAGCTGCAGCCTACTACCACACAGTTGTTTGCTACTTAGTTCTAGTTCAGCACATTATTGGTTCAGAGTGAAGTGGACCCGAAGCAACTCCCCTTTTCATTGGCTGTTCATATAGTCTACCAAAACATGGCAGAATGCCGACTATTAAAAAGCATATTGACCATGTTTTATATTGATATCAAGGGAAATTAAATTTCAATATATATCCTTGTCATTTTATCGCCCAGCCCTACCTTTGCTGTATCAGTGTTGCTCAAAACAACAAAGATACCTCAGCAAAGTTATACATCAGGTCTGTCTGTCTGTCAGTGCTGTTTGGGTCTATGATGAATGAACAGAGACAAAAACACTGCTTCAGCATCCCTCCTCTGCTCATAAGTCCTCTCTTTTCAGGGCTTTCTCTCTCTGTCCATTAACATACCTCGGTGCCAGACTCCCTTTGAAAAAGTGCTTAGTTACAAGTTGATAGCAACCCTCTATCAGACAAAAATCCCCACAAGGATCCCACACCTACAATAGATTCTTTGTGCACCTCCATGGCAACCCCAGGGGCTGGTGTTCACCTTGCTAACTGACTTCACCCCTCATTATTAAACCATTTGGGCTGGTTTTCCTGGAATACTGCTACCATAAAATTTAATCCTCTCTCCTTACTAATAATAGATGTTTACTCTCAGTATTAAGGGTCCAACACCTGTTGTTCTTCATTTGGGTGGTGTGTTTCTCTCCGTTCATATTTCTAGTTTGATTTTAAAGAGAAGCAACATGTCACAACACGCAGGATGTGGTTTCAAAACAACATGAATAGTTACCGAGCAGCATCAACCGGCTGAAACTACTGAAAAAGCTGACAGTCCACAGCGGCTGCTCGTGTCATGTGCTGCGTGGGAACGTCCACTCCCCAAAGCAGAAGCACCAAAAAACCGTCATGAACGTACTTTATTTCACTCGGTCACAAAATGAGCCATATCACCAACCGGGAGACAATCACGCAGTTAAAAATTCAGCCCTATTTTTTCTTCCTGGTGTCCACAGTAAGGGAGGAAAAGTTTATTTACATGCAGCAGTCCGCTTCTTCAGCAGGCGGTGAAAGACACGCTGGCAAAACTGTTCCTTCCCCTCATGTTAGAAAACATGTTGAAGAAAGGACAGCTTACCTTTGTACTGCAGCGAGTTGGCGGTTTTAATCTTCACAGTTCCGCTGATAGACTCCCCGGGACCGTAAACCACCTTGTTGTTGGTAAAAGTGATATCAAATTCTTGAAGCTTTCCCATGGCTCCGCTCGGCTCCGCTACTCCGCCGCTCTGCGTCTCTGAAAGCCGCGAGGAAACGATGCTGCGCTCTCACCTGCTGCCGCGAGCCTCCCGACCCCCCGCCCCCTCCCCTTAGAGACCAGTGACGTCACATATACTGCCCACAGAATGAACTGAAAGTAAAGGGTGGATAACGACTACTCTAAATATATGGTGGCCGAGAACCGTCACTGCTGCACATATAAAAAAAAAGAATGCAAAAAAAAAAAAAAAAGAAGAAGCAACAACCGAAGTTACTGATGCAAAAAAAATGGACACCATCGGGTTTCTGTGCAACATTATTATAGGTATGCGCGCGCAGCCAGGAGGCAGGAAGTGGGACATTTCTTACTTACTAGCAGAGTCAACAGAGAAATTGACAAGGAGCTGTTGTGCTGTAAACTGCACGAATCGGCAAAACAACCAATCGGCAAACATTCCAACCCTGCTTCTAATATTAGAATCATTGAAAACAACGTCACAATAGGCCTGGGCGATTTGGCCAAAAAGATGATCACGATATACTTTGTCATATTGTCCGATCTTGATTAGGTTGACATGTAGTTACTGTAAGACTGGTTTGTGCTCAAGTCCTCTTTTTTCTGTACAGCTCCTTTTTAAAAGTTATTAAGAGGTTCATGTTTTCACTTGACACTTGATACAGCCTATGGGCGTACAAGGATTGCGTAGCTCACCCGGGGGATACGCTGTTTGAGCCGAGAGTCATCACAGTGACTCTCGGTGACTCCCCCGCTGAATGCACACAATGCTACTGCACAAGTGGTGGAGTGCATACAACGCTACTGCACAATGTTGGTTTCAGGAAGTGGAGAAAAAACCTAGAATTACCGAGAACTGTTCGGCTTCAGATCCGTATACTGGTGGAAGGCAAAACCAAGTTGTCCATAGTATATACAGTCTATGTTAGCGACGCAAAAAAAATTAAGTGGCGATGGATTCAGGATTCCGGATTGGAGCCATTCCGGATGCGGTGGAAATTCGGGGTTACTATCAGCACTACCAGCTGGCTTATGCACTGTTAGTGGGTTAAAGATGTACAGACTTGTTGTAGTTCTTCATAACTTTTCCCAGGGATAAAACACTAAAAAAGACACAGGAGCTTTAAAGTCTTCTTAAGTATTTTGCTTGCTTGGAGGCATTAGTAACACTCCACTGCTATTTCCCTGCATAACGTGCTTTCACTTTCCCATAGTAATATACCTGGAGAGATACTTATAACGGAGGGAACTTTTGTTTGGTGGGAACTTTTAACACTCAGTTGCATTTCTCACTGGTGTATCATAAAAATAGATTTTCTGCTCCAGGAGACTACATGAGTTTCATTTTCCATGCTTGGCTGATTTAGCTACCGAAAAATAAAATGCTTGGTCCCCTAAACTACAAATCTCTTTTCAATCTTTTCAACATTTAAAGCTTTAGCTGCATGGTCTTTCATTCAAATGGACACCAAAAGTTGTGCTGACCTAGTCTTTGACAAAGGAACACCTCATCTTAGAGTGTAAACAGTCGATGTTGAGTAATCCCGAAACTTGTGGAGCTCTTGAAGTTTCTGTCCCACAGAGGTGTGAGCCACTCTGTACTGTAAATAATCCACTTTGCACTTTATTATCTTTTGGCTCTGCACCAACAGCAACCCCTGCTCATGAAAGGTACTTTTTCCTGAGTCTGCATCAGCAGGATGGAAACACACAGCTGTCTTTGTCTGCATTAACGCACGTCTGTAGTTTCAACACAGAACATCTGCACAGCGCAACTGTCACATTTGCATTGGTAGTGTAATGATTCATCTGCTAAATCTGAGATACACAAAAATATTCTGTAATGTTGGAGGATGGTACAAATTAAAGAGAGCCACTGCATGCTAAAGAGTTCAGATGACAGAGTTTGATTTAAAAAGCTCATTCATGACTATGTACAGGAACAAAAGTGTCCAATAACTTCACTAACATGTTGGTATATTTTGTTATACATGCAGATATTTCCATCCACTTGATGCATGATTAAGTACTTTGTGATGCATTAATTATGTGCAACAATTACAATAAGCAAAAATAGTGCAAAAACATGATGAAAATGATGAATGTGTTAAAAGCAGCTCACTAATTTCACTGCACGGTTAGAGAATTTCCATTTCATTCACTTCAACTAAGTTAATTCTGTTCCATGCAACACTTAATGCTCCATGCATATTGTAATTCAGAATGCCTAAAAGTCTTTCCCCTCTCTTATACACTTCCCATCTCTGTGCCTCTTACTGTCTCAGAAACAATTTCTGCCTGACTGTACTTCCCGTCTGGATGTGCAGCATCAGCAGGTAGAGAAGATATGAAACTTAAGATAACTGTGGTGCATTAAAAGCTCACAGAAGAGGTCAATTGGTTGTTCTTTGTGCATGACTAATATCAATTTATGAACCAGAAAATCTATGCTCCAAAATATTGCATCAAACCCACCGGGATAGAAATATTAACTATTCTCTCCCCTCTCTTCCCTCTTCCTTTTTCATCCCAACGGGCGTCTAGTGCTCCTGACGAATGCTCTGACACAGGTGTTACCATGACAACAGACAAACACCGTGGTTGCCAAGTTACTGCCGGTATCCATGGAGATCTGGAATGCTGTGGCATCCGATGTGTTCGACAGACTCCCTGGTTTTTATGTTTACTCATGTTTCTGAACCCTCCCCTCGGACAGCTTGATGATGAGTCATGTTGAGGCTGCCAGGATGAAACCAGAGGATCGTATGTCAGGAAGTTACTGGATAAGATGTTGATGCCATATGTCAGGTACACTGAGCATCAGGCAGAGGTGAATCCATGTCAGCACTGAGAGTAGGATGACTAAACAAACTCATTAATGCCTCTATCTGCTCGGAAACATCTGAGATGTTGCTGTTTTGGACTTCAGTACTTCTTGCTTGTTAGTCAAGTCTTTCTAATCTTCATTCGAAGAGCTCCAAACATGATTCTTGTGACACTCTGACTGACCTCAGCCAGGTGACCCTGACCTGTGAATTTGAATCGTTTAAATGTAGTCATGATGAACTACACTAAGAGGAGAACTACAACAATGGCTCCACCTAATGGACAACTACCAGAAGTAAATTCACACAGACCATGTTAAGCCAGCTGATTATAATCCATCCATTTATGGTCTAAATCACTTATCCTTTCAGAGTCATATCCAATCTTAAAATGTGACACAGACAGATTCTGGACACATTAGCACCTACAAGCATGTCTTAGACTATGAGGGGAAAAGTGTAGTTTTCAAAGAGGACCCAGAGAACTTGCAAACTCACATGCAGCCATGATTGCAATCAATGGTTGTTATTTTAATACAATTATATTGTAACAATGACCTGTCACAATAATGCATCAGATTTTATAGCCCTTTACATTGGATACATCTTTCATTTGCTCACACACTCACACCCTGGTGGTAGTAAACTATCTTCATAGTCAAAGCTGCCCTGGGGCAAACCAACGGAAACATGGCTGCCAGTTTGCACCTACGGCCTCTCCGACCACCACCACACAACATCTACAATCATACACCAGTGGAGGACACACACACTGGGAGCAAGGTGGGTTAAGTGTCTTGCCCAAGGACACAACGGACAGACAAGGGACAGGGTGAGGTTTGAACCGCCAACCTTCCAGTTATTGGCCGACTGCTCTACCTCCTGAGCTACTACCGCCCCATGTCTGTCATGTCTCTAGATGACAACTAGAGGTTGTACGCAAAAAATTTTGACAGTATTTTGACTGGTATTTTAGACTGTAAAATCTTGACAGTTGGAGGATCATACGTTGTCATGCATTACAGCAGCTTTATGTCCTTGAAGGCCACCATCACTTGGAAAGAGTGAGCAAGGGAGCACGTCAGTCTAGACACATTCCCATTTCTACATTACAGTGCCAGAGTGAATGTTCCCTGTCATGAGTATTTGTGCTTGTAAACACCATAAAAAAGACGTTACGAGACAAACTCAAATATTCTAGTTATGTAAAACAAATACCTTGAAACTTTTGTGAACCGTGATTTGAAAAACTTAGCCATCAGATTTGGAGCTCAGATTGTTCAGATTGTTCAGGGATATGTTGGAGCTGTTTTAGTTGGATTGAGTTGACCCCCCAGATCATGATGTTCACACACTCCTAGTAACGATTAATATTAAAGCAGCAATGAGATCAACCACCGGGCCATTAGACAAGGTTTGGAAAAAGTACTTTTGGAGCCAATGCTAGGACTTTACGACTGGTTATGAAACAGATTGAAATAAAAAATGATTCCTTTTTATGACCTACATGGGCGAAAGAGACCACCACTGACAGGACTGACAGCCTCTGTTGTAATTTCTCATGCCTGAAACCACTGTGAGTGGGTAGGTGTCAGACTAGATGATTTAGAGCGTGTTGAAAATGACGCTTTGTCTTTTCTTACTCAAAAGCACTGATTTACAGTGAATAATGTATTTGACTGTTAGAGGAGAGAAGAATGAGATCTTTCTGTACAGGATAAGATAAGATAAGTAGGTTTAAGTTTAATTTTTTTTAAGGTTTGAGAGGTTAATTGTCACTCAAGAGCATGTGTATCTGAACAGGTGTGAAATTAGGAGTGCAGGCCTCAGATTAAACATAATACTGAAACATTTCCATAAGCACCGTTGTGTGTTTATTCCCATTCACTCAAACACATTTATCAGACATATGTAACACAAGTTTCAAGAAACAATGATTTGTAATTTATAGATGATGTGTGTGTAGGTTTCAAAAGGAAAAAACTGTTAAATAAGATCTGCTGTACAAAATATTCTGACCATACCTTATTTCTATAGCTGTTGCTATCTGTGCACATGACCATAAACTGAGGTAAGTTATATAGAGATAACAGTAAACATCATGTCTGTCTCTGTTTATCTCTTAAACCTGCATGGAGACACTTTGAGGTTATTTATTTCACTATACTGGTCTATCAGACAAATGCTATATATACTTCTCCTTGGCCTAGACCTTCCTCCTCCTCCTCCTCCAATCATTCTTCTTCTTCTTTATCCAGCAGACAGGTGCTGGCGATGGCCCTGGTCACACTGTAGGGGTCACAGTTTGCAGCAGGACGGCGGTCCTCGAAGTAGCCCTTCTTGTCTTGGCCCACCTGGCGAGGGATGCGGATGCTGGCACCACGGTTGGCCACACCAGCAGAGAAGTCCTCGATGCTGGAGGTTTCATGGAGACCTGTGAGGCGTCTCATGTTGTCCTGCCCCCCACGGGGGTCGTACACGCGGATGTGTTCGGGATGCTTTTTGCTTAGCTTCTCGATGGCCTTCTCAATGTACCTGTTATCAGAGGAAAACAGAAGATGGAAATGATGTTACAGTGACTCGTGTAAAATGATGTGAATAGTCGACTTACAAAATAATGCTCACAATAATGCAAATCTTTGTATCCTAACCTGCAATGCTCCTCCAAAAACAGGACAGAAGCTGTATCACACTTCAATATTTTTCCTTATAAATAAAACCCTACACAATCCACCTTTCCTGCAGTTACTGTTCTGCCACCAGAGGGCAGTAAAAACAAGCCAATACAGTGATTTTGAACAACCGCTACATAACATTTTTAGTTTCAATGCAGGCTCTTTTTGAACTTTTAGTGTTTGTTTTTAATATTTCATTGGTGAGGTTCATATATTCCCGTTTTATTGATCAGATGATAAACCTGATTTTCAACTTTACTCACAGCAGTCCACCTTCATCCCTCATCTGTTTTGTGCTGACATTCGTGTGACAACCAGCACCATTCCAGTTTCCTTTCATCGGTTTGGGGTCCAGTGTTGCAACTATCCCAAAGTCTTCACACACACGGTGCAGCAGGAAGCGCGCCACCCACAGGTGGTCACCCATGTTAATGCCCTCACAGGGACCCACCTGGAACTCCCACTGAAGAAGAAACAGCAAAGAGGAGAAAGACCTCAGTAAATCAGGAAAAGACGTATAACAAAAAGACAAACAGACACTAATTCATGCTTTTTTCAGTGCATTAGAACATGTGTCACTCACCTGAGATGGCATAACTTCAGCGTTGGTGCCACAGATTTTGACCCCAGCATAGAGACAGGCTTTGTAGTGACACTCTACAATGTCTCGTCCGTAAGCATTGTCTGCCCCAACTCCACAGTAATAGGGTCCTTTATGTGAAAATAAAAACATATTATTTGGATGAAAAAAAGCAACCAAAACGCACAAAAGAATATCATAATTATTTCTTACATTTTTGTATTTTTAGTCCATAAAAACGTGAGCATGAAAACATAAAAGTCACTAGATTAGCTTCTTTGTCACAAGAAAATCCAATGTTTTTACTTTTTGCTTGAAAGATTGCAAAGTTTTTTTTTTCAGTTTGAGCAACAACATGAGCTGAACAGTATCTTATAGTCGTCTTGAGCAACAAGTTGTTATATTTACGAATGCAGATTTTATTACCTTGAAGTCTTCATTATTGAAATATTAACATAGACACACAAATTTAAACTGCACTGACATAAGAGCTGGTAAACAATCATCAGCCCACAAAATTCATGAAAAACTTATTTAAATGTTTCTTTTGAATTAACCCAAAGAAAAGATGACATTTCTACAACTGCTATTTCTCTTCTATAACTTCCATCAGTTAAAATGTTACTTCTAAATGCTTAGCTCTGCAAACATCAAACCTCTATAGAAGAAAAATTAGAAAAATCGATGTAAAACATGTCAAAGAGAGAAAAAATGGTAGAAACAGCCATGAAAAAGTGTCTGCTGATTCACCTTGGGGTCCCGGGTACCCATTTTGTGGCCAGCTGAAAGGATGTCCATCTATCCCCAGCAGTGTGTACTCCTGCTCCATGCCGAACCAGATGCCGTGCTCTTTCACCTGCTCCATCAATTTCACGCAGGACGCGCGATGGTTAGTTTCTGCACAGCACGGAAAAAAAAACAGCAGAGTGTTTGTCCAGGCCTTACCGTTTGTAACTAAACCAATAAAAACTCTGCCAGAACTATAACAAATGTACCTGCAGGTAAGCGGTTGTATTTGAGGACCTCACAGAGGACCAGTTTGTTGGGGTCGAGGGTGAATGGGTCTCTGAACATACATACAGGGATGAGGTACATGTCGCTGTTGGAGCCCTCAGCCTGGTAGGTGCTGGAGCCGTCAAAGTTCCACTCAGGAATATCTGATGAGATAAGATACCGAGTTACACTCTTAAGCACTCTGAGCACTTGGTGACCTAAATAAACCAACTTACATCAAAGAGGAAAAATCACGAGGAGAAATTTTCCCAGATGTGGGGCAACAGAACTCCCTACAGGTATTTTTGAGACATGACTAGGCTTGCTGTTTCCTCTGATATCCTTTAAGTCTTTTTGCTGAGCCCAGCTAACTGCCTATAGAAAGGCTTCTGCTGAAGTGGGGGGTTTGAACCAGGATTTATCATGCAGTCCCAGGGTCCCTTATAACCAAACACTTTTTTTTTAAACTCATATCCTGTAAGAACTGGCTTTCTGACTTTGAGCATGTCTGAGTTGCTTCATCTGATAAGATTATTTGATGAATGTTGATACTTCCTGACCTCAGTTCTGCACAACACACAGTAGACATCACATGGTGATTATGAGATCATGTTATAGTGTGGTTAACTCATGGGAAACATCAGACAGATTTTCATTTTAACACACCAAAAAATTGTACGAGAATTTGCATCTCTGCTATCTTATTATGTGCCACAAGGCTCTTTACTAGAGCGCTTGTAATTCTCTTCCTCTGCTACTTCTGTGGTGGATTTTCATTTTATTACTTCTTTAAAATTGTTTAGACCCCTTTAGGCTGTCTTTGCTATGGAGTGAATTCCTTGCATTTGAACGGTGACAAGACTGATGTTCATGGTGTTGCTCTTGGAGAGGCTGCTCCCGTGATCACGTGAGGTATTTGACCTCATTTCTGTACAGCACGTTTCTAACCTACATATTTAGGGAGGGGGCTATCTGAACAATTTTGTTGTCAACACATGGGTTAACTGAGACCCAGAATCAGTTGTTTTACACAAACCATAACCCCTGTGAAATATTCCACCTCTCTATCACTGAAACTCGGCTGCAATATTACTAATTAGGTGGAACTACGGAAGAGGATTAGGGCCACATGAAGAGAAAAAAATAGATAACTGGAAGGAGATTAAAGTCGAAATTTCAAGATTAAAAAAAATCAAAATTATGTCAATAAAGTTGAAATTTTGAAATGAAAAATTAAAATCTCAAGATTAAAGTAAAAATTTTTAGTTTATGAAATGTCAAATTGTCGTGAATAATGTCAACATTTCAAGATTAAAAAAATAAAATTTTGAGATGAAAGTTGAAATTTCGAGATTAAAGTTGACATGAATAAAGTCAAAATTTTGACTTTTTTAAATGTTGACTTTAATCTCGAAATTTCAATTTTAATCTCAAAATGGAAATTAAAAAACTCCCCCTTCTGTAGTTATTCTTTTTTCTCATCTTGTGGCCCTAATCCTCTTTCGTACGGAGCAGACTTACATTAATCTGAAATGTAAGTTTCTTCTTTGGCTTGCTGCTGTGTTTTGGATCCAGTTCGGTCTGACCTATTTTCAGAGTGTTGCACGTTTAGACCCCAGTGTATATGTTTGAACTCTAACCCATTAACCCACCCCCTCAGGTAGAATATGCTAAATTTGCTGTCTGACCATGGGGTAGTGGAGTTTACTGAGACAATAGTCCTAAAGCTATTGCTCAGCCAATTCCTTTATGGCCTCTTGGGATTGCTAAACAATTACACAAAAATAAAAATCCTTTTAAAAAAGGATTTTGGATAACTTATTTGCACCACATGAGAATTTTGTGTCTTTGATGTTTTTGGGTGTGGTCTGCATTTTTTAAGTTTTGTGTTTGCATGTAGCACACAGTTAATGCACATTATAGGATTAGGTATATAACTGTGTTTTTTTGTGTGTTTTCTGTCTCTTTAGTTTTTCTCTTTGGACTGGCCCGACTATATCTATCATTAAATAATCTATTATTTCATTTGTGTTTGTGATCTTATTGGACAACAACAAAAAACCTCTGTGACCTATGTCAATAGAAAGGATAAACAAATATTTGTATTAGACTATTGAACAGCAACAAATATTTGTTCTGTAACTAATCCCGCATATACCGATGTTGCACCAGGATGCTCTTGCATATGTATTGTGTACAATGTAGATTTGCAATCCTCCCTTTTCTGGAGTCTCTACCTGATGACATCGATGCACAGTCAAGGGTTGAACACTTTGACTATTCCACTATTTTCCCTTCAGCTGAGACGAATAAGCTCTCTAAATTATTCATTATCTTTAGGTACAAATTAATCCCTTAATTTAATGCTTCATATTGTCTCTATTTGGTAGGAAACCAGCAGCAAAGTAAGTTATTTTAGCCCCAAATTAGTCCTAAAAAACAGTCAGAGGGAGCTCACTTCATTGAATCACCCCACTACAGTAAAGTAAAGTCAAATCAGAGCTGATTACCTTCTACACTGGTTGGTTCTTGTTCCAGGGTCCTGGTTTTATTACGCAGACCCTCTCCAGTGCCGTCAATCCAGATGTAGGTGACCTGGCATTTCCCTCCCTGAGGCAGGTTCATGTACTGTTGGCGTATAGCCTTGCTAAGGCGGGAGCTCATCGACACCGATGCCATTCTCACCTTAAACAAGAAAAGTAAGATCAAAAATAAAACAACACAAGAGGAATGAATTTAAAGCCCAAAAAAATTTAAAAACTAACATCAGCTTCACTTTTCTCCTTGTTTCCTCTTTCCTCTTACCAGATATCAATTAAATATCAACATGCATTAATAAGGTTATTAAAGAAAGTGAATAATCTGCTTTGCTTTACAGCCTCTTTAACTTCAAACCACGCTTCATTAACACTTTACGGTTCAGGAACAGCTTACTCAGCTTTGTGTTTGGTGAAACCTGCAGAGCTTGAAACACATTTGCATTGTTTTAAATTGTTGAGACATTCACAGAAGGGAAGCAGTCAGCGAAAAGGAGAAAAACAAACAAAAATCATCTGGTCCGTGTGCACACACTGACAGCAGGAGTGCATCACAACGCTCATTGATAATTCGTGACATCTGTCTTTCGCACGTGCAGATTTCTTAATGATCACAGTTAGTTTAAAAAATTACATTTGGCTGGAAAAGTCGACACCTTTGACGCGATTCTGTATCTCTTCATCATCATTTGTACTCTCTTTGTAGAAGAATGGACATTTTGTACAGCCAGATTTAGATGAACCATGATTCACTACAACTTTCCAACTATGTGGTTTTTTACTCTTTTTGAAACTGATCATTTCAGGTTAGAAAAATTTTACCATTGCACTCCGACCACGAAGTAAGAGTATCTTGTGGAAATAGTGAATACAAACAGGTCTTTTTCTATCAAATTTCACAGAAAATAGTTGTAACTTAAGACAATCTGCAACCTTAAAACTCTCCTTACTTTATTTTTAAAATTACAGTTTATCCAAAATAAACTGAACACTTAGGATTTTATTCCCCTTTGACCACAGCTGACAACTTTAAGGATTTTTTAAAACCTTTCTTATGCGTCTTACAAACACAGGTATTTATCATTTAGTTTGAGATGAATCGAGATTCATGAATGAGTCAAGTTAGTTAGTTGTTTACATCAGAATATGCATCACCTTTGGTAATAAAATAAACTCCCTGATTAAAAATTTGCTCAACAAACTGACATTATTTAATTTGCTTTTATCAGACAAACCTGGACAACAACATATTAAATATAAATCTCATATATGTTAACTTACTGTATTAGAGGAGGCTCCAGGTGTAGTCAGGTGTCTGCAGCAGAGCAGTGTGTGTGACGTGCCCAAACCTGTTCTTGCTTTTTAACCGGAATGCAAATGGTCAGCCGATGACACACACTCACCTGTCAGATACGTATTGTGACGTTGCAAAGGTGTGCTGTGACTGCAGATGTGTGGTTATACGTGTGTTTGATTTGTTTCCATTACAGGCAGAGTGATGTTTTTATTCTTTAAACATAGATCGTTCATACATCAGCAAAAACAATAACCTTACAACCAATCCCACGCTAAGGAAACTGTTCACGCAGCAAACACTCTAAACTTATCGAAACACTTGAATCAACTTTTTCTATAAAAATCAACAACTTCTCATCTAACAATCAAAAACAATAACGTTCAGATAAAACCTGGTACATATATAGATATAAATAAAGTCTCAGGAGTAATAGTAATGAACACCCACCTGTGCTGGAGAAGCCATCTGCTGACGGTGTCTGAGTGCTGTTTGCTGAGCTTCGACTCTTGCAGCTCACTGAGCACAATTAGAGATAGAGCTGCTCAGATGTTCAGTTTCCGCCAGGTTAGCTGTTCTGAGATCAGGCAGGGGTGCAGAAATTCAACAACTCCCACAGAAAAAGGCCCAGACTCATGGGAAACTGAGATAACGTCTTTAAGTGTGTGTGTGATAAGCACACAGAGCCTGGTAAAGATACACAGAAGTCCTACAGGTCAAAATAATGTCCTAAAAGTGAGATTTCATCCTGCAAAAGTAACTGTTTCAGAGCACCAAAGAATCTGGTCTAATGACATGCGTGTTTTCTTTTTTTTGTGTTGTTATTGTCTAACCTTTTAGTCATACTGTCTGCACATCTCTGCCAGCAGCACTGACAGAAAATTGGATTAGCTGCAACTTTGTTCCAGACTGGAAATACAAGTACTCAGTAGCGGTTCTAGGCACGGGCGAACAGGGCAGCCGCCCGGGGCGGCATTTGTGTCATGACTCATGGGGGGCGGCACGAGCACTTCCAAAAAAATAAAATAAAAGATAATAATAATAAATCTTGACCGCAAAGCGGATTTGTATTAACTCTTGTTGTCAAATTGGCGCCCCCCCCCCCCCCCCCCCCGCTGCTGTAGGCGCCCCTGCTTGCTCCGAAGGTGCTGGACAGAGGCTGACAGACTGTATGAGACGAGGCGGGGAGAGAGTCGCGAGCTCTGCTCTGTGTACGCATGTCAGCATATCAGCGGGAGCGCAGATACGTCATTTTGTAGTTTTTTAATCATTTCTGGAGTCGCAGTGAATGAAATCACCGTACCCGTCTGCCTTTGATAGGCGAATAAAGCGCTCGTAGCGATCTTGCTACGTGCTTGATGAGCTTCATGAGTAAAGTAAACAATGACGGCGGCAGAGAGCAGCTTCAGAGGAGAAACATCCAGCAGTGTGAACAACCTCTTCATAGGGAGTGCTTTGGCTCACACTATCAGCGTTTTCTCTGAGTGTTGCATGACTTTGGGTGAGAACAGAGATGAACACACTGTTCAGCCACGTATTTATTTATTCATTTTTTAGTTTTTAGTTCTGCTTTTGTACTGGCACTATACTGAGGCAGCTGTATACCCTTTCAACACCTTATTTTCTACATTTACATTTGTATTGAATGGACACTTTATCATGACTGCCACTTGTTTTACAGAAAGCAAATTATTTGTCATTCTCCAGTGCAGAGCCTTTACTTTTATTTATACAGCTGCTTTATTTCATTTGAGTTTGTTTGTTCAAGGTTTTCAAAAATGTGATGAAGGTTCGCAAAACTAAAAGAGAGCTTTCTTGAAAGCCACATGTTTAAGCTCTCAAATACTTTTTGAATTTTGTTTCTATCTACTACAGAGGCCGAGATAGCAGCTTTTTTGTAAACCTTAACACGTCAGAAAACCTCAGGATCTGGGGGCCCTTCTGAAAATGGCCCTCAGGATTGTGTTTTTTTCTATTGAAGGATTTCTGCAACTGAGAAATATATTATTTTTGTTGTTATAATAATAATAATAATACTACATAGTAATACAAAACTATCTGTTCAAAATTCTAGCTGGGGGGGGGGGGGGGGGGGGCCCGTGGAGGGGTGCTCGCCCGGGGAGTAATTTGGTCTAGAACCGCCACTGCTAGTACTTCAACAATTGTTAAAATATTTTGTACAAGCTGTTACAGGTCCAACTCTGTATCCTTATTCTTATGACCCCATTAATTTCTGGGAAGAAACTTGGTCTTTATCCAAACCTGTAATCTGAGAGAAGAAAAACATGTCAATCAATGTTTAAATGTACGATGTTTAGACTGCGAAAACACCTCCACAAACTGCCTGAAGGAAACACCATTCTCTTCTGACCTCTGACCTTTGTTAGCATCAACACTCATTGTTTTAGAAGTTGGCTAAACCTATAAAAATCTAAAGAAAATGAGCAATTATCAGTAAAATAGACGATTTGTCACTGGAGTCATTAGAAACATTCACCAACATTAGCACTTTCAAAGTAGTTGTCTTAAAAACAATCATTTTGCTTTTGGAAACACCTTTTCTACCAAATCTGTAATTTAACGTAATCGTTGAAAACAAAGGACCAAGTGTTAGCATTAGCTGTGTCCTGATGTTAGCTAATGCAGTGAAAATGTGTTTTATTTAGAATATGGCCAAATATCAGTTTGATTTTTACTCATTATTGTCTTTGTAGCTGCTTATCTATTGTGGGCAGTGAAGCTAACAACCAGGAAGACAATAGACATGATAAAATTTTGGGGTGACCACATTCTGACTTTCTAAAACGAGGACACAACTATGTGGGGGCGGAGTGATGGAGTCACAAAAAGCTAATTTTTAGAGTTTTTCAGGTTGGATCTCGTGTCTTTTATTAACTTTTAACTTGGTAACTCCACGTGACACAAAATCGAAACTGTCGTACAAAACCACAGACATTTGAAGGATTTTATAAACTTCCACGAACAAAGCCAGACAAGCCTGGACAACCCCCAAAAAAGAGGACATGTCCGGGTAAAAGAGGATGTGTGGTCACCCTATAATATTTGAGCTTTCCACCATGATTGGGACATTACAAGAAGACAGCCCCTGAGAAAATGAGGTCTATTGTTCCAGCAGGATAAGTCACCAGCGCACGAGTATTTCTGTAAAGCAGGCCCAGGTGTATGAAGGAATTCCACTGTATGTGCTACAGGGAGAGCAAAAGCAAGTGGGGTAGAATCTGCAGTAATGACATCTCAACTTCCTTTGGGGGTTATCCAGTGAAAATTTGTGTAAACTGGATCAAAACTCCTTTAAAATTAAAAATTTCCAGCACCCCTGAAATGCACTTTAAATGATTGCTCAAACTTCTGCTTATGAAACAAATATTGAAAAAGTCGTTGTCTTCTCTCTTCTCTTTGTGACAGTCTTTGTATTTTTACTTTTATTAGATCCACATAACAATATTGTCGCTGCAAATTTAGGCTTGTTATTTACAAAAAGCTTCTTTGTCTCTTAGTCTTTGTGCAGCTTGTATTTACAGTCAAACTGGGATTCCCCATTCACAGCTGATAGGATTCTGGAGGATGTCATGAACGAGGAAACAGCAGGCTTTTTTCAGCCCCATGGTTGTCTGTGACTGCACTGTAAACAACAGAAAGAAAGAAGAAGCATTCTTGGCATGAAGTCAGTTACCGTCAACCCCTGGTTTAGCTGATGTTCCGGAAAAGCTAGCAATTCCTTTAAGCATGTGTAGTCAGATCACATCTAATGGGTGCCAAGATTACAAAGTCATGTTTCTAAAAGGAATCAATCAGGAATTTTTCTCTTAGGTTGGATACAGAAGTGTCTTTAAGAATTAGTTTGTTTTCTTAAAGCTCAGGTGGATTTTGACAGGGGCATAGTCAAAGTTGGGCTTTTGGTTCCTTTGGTTTAAAGTGTGTTTGTTTTGCATGTGCAAGGGTGGTAAACTGATGTTGAAGAGGAGATCACGTTATAACACCACACACCTGATTCAGGTCAGCAGGTACCGTACTGTACTCAAGAACATCCTCAATAGTCAAAGGATCTGCCCAATAATCAGCCAACTCCCTCCGTTTCCTCCCTTCAGAGACAATTATGTAATATTCAATGAAAGTTTGTAATGATGTGTGTTATTCCTTTTTGTGTCCTCAAAGACTTTGACTCAGCTCCAGCAAACAACAAACCTGCTGTGCTTCATTCCAGTCGTAACTTTGACTGTCAGTCTGATGTGGAAACAGTGATAAAGTTCAAAAGAAACGTGCTCATAAACAAACTGCAAACAGTAAGTTCAGAGAAAGGGATTGGTCCCGTTATAAAATAAAAATTATAGACTACCTGACTGAGGGGTTGTGGTTTAGATGGGTTCAAGCCATCATCCTCAACAACAATAAAATATTCAAATACGCCTCTGTAAGATTACATGATCAGATATTATCTTTCAATTTACCCCTCACTGTATCAGATTTTCACAATTATTTTTGAACATCCGTTTTTTAAAACTGCTAACATCAGACGGCTGCTGGCACTAGCTTGTTAGCAGCTGCTGCATCTTCTTTATCTCTCCTCTGTTTTGGAAACAAGCATAACACCTCGTTTCCACTTGCATATGTGCACGACGTCCGTAAGTGGTGATGAGGAAATAACACTCAGCAGCACTGTCACATAGTCTTTTGAAAAAAGTTCAATATTTTTTTTACCACACCTAAGGTAGACTACAGACTTCACAGAAGCTCAAGTATGAATGAAATTTCCAGTTGACACACCTCTAAGAGGAAACATGGCACAGACTACCGCTGCTAGGGAGTCAGAGTATTGTATACTTATTTTTGGCCCCATTTTAATACTTCTGTTTTTAAAATGAAGGTTATTGTCAGCAACGGTTTACTGAGACAGCTCTAATCCCTCATAGTTATAGATCCCAGTTGAAAATTCTTAACCTTACTTTGAGAGCCTTGCACAGTCAGGCTCCTTCAGCATGAGGAACTAAACTTCTCTAAACTTATTAACTTACTACCTCAGGTAAAATATGCTAAAACGTGCTGTCAGTGTTAACTTACAGGCTAGAGCATCTAAACCAGACACTCTGCATGCACCCTCAGGGTTCAGGAAGCTGTGTGGATTGTTCAAGAAAATAAAGAACACTAAATATTCAGCAAGTAAATAAACACAAACAGACTGACAAAGTTTTGAGTAAAAGACAACTCTATTGATTCAAAAAAAGGTGATTTATGCAGCAAATAAAAGTCCCCAGCGTTTGATGGTTGGTGTTGCTTCCATGGCATTAACCCAAAATGAACTTTGCATTGAAGTCCCTCTCGTTGGTCTGATTTTAATGTAATAAAGTATGCCAAACTTTACAATAACATTCACAGTGATGTCAAAATGTAAGAGTTTTTCTTTTGGTGTTGTTAACAGAAGCTGAAAACAACAGCAGCACCTATTCAAGGTCCTCTTCCTCGCAGCTCTGTTGGTATTTTCATTAAAGTAAAGACTTCTCTGATTCTGAATTTAAAACTTTCACCTAGAAATGTCAGTGTAAACACGTGCTTTGTTAAATGTTACATTTTTTAAACTCAAATTACAAGTTTAAGCTTTGGTCGTCATCATTTCCTTCCATAGTTGGTTGGATCACATGTTGTGGTGAAGTAGTTATGATTAGCTGTTTTGTTCCTTTGTCCAGCTGGGAACAAAGCTGTCAGTGAGCACAAATTTACATAGGGAGAGGATCTGTGACGTGGGCAGTGATTTGGAGGTCTGCAACATGGCTGCTGGGCTGATATGACTAAATTGTCATATCCTAATACAAAATCAATAAACAAATAAATAAAAATAGCCTCAAACTGAAGACAGGTGTGCTGCGACTTTCCTGTCACTATCACTCACTTCCAGCTAAGGTAGTTGTACGTCTGTCAAACAAAAAAACGATGATCAAAGAAAACAAATTGAGACATTGAAGCTCAAAATAACACTTACAAAATGAAACTCAGCTACTGATCAGATATGAAGCAGTCATAAGATAAGAAAGAGAGTAATGAAAATATGTGAATGAGATAAGGAAGTGGCCCAGCTGGGGCACTGCGATATGCAGGGGTGGGAAAAATTATGTGTGTGTGCACATTTAAAATATGTTTTCCATTTCCGTGTCCACTGATCTAATCTAGTTTAAGGGATAGTTTGAAATGAGGTTATACAAGGTTCTTATCAATAGCAGGTGAATCCCCAAGATTACATCCTGGTCAGCTCAGCTCCTTAATCGAGAAACCAGCTGAGGAACCAGCCCAGTAGCAAACAAAGTCAAAGCTAACTCATAACATGGCAAATCTTAAGAAACTGATAAAAAAAAAAAAAGGAAAAATAGTGTTGGTGTCATAGACTGTAGAACATGGGCATGGTCTCAGTGACGAAAACTATTGGTTTCTGGAGCTGAGTTTGAAGCCTATCAGCAGTGGTCTGCATGTTAGAAATGATGACTCAACCTATCCAAAGAGGTGGAGTTATAGCTGATGGCTTCTGTGCTAAAGAATAAGACCATCAACGGAAATAGGACGTAAACTTCTTTTACTTTTGTTGGTTTCAGTGATAATGTGGCCGCTGATGTTTGTGTTCACACGGTATAAAAATAATAATGATAAAAATAATAATAAATAAATAAATAAAAAAGGAAAAAAAAGAAAGCATTTCACACAATCAGCAAAAAGTCTTTTAAATCTTGTCTTGTCCTCCAACATGGCACAGATGTTCTGATTAGATGTGTTGCAGCCGTAGATAGTGCAAAAACTAAGAGACTTGCTCACATTGATGTAGAACACTGAAAGATTAAGTTCATATTCACACAGGCATTTGTGCTTGGGTCACAGTTTTTGAAAATGACGTAGTGTTGTTGCATTTGTAGCAATTGGTAGCCTAGATCTCATGCTGCTTTTCTGGTTTTCCTCTTAACAAAGGGCCAAATACCAGAAAATCCCCTGTGAATTATACACTTACTTTTGACAAATTCCTCATACAATCAACTTCAAAGAAACCGAACAGCTTCTTTAACTATTATTATTCAGAGGTAACTCTTCTTTGACTATTTAAATTTACCAAATAACACAACTGAGGGGCTACATGTGAAACTCTTTCAGATGTATCACCAAAAGCAGCAGTGAGAAGAGCCAACAAAAGGAGATATGCTACATTTCAATGCCACAAAAGCTACAAGCAGCATGTTGAAACACACTCCAGTAAGTTGATTTGGATATAAGTCCCACTTTTGGAGGATATCCAATCAGAGTTTAAGATTATGGGGCGGCGTCTCGAGTTGGCTGTAACATGACAGGGGTGGGACTGTGGGGGTGTCATCACAGACCACCCCCTCTGATTTTTACATAAAAATAAAGCATTTTTGGACTTGTTTTAATCCTCAAGCATTCTGAAATCTGCAACCTGATGTCAGGAGTATTTTTGGTAAGTGTGTCACAGTAATAACCACAGCACTAAATGCTTCTAATGCCCAAATGTAGCACGGAAATAAAGGCAAAGTGAGCTTGAATCAGCCTCTTGGAGATGTAGTCCCGAGTTATTCATCAACAAACCAGCGTCCATCCATCAGGCTTTCCTCACGATGCGTCCACTCTTCCTCAGGTCCCTCCCCCCTCTGTCCGTCAGAGACAGGCTGCTTACCCTCCAGGCTCCCTGACACACCCGGGCACTGAGGAGGAGGTACAGGTGATTACAACAAGAACAACAGGAACACACAACCTTAATGACTGAAGGAGTGGGTGTTCTGTTATATAATCGCGGTTCGATGGGATCATCAGGTGGCGTCATATTTCTGGCATCATACCTAACGCCCAGTCAGTGAACCCTGAAAATTAAACCTTTGATGCACAATTGAATCATCTAATGATTGTTTTAGGACAATAAATGAAACTCAACCTGTTTATAGAATGCCTTTTAGATGTCAACGAATAACACGCAACGCTCAAAGCAATGTTTCAGACTGGCGGTGTGCCAGGACATCACATAACTTCTCAGTCGTTCCTCAGAGGCACTTTTTTTTTTTTGTTACTGTTACTGTTAAACTTAAAAAGCTTCAGCTCGGCTCACTGTTCCAGTTGAGTCTGAACATCTTAGTAAAAGCAAACACCGGCCTCTTCATCATGTCAATACTTAAAGATAAAGCAGGGCCTGATCTATTAGGAAATAGTATGTCCAGTTTGTCCACCAGTTAAGTGTGGAAGGACTTGATGGTCCTGCACAGAAACCTGACTTCAACAGAAAACAACACCTTGAGAGGGAAATGGAACAAAATGAGTCACGATGAGCCAGGTGACAGCTTCGGGCAGGCCTTTCTGATATATGTGCTGTACACTTTGTTACCAAGTGTTTTTAGGACTCGCCCGGAGGCCTCGCTGCAAACAAGCAGCTGCTGGAAGAGAGTAGGTGAGTTGTGTTTAGTCTCTTTGCTAAAGAAATCAGGCAAAGTTAAAAAGATGTTTGGTGGCTAGTACTATGGCTAGGACCCTATATGTACTGTTGATGAAGTTAGGTACTGTTCTGAACACTATTTGTGGCTATAGAGTGGCGTTTTGGTTGAGCGCATGGCTCTTTGTATTGCTATCGTGCGGTCGTCACAAAAGTTGGTATGAGAGAAGCAAGCGGTCGCCAACATTTATCTCTGGAGGGGTTGTCTAACTCGGTGTTACGGTGTGTTTGACCCTAACTTAGTTTTACGGCAGAATATCCCTTTAATTCACGGCCAAATCTTTTGATAACAGGTATTGTAAATAATGAAATCTCTACATCAGCATCATTAAGTTTAACATTACCCCCCCCAAAAAAAAATAAATCAATAAATAAAATAAAAATAAAAATAAAAATAAAAATACATAAATAAAATAAAATAAAATAAAATAAAATAAAATAAAATAAAATAAAATAAAATACAATTAAAAAACACCCCCTCGCACACACACCTGGAGCGCAGCAGCGGTCCAGCTGCTCGTTTACGAGGCTTATTACTCTGTCTCTTGTACTGCATCCAGCCGCTGATCAGCTCGTGCGCGATCATCACATACAGCAGGAAGATAAGCACGGCGGGATCCATCCAGATGCATGAGAACCGGCGCCTGCAGATGAGACTGTCCAGATGATGAGAGGGAGCAGCACCGGGCTGTAGCAGACGGCGCAGACTGCCGTTCTTCTGCAAGAGGGAGACACGACCAGTGATGAAGAGGAGGAGAGGATCCAGTAGTGTCCAAGTTGATCTCAACTTAAGGTGCTTTTAGTCGTCAGACACAAACGGTGGCTGCTGTGAGCGCCCTCGAGGTAAAGCATACTCTAAAATCCTCCGTACGACCAGGACAAACAATGAGATTTGTACTGTCTCACAAACAACAGCTGAGTCGCGGTGACAACAGCAGAGAGGGGACATCGGAGGATGTTGCCGTAGAGACGCCGCCGTTGCTAAGGACATGACGTCGTCATCCCTTCTTCCCAAAGATGAACGAGGGTTTGACCGCGTGACAGCCGAGCAAGGACGCATCAATCCACGGAAACACGACCACTTTAGACTTACATTGATTCTCGGACACGGAACTTCTGTTTTCTAAATTGATTTATGTCAATAAACAGAAAATATGTCAAGTAAAATCACTGTAAAATATCGAGTCTATGATGCAGGTGCATCCCCAAAAATTAGAATAGCCTACCGTGGAGAAGCATTTTTTTTTAATGCAAAAACTGAATCTAAAATGTATTCATTTTATGTAAAGCAAAATGTCCCAGGACCTTTTTTTAAAGTTTGTAGCTCATGACATTCTGACGATGAGAACCATTTCCTCCTGAAGAAAAGATGACTCTGACACTGTTGTTTAAATGGTGAATTTTTATTCACTGATATTCAAACCTCAGTTTCCCTTAAAGCTGACCCTCCATGTAGAATACACCACACAGCAGCATCAAATCTGGACTTCCTCTGTTTCCTTCTTTAGTCAGTTCAATCTAAGTCTATTCTTTGTTTTTAAAGAAGTACTCCACAATTTTGTGTAAAGCCTCAGATTGATTGGAGACAGATCAGAGGTCAAGCCATTCTAACAACTAGTCCAAACTCAGCTGTGTTCTCATGATGCTTCTTAACAGTCTCATTGACTGGACCTCATGTCTTTTAAGACCTGCGCCCCCATTTCAGACTTTCTGCTGTAGATATGAGCCAGGCTCTCAGGTTTGATGTGAGTTACTCAGAGATGCCTGGTAGCTAAATTCTTACTGATCCGTGGATGGATCTTTTTGTCATTTATGGTAGATGCTCAGTCTCAATTTCAAAGAAGTTTAACTAATTCTATCCCTGCATGTTACAATATCTCCTGACTTCAATCAATCTGTCCGTCCACCAGCGGAGCAGCGACTCTGGAAGGATCCTCCTTATCTGAGGGAGCTGCACCCAGTAGGCCTACATCAGGATGTGAGCTTATAATTCATCTAACTGTGTGTGTGTGTATGTGTGAGTTTGTAGATGTGTGTGAGTGTGTGTGTGTATCATGTCAGGGCGACACAAGCAGTTCTTCTGCTGTGATATCCCCTTTATTTCACAAAGCCACCTTTCGGCAGCAAGGACGCTTAACTTTTCCCCTGTTTCACGCCACCTCCATCTCTCTGAAGTTCTCATAGGTATCGTCAGAGACCTGCAGAAACAGACGAAGAAGAGTCAACCTGGCGCTCAGTATAATAACTATGGTCTGATACCAGAAAATAGGGTATTTTGTGTGGCAGCCTTCTTGAGGGCCTCATATAAACATATTTAAGAGGTTAAAAAGTAAAAATGATTATTTATATTTATATTTTAGCAATCTTATTTATCAAAAGTAGAATATTTAGATACTTAAATATAAATATTGATAGGTTTCTTTGCAAATCCCACCAGAAATCAACCCTTCAGTCTCACCCTTACAGTATTAGGGTCACTGAATGATTGAAAATTGAATAAAATCATAACAATAATGTGATTTGACATGTAAAAACCGATGGGAATCAACTTATCAGCATGCTTTATGTCTGTGGTGACCTTATTTTGAGATGTGGCCCTGCCCTCTAGTGGTCAACATTATAGCAGAGTTATAAGCAGCTTTTATTTGGCAGTACTTCCAGAGTTAGTGTGATTATTAATGAAAGTACTGCCTTAGAAAATGAAATCAAAACACTCATTAGAAGCGTACTCACAGTGACGTCGTTGAAACCTGCAGCCATTGGATGGTTTTGTGCTGGTGGCACTGTCACGTGATCCCGCTGAGGTGTACAGAGAGATTTCTTGTGTTAATGGTACGATTGAAATGAAACTTAAATAATGACAGAAATTCAAGATTTTTCACCCTGATTTCAATATTGTGTCTTTTGATAAGCTGCACTCTTTACTCTTCCTGTCTTTTTGTGCTCAAAGAGGTGTGATTGTTGCATTTACTCACCGTGACGTCTGCTTCATAGGACTCATTACTGAAACCAGCTGAGCGGGGTGACGCCCGTGATGCGCCCTCAGCCTTGGTACTCTGTTTAGTTCTCAGGTAATAAATCAGCAGTGCGATCAATGTGGCGATCAACAGCAGGACCACAATGACAGATGCTGCAATCCCTCCTGCGTTGTCTCCCTTTGATGGGGCTGCAAGAAGGACAGAAAACATCAACAGCAGATCACAATGTTGGTTTTCCATTTTTACTGAGCGAGAAAAATGATTCAGTTTTGAGTCTTTTTGTATTTTCTTTTTTTTTAATATGTATTTTATGTCAATATTCTCAAAAGTGGTTGTACTTTATCATCTTAAAACATTTGCTCATCAACACAAGATACTAAGTGTCAGAGCGTCATCATGTAGGCAAATAACCTTCCATACATGAGTTATGAAGTACCAGAGGAGCATACTCTCAAATTTTAGTTTTAACTTGAAGGGAGATGAGTATCATTTTTAGTCTCTGTATTTGAGTTTTGAAATGTTCCTGTCTTAAATGCCAAAGAGATCAACACAGCTCAGCAGCTTTTCTCTAGAGGCTGTGGGAACAGCACAACAGAAGACATTTCAGTGGGGAGACCAATATTAGAGGAAAGCTTAGATATGAGTTCAGACTTAGACCTGACCCATAAAAACACATTTAAAGAAAACTAACAGAATAACTGGCAGAAAAATTGTTTTTGTTTCAGTACTGAAATATAAATCATGTGGTAAACAGTAAAAGAGACTGATGATTGAGTTTTGTTGACAACACTAATTCATATTTATATTAATTTAAATTCATATTAATTTTCAGTAAAGTATAGCCAGAAAAGCATGGGATCAGATTTACAGGTGGTTAGTTCACATTTTCCTCCACACTTGAATTCAAAACTCTGAAATTTTAACATCTATATCTCTCTTGGTCTGTGAGTGGTCTTGATTTTGAGACATTTCTGGCACATTTCCAGTGGGTAAGACCTTGTGCTAGGCTGCTGCTGTGACATAATTTCACCTAAAAACATTGTCATTTAGACGACTTAAATCTGTGTCTAATAATCAAACTGTCTGGATTTTATTATTTCCAAGAAATGCATTAAAAATTTGTTTCATAAGCATGCTTTTAGCAGTACATCTTACTTGTCAGTGGATCTGTGACTTTTTTAGCGCAGTCGATCCCAATGGTGTACTCAATGTCATCCAGAGCGATAACACCTGATGAGCCTTTGATTCCTTCAATCACAATCTGTTCGCAAAAACAGATGAGTGATGTTAAAGACGCTTGAATGAGAAGGTTGTTTTAGTTCCTTTTGATTAAAATAAAACTATAGATGAACAAAACTACTATAAACATAGAGAAACCACTTCTAACATGTATGTACGATGCAAATGTAAGCTGAGTCCTTGTGGGCAGGGAGACAGTTCAGGAGTGGGATGAAATTCACTGACTTGATTGAACGTTGTGTTTACTATAGTTAACAAAAATGAAGCTCTGGTGTATGAAATATCTATCCCAGAGAGAGTAGTCTGACCTGGTATTCCTCAGTGGATGTGATGTCGACATCGAAGCGTCTCCACGGTTCTCCCAGTTCATCCACTGCCAGCAGTTGATTGAGGTTACCCCCAGACAGCCTCCACACCCTCAGCTTACTGTTCGCTGCAGGATAAAAACAGCAGACTGTCACAAAACGACAAACTAAAATCACAGACGCCCAGACTACATTGTGCAGGTTTTAAGTTTGAAACACGGTCATAGCAGCTTAAGCGTTCTCTCAGCCCATCCAGAGATTAGACTGGCCCAAAAGCTCATGTGTTTTACTCACATGAGAATGGTTTGTAGACCCAGACTCTGAGGCAAGTCCCCTTGGTTGGAGGGAGGTGAGGGCTCAGCAAATGAGCTTTTAGATTGTCTTGTGTCCTGGTGCTGCTTGAAAGGAACAGGAATTGACCTGGTAAAAGGTAAAAAAATATATATACTATCACCTTATTCTTCCTATTTGATTAGAATAACAATAATTTAATCTTAATCTCATTCATCATTTTTAAAATGCACTTTCACTCATCTTAAAATTGCTTCAGTATTAAACATGTCAGTACATCTTAAATATTAACAAACAGGGCCTGAAATTAACACCAGCCACACACTAGTGGGTAATTCTCAGACAGGCATGTGGTTGGTAAATATATGGTAATAGTCTGTAATTGATGTGTGCATGTAAGAAAAAAAATAAAACATCATTCAGGCGGGTAGATTTTTCCATTGAGTGGAAACAAACATGAGGAAATTCTCTGCATTCAAAAGATTGTGTTTTCAGCCTTTTAAGTTTCATATCCATAAGATCCATAGCAGTGGTTCTGTCCCTGTTTCACCCCTTCTGTGTTCACCTTTCTCAGTGCCCAGCGTGTGGTCTTCAAGCGGGACCATGTAGTGTTCCTCTGCCTCTGAACTCGTCAGCTCCCAGTCAAGACTGTCCATGGCGGCACTCTGAGTGTTGCTCCAGCTACACATCCCTTTCTCCAGACTGCATTTAGAGCCTGAGATAAACACACAAAGGATGATACTTTCTACTCTGCAAAACGCTCACTCTAAAAACGAAGTAGAAAACATAGTAGAAATACTTTCTTTAAGCTGAAATTAAAACAGAGTGAGTGAAGCTTTTTAAAGGGGCTCAGTAGACTTTTTATTGTTCACTAAAGAAGTTTCTTGTATGCTAAAATTTGCGATCTAAAACAGCACTGGTGTCACCTTCACATCTGTGTAGCAGTCTGCTTGTATGTGATGTGCTGATACGAACCTCGATCCTGACACGGGTGAGCTGAGATGAAGATGTCATCAACTGCAATGTAGGTGTTTTTGCCTCCAGCCCCCACCACCTCAAACTCCAGCTGCAGACCACAACAGAGCACATCATAGACTTGGTTTAAACACCCAACATGGGACTCCACATTTTCACATGTTTTTTCAGATTCAGTCCTTCATGTTTTGAGGGTTTATAGATGCCCCCGAGTCCTGACATAAATAAAACATTACGAAATGCCCCCTCTAGTGGCCTTTTCAAGAAAAACACATGAAAGTCTGCTAAAATAGTTGCTCTTCTAAAGGATGGAAAATGACGGACTGCCCTCTGGATCTCCTTTCAGTGGATATAGATAAAATAGAGCCCTTTACTTGTACTTTCAGTGTACAAAACCTCAAAAATTGCTTGATTTAAGACCAGCCACTACAAAAACACGGAAAAAGAAGCCTCTGGATGTACTTTCAGCATATAATACATTTGAGAAGTTCCCTTCTGGTGCTTTTCTCAGTATGTAAAGTGAAAAAAGAGCCCCCTGAATGCCCCCTTGAATGATCAAATGTGATAATATGCCTTTTTGGTAATTGTTATCTTTGCTCCTGCCCCTCATACAGCCAGAGTACGACTCTAGTTTTAACATTTGACATGTTTTCTGTGCTGTTTTTAGTTATGGGGTTTCATTTTTTGCAAATCATCACAATCCATTTACATTTGACTCAGCACCCAAATTTATTTTTGGAAACTGGGTTGTAGATCATTTTGAATGCAAGACCATTTCGAGATCAAATTGTTTGAGCAGTCCTCTAAAGCCTGCACTCTGTACCTGCCAGTCCACAAGAGTGCTGGAGATGTTGCCATTGCCATGGCGCCATACACTTCCCTGATTCAGACTGTCAGAGAAGATCTTCACCCTCTCTCCCTCCACCGGCTTCATATATAAAGTCAGATAGCCTGCAAAGTACGGACAGTCAAGATTAGGAGATTTTTTTCTCTCTTTGTGAGTGTTTGAGTGTCTGAAAGCAGCTCACCAGAATTCTCTCCTCCCATTTGATACCAGAAATGGACGCACTCAGTCCTGGCGATTCCTTGGCGAACAGGAGAGGTGAGGACTGTCTTATCACCAGAAGGCAGGAACTCTTTTCCAGTGTTTGCCATCATGTAGAAACCTGAACACCAAACCACATCAACTCTGAGTTTCTGGGTATTTTCATGCGTCTCAAAACTTCAATACTACTAGCTAGAAGTCTTTCTAACCGTTTTCAGTCTCTAAAGTGTGATCTGTTTTGGGTCCCGTCACCGTGGTGGTGTGTCCGCTGCGGTGAAGCCACTTAATTTTTCCAGAGCTGCTGTACCCACACTGCTGACCCTCAAAGGAACACATCCTCGGGATGGCACAAGGGCCGCTCACAAACGCCACGTCGTCAATGGCCACACGTCCATCAAACCCAGAACGAACTGCTTCGAACATCAGCTGGTGGTCGATCAAAGACATAAACAAGTAAGACAGGAAGGAATATTGACTCAAAATGTTCAATTTTTAATCATCTTTTGATTTATCTATCTGTGACTGCTTGAGTACAGAACCAAAATTGTCATTTAGAGATGCTGGAAATTGCCTGTAAATGCCAAATCTTACCCTCTCTTATAATATCTCCCTGTCTTTTAATAATTCTTTTGTTCAGAGAAGTTAAAATGGTTTTTAAGCCATTAAGAAGTGATGCCAGACTGTTATCCTTACCTGAAAGTTTGTGAGCTGGTGCGGTACAGGACAGTGAGCTTCATGCCACACATTGCCATGAGCACCACTGCGGGTCCAGAGGATCTCCTCATAACCGTTTTTATCCAGCACCTTCACATTCAGAGCACCTGGACAAGATGATTAAAATATGAAATGACATCCTGCTTCACTCTGGAAATAAAGAATTCCTCTCCAAACTGCTGTTCCTCCATGCACTCCTCTGCTCACCTGTGTTTGGGCCGTAGAGTTTGTAGAAGAATGACAGGCAGTATTCTGTTGGTCCCGCCGACTGTGTGAGTGAAACCAGGCGCCCAAACATACCACGGAGAGAAGGACTCCACATGTCCACAGCGAGGCTACTCCCTGGATGTCAAGAGAGGGGCCAACAGATATTAAAGTGGCCTTTAAGGAATCAAATGTAAAGCAGTCCCATTTAATACACTGTTGTTTAATGGTGTTGACTATGAAACACTTAAATGATCTGTAGCGATGATGCATTTGGTGTTTTCCGCCTCTGCATTTGTCTGCACCCCACTTTCATTCAAGCAGCTTGTCAGCGAGCGCTCAACAATGCAAATTCCAAAACAAGTTCAATAAATCAAGACACATGCAACAGCAGAAACTACAAATAAAAACAGAGAGCTGAAAAAAAAAGAGCTGAAAGAACTTATGTTGATGCCAAACCCACCACAAATACAAAGAGAGTGAAAAACACACAAAACCAGAAAACAGATTTAGAGCTGACAGGACAGAGAAAAGAAACACAGACTGTGTAAACTTTTTGGATATATTAAAGTCATCAAACTACATAACATTGGATACCACTACAGCAAAGTTTTGGTGTTTTTGACTTTGCATCTCTAAGTATTTCCAGCATGTTGGCAACTTGGCTGTAAATGCATTTTTGGCTGTGAGTCTCTTTCTTTTCCATTTGCAGCAGGTTTTTGCTGTGTTGTGTGTTTCTGATCCTTGTACCTGTTTTTTAAAATTTGCTTAATTTAAGCAGTTGCTGCACATTAATCTTAACAGAGATCATTTACGCAGTTCCAGATTGTCTGGTCTTATCAGCTAATGTTCACATTAGTGGTCCCACTTTAAATTGAGACCATCAAATGCTTAGTAAAGTCTTGGCTCAGATATTACTCTCTGCTTATCTGAATAACTGGATAGAAGGTCTTATAAAAGAGCTGGAGGTTGCAAGACTGGGGTCAACAAGTTTCAAGTTAATTTTTAAAGGGAATAAAAGTTACCAGGTTGTCTGATTGTTACTTTACAAGCATACCTGTCCCGATGGTGTGGTCCGACTGCCTGAGCAGCGTCCAGTCAAAGTTGTCACCGTTGTCCTGAAACCAGCCGCACAGTCCATCCTCAAAGTTACATGAAAGCGCTGGACAAAATCATGAAAGAAAAAAGATGTTTTTCATCAAACTAGTTTTTTGCTAATAATGTGCGTGTGTAATCTTAACAGTTTATAACTACCTGTTGGAGAAGATGGAATATAGTCTGCATGACAGCTGACAAAGAGGATGTTTTTCACTTTGATCAGAGAGAGTTTTTCAGCCCGAGCTTCAAGCGCCAGCTAGTCCACATAAAACCAAAATGAAAATGAATTTTACAAACTTAAAGAAAGCTTTTTATAGACAGCCTGCAGTGGTTTAAAAGTCTGAATGATGTTGCTTGTATCTGTGACTTCATTCTCTACTCTTGATATGTTGTAATCATAACAACACCAATCTCTGTTTACCCTAGAAGACGAAGCTGACCTGAAAGCGATGTTTTCTGAGTCCAACAGCCACTTCAACATGCTTCCACGCCTCCTCTCCTGCTCCTGTCTTCCCACTGAACTCCCACAGCTTAGGCTGAACACCCAATAAGCTGTCAATCACCCTGACGGACAGCTCACCTGCAGCAGAGAGATAACAGAGTCAGATAAAGACCCGAGCCAAACTGAAAGGGTGAAATAAGAATCTGGGTATAAATTCAGTTACCAATGTGATCTGGAGTTCCTGTTAGAGAAAACTCAAAGCTCAAAGTGCAGGCAGGGCCGGAGGGGCCCAAGAGGGGGGTCCGTGTCTGGGCCTCAGTCTGCTGCTGGCCCGGAGCCTCGGCGACATACAGGTGGTCCACTTGGATGGGTTTGAGACACAACATGTGTTATTAGTTTGTGATTGATTCTCAGTAACTCAGTGTTGTGGTGACAGGGAGTATTTGTACCTTTGGATGTCCAGTTTTTATGCAGCACCCAACCCTGACTCCCAATGCTTGAGTCAGTCCAGCCAGAGCTGCCTTCAGGATAAGTGAAATCCCCTAAAGACATGGTCCAACGAAAACAGTGTTGGTGTTTGCAGTTGTTTTGGATCTAGTCTCACTCTTTAAATGAAATTGCCTTTTAGTTTTGATCACAGTTTGGTCATGTTGGCCCTTCAAGTCAGAATGTTAGTTCGGGCTCAATCATTAGGCTTAGACCCTTCCTCAATGTGATGCTGCTATGCTACCCTCTCTGATCTTCTACGTAAATAAGGGGAAATAATTTCCCAATCAAGGTAAGAAACATACAAAACATCATCTTAATGTAGCTCACCACATTTGGATTCATCCAGGGCTCCCTCACAGTCAGGATTAAAATCACACATCATGTCCGGTTCAGCACACGGGTTTTGGGGGGGTTTTGGGAATTCATTGACCCAGGTTTTGTTTTCTTTTCAAGAAGAAAATAAGAGACAGAAAATCAATGATCACACCATCTGGATTATTTATTTGCAGATGTGAAATCTTTAAAAAATATGAGAATGAAAAAGGGTGTCAAAACACATTACCAGATACACGGCATTCAGGAGACAACACAATGCTGTCGATAGCGATGCCTCCATATGAGAAGTCCCTGATTGCTGCCATGATTAGGATCTATACAGGCAGAGTATTTGTAAATTAAAAAGGCTGCAAAAGGACATGATTATGATAACAAAAAAACAAATAAATAGATCAGTTAATTCCCAGGGTGTTGAACAACTTTCTGAGAGAAAAAGCTTTTTTTACTACCTTTAGTGCCCACTTGAAGGAATGTGAGCGTATTATTGCAACAGAATCACCTATACAGATTGTTAGACTATAGAATGATATCATATGACATAAAATGACTCAAATTAAAAGAATATACAGTGCCTTGAAAAAGTATTTATACACCTTGAACTTTTTCACATTTTGTCACTCTACCAAAATCTGCTTTTGTTATCTTTGTCTCTGTTATTTGTTAATGTGCTGCTGATGTTCAGGACAGGCAGAAATAATCCTCAGACTTCAGCCTTTTTTCTTTTTTGTGTGTATTTTATAGTAGGAATGGAAAAGTGAAAATGTGATAGGGTGAATGTGTTTGTGTTTGTTTTGTTAGTTGAATTTTTATCCAAACTGCAGATGTTAGGTCCTCTTTAACAAATAGTCAAGGTAAATGTTGACACGTATTTTGTAACTGTATTTGTCGACATGTGTTATCTACAGTTAAATACAGATTAAATCACTAGTAAGGTATTTCAGCCTGTTTATGTTCCTTAACACTTTCTCAATAATTTTGTTATAAATAACTGCAATTTAAGTATTTCACAAGGCAACAAACTCAGATGAAGTACTCACCTCGAAAGTGTAGTTTGAAACTATCTCCACCTCCCCCTTCACCCAAACATCACCCAGAGCTCCGCCCCTCTCCCATGCAGGGTAAATTTTTTTATCTGCCACCAGCACCGTCAGACCACCAGACCTCGGCCCAAACTGGTGAGTGTACATCACCATCTACAGCAGAGGGATACAGGGAGTGTGTCCATTTAAGTAAAGTTTAGAGATGCTATACACTCACCGGCCACTTTATTAGGTATACCTGTCCAACTGCTCGTTAACACTTAATTTCTAATCAGCCAATCACATGGCGGCAACTTAGTGCATTTAGGCATGTAGACATGGTCAAGACAATCTCCTGCAGTTCAAACCGAGCATCAGTATGGGGAAGAAAGGTGATTTGAGTGACTTTGAACGTGGCATGGTTGTTGGTGCCAGAAGGGCTGGTCTGAGTATTTCAGAAACTGCTGATCTACTGGGATTTTCACGCACAACCATCTCTAGGGTTTACAGAGAATGGTCAGAAAAAGAAAAAATATCCAGTGAGCGGCAGTTCTGTGGGCGGAAATGCCTTGTTGATGCCAGAGGTCAGAGGAGAATGGCCAGACTGGTTCGAGCTGATAGAAAGGCAACAGTGACTCAAATAACCACCCGTTACAACCAAGGTAGGCAGAAGAGCATCTCTGAACGCACAGTACGTCGAACTTTGAGGCAGATGGGCTACAGCAGCAGAAGACCATGCCGGGTGCCACTCCTTCCAGCTAAGAACAGGAAACTGAGGCTACAATTTGCACAAGCTCATCGAAATTGGACAATAGAAGATTGGGAAAACATTGCCTGGTCTGATGAGTCTCGATTTCTGCTGCGACATTCGGATGGTAGGGTCAGAATTTGGCGTCAACAACATGAAAGCATGGATCCATCCTGCCTTGTATCAACGGTTCAGGCTGGTGGTGGTGGTGTCATGGTGTGGGGAATATTTTCTTGGCACTCTTTGGGCCCCTTGGTACCAATTGAGCATCGTTGCAACGCCACAGCCTACCTGAGTATTGTTGCTGACCATGTCCATCCCTTTATGACCACAATGTACCCAACTTCTGATGGCTACTTTCAGCAGGATAATGCGCCATGTCATAAAGCTGGAATCATCTCAGACTGGTTTCTTGAACATGACAATGAGTTCACTGTACTCAAATGGCCTCCACAGTCACCAGATCTCAATCCAATAGAGCATCTTTGGGATGTGGTGGAACGGGAGATTCGCATCATGGATGTGCAGCCGACAAATCTGCGGCAACTGTGTGATGCCATCATGTCAATATGGACCAAACTCTCTGAGGAATGCTTCCAGCACCTTGTTGAATCTATGCCACGAAGAATTGAGGCAGTTCTGAAGGCAAAAGGGGGTCCAACCCGTTACTAGCATGGTGTACCTAATAAAGTGGCCGGTGAGTGTATGATTTTATACAATTTATAGATGAGGGTCTGTGCTGCGAAGGGCAGAAAAAAAAGTCATCTGATTGGAAAATAAATCATATGTGACTCACCCTGCATGGATGTGAACTATTTGTGGGATGTAGGGGGCGGCTTTGGAAAGCAGCCCAGTCAGTTGTGAGACCACCATCAGGGACAGTGACATACAGGAAGTGACCTAAAATGATGCATTTATAATGATCTGTATTTAGTTTTCAAACACAGTTTACTGTCATGTAAGATGTGTTTAAAAGTTACTTTTACAAGTAACTTTAAAATAAGTTAAAGGTGGGGTAGACAGGATTCCGTTAAAGAAGCATCTTTTTTTGTGGTGTATATACAAAAAAGCTCCTAATATCAGTCAACAGCTATTAGTTATTGATTACATTTGGTAATTTAATGATATTGCTGTGTTTTGTTATGTCTGTGTAGTCAACATTTTCAAATTTTTGAGCAGCCGCTCTTTCTGACTGTAAACAAAGCCGTTCTCCACCTCCCCTTACCTGATTAGTCCCCTTACCTAATCGTTTCTTGTCAAATAGGAACTACGTGTTGTAGCGCCGCTAAACTGTTTACCTTGCGTCCTGGAGTATGTCACTTTGTGCTAGTTGTAGAAATCCTGCAAACATCGTGTTCTCCCAAAAACTGGCACTTCCTCAGATCCTGCCTACCCCACCGTTAACAGGGAGCAAATAAAATGTACCTTTTGCACTGTTGGTGGAGTGATCCCTGCCCGGTCCTTTCAGAGGATCCGTCATGGAGATGTTCTCCTGATTCATCCTTTTCCATTTCAGAGGAGACAGTGATGCCAAATGCCAAACACACAGACTATCCTCAAAGTCACAGCGTCTGTACCTTTCTGGAGACCGAGTGGAAACACAGGCATGAGCTGCTGACCTCTGGATGAATTTACTGTGTTCACATGGTGGAATGTTAACCTATGATTTCACTAATTTCAGAAATATCGAAACATGTTTGCATCACATATGGGCTCAGTGATTCTGTGGAGGATTTAGAAAAGCTGATAATACGATACGATGTGATACCTTACAATAGGATATGACATATAATGAAACAATACAATAAAACAATACAATTAAATATGATACAACACAACCTAATACAGCAGGAAATACTACAATATGATATGACAATGCAATGATTTATGATATGACGTGATATGATGTGATCTCTACATTCCAATTTAAGGATTTAAGGAGCGGGTCATCTTATTTTTGCAACATCAACCCAACTAAATTCTGACTCATCTGTTGTACTGAGGTGTCAGAGAGATGATTTTGGCAGCGATTCCAAAAGTTCCTCACCACATTTCACCTCATCAGATCCGTCACCACAGTCATCACTTCCATCACAGACCTGCCTCTGCTCCACACAGCCCTCATTCATGCACTCAAACATCCCAGGTGAACAGCCTTCTCCTTTGTGTGGTACTTTTTATGCAAAAAACAAAACAACAACAACAAAAAACCATATCAAAATACTTATCATGGATGTGAACTTTATACAAGATTCTGCTCTAATCTTAAAGACTCCAAGGAAAGGCAGGCTAACTACTTACAGGGAAGAGCACAATCCAGAAACTGCAGCTGGTCTATCGCCACATCTCCTCTTCCTCCCTCAGCACGCTTTGAGTTCAGGCGGATTTGGAAACTCGTAGGGATTCGACCCAGGAAAATGGTTGCCTCCCTCCAGCCACGGGTGCTGGAGGCCTCAGGACGCCACACGATAGCTTCCGTGGCGTCCTGGCGAAGGATAGATGCCCACAGGGGTGTGGAGCCCAGATCTGTGTGGCCTTTAAGTTACATTATAAATACTTTGTTAGTGAGGCAGCAGGAGGAAAATTAAGTCTTGTAGTGTGTACCAAGAATAAAAAGTTCTCATCATGACTGTTGTTTACAATACAAAAAAGGACACAATCAACAAAATGTAACGGCGGCATAAGGAACAAACAGAACAGAAAAGAAACAGTGATGTACAAAAACAGATATAAACAAGAAGTATACTCATTTATCAAAGTTATACAAGTACTGAGTAGTAATGTGCAGTGTTTTTTAACTGTTACCTGAGTCCCATAGGAAATATCTGAGGAGGAGGCGACAGGTTGGTGATGACTGTTTCATTTCTGGAGAGATTAAAACTGCTGTACTGAGGGAATCAGACTTCACCGCAGTCACCCCCATAAACCAACCTGTATCAGGACAAATGATACACATATTAATAGTGTTAATACTGTTGTTTTCTTTAGACTGAAAACCAGACAGAGACGCCTCATTTCAAGTTTCTGAATCTGTGAACAAATTGACAACTTTGAGCATGTAACAGTTATCTCAAATAACTTTTAAAACCTATTTTGAAATGTAGAAGAAACACAATAATTAATTGAGAAATCAGTTAGGGCTACATAAATCATTTTTGTATGAGGAAATGAATCCTCTATACAGTCTAGGCAGACAAATCCTTCGAAGGCCAGGTCTTTCGAAAACTGGGACACAGCTATAGTCAGGCAGTAGTTCCCTAAGGAGGGAAAAGACTGAGACAGAGCAGAAGTTTTGGGACACTAAATGTTGATTTAAAGACTTTTTATTGATTTCAACCCTAAATAAAAAAAAACAGTCCCCACAATTGGTTGTACTACCTTGGCTATACAGATCAAGATTAACATTTCAATGAACAGTCATGCTACAACATGAGTATGTTTACAAAGTAATGTAACATTTCCACTGAAAGTCATGTTATAGAAGGTAAACATTTGAAACATTTGCAGCCAGCTAATTTGTTATCATTCACATTAAATTGTTAAATGATATCCAACACATTTTCTATTATTAGGTTGTTGGATTGTTTTGCTAACCCTACGTTTCTGTGCTGAGCTGTACCTGAAGCAGTCCCAGTGGTGTAGTCAGATGACGGTCCACTGTCAGGCAGAGTGATACCTCTCTGCCGATGCTCCCAGCTGTACGCTTGATTAATGGACTGGTCAGTCCATCCACACATCCCTGCATCCTCAAAGTCACACTCAAATGTCTTGCCTCTGTAACCTTAAAAGGTGCAAGAGGGACAAAATTTAATGGTGTACTATTAGCTTAAAGGCCAGTTCTGAAAGAGTTTAAATGCAAATAAAAGTCTTATTCAGATTGTGTGTTGGCACTTTTAAACTTTTTTGGTACTCAAAGACGAAAGCATTTTTCGACTCACCACAGTCCTGCTCATCACTGCAGTCAGAACAATCACACACAAAGTCACATTTCCCCTCTGGAGTTTCACATCGCCCAGACCAAGAACCAGTGACTGAAATAACAAGAGAGAAATCAAAGTTGTTCCACTGTGTGAGACGACATTTAAAGCTCTTGTGGGAAACTTTCCGCATGCATTGAATTTGGCCTTCTCTGTGGATGAAGGGATATCTCTTATCTCTTCAATAAGCAGGCCTGAAGTGGAGAGTAAATCCAAGACAGCAGCAGAAAGAATAATCATTTTTCTGTTTGATAAACACCAATCAATGATTAAAAAAATCTAGTAATTTTACTGTCCAACTTTGCTAATGTCTGCAGGCTATGTAACATCTATGAGATAATTCAACCCCAAACTCTCTTATCAGGATCTATTATGGTCATACATTTATGACTTGACCGATGCCAACAGGCTCAAAGGCCAGATAGAAGTAATCAGGTTAAATCCTGATTTACTGTGAGGACATCTTTTGTTCAACAGTACAACTGTACTGTATTCAACTGAATGTTTTCAGGGTTTCTCCTGAAAGAGACTCTGAATCCAGAATCACCCATGATTATGAATTCTGACAGCACAGCCAAAATGTTCATTGTAGTTTTCTACCTTTTTTTCCTCAAACATCTCACATACATTTTTGCACAGAATGAAAGCAATCTAAATTTAAACTTGAGTCCTTTTGGACTACAGTATAGAATATATTACAGAGATTTGTTGTTTGTGAGGAAAGGAAACAAAGCTTGGTCAAATATATGGAAATAGGGCAAATTCAGTAAACTGTCTTATTTCATTCTGATGTTATGTAGGTTGCAAGGACCCATTGTGTTTCAACTTTCTTCTATGTAAAACTGCCCAGTGATCTTTTAAAAGATATAGATCAACATTCTTTTGAATATTATAAATATCACCTTCAAAGTTGGCCTTTATACCTCCAGGTTGAGATTACACTGAGTCTATTTCTTCTGGAAATTTATTCATGAATTAAAATACATAAATACATATATATAGTATACTCAATGCATGCTATATATTTTGATACACACACACGAAAAAAACAGGTTTCTTTTTTTTTCAGTTACTAAGCGCAAAGTTGTGGCATAAGCTCTTCAATTGACTCTCTCCCTATTTTCAAATCCAAACTTGAAACCCACCTGTTCATATCAGCCCACTCCTTGTCATTTACTTAGTCCCATTTTTTTACTGTATTTTTCATCCTGTTCTTTTATGCTGTTTTTATTTCGTAAAGTGACCTTGAGTGTTCATAAAGGTGCTTATAAATAAAATGTATTATTATTATGAATTAGATATGATGAGCCAACACTTTCAATAACCCTGCCATGTACTGTTATTTTTGACAAGTTAAGCCACACCAGCATCAGCAGTGTCATTCTCAAATCAGTAATTTGCAAAGGAAATAAAAACTGTTCAAAGTGTGAGAGAAATCTGTCTTCATGTTCTTACCAAACTGCACAGTCAACAGCAGGAGGAGGAGGCCCGAGCTCCTCAGGTATAACATCTTCGTCCACCTGATCAGTCTGACAGTCCTGGACACGAACCTGCAGAGAGTCTATTCTAGTAGACTCTGACCTGTTCTCTATATCTGAGAGATAAAACATGGACTTTACATTCTCTAAGCGTGCACCTCCGGCAAAGAGTCATAAAACAATTTCCTCTAGATGACCATCTTCCTGTATCCGGCATCTGATAAATTCCACAGGAGCTGTAGACAATACTGGCAACAACCATGTGAGGGTACTTCAGGGTTATTGGGGGTAAAGTATTTGATTGAAGGGATCACAGATAAGCTCAGATTTATACGTCAAGAGTGTTAGAAGATGAGAAGGTTATTCTGCCGTGTTTGGTGCATTAATCAAATATGTTCCCCACAGGAACATAAAAGCTGAATAAAAAGCGGACTGTATATGTGCATGTTCTAAAATAAACAAATCCCTGCATACTAACACACAACGCCTCAGAAATTTTGTACGGAGGATTTGAATGTTTAAAACAACCACTGACAGTTTTTTCATGTTCAGGTCTCCTCTCTCTGCTTAGCTGGGCAAACTCTCTGGTCACAGACCAACACTTTGAAAAAGTTAGTGACCAACTAATAAACAGTGAAGCCTGTAAAAAAAAGTGTCATCATACCATAAAGATGGATGTTGATAGCCTGGCTGGGCCATCCTGTTGCGTGAATCACTTGCCGTTCCTTCAAGGAACAGCAAGTGATTCACGCAACAGGATGGCCCAGCCAGGCTAGGATGTTGAAGCCAAACCCTTGGCGGACACTAGACTGCATATCTAGTACCCCTTGCTGCATTATCGCTTGTACATCAAGGTTTTTAAATGTGTCTAAGGGCAGACTGGTCCATTATTGGGGCCAGTAAGCGTTTCATTAGACTAACTGTCAATAAAAATTCATTAGTCAAAATCTGAGCTTCTGTAGGTTTGTGTCTACCATTCTTAATCTGTTTTCACTCTGTCTCATCTAATGACCCACCCAAAGCTCTATCTATTTGACAAGATATCACACAACTGAGTGACATAAGTTCACTATAAACATAAGTAGTGAAGTTTATCTGAAAAGTTTAGTCTGTCAGAAATATCTGAAATTGTTTCTATACAAACCAGCCTTATTTACCTTTTATTGAAATAATAGATCTGAAGAAATGTTAAAAAATAAAAAAATTCAAGTGTGTCAAGAAATGTACACTCTGGATTTTGCCCCACACCACTTAACACCCCCCCCTACCTTTAACTTTAACTCTAACGCTAACTCTAGCTTTAGCTTGCATATTACGTGGTGCTTCGCCGTTAACTCGGCGTGACTGAGACCAGCACAGCGGGGAACATCGTGAAGGGGATTGAACTGAAACTTGTTGACTTATTGTTGATTCACAAACTGGTTTATTTACCCTTGAGGCGGACCACTCTCCTCCGTGCGTCCCTGAGCTGACTGCTTCAGATCCGTTACTCTGCTGTGCTGTGAGGTAGTTAGTGGATGACGATTGTCATGAGGTCGCTGCGCCATCTATGAGATAAGTCTGGGAACTTTTCAAATGGTGGAACATTTTCGAAGTGAAACCGAATCTTATTCTCCACATTTTATTTCTGAAAATATCGGCAAAAATCGTCGAGTTTTGGCCGATTACCAATTAGTCTCAAACGGGCTAAGTTTGGCTGATTTCATCGGCTCGCCAATAAATCTGTCAGGCCCCAATGCTGAATGATTCAGTTTTAACTAAAGATTTGCTAAAGGCTCATGTTGTTGGAGTTTGTAGTGTTCCAAATTCTATATTATGAAAAAAGTTTTTTATTTGTACTGTTGATTTGAAATTTGGTACAATGATCTACAAATACTCAATACCAGTATCAGCTCTGGAAAAGCAATATCGGTCAAAACTTTGTCCTAATCTTTCAATGACAATAGTCGAGCCAAAAGTAAGATCACCAAAAATAAAGGGCCATTACAAGTTTCCGTACCACAACTGAAGGAACAAAATAAGCAAATATTTAAATATCAGAGTTCAGAAATAATAAAACAAACATCAGGGTGGAAAATGAAACAATCATTTTATAAAACATCTAGTAATTAGGTCAAAATTATAAAATAATACCAAGAGGTGACTGTGTTGCTACAAAATCAGTTTTTATTTTTCAACTCTAAAATATCTGAAATATCACAGAACTGAGACTCCAAATTTATCAAGAATGGTTGGGTTTATATATTTTTTACTGATATTAGTATTTGCTATTTTTGTGTACTCTTATTTTGTACTGTAAACACATCCACAAAGAAGGGTTTGACTTCCATCTGTAATTGTCATTGTCAGCCTTGTGCTTCCTTAAATAATGAGGAAAAACAAATGTTTGGGGAGTTTTTCATTAAGCAGTTTGTGGTATTACTGATATGATCTGTGTTATCATAAGGGGTTACACATAAGTGCCATGTCAGTCCAGGAGAAAGGGTGTCCAACAAAGTATGCTCAGTATCCTTCATTGTCCCATGTCACCTCATAGTCCGGGTATCGAGCCTTCAGTTTTTCTCTTGATACTGCATGATTTGCTCTTCCAAATCCCTGTAGACATGTTAAGCACATTGGTGTCTGATTAGGTCAAGAAAAAATAACCACATCACAGCTGTTATCCTAAATATTTAGCATCAAACTAATCATTGTGTAAAAAGATCATTTATAAAGACAATATGGAGCCTCTTAACTCCTTTTAACTCCTCATCTATCGGCTCTTTACTCAGCAGTGTTCTCACCATTGAATATCCATAGATTTGGATCTTCTTGGCTTGTGCGTCATGTTTGATCCTCCCTCCTCCAACACATTCACAGTCCAGGTGTCCATCCTTTTCCAGCTCCTCAGCAACCTTATCATAAATATCAGCTGCAGGAAAACATACAGACTATAAGTGAAACCATGTATTAAAACAAGGACTTCTGATGGAATATATATATATATATATATATATATATATATATATATATATATATATATAGGGCCTTTGAGACATGCATGTTAGGGGGAATGAGTTTATTGGGTCAAAAACAAAGCTGAAAACACAAAACATAAGAAGACGAAAATTGGTGACCGTGCAAATGCCTGTCCAAAATATAGCCGTCACTGAGCGAGAAATTTAACAAACCTTTTCGTTGTTAGAGGAAATTATTTTGCGGTATCTTTGTGAGCATTAAGGGCGTGGGTAGTACTCACAGTACCACATGCGGTGTGAAAATGTTTGTGGGATGCGTTTAAATACAGTGCGAGGTCAGGCACTAACAGGTCAGGCACTTACAGTGGATCGCGGCTATCCGTTTTAGCGGACTTACGGACTTTATACTCCTCACTGATCGATGGATTTGGGATATTTTGCAAATAAAGGGCCATAAACACAGTGAGAAACAGACGAAATGGTCATACAGATGCCTTAAAAATACATGGCACGGAGACAGAATCACTGCAGTCTCTGTCCATGTTAACCTGTGACTGTATGCAGATGTCAGAGGTGTGTCAGGTGTGCTGGTCATAGACTGTATACACTATGGACAACCTGGTTCCGCCTACCGCCTGTATACGGATTTGAAGCCAAAAGCTCTTGGTATTTCCGGGATTTTTCTTCATTTCCTGAAACCAGCGCTGTGCAGTAGTGTTGTGCGCATTCGGCCGCGCAGTCGCAGAGAGTCACTGTAATGACGCTCGGCTCAAACAGCGTATCCCCCGGGAGAGCTACTCAATCCCTGAACGCCCATAGGCTGTATCAGGTGTCAATCATAGCAAACATGAACCCCCAAAAAACTTTTAAAAGAAAGAAAAAAGAGGACTTGAGCACAAACCAGTCTTACAATAACTACATGTCAACATCACAAGCGGGGGGAGAAAAATGTATGTTCTGTGTAATAAAAAAAATGTCTAAAGTTGGTCCACAGCCCCATAAGCTTTGCTGGCGGAGGCTGGATTTATGACCTATACTGCAGCCTATCAACAGAGGGTGCTGTTCTCGGAGTGGCTTCACCCCGCGAGGAGGCAGACGGCGTCCATTCTATATACAGTCTATGGTGCTGGTCCTTTTACTCACTCACTTCTTGTTGTTGGTTAATATAAACTTTCAATTTGATCTCAGACCAGAAACCCTGGTATTGTGCCTCCTGAGTTGTTTGAAACATTGCAGTATTACACTTTACAATAAACAGGTGGTCTTTGTTGTTGTAGATGTAGATAAAATATCACATTATTACGCCTTTGAGTTAACTCTGTAGTGTATACGAAAGCTGGACACTCCTATAAAAGTAGGTTTGACAGTAAGGCTGTTGTAAGTGCACTTGTTTTAGTAAATAATAAGCTCAGGTTTCTTGTATTGCCCTTAGCTTCGCATGTGGACTACAGCTCTTATAACCACTAATGGACTCTGTAATGTAGCCCTCATACTCTCGGAGCTCCCCACTCACCGTGGTACTCAGCCCAGCCGTATCCTCGGACTATATCCACCTCCGAATCGTCTCCCTCCTCTTTGCTGTGGACTCGGATCAGGACGTACTTAAACACTCCGGACGGGTCGATGTCCGCCTGCGGGATGTTGGCCATCAGAGCCGCTGCCTTCGTTTGCGTGCACATGTCCAGACTTCTCCAGACCCACACAGACAGACCCACAAAGAGAAGCAATGCTCGAACTTTCTCGTCTGTCTCCGTGTCTGTCCTCCCACTATGGGTATAACTGTATCAGAGTGTTTCTGATAGAATTTAGAGGTGAATTATAACGTTCAAAGGTTGTTCCGCCCTGCAGCATCAATAAACACTCCTTCTTCTTCTTCTTCTGATTTGATAGACAAGTCACGGCAAAGGCTCACTGCTGCCCCCACAGTCTGGTGTCTTATTTTTTTGTTCTTCTTCTTTGTGGCGTTTAATGGCGGCAGCTGGCCACCTTTAATATGGGCTTTATCGCCACCTACTGACTCGGGGTATGGGCCAGGCTCCAAGAACAATTAAGTTACAATGACATTAAATTCAGAATAACCACAACAAAGTTGTTTTTCAGGAAAAAATGAAGTTGCAACTGATACACTAGTGTAGATTTATTGTACCAACATAACTTATATCTAAACTATTTACTAAAGGGTTCAAGGATGCCTAGTAAAAAAAAGAGAAACCTCATCTTTCATTTATCTTAAGACCAGCCTCATCAGCAACCAGCAGAACAAGAGACAGAACAGAATATGAACAACAGACAGAGAAGGAGGAACAGCAGCAGCCTGAGCAGGGGTCGAGATCCAAGTGTGGAGCTTAAAAATACAGGAGCATCTTCAAGAGTGAGTGGACCACGATGTGGCTATTCATAAGCTAAGGAACCTTCAGCACACAATAATGGTGCTTTTTGTGTCGTTGAGAAAATTCATGAGGCCATTAGAGGGTAGCTGATGTTGTTCTATTGAGGGACCAACCATACACCTTCATCAAAGATGGATCAAATAAAACAGGTATTTCCCAAACTCTTGAACGAGATGTTTTTCACCTCCACAAACGTCGGCCATTACTACGTTTTTAAATATGTATATAAGAATATGGGATGCTGTATATGTTTAGTTATGCTGTTTTTGTAGGAGTACAAAGGATGGATCCTCGGACTGTCCGGCTCGTTATTAAAGATGAGGTTGCACACCACTTCCTTGGGATGTGTACTATTAGTTGGACGAGTTGTTGGACAGCAGAAGTCATCTCCAGCAAGTTCAAGGCAACCTTGGAAGAAATGGCTATCCCTTGAAAAAAACTGATGGTTTCTCTGTGGACAATGTGAACACAACTCCATTTCCTCCAGAATCCAGAAGAAACCCCCAAGCATTTATGTTCATGGTTGCCCATGTCATTTAGTTCACAACACTGCTCAATCAGCTGGGAAGGTGTTTTTGTCCATGTTATGACTTTCCATCTACTGTGTTCTGTTTGTTGTTAAGATCAAAGTAAAAAAATCACTTTTTCCTTCTGAAACAGTTTCAGTTCTAGCATTGCAACATTTCATGGGGACTTTTTTCCTTTGTTTACTTTACACTCTGAATGTGTTTGAAATAAGTTTTATAGAGGAGCTGCGAGAATGCACAATCTGTTTGTCTTTGGGGGTTTCTGTTGCACAGATGCTGCAGTCAACAAATCCTGACAGAACACCATGTTTATTAAAAAGAGGGTGCCAAACGTCCATATGCTTTCATTAAAGATTTTTTGAGTTAAAAAAAACAAAAACATTCATTATCTTTAGGCTCTGGTTTTCAAAGTTATTTCTTGTGAACAGAATTGTCCAGCTTATTATTATGGTTTCTGACAGATGCTTTACAAAATGAGTCCATTATCCTCAAGATGAGTTTTGGAGGTTAAGGAGTTTTCGTTTGTGTGAGTTCAAATATTTGCAGTGACATCTTCAAATTTCTTCTTTACTCATTGTATCTTCTCCTCATCTTCTTCCTGATCATTGCTCTGATCGGTGATACAAGTATGTCTCCTCGGTCTCTTCATCATAACCTCCATAATGCCCCCCATCACCTCCTCCTCTACCTCGATCATCAGGGCAATAGATTCCAAGTCTCCTCTGCAGCATCTCCTCCTGGAGGCGGAGATCCATGGAGTCAACCAAGTCGTAGACGCTGTCCAGGGACCACATGGGTGACGGAAACCATGCCTTGACATCACTGTCTTTTCCTACCACCAGCATGCTAAAGTAGTCTTTGCTGATCTTCAGCTGTTCTCTCAGATTGTTGACTTCTTCTCGAGGTAAAGGCTCAACTTCACTCTGACTGCGACCTGACAAAAGAATCACAGTTTAGAAACGATTTGCAACCGCTTACAGAAAAGGATTGACTGAAAAAGACAACAGAGTCTACTAAAAATGCTGTACCAAATAAAGTGGACTTAACTCTAACTTTAACAAGGGTGCCCCACAACACTGTTACTCACCGTTAAGAGGAAATAGCTCAACAGTCCCTGATGCTTTATCCCCTACCCCAGTCAACTTTAGCATGGCAAAGTGGCGAATACCTAGATAGGGACACAAAAATGCTTGGTATGTAAATATGAGCATCAAGACAGGCTGAAATATACAGTTCAAGTATTGCATAAAAAAATAACAAAAGTAAGCCATTTCCAAAAGTTACATATCTAACAACAATTAATTTCAAGCAGGTTATTCACTTTGATAAGAGGGCTGGTGTGGAAGCAACTCTGTTTATTCCACTATATCATACATGTGCACATTTTAATTTCCTTGAGGGAACGTTCCCAAAAGGATGAATAAAGTTGTTTCTAATCTAATCTGATCTAATCTAATCTAATGATACATGGGCATGTTAGCTAGTCTGTGGGAAAGTGATGGTGCAAAGCTTGGAAACAGTCCATTGTCCATTATCTATTGTTAATATAATATATAACAATGCATAATCTGCTCCTGGGTTGTAGAACTGTTGTACAAATGCAATACCACACTCTATACACAAGCCCCGCTATCATTTTGTACAACAGCGTCTCTCCTTCAAAGATGCTCAAATAACAAGAGATAGAGTTTTGATTGATTTTTCAAGCCCTGAAGGTCCGTCAGGAAGCTGGCTGTGTTGAAACATTTTCATATTCCACAAGAAGTCCAGAGCAAATAGTCAGTGTACGGTTCAGCAGAGTGACTGTTGTGTATTACTGACCCAGGTGGCACTCTTGTCCTCTGAGAGCAGAGAGCTGCTGTTGAAAAGAGTAGTCGTCCTCAGAGGGAGCAGAGATGAGCAACAGTCTCCTCTTAGACATGAACCTAAATAGACATGGAAACGTCGTTGATGGTGTGAATGCAGTGGTCTCAAGAAGTTTGAAGTCAAAACCTTTACTAAAGTCATTAATATGTCATGGAACATCATTTCTAATATTAGACAACCTGATAACATCTAATTTATTTAGCAAAGGACTCTCAAGTCGCAGAGGAATACAGTGAATGTTAGTATTAGATTACAACTCAATGAAATAGCAGTAGAAATGTAAAATCAAAGTATGGAACCATCACCCGAAACTATCTTTAAAATGACAGGTAAAGTTTACATACTCATTGCTATTTGATGGCAGAGGCAGTATGCGATGTGAACCAAAGGTGGGAATACATGCTAATGTTCGTGGGAAATTCTCTGTAGCCCAGACTGTTCCATGTCAGCGTGGTCTTAGTTGTTTACAGACTTAAAGAGAAATCCTCTTCTCAGATGAAGCCCATAAATTGTTACTTAGCTTTGCTGTGGCTGACTCCAGCTAGCTTTAATGAGATGCAAGCATGCTGCATGGGCTTTTTGACCATATATGTTGTAGTATTTTTAAAGGTGCACAGTTCACACACAGGAGACTTAAGATGAGATTTAGTTTTTTTACATACTAAATAATACAACTTTTAATTACTGCTTTTTAGCCCCTATCATCTTATCCATAGAGAATATATTATTTACTCTACCTGAGTAGTGAACTTTGCGCTCCGGGCTGTTGTTTGTCTTTGATGCAGGCTGGAGGATTCTTTCTTTCCTTTTCTTTTTCTGCACGTCTGGAGGGAAAGTTGTCAACATATTCGAACAAAGCAGGAGTTGATGGAGGAGCCTCAAAGACTCTCTGAGTACAAGGAAAAAGTTGATTAGACAAAATAAAGAGCACCAAAAAGGAGGGTCTAATAAATGCATTGTAGTCCTCACATAAGACAGACTAAAAGTGGAGGAGACTGTCTTACATCAGGTTTCATGTCGTAGTCTGTGATGGTCATAGAGAAGAGGTCAGGTGATGACAGGCCAAGCTCTGCTCTCAACAGAGAGATCAGGCCTGGATCTGAGAAATAATCTGATTGGTCACTGAGTCGAGGCTCTGACTCTGAAACACAAATGAAGGGAGGCAAACACAACATTTGGTTAAACAGCAAATTTTCCATGATGTGTTTTTACTTTCAGCTTAAAGCAACACCTTGGTTTTAGTTCCCAAATACAACCTCACAGAGCAAACAGCTCTGACTCTGGTTTTATGTCCAGTTGTTTCAGATGTACCTACATCATAAAAACCTACAAAAGCTCAACCAAATAAACTCTGCTTTGAATAACTGAAAGGTAAGAAATGAAGCTAGAAAACAGCTCAATGATCACCTTGCAGAGTGGAGTAGTTCACTTTAACAGGCTATTTAACTCCACAGTTAATAAAAACTCACCTGCTGTGACAGCAGTATGTAAGCACTAAACTTGCATTTGGTCACACTTTAGTAAAATAAACAATGTGAGAATAGTACAACAGCTGCTGCACTTGAAAAAAAAGACATACTTTCCTCCCCCAAATATGAGGATCACACCCAGAAAAATGTAACCACTTCCATATAAAAACAGAGAGAGAGCGAGAGAGAGAGAATTCATATTCACATAATCATAAATGTTATTTTCAGCTCTACATACCAAGTAGGTGGTGTTGCAGAGTTAGCGTGGCATCTCCTCCTTCGCCCACCGTGGTTGCCACTGTGACTTTCCTGATGGCGAGGTCACAGTGTTGCTTCTCATTTTGCTCCATCTGCTGGAGGTACAGCGTTGCCTCTTTGCTGGGTGTCGAGATCAACTAGACTCCAGATTACAGACACATAGATCAATAACTCTGAATGAACCAGATAACAACGCTGATCAGCTGCAGCTAAAGGAGGAAAAACTCCCCACCATTAATCTTCTTGTCCCCTTAAAGGTGTCCAGAAACTCCTTCAGGGCTGCTTTGTCCTTGTCACTGGCCTCTCTGTTTGACTTCTTCCCTCTTCCTTTCCCTTTCTTTCCTTTCTTCCCTTTGCCCTTTTTCTTAGTGCTCTGTTTTTCCTGCGTGTTATCCCCTTTTTTAACTTCACTGTTCTTTGCTTCATTTCTTTTCCTCCCTTCCTCCACATCAGGGTCAAACCTGCAGCAGAGGAGAAAAAAGACTTTGATGCTTGTCCAACTCTAGAAACATTCTGTAAGTGTGGTGAAGGGGCACGCCACGCCAGATGGAAACACAAAACTCATGTAGTTTCAGTGCAATGAATCAAACATCCACATTGTTTTATGTCTGCTGTGTTTGAAAAATAAAAGATGTGAACAGTACCTGTCTTTGGTCACTTCTTCACGACTCTTTGACACAGATGGAGAGCCATGCACATTTTCCTGTCCATTGGAAGCAGACCGACCACCGCTGCCCAAGTCCTTTCCCTTCGTGGATCCTCCAGGGGGCACCTTTCGGATCACAAACCTGGACCGTCCACTTAGTATATCCTGGATTTTACTCTTCAAAGCAGCTTTTTTGTCCACAGGAGGCTTTCTTTGTAATGGCACAACTGAAGTCACATTTCCTCTTCTCTGAGAGCTTAGCACCATCTTTTTCTTCATCTTTCTCCTTCCAACAATCTTCTTTTTAGTGGTTTTACACCTGAGTAGGAAAATACCAATTAATGCTGTCGATTTTTTCTCTTATCATCAAACTCAAAAACACTCTTGCTGTCAAAGACAAAACCATAGACTGTATATACTATAGACAACTTGGTTCCGCCTACCGCCTGTATACGGATTTGAAGCCAAATAGCTCTCAGTATTTCCGGGATTTTTCTTCATTTCCTGAAACCAGCGCTGCGCAGTAGCATTGTGCGCATTCGGCCGCGCAGTCGCAGAGAGTCACTTTGATGTCGCTCGGCTCAAACAGCGTATCCCCCGGTTGAGCTACGCAATCCCTGAATGCCCATAGGCTGTATCAGGTGTCAATCATAGCAAACATGAACCCCCCAATAACTTTTAAAAACGGAGCTTCACAGAAAAAAAGAGGATTTGAGCACAAACCAGTCTTGCAATAACTACATGTCAACATCACAAGCAGGGGGGAGAAAAATGTATGTTCTGTGTAATAAATTTCTAAAGTTTGTCCACAGCTCCATAAGCTTTGCTGGCGGAAGCTGGATTTATGACCTATACTGCAGCCCGTCGCTAGAGGGTGCTGTTCTCGGAGTGGCTTCACCCAGCGAGGAGGCAGACTCTGTCCATTCTTTATACAGTCTATGGACAAAACCAATGACGAGCACTACACTTGCATTTCATCTAATGGCCAGCAGGAGGCATCACAGCTGGTACATTTACATGCACAGAGATGCAGTTATAGCTAGATTAAATGATTTCAATGGACTACTGTCCTCAGGTTAAAGCCTAGTGGTATCATGTCAAACTGGTAAAAAATACATAAAACTGTGCAGTCCTGGAGCTTTTGTACTGACAATACTACAGCACAAACTGTTTAACACCCCTTTGATTCTTCTGTTGAGGTTTTGTTTACTATTCGGCTTCCCTTTACTCATTTCTGCTGTCAGACTCTTTAAAAACCTGCACCAGTTTGAGTCTAAATGATGTGTATTCATGCAACCCTGAACACATGATCTAGTGATGGTTGTCTGACTTTAAAAAACACAGTTAAGTGGGATTTCTGAGGAGTTATGATGTATTCTCAAAGTCCAGCTTTAGCCGGATCAATGAAAGAAACAGATTATTTCATCACCATGAAAACTTATTGATTGTTTACAAAATGGTCTGATTTTGTGGGAACAGATAAGAAAATTATGCAACAGTCTCAGTTACTGGTTCTAAATCCTCCTCAGTACATCAAGACGTTCACATTCCAAATCATAGTCCCAGAGCTCAACCAATGTTAAGGGTCTCACTGCCAAGCAATACAAGTATGCCCACTTCTCGTTCCAATAACACAACCTGGCATATTTCAAATGCCAAATTTGACACACCCCCTCCAGCACACAGCTCAAGACTATACCTAACACTACTCCCCAAGTCATGCCTAACACTGATAATAAGTTTATGATTTTACTCACTTTTCTGATCAAAGCCAGGATTAAACTACTTCTTCTGTTAGTACAGTAAATGGCAGAGATGTATAATGAAACCTTATGTTAGATCCTTTTCTAGTCATCTTCTCCAGCTTCCTCATGGGGAACTGATCAATAAGCTCCAAAATGGCCTCAACACGCACTGGATAAGGGAAGCGCTCACTGACATGAAGGTTTTTCTTCAGTACCAGCATGGTGAATCCTTCTTCCTGAAACAGCAGAACTCAGAGTTAAAGGGAGGCGACCAAATAAGAGAAACAGAAAAGCTCAGTTAGTTGTTGAATTGAGAGTTTGGTACCTGGTCAGTAAGGTCCAGGTAGTGCAGCAGTTTGGTAACCATGTCTGTGTCGAGGTTTTCTACTACAGCATCTCCTTGAAAAGTTGTTTTTTGTACGCGTCCTTCCATCATTGCATTCTGGATGATAGTAATTATGAATGTGTCTCTTTCTGCTAGACGGCAGTTTAGCGCTTTCTGTAGGAAACCCCAACAAAAACATTAAAAGAAAAGTGTCCTGTTGTTTTGTCACATATAAAATGAAATAAATCTGTACCTGATCCATGTCCTCCAGCTGTTTCTCCATCATACGGAGGTAGCTGTCGCTGTGTGATGGGGCTGTTATCACCCACAATCGCTTTTTACCTGCAGAAATGAGAAGATGTAAATGTAGATCGGCAGACAAAAAGACACGCCAGGTGACCAGTGATATATCTTACCTGCAAAGTCAGCAAGAAAATCCAGCTCTGGAGCCAGACTTGATGATGACTCTGTGTTGTCTCCATGTCGTCGTTCTTCATCCAAACCCAGTCCCTGTTCAGCTCCAGGAGGGAGGTCTGAGTAGTCTCCCCAGTCCCTCACGTTAGGGTCAAGCTGATCCTTTGGTTTGTACTGACCGATCCCTGGCCAGGCGGATAACAGACCAGGGTAGCTGAAGCTCCACAGGGCAGCAAACAACAACAGAGACGAGTAATGAAACATCCTTACTGTCCTGGCAGTGGTGGGTACAGGAGTAGAATAGCAGCTCACAAAAAAGGCATCAGCGCAGCCCTGTGTTCAACACTCTTCTGACTACTGCATGTCATCTGAAGCACACAAGATGCAGCCAACAGCTGTTATGTTTTTAAAAGAATTTAAAAGCTCCAGATTCTCCGTCACAAATGATCCAGCTGAAAAATCTCCATACTTTAAATCCAAACTCGAGGTTGAAGCATTCTGCGGCTTTAACAAAACAGGTGGAGCAAACCTGGACTCAGGAATCTGTTGAGGTGAACGAGCAGAAACGACTGAGAGGGATGAGAACCTCTCTCACCAGCAGAGAGATACTGACTGGGGAGCCTTGCCTCCTTTTGCGCACACACACACACACACACACACACACACACACACACACACACACACACACACACACACACACACACACACACACACACACACACACACACTCCTGGTTCACATTATACCCGGAGCTCGTTAACAGGAAACTCCTGGAATTTTCTACAACTTCAAAGTGCTCTCTCTCTCTCTCTCTCTCTCTCTCTCTCGCTCTCTCTCGCCTTCTCTCTCTCTCTCCTCTCTCTTTTCTCCCTCCTCCCCTTTGCATTTGTGTGGTGCTCCTTTGTCTCATAGATGACTACTTTGGTGTCCATTACCGAGAGAAAAACACAGTTTATCAAATCTACTTTCTAACAGAATATGATTTACACTCAGTTCTATTGTTCCATTTCATTGTCTCACTTACAGAAAAACATCATAAAGGTAGTGTGAAGGTACCCATGCCACTGCTACTGTGAAGCTAGTCTTGATCTTTGACCTCCCTGAAGAGAGGTGTGTGGCTGCAAGGGTCAGTGAAATGTCAGATTATCTGCTTTGATACACCTGGTGAAGACTGAACAGATTTGACAGTTTTGACTCAGACATGTCACTATTCATCAGAGATTGACACTGACCTGACTGATCTGAGTAACTGCGGGCTGCCTCACACATGTAGGGTCAGAAAAGCTCAAAAGGGGGTGTGGAAAAATACAAGCATTGATGGAGTAGAGGAGTTAGAGCAGTTTCGTCTAAAGCTAATCATTCAACAGGAGTTACAGCTTGTCAATGAATGGGGTTGTCAGTAACCATAAATAACCAAGACAGGCTTGCAGACACAGGAGTTAAAGTTCAGAGCAGTTCAAAGTTGTAATTCTGGGGAAAGATGCCTGCAGGTGAGTTCAACCATGAAGACTTTCAACGAGGACAAAGGGGATTCATCTCACTCACTTCTTCCTCATAAATGATAGCTAACTTAATTTCTTTACCACATTGAAGCAAAGCTTGAAACATAACTTTTGATACCTCCAATTGAACCACAAAAGCAAGCAAGACCACAATTGATGGTAGTGGTTACTCATTTACGGTACTCCTCAATGTCTGAGACTGTCTCAAACAGGTGTTTGACCCATGATAAGTGCAAAGTGTGTAAATCAGCTAAGAGATAGCTCATACTGCTTTGTGTCCAGAGGAGCCAAAATAAAACCAATTCAAAGGAGCTTCAGGGCCTGTGTCCTCCTCCTTTCTGTGCTGGAAGTATCGCTTCTCCCTGGTCCTTCTAGTAACAGTTAGTTAGTGACCATAAAGTCTGTTGATTTATTTGCTTCATGACAGAATTCATTATATAAAAAATGTATCTGGAGTAAAAAGGAACCTTTGCATTGGCAAATTGACTTTAAGATCGTAACCCCTAAAAAATAGGTTGGCTAGTTTCTTCTCCATACAGAGCTTTACCATTGTTGATAACAATTTGATATCAGAAGTCCGATGATTGATAAAGTATTATATTTGTGATATAAATAGATGGTACTGTATATGTTTGTTGTTTTTTTTTTCAAGCAACAATAATGTGACCAATTATTATGTTTTATTCAGTTATGTTTACTGTAGGTCTTTTAATGTCAAATTACATGTACATTTCAAAATATATGGAACACATATGGTACTTGCCCTAAAAGAGAAATAGGAGACAGGCTTTAGAATAAAAAACAGATATTCAGCGCTCAGTACTATATTAACCCCGCACATCTGCCGAACAGAGCAAGGGAGAGCAACAGGTTTTGTGATTTACTTCAAAATGAGCGGAGTTACTTTCAGACGTCCTATTCCACCTGCTCTCTGACCCCAGAGTTTGATGTGTTATTTGTTTAATTTATAGTTTCACTGTAGAAAGAACTAGAAATGAAAAGTGTATATAGGGCAAGACAAGAAAATCAAAGACATGTGAGCAGACCCAATGTAATTAGAAGGACTGTTTTTAGAGTGAAACGCTGAAATGAAAACCAGGCGTAGCAACAATGCATTCCCCTCCCTGTGCCGGCTAAAGAGAACCAGATGATGAGTGTGTGTCTGTGAGAGAGGACATATATGTTGTCTACCTTGTGTACTGTAATTGAGTGGGGCACTGGTGCAGGTTGTGAGGGTAGGGGAGATGTTATTGCAACAGAACAGGTTCCTTGTTAATGTTTAAGTAGTAAAGATTCAAGTTGAAAGGAAGGCATCTCTATGATTTATCTACTTCAATAGACACAAAGATGTACTATAGCTTGTCCAGTCATGTGGTTAAAGTGTTATTGGTACAGATGAATTTAATTTACATTGCCCATTAAACTACACAAGCATCCCAAAGTAATATCTAAAAACTAGAACCTTGATGACAACTCTGTAGCTGTAATAATTCTATCAGATTAGACTCTTGGTTCATGATTTGGAGAAGTTGTACATCAAAAATTTATCAAAACACGATGAACAGGACTGCAGAATAAAATGCACCTCCTAGTGGAGAAATGTGTCTTACCCCACAGAGTACTTTTCAAAACAGAGTTACAAAGTAGTGCACAACATAAAAACAGAAGAGAAATAGAGGTAGAACATGCAGCAGAAGACATCAATACAGTTTCCACAACAGTCAGTCAATGGGAATGATTTAGAATTCAACAAAATATGAAACCCAAACCATGTTAAAGGTCTTTTTGAAATAAATTTTAAAAATAATAATTATGATAATTAAACAAATTTAATATGTTTAAAAAAACTTGGGTTAAAATTTAATTGAAAACTAGGAGGTTAAATCTAAGTTAAAAGTCATATTCAGCAGAGGCACATTTATAAGAAATGGGTTTTCAAATGTGTTTTAAAAGGGGGTAAAGAAAAAGGATTTGATGATTGTCTTATATAATGTAGAATAATCTTATATTATATAATATAAGTTGAAGTAACTCATTCAAATGTCTATCACCTTTACCACAGAGTGTATTTGGAGTCAGCAAGTTGTGATTTTTTTGTATTTTTAAACTGCAGATAGATAGCTAGACAGACAGACAGACAGACAGACAGACAGATAGATAGATAGTGCACGTGTATTTAACAAAGGCAAGTAGCGCCCCTCAATGGAATTACTAAAAGTTGCAGCTTTTGTGCACCTTTAGTTCTAGGACGCCATTTCCGATATAATAGCAGACATGTAAAAATACTTCAATACATGACATTTTCAAAACGTATTAGTTCATTTGATGGCATGCTGGAAAACTGCTTAAAGAAGTGTAATACTTTAATTATGCCTAAGTATCACATAATTAAACGGGTTGATGCTGCAAAATATGATCAATAACGTAACTGTCAGTTCATATAAATTTTGAGAAGAGGTCACAAACCCATATACATACATACCACTACAACACACTTTTAAGCGTTGTGGGTGACAGTTGATCGTTAATCTCTGGACATCCTCTGATGCTCCTCATATGATCCAATAATAATCCTAAACCGGCCTCTGCTCCGGACACCTTCCGGGTTATCCGTCAGTTCGCCTGTGCTGCACAGAGCCAGGGACCATTTGCAAAGGTCAGTAGAGTTATCTGCCGCTAACGCACATACTCTCACTTTTCAGGGTGCAATGTTTTCGAGTTTCATCTGTATGCTTGTGTTATGGGCCGTTCTGAGTCATACTTAGCCAGCGTGCACGAGACAGATGTGCATACTAGCCACCTGCTAGCGCGCGTTAGCTCATTTTAGCTTCACCCCCGCTAGTTTTGTAGTGAGACAAAAAGAGACAAGAGGATATTAGTCAGAATGATGTCTGACTCACAGAGGAACAACGCTGAGTCGAAACCGAATAAAACCAACACCCAATCTTTGAGTGTTCACGCTTTAAATCCCCCGTATGATAGATAGTTGAATAAAGAGCCGCCGTGTTGAAGTCATTGATTCAAACGTCTCTTTATTGGGTCATTTCGGTGCCGTTAGCCACAGGTTTATGAGAGCCCTTCACGGCTTGACCCGGGTCAGACTGGGACATTCAGGAGACCTTTGCAAAAGACACGTTAGGACTTGCTTTTATGGGCTATGTCAAAGGTTTTGTTTTAATGACATTTGAACTATTTTTGGAAAACGTCTGAGTTTTTGGTGACGTGGTAACTTCAGTTTCCCAACATGAAATTGTGACCGTGAACACACCACTCCAGGGACTCAATAACAGCAGTCATAACGGAAATAATTACACTGTTTTGAAAGATTATCACAAATATTTATTTTTGTATTGCCTAGATTTAAAACATTTACAATATAGATATAACAGAAAATTAAGAAGAGGATTTACCGTAACTCACCTTAAGGACTAACACTGAAAAAAAAAGTTATCTAGTCTTTTTCTGTGTATTCAGCCTTAATTCTTTTGAGATCTTACCCACATATATACTCTTTTTTTTCTCTTGTGGGCATTAAGGCATGTTTCTATTTATTTTTCTATTCCTAGTGCTTATTTTGTGTACACCTGTGAGACATGTAATTGTCATTGGAAAAAAATCACTGTGTTTAAATAATGTATAATCGTTTTTGTTTTGCTTTTTAATCAATTTATAGCTTCTCTGTCAAGATAATAGTAAAATCAGTCAATGGAAATAAAGTGTATGTATTTTTAAGTATAGGTGTTTATCATTTATTGCAAAAAGGAGGCATAAATCTATGTAAACAGTACCAAATAGGTCAGCTCAATGTTGCCTTATGCAAATATCTGTGGCAAAAAAATAGATAGAATTAAAAAGTGCCTTTACAGTCAGTGCATTAAAAAAGGGACAATAAAAAATTAGACAGTAAAATAGTAAAACCAGTGCGGAGTTAAAACTAGTAAAAGAATTAAAATGACACCCATAAATACACAGGCAACACATCACCCGGCTTAATGGAGGCATTGATGGAACGGACAGCGTTTGGGGAGAAAGCTGTTTTGCAGTCTTTCAAAAATACACTTTCCAGCTATTTACACTGACATTTTAGTTTTTGTGCAACCTTTGTGTGCACATCAGATGCTAGCTGTTTCTAGTTTAAACCTTTCTGCACTAGTCTCACTCTCCCGGCTTATCCCAGTTTCACTATCTCCCTCTTAAGCAAACATGCTATCCCACGTGTTTTTCCTCTGCCCCGGAGTCATTTAGTGGGCTGCAGATTTTAGGAGAATCGTTGTGCAGGGTGGGATATTTTTAGGCTTTAATGAATGAAAGCTTTTGTTTTATTTCAAAATGTTGGTAGAAGAAGATGTTCTGGCTTGCCTTGAATATTTTACAAATACAGCAGCAACCTAGAACACTCTGTTAATGTGTGACCAACACTAGAGGTGTATGGTGTATTTAGGTAAACATAAATGTTTGGTTCAACTGTTTGAATTTGTGTAATTTAATTGAAAGCTGATAGTTATTTGTTTATGTACAGCATGAAGACTCTTTTTTGTCCTCTCACTTTTGCACACTTTCAATGACATTCCTGGATATTCTTCCCCCCCCCTCCCTCTTCTCTATCTCTCATGCCTCCCCCTCAGGAGGGGTGTTTTCTGTCCTGTCGAGCTCCTCCTGGTGTGTGTGAGTGTCGGGTGTGTGCACCATGGCGAGCCTCCTCCGTGTTGTAGCAGCTAGCTGCTCAGCCCCTGTGTTCAGTGGGGTGTCCTGTATGAAGCTGCAGGGCAGCAGTTCAGTCAAAGCATCATGCATTCGCTTCTTTAGGACCCATCAAGCTCTTGGACGTTGTGCTAGTCCAGGTAAGTCACATGTACTGTGTTTTAGCAGAGTTTAATATGTTGTTTGTACTTGGTCACTATATTAGAATAACTTAAATTTGGAGATTTTATCGTAGCAGAGTTTTTCTGCTTTGAAGGAGCAGACATCAGCAAAACTACCTATGTTATGTGGCAATGAAGTGTGGCCAAGAGGTTTGATTTTAAGTTCTCATGAGGGATATCAACTGTGGTCACATGACCAGAAAAGCACACTGTCATAGAAACCTGCTAAATACCATAGAGGGACATTTAAAATGATTCAGCTTTTCAGCATTTGCAGCCAACATAGTTTCAATGTGAGCACAGGATACAACTGAAACTTTGCACCTAGCTCTGATTAGGTGTAAAGTCTACCTGTTATCATAGCCCATTATTTTTAAAGATGGGGTAACCTGGAAAAGGATAAGGAGTGGAGAGTTAAACTTGCTGTTTTGTGCAGTTAACATGATTTCTGTTATAGATTAGATCAATCAGAAATACATAAACTTTGATCAGTACTTATGCTGTCAAGTTCTGCCATATTAAATACATATGTTGCAGTTGGTGTACCACTCGATGCTAATGTTGACAAAGCAAGCAGTATGATTATGACACCTTTTGAAAAAGTATGGTGCGTTTTAAGGTAATTGAAAAAATTCCCTCTTCCTTTTCTTTGTTAAAATCTTAACTTCAAACACTACATATAACCCAGCTGCTGAGGTTTGTAGATCCACAGTTTACTGCTGATAGCAACATGAAGGCGGCCCCACCTGTAGGCTCTGTTTGCCTTCTCATGTATTTCTGTATCAGGTGCAACATAGCAGGTGGCTACATACTCATTACATAAACACAGACAGAGGAGGTATTCAGAATAGTTTTACTACCGTCGTGGGCAGACAAGTGTGATTTTGTCACTGTTGTGCTTGGTTAGCCTTGGAAACCACTGAAACAAAGCTGTCTACAGGGATTAAAAAAGAGATAGATGAAGCCAAACTCAGGAGAATGTAAACAAAAGCTTTCCCTTGAAGTCTCCTTCAAAGTTTTTCCAGAGGTCAGTGTTACTACCTGCAGCCTTTTTCAGTCTCAAGGTCATCTGCTGCAGCCCTCAGGCTTTGTCCTTCATTTTCAGTGCCCGCACTCTGTGTCCAGTAACCGGGCAGAGGGTGAGTGAATGTGCTTTTCTGTGTACTTTAAGATCCAGTACCAGCTGGTTGCAGGTGCCTCATGTCAGAATGGGCTCGGTCCCTGGGCATGTTGTGGTCTGTCAGTACGTGTAGGTGGTTGTTTGAGAGGTGCTTATGACCTGGTTCATAGTGCAGTTCAGTTAGCGCCAGTAACAGCTGGCAGCGTCTATTCTGGACACACAAGTGTCGGTTTACAGGGTCACAAACAAGTGAAGGAGAGGAGGAGTCCAACGCACACACACATACACACACACACACACACACACACACACACCACACAGGTCATATAGATATGCTTATGTTTTGCCCTGTGGAGAGGCAGTATAGACTGAGGCAGTATGTTGACATGAGACTAAAGTTGTGAACAATGACTAGGACTGAATATAACTTAGATATAAGGTGTGTGTGCTTGTTTGCGGCATAAATGCAAAGAAGTTTGTGAAATTCTGCATTTCTTTTTTCATGCTTTTACACACTTTAAGTTCTGCATCATTATAGAGTTACAGCTGTTGGCATGTTAATGCTGCTAACTGTTAAGCCATTAAACAATGGGAGACTGAAAGACTGTGTAAAGCTGTATTTATAAAGTACTTTTCCTACAAAAAAATGTAGCACAAAGTGCTGTCCATTCAAGCAGGATCTAAAAAAAATAAAATAAAAATACAAATACAAAACCCCACCCACCATCCAAACCCACATTCAACACTCACATGTTCCCACACACAGACGCACACACAAGAAAACTAAGTGATGATTTTTCCACTTGCCACTGATGATTGAGGAAACACTAGCTTGAGTTAAAAACGAGGAAATACTGGACCTAACAGTAAAGCAATAAAACCATAGTAAGACATAATAAAAGGTAATAAAGCAGTAAAAGTTAATTAAAAATAAAACTGTCTTAAAACCAGACAAAATAAAATAAATAAAAAGAGGTAATAAAACACAAAAGAGTAACTCAAGGACTACAATAGGGTAAAATCACGCAATGCAGATTAAGAGATTAAGACAAAATCATCTAAAAGCCAGACTAAAAAAGTAGGTCTCATATGCTGAAATGAGAAGAACCATAAACCCAGTAAAACCCAGACACAGTCTCTGTGACGTCAGCATTTGGCTTCTACAGAGGAAGCTCAAAGATGACAGTCAGCATACTGGAAGTGCTGACTCGATCTAACTTTAGGCTGAGCCATTACCTGGCAGAGGGGTGGAGTTGAGGCCATAACCTTGCCACATGGCAAACTGTTACAACATTCCTGACAACCACGCCTTTAATCAGAGCGACTCTTTAATATGATAAAAAATAGCTTTAAAAGTATGTGTCAAATTTTGATCACTTTGGATTACTTCACTGTCTGTTTTTGTTTTATAATAAAGCTTTTTTTACAGTACTGTACAGTACTCTCTTTTTTATAAATATTTACATTTTCAGTTTGTTAGTGTTTAAATTTATTATTTTTAAAGTAAAATAAAATATCTTAAAAGCTGTTCCAAATGAAGACATGAAGTGTAGAAACCTTTTTTTGCACTTGGCTGTGAAATGGGTGCTTTGATCCCCTCAAACAGGTTTTTCTTTGCTTTTGGAGTTAGCCTCAGATGCACTCTTGAAGAACTACAGTTATTTTGTACTATAGCCACAATGGCTGTAATAATGACACTTAAAAGAAAAAATATGACATTTAACCTCAACACCAGGTCATGACCCGCCTGAATAGCATAATAAACTCTGACAATGGGCTGATAAGCAAGTGTGGCTCTGATACTCTCACAGTTATTCAGATTAATTAATTCAGGGTTTGCTTGTTGTTGACGTCGTTTCTCTTTATTGACATTTGCCTTCTGCAAGGACAGAAAGCTTGGTAGGCTACAGCTCTGCTTGTGACTCTGGTTTGAGAAAGCAGCAAATCTCAGGTAGCATCCAGAGTGGACAAAATGCAAAAGAACTGACATCGACCGGTTGGAAAAAGTTTGGGTTTTGTAAGTCATGATTGACATGTTCCTCCTGTAAGTTATATTTTCAGATTTGAGAGTTAAAACATGTTACCTTGTTATTTCTACAGACTTTAAGATAGTCATGATAATACTTGGTCACTGCTTTGTCTTCTGTTCTGGGATTATCGTTGTGCTGTTGTTGTTGTTGTGCCCAGAACAGACTGACCTGCTCTGGCCGACTCTGATCTGAAATGATGTCGAAATCTTCACAAAATGTAAATCTGTTTGAGGATGGTTCACAGCAGGGGGAGAAGAAAAGCAGTGTGACAGAAAAAGAGCTGCAGTGGAATTTTCCATAGGAGGCAGCCAACATGTGATCTGTTTGTTTCTCGGACAGAAAACCTGAGATAGAGTGTAAAAAAAAAAAGAATAAACTGGCTCAAAAGCATTCACAGTAAATCAATATTGTAGTCATACTATTGAATGTCTTTAGCCAGTAACTTAAGTCTGTCTTTCTGTCTTTTATGACTCTTTTTTTCTCATCACAAGCTCTCCCTTTGCTCTTACACACGCTGAATCAGGTCTGTTTTAAATCTCTGACAACAAAAGAGAGCTTTCTGCTTTGTTCCTGTCTTACTGTTTGATTTTTTTCACTGGAGACTTGTTTGAGAGTAAATTACTCTTGTGTTTTCTGCTGGGGTGTTTTTGTAGTGGTGCCAAGTTAAGTCTGGGGCCAGTGAAGCACTTTGGTGGAGGTGATGATATCCTGTTATCGTCAGGGTGGATAACTATTGAATTCTCTTATTGTATTATTCTCCAGTCATTAAGAGATTTTGTTCTCACCTGTAAATCTTATTACCCTCCTGTCACCCTTTGGACTTCTTTTGTGTTTATAGTGACATGTTAATAGTTTCATAGCTAAAAGACTATTGCAGCGACAGAACCTCCAACATAGCTATAGATTCCTGGGGTTGTTACAAGGGGATAACCTTCTCTGTCTGTATAAAGGCCACTCTATGAACAGCACAGTATTTATGGTAAACACACTTGAAACTCAGCCCAAGGTTGTCTCCTTGAAGCTGCAGAGGTATCTATATGGAAGAGTATTCTACTGTGCTTCTTAAAAACACCGTAAATGATCTCTTTCTTGGATGATGTGCTCCAACTTGTAAAAGAGAAGCTGAAATTGACAGCTTAGCTTTCAAGACATCTTGTTTGCAAATCTTTCTGTTTGATCTAGGTTGATAACAGCCATTACTCAGCCTGGCTTAAGGAAACTTAAAAGGATAAAGTTAAGATAACATCAGTCAGTAATCTGATACGTGTTCCTTCTCTTTGTTTCTGCAGGTATTCCATACAAACAGCTCACAGTCGGTGTACCCAAAGAGATTTTCCAGAATGAACGTCGTGTGGCGCTTTCCCCCGCCGGTGTCCAGGCGCTCATCAAGCAGGGTTTCAATGTTGTCGTGGAGTCGGGAGCAGGAGAGCCCTCAAAGTTCCCTGATGAACAGTACACTCAGGCTGGAGCAACAATTAAAGACGTGAAAGATGTCCTGGCATCTGATGTGCTGATTAAGGTAGGGGTTGAAGGGGGAATAGATGGAGAAATGGAAGTTTCTAGAAACTTGTCAAAGTGAGTGTCAGACTAGGTGGTGTGATAAATGAACAACCTACCAAGAAGTCAAAATTGTTTTTCCTTCAAGGTCCGTGCTCCCATTTTTAACCCAGAACTGGGAGCCCATGAGGCAGACTTGATGAAGGATGCTGCCACTTTGATCAGCTTCATCTACCCAGCTCAGAACCCTGAGCTGATGGAGATGCTGTCCCAGAAAAAGGCCACCGTCCTGGCCATGGATCAGGTTCCCCGAGTCACCATCGCTCAGGGATACGATGCACTAAGCTCCATGGCAAACATTGCCGGGTATGTAAACAGTGTGGCATAGCTTTGTCCTTTCTGCTTTAACCTTTTATAGCAAATACTTTTGTATTCAAATACTGTCATGTGTCACGTCATGTTCATGTGGATTTCTTTTAGGTATAAGTCAGTTGTTTTGGCAGCCAACAACTTTGGTCGATTTTTCACCGGACAGATCACAGCAGCTGGTAAAGTTCCACCTGCAAAGGTATGTAGTGTGTGAACTCAGGTGTGGATGTTCATGTTAATAATCAAAATCCCTTCATTGACCATCTCGTACCTTTTCACAATTGTTTGAATAGGTTCTGATCATTGGAGGGGGTGTTGCTGGATTGGCAGCTGCTGGTACTGCCAGAGCGATGGGAGCCATTGTCAGAGGGTTTGATACCAGGTTTGTATTTGATTAAGAACTTTTGTAGTGATTTTGAATCGGACAGTGTTTTCTGATTGAATGTAGATGGGTTTACAGAATGTGACACTGCATTTGTGCTTATTATTAACCGAAATCCTCCTCTAAGTCTTTTAAAAACTAAAAAAGTGAAGGCTTCACAGCTTTTTCAGATTTTCTAATAGCATAACTTTCAGTCTTTTGTGACTTCCGGCTTGTGACGAAACACTGATTTTCTACTTTATGCAAGCTATGGGCTTTAAGGACAAATAACACCCCCCCTTTGGCCCTAGTCAAGTGGATGATTTTTATGACATACAGAATCTAGTGATAAATTTGTCCTTTCTGAATAAGAAATCACCATCCTTTGTCCTCTTGCAGAGCTGCAGCTTTGGAGCAGTTCAAATCTCTGGGCGCAGAGCCTCTGGAGGTGGACTTCAAGGAGTCCGGAGAGGGCCAAGGTGGCTATGCCAAGGAAATGTCAAAGGAGTTCATCGAAGCAGAGATGAAACTGTTCGCCAAACAGTGTCAGGAAGTGGACATTGTCATAAGCACGGCTCTTATCCCCGGTATGTACAGACTGACGCACAGCATTATCACAGATTTACTACGGGAAAATATGAAGGAAGATTTATGATCAGACAAGTTGTTTTCAAACATAAAGTGTAAATAAATTTCCGTTTTCTGTGAAATGTCTGGAACACGGATGATTTTGAGGATGATATTTAGTTGAAAAATGTATGAATGAAACGGAGACGCCATGTACAGTGAAGTTATTAGAAAGAACGACTGAAACCTACAAGAACATTTTTACAACATCTTCGTTCCATTACTCCTCTAGTTTTAGAGCACTGTATGACCTTTGTAGCTGAGATGTGTCTATTGTCACTGTAATGCTACAGGTAGGAAAGCACCCATCCTGATCACCACACCTATGGTAGAGAGCATGAAAGATGGGTCTGTGGTGGTGGACTTGGCTGCTGAGGCTGGAGGAAACATTGAAACAACAGTACCAGGAGAACTGTCTGTACACAAGGTCAGAGCGCACTCAGGAGTACTCATGGTTATGTGTTTTGAGTGTATCTTCTACTCCCCTGCCTCCTCCAATTTCCTTTCTCTTCATATTTTTAAAGGGCGTGACCCACATCGGCTACACAGACCTGCCCAGCCGTTTGCCGACACAGTCCAGCACCCTGTACTCCAACAACATCACGAAGCTGGTGCGAGCCATCAGCCCTGGCCAGGAGAACTTCTTCCTCGATGTCAAGGACGTATTCGACTATGGAACCATGGACCATGTGGTTAGAGGATCTGTTGTCATGCAGGTATGAAGCATCATGTAACCAGCAGTGTAACAAACATGAGCGTTTGCGTAAAGTTGATGGGTGACTTTGATTTCTCTGCTGATGCACAAGAAAATGAGGATTAGAAAGAAATCACTGCAGGTCTCCTACTTTGTCACTAGATGTCACCCTCAGAGCAGTTTTCCTCTTATTCGTTTCATTAAAATCCTCTTAGCATCATGGTATAAAGACTCATCTGGATGTTTAGATAATCATATCTAATGGAGATCAGTAAAAGGACCATATTTCAAAAGATACCTTTGACAGAATACTGTTTAATCAGTCTTTTGATCTATTTCTCCCCAAATCTTCCTCTGTTTAGAAATAAAGTTTTTTGATTAAAACTGGTTATAGTACTCCACATATTAGTTTTTTCTCTTTAATGTTGTTTTAGTCGTGAACATTTCTCTTAGTTTAAGTGCTTTTCGAGAAGCTTAGATGTTTGGAAGGTCACCTATAATTACCTGCTCTTGTGCAGATTTAAACAATTACATTTTCTTACTTTCTGTTTTGAAAGCCTCCTCATCTTCTGTCGTAATGACGTTGCTGAAATATAGAATTTGGGTAGAAATATGCTACCATATGATTTAAATTAATAATAAGTCACAAAGCATTATTTTATCTTGAAGTTTATTCATGTTTTTTGCCGTCCTCAGTCTTGGTCAAGCAGTGTTTATATTTGTGAGTGAAAAAATGTTTTTTAGAAATGTGTGTTACTCATATCTGATCTCAATCATGCAACCCTGTTCTTTAAAGGTTGGGATGCTCTGTAACATATAAGCAGAAGACAACATGAAAGTTGAAACACTGACATTACTTTGTTTTTGAAAATAATGTTCCCATTTTGAAGTTGGTGCCAGCAACACACTAAAAACAGTCAGGACAGCGGTGATAAAAGACTTGAGGAAAGTAGGAGTTTGGAAAATCTTTAAGGGAATTTGTTATAAATTTTAACAGGCTGCAGGTTCATAAGATGGTTGAGAATAAAAGAGCATCCGAGTGGCTAGGAAGTACAGACGGAGTGGGGTACATCGCTTCCTCGACAAAATATTTTAAAAAGAAAATATTTAGAATGTTAAAATAAATGTAGAAATATTGGATCGCTGTGATCTCCAGACCCTCGAATAGCTTAAAGTCAAAATCAGTTACAATTCTGCAGTAGACGTCTCTTTATGTGCTCAAGGACACTTATAAAAACAGCTTTCTCTGAGCCCGAGCACATTTCAGATGAACTGAGCTGAAAAACTGTCAAGCGGTCCAAGGAATCAAAACTTGGAATTCGTGTCTGGAGATCATGGACCTAAGAGGAGAGGGGCCAGCCAACTTGCAGCGCCTTTATTGCTCAGTAATATATTCGGGTTTCAGAACAACATGCTGCCAAGTAGACGGTGTCTTTTTCAGGGAAGACCTCGCTTATTTCAGCGACATGCTGCCAAATCACATTCAGCGTGTGTTACGATAGTGCAGCGCTGTAGTTCAAGATTCTGGGGGCCTAAACGGTCTGCCTGCAGTCTCAACTTTTCACCCATTCAAAATCTTTGGCCCATTACGAAACAAAAACCATGACAAAAGTCATCTCAAACTTTTAAGCTGCTGAATTCCCACTTCAACTGAGAATTGGAAAACACTCGATTTAAAATAGCAGCTAATGGAGTCCTCACTTCCTAAAGACTCTCAGAGTTTTGATTAAAAGAAGTCTAATTTTCTTAAAACAGTTTAACATTTGAGTTTCAACACTCGATATCTTGTCTGAGTGCTTTTTTTTACTGGAATATGAAGTCTCGGAAATCATTGCTTTCTCTTTCAAACCACATTTTACAGTCTCCTGATTTTTCTGGAGACTGAGCGGTGATCTGTTGTCTGATAAATGATGCTGAATCGCAGATATTTTTTACTGTACCTGCTGATCATTAGTTTGCTTACTTTGATCTTGGCAGTGGAGGCTAATATTTCACAGATAAATGGTGAAACAGCTCGTTGTGTAACTTCAGTAAATGAGATGCAGACTTAAAATCAGCCTTAAATAAGATATCTGATATTATTGATATAAATGACCCTTCTTCTTTTTCTGCCACTTTTTTCAAACATTCCTCTCTTTTTAATGAAAACATGGCTGACTACAAGCTCTTCCATTGTCATGATGGTTAACAAACTTTCTAATTGTTGTTTTTCTCCACTTTTTGTTCCCTCTTTTCTCCAGGATGGAAAGAACCTGTTCCCTGCTCCTCAGCCTAACAATGTCCCGGTTGCTGCTCCTCCTAAACCCAAGAGTGTCCAGGAGCTGGAGAAGGAAAAAGCTAAACAAGTCACTCCCTTCAAGGCTACACTCACCTCCGCTAGCATCTACACAGGAGGTAAGCTGAAACTGAACCTGCCATCAAACTGTGATTTACAAGCTAAGTGGAGAAAAATAAAGAGAAACCAGACCTGAAAAAAGCTTATTTACAACATTTATTCCTGATGTTTATTCCCATTGGGTTTAAAGGCGGGTTAGAGTCGGCCCTAAGGTGAAGGACAGGTTAATAATCGAGTCTTTAAAGTCACCGCTGGAATGTGCACAGGAGGCGTGAAGTGACACACACACAGACACCCTGTTAGTGTCAGGAAGTGTGCATTGTAAAACCAGCATCATGCTGAGTGTGTGTTTGAAGTCGTGCTGTCGTGAGTGTTTCCCATGGTGCCACACAGCGCCTGGTATAAGTGCACCTCATGCAGTTAATGCAGTTCACACATTGGGCGCTGGAGTGGTTTCTGGCAGCAGCACAAAGATGCTGCTGTTAGCGGCTCCTGTTGTATGATCATTGATATGCCATGTAATGCAGTCATCTTTGTAGTTGTTTTACTCAGAGGGATTTGTTTGCTGTAATTCTGAGTATTTAAGAGGTGATTTATTTGATGTTGCCTCTCTTACAAACATAACCTCACAAACAGAACTTTACCTGTCTATGAAATTAAAGGGGAGAAATGACAACATGGTTGGAGAATGGCCTTACACATGTTGTAGTCAACTAAAAGATCAAGAAGAGAAAATTTACCAGTCTTTATCACTGAGTTTCGAAAGTTGAAAAGATGTTCATACAAAAGTGTGTTATTTTTATTAGGGCTGTTTCAATACAATATTGATAAAGGATATCGGATTATATCAGCCAGCGTCTAAAATCTCCGATATCAGCACTCCGATACAAACAGTCCATTCCAGACTCCACTCCAGCACCTCTAGCTAGCAGCACCCTGCATGCAGAATCCCACAACATCCCAATCTCACAACAACAGTGTGTACTAAGGTACAAACAAAGTAGCAAGTAGTAGGAGTGATGTTGGCTGTGTAGCAGTATTTCTCATTAAAGTCCAAAAAAGACATTGCAGCTGAATGCAAAACTTGTCATGCACAAGTTAGTGCCAAAATCAGATCAATATTGGTATTGGCCGATACTTAAGGCTACGATATCGGAATTGAATTTGTAGTAAAAAAGTTGTATCAGGACACCCCTAATTTTTATGGTGGTCTCCTTTTGTTGTTGAATAGTGCAGAGTTGGTTTATTCTTTTTGTCTAAACTAAAAATACAACAATGAAAATGATCCTTAATAATCTCTAAAAGCTCTCTCTTGCTCTCGCTCTCTCTCTCTCTCTCTCTCCCGCTCTCTCTCTCTCTCTCTCTCTCTCTCTCTCTCTCTCTGCTTTAAACCTCTTTTTATTTCTTTGTGTTCCAGGTATTGCCACCCTGCTGGGTCTGGGTCTGTCAGCTCCCAACGCCGCCTTCACTCAGATGGTCACCACCTTTGGTCTGGCGGGCATTGTGGGATACCACACAGTGTGGGGAGTCACTCCTGCTCTGCACTCCCCCCTCATGTCAGTCACCAACGCCATCTCAGGTCAGTCGTGTTTGGTGTGTCTCATAAAGAGGCCAGCTCTCAGTGGGTGAGAGTCCTTTAGTTTAGTTTAGTTCTAGTGGAATAAAACTTTACAATCCGTCATGTTACCTACTAATAAGAAACTGAAATGAACACCATTTGATTTCTTACACATTTCATAAACAGACTAGACCTTTAGAAAAAGATGAAATACGATCAAATAAACTCTATGATAAATGAAAGTTAGAGTTCGGATCAGCTCCATGCAGCTGTCTGTCGCTTCCACGAGTCCAAATAAAATCTTTAAAGATTGTTTCTTTATTGTCCTCACTGCCACTCAAACACAGAGGGGTTAAGAGGTTAGAGAGGTAAGTGCATGTGTGTGTTCTCACGGCTTTGATCACTCTTCAGACCTACACTGTGGTAGGAAGTAACACACCCTCTGTGATCTTTGTGGGTCAAGGGAGTCCTCTGATCGTGTAGTCGTGCCCACAGCCAGACATTAGCGCTTGGCTGTGTAACAAATAAAGAGAGAGTTTTTACTTCCTGTTAAAACTTTATTGATTCTGATGACTGCGACATCTTCACACTGTCGTACTTGTTCCTCGAGGCCTCAGTGCTCATAATTTTTAGCCCTGTTCTTTAAATTTACTCTTATCTGACTCTGATAAGATTGTCAAATTTCCCCAATAAACTGCAGTTATCTTTTTTTAATCTTTATTTATTCTTCACACAATCAGGCATAACATCAGGAGGATTTGAAACTACAAATGTAAGAAATTTGCACCCGTAAAATTTAATACGGAGAAAATTTGAAACTATAAAAAGAAATATATTCCTGTAAGAGATCTTTTGGAGTATTTTCTTTTTTCTTCTTCCATCCATCCGTCTCTTCTCTCCCAGTCCAGGTATTTTCTCTTTATACTCGCTGTAGCCTTTATTACCTTTTTAAATATCTGTCAGTGACAGGCTGCAGCTATGGAAACACTGAGACCATCAGAGATCTGTTGTTGTTGTGCCAGGCATTATAAAGACACACACACAATCAGAGTCACAGACATGAGGGAACCCTAATGGAATTTAGTGTCTGAATGAGGGACAGTAATATTCTTCGTGGGCAGATTATAGAGTTACAGCCTGCAGTGAGTCTGAGCGGGACATCTTAAACTCTGCAGACGCTGCTCCTGTATCTATTCTCTGTTGGAGATGCTTTCATCTACCTGAGAGCACTGATTCACTGCCACACTCTGCCTGTACTCTGATGTTTGTCACAGAGGCTCACCTACAGGACATCAGCCCACCCGGAACATAGTCAGTGTGTGTGTGTGTGTGTGTGTGTGTGTGTGTGTGTGTGTGTGTGTGTGTGTGTGTGTGTGTGTGTGTGTGTGTGTGTGTGTGTGTGTGTGTGTGTGTGTGTGTGTGTGTGTGTGTGTGTGTGTATGACCACTGATACCTATTGGTTTCTTTCTGGCTAATCGTAAAACTGCTGTGCCAAGAGTCTTTGATCTCGACCTTAATGGTGAAATGGTGAAGTGTCACTCTTGGAGAAAACATGCCAAAGTAGCAAAGCTTCACCTTTTGAATGAATGAGTTATGTTTATTTATTTCAAATATGTGCAGAAGAGAAAATTAAGAGAAAAAATACAGAATGATAACAATAAGGAAAAAAAGAACACACAACATATTCGAAAAGGAGAGGGAGGAAGTGAAACTTATCAAGTCCTGCCCCTTCTCCATCAGCTATTCTGTGAAAGTGCTTTTATATTTTTTATACAAATGAAAACAGTTTATACACAATTCAGTGGTCTTCTCAAAAAAGGTAAAATAGAATAATAACAAAAGCCAACATAATTCTTAATTTGGTGCGAAACCTTTGACCTCTGCGCCTCCAATACTTGGAGTAAAAATAACAGACCCCATGTGGGTATTCCCCAGACTATCTTTTATTTGTAAACAAAAATATCAGCCATATGTTGGTTCTAGTTTTTTTTTTTTTTTTTTTTAATATAGATATTTGTTGCTCGTCTCTTAAAGTATTGACTATAAATTAGAAGATTTTGGCTTTTGGACCTTGTTTGGACATGGTCATAAATACAGATGTTTCAGTCATCAAAAGTTTTTTAAAAGTATTTTTTGTTCCATAATTGTAGATTCTTTATAGACTTTAGCAAATCTTAAATAAAACTACTTAATTAGTTCATCAGTCATCCTCAAACAAGCCTTCCAGTCATTAAGACCACTGACCAGTCTTTGTGCAGAGATTGGTTGAGATGTATTTATGTAGACAACAAGAAGAAATGAAACAAAGGAAGAAAACAGGCTTTAAAAAAAGAAGAGGTTGTAGAGGGTCATTCATTCTTCGCCTCCTTGGAAAATTCTCTGTTACACTTGAGCCTTCTGGCACAAACGGGAACATATACATGCACACTCTGTACCTGCTAGTCTGATCACATTGTACACAAACATAATTTAGTGTGAATAAAGGCTCACAGGATGTTGTGTATTGCATCTTACTGCCTGAAAGTCATTATAGGGCTGATGTTATCAAGGTTTCCCCGAGTCTCTTTTGGTAAACACAGTCTCTCTCTCTTTCTTTCTCTCTCCCCCTCTTTTTTACTTTTATCTCTGAATCTTATTTCCAATCTGGGAAGAAAACAAAGTATGTAGAATTTAAGAAAGAACTTTAAAGTGCCCGTAGATGTGCGCGCAAAACAAGGGTTGACCTTTTTTTTATGTGAAGTGTCTCATTCACAGTTTCAGTGTGGTGAATAATGAGTTTCAAAAAGTTCATGAATCCTAATAAATCCTTTTTTCTGCAGGTCTGACGGCGGTGGGTGGTCTGTCCCTGATGGGTGGTGGCTACACACCAAACACCACCGCTGAGACACTGGCCCTGCTGGCTGCCTTCATCTCCTCGGTCAACATCGCTGGTGAGTCACCTGCACAGACACCTCACAGTGATTCCCGCCAGTCACAGCAACATTTCGCCAAAAATTGTCCAACTGGGCCAAAGAGTCACATTTTCTACAATAATATGCTTTTGATACCAAGGCTTGCAGCTGGCTCTTTCCACTCACTTGCTTCATTTGGACCACACACATTACATTAATTCAAGCTATTACCCCTAATAATCCCCATTACACTAGCTAAGTGTTCCTGGAGTCATTATAATACTCATCACTCTGTAAAAGACCAGCAAAGCAGAGTGGCACTCCAGGACTGGCTCGAGTATTTGTTTTAATTTCTTCTTTGAGCTCATAGTTTAACTCAGTTTTCATGCACACTGTGAGCAATACAGCTTTTTGCGGGAAATAAAAGAACAAATATTTTGGTGCTCAGATACTCAGGACACCACATGGATTTAGGTTAAATCGTGGCTCTGATTCCATCTTGGTCCATCGAAACACCACAAACCACCTGGTCGTCTTTTTAATCTTTCTGTTAAATTTACCCCCAACAAAAGCACGCTGAAACACCACAGCTTTTATAGACATACCTAGTTTGTCGCTGGTTGTTTAAATTCATTTTTCTTGTCTTTCTTGGGTTCAATTCCTCACTAAGTGGTTCACCACATTACCCATAAACCCCTGGGAACAGAAAAAAAAATTCCATGGAAGGAGAAGAAACACAGTATTGAAATTTCGCCCCCATAAAACAGACCCTGAAGTTTTAGTGTCTGTTCTGAGGAGCAGGTCCTTGGCTGAAGCTTTTTGTTCCCTCCATGTTGTAGAGTTATTAGATGTGGGAATGGCTGGAAAACACAAGAGTCTGTTGAATATTTTGAGTTCAGTGTTCAGTTTCGCACAAGCTAGCAGGGACATATAGTATGAAGCAAGCTCAACACAACCCAGGTATCTTTTCTAGCTCCGCGCTAAACCGTCCCACAAAGCTGGTTATCAACCCGATAAATCAGCCCAGAGTTGCTGTGTGATCGGAGTTAGTAACACATGTCCAGTCACGGACATAAACAAATCTGCTGTCAATAAATTGCCATATATCACGTCCGCCAGCTTTGTAGTGCTGAAAATCAGAGTTACCCCTGAAATTACCTCGCTAACTACAAATACTGCTTCAAACTCCAGACCTCATCCTTGTCTAGCCACAATCTACAATGACTCATGTTACGTTTTTAAATGTTGTGACCCACAAGCAGCTGATACTGACATAAAAACGCAGACCCTGAGATAAAAAAGGCGAGCTCTGGAGGCTAGGTCTGAGCGATAAACCGAAGATTTACAGACATCGAAATTTACGACAATAACCAACGTCATTTTGCCCATGTCGGTATATTTGATATCAAAAATAATATATATAAAAGTTGGTTTTGGATGTGTGTAGGTAGGCTATGGTCTTATGTCCCTTAAAGACGCTGTCCTACATCAGAGATGTGACTCCAACCCATCCAGTCTTTAACAAAGAGGGAAAGACAGGTGAGGAGATGGAGGACGGTTTAAAGGTTGTAGCAGCTCGAGCGTCGGCTGAAGTACACAAAGTTAATGTGGGAGGCGGTGAGCAGCTTGTGGAGTAGTTATTGTCCATTTGTCGTCATGGAGGTGAACTGCTCAATATATTATGATTTTGATTTGAGGCCATATCGCCCGGCCCTAGCTGGAGGCTGTGTTTAGTATAAAGTCACCATACACAATGAAATGTCAATTTGTTACTGCCTGTTTCCATGTAAAATTCCAATCAACACATGCTTTGAAATATATTTAATATACAGCAAATGTCCATAGTGCATAAATATACACCCTCTTTTGACCGACACTCTCCACAGGAATGAATTAGCAGTGCACTGATTTGAAATTTTTCCAGCAATCCTCAGATCAGCATTTACATCAATGTGCTGCTCTTTGCGCTCCGACCTCACTAAAAGCTCTTAAGACAGTTTTAAGTATAGTCTACTGTTGCCTATCTGCCATTGTTCCCGCAAATGTTCTAAATATAGTGTCTTGGAAAACTCTGCCAAGTAAGAAAATAAGAACAAAAATGAGTGGACATTGACTTTGTTTAAACATGAAAATTCCTCCATATTGATTTATTGACTCAGATTGGTCTGAAATAATAGAAGTCAGATTATTATTATTATTACATGGTTTAAGTAGGAGAGTCCACAACTAAAATTACATGAACTGAAAAGAAACAGGTGCTGGCCTCAGATTCACCCTCCTGTGTAGCAGTGCTTGTGTGTGCGCACGTGGCTAAAATCCTGCCAGAGGGGAAAAGGGGAGACGCACACGCGGTAACATGATCTCCTGTAAAGTGTGAGACACCGTCTGGTCCCGCTCCGACACATTTGAGGTTTTCTACTTAAAATATTTACACTGACGTGAAGTAGACTCATTAAAACCCCAACGTTGGTTATTGGGGTTGGCAACAGTTTTTAGATATTGGCTTTAAGACACCTGTTGTATAAAAATCGTTGTTTTTTTCATTGACTTCGGTGTCTTAACTCTGTGTCCTTAAATTTCTGTCCCATATCGTTTCATATGTCTTTATAATTACCGTAAAGCTTCTAACAAGCATTTATTTTCTCTTTTCCCTTTTTACTCAGGTGGTTTCCTTGTCACCAAGAAGATGTTGGACATGTTCAAGCGTCCCACCGATCCTCCAGAGCACAACTACCTTTACCTGCTTCCTGGTGGGGTCTTTGTCGGAGGCTATGCTGCTGCTCTGCAGGCTGGGTACAACATTGAACAGGTGTGAGAGGTTATTTTGGGCTGTGTCCACATGTTAAATTCAGGATTAAATCTGTGGTTTCCGACTAAAGCCACCTAAATCCCTCAGAATCAGTCCCAAACAGCCCATGACTAAATAAAAGTCAGCTAATCATCATCCAAACGTACTCTCTGTTTGCCCAGATGTTGCAGAGGACCTTCCAAGAAAATCAATCTGCCACATTTCTCATTCTGTGGTGCCTCTACCCCTGACTCCTTTTTCCATTCTGTCTCTTTCCCTCACCAGATGATGTACTTGGGCTCTGGTTTGTGCTGTGTCGGTGCCCTGGCTGGCCTTTCCAACCAGAGCACAGCCCGTCTGGGTAACGCTTTGGGTATGATGGGGGTTGCTGGGGGTATTGTTGCCACTTTGGGAGCCCTGAAACCAAGTCCTGAGCTCTTGGCACAGATGAGTGCAGCTATGGCTGTTGGAGGCACTGCTGGTGAGTCCTTATGTGAAACGAAGAAGACGGCAGACAGACTTAAATACCTGCAAAATTCTGATGCAGCAGATGCTAATTTTTAGACATTTGAGTATGTGTGTGTGTCTGCATGTTTGGCAAGACCAAGCAGCAGGTGTGCAGAGATTTTGTGAAGTTTACATCAAACACAACATGACTAACAACCGGTCGGACCCAGGAGGTCTGTTGAAGCGGTCAGCATCGTGTGTTGCTCACTCAGGACGGTTTGATCATTTAAATGCTAATTGTTCCAGTAACAGAGCTGAATCCTAGACTAAACTATCCAGACAGACAATAATGCCTTTTCCCAGATACAGCGGCGTTACAAGTCTTCCTGCACATGCACAAACACTCAAACAGGAAGTATAGACCAACTCACAAACAAGGAATTTCCCAGAATAGGCCCCACAAGCAACACCTGGCTCCTCAGTCTCGACCCATTTCCCAGCAGTCGTCTTGAATGTGTGTGCAAGTGCTTGCAATTTGCATGTGTTTTGTGTGTCAGTCTTTGAGGGTGACTGCCCTCTATTTATTTGTTACCTCTCTCTCCCTCTCTCTCTTTTTAGGCCTGGCCATAGCTAAGAAGATCCAGATCACTGACCTCCCTCAGCTGGTGGCAGCCTTCCACAGTCTGGTGGGGCTGGCAGCTGTGCTCACCTGTGTGGCTGAATACATGATCGAGTACCCACACTTTGCCACAGACCCCGCAGCTAACCTGACCAAGATAGTAGCATACCTTGGTACTTACATCGGAGGAATCACCTTCAGTGGCTCTTTGGTTGCCTACGGAAAACTGCAAGGTGAAGCTTTCATCCGTCAAACGCTGAAGTCTTTTCTTTACTTACATGTGCAGAGTCGTCATGCAGACAGACCTGATATAGACACACAGGCATCTTTCTCATGCTTGTATTATTGATGCAAATATAATAGGCAGAAGCTTCTAAAATATACTGTAAAAACTACGGGTGGTAGAAAAAATCGATACAGCATAATATTGCGATATTTTGTCTGGTGATATATCATATCGTCTTATTTACCAAGTATGATTTTCCAAATTAGTTGCTAATTTGAAGTCAAATCTGTGATAATGGAAAAATAAAACCAACTTTTTGTCCAGTGAGGTTAGCAGAGGTGACGTCATAGAGTAGAAAAGAGTTAGTGCAACAATTATACATATAAGGTTTGTAAGATGTGCTACATGAAAATAAAATACAGCGTAAATAAGACACACATAAAGGAAAGACAAAGGCTAAAGTAGCTAAACAGTTTAAAAAAATGTATAAATCGCAATATATTGTATCGCAATATTCACTGTATTGAAAAATGTTAAAAATCGCATTAATATCGTATTGTAGCCCAAATATTGTGATAATATCGTATTGTGGGGCCACTGGTGATTTTCACCCCCAGTAAAAACAGATTGTTACTTGATATTTGAAATGTTTAATTGATCATTGTGAGAAATTAAATGATCAAAAATGCTCGGTAAGCTGTTCACTCCTGCAGACTCGATGCTTTCGGCTCACCTATCACACACTTGTATACATCACTGACATACCACCCGCTACAAATGTAGGTAAAAAAAGGCAGCTTACTGCAACTGAGAGGGACGTCTGAGAATGACATTTGATTCTCTGTGTCTACTCTGTGTTACCTATATATTCAGGAGTAATCAGATGATCATGTTTCCTACAAGTAAAATGTACAATTTTAACTTCCTTTTAAAGTTGTATAAATAGTGCATTAACTGCTGCCAACAGATCGAAGGTCAGCTAAACTGTACTGAAGTTATCAAAAAGAGAAGCTCTGATGCCTCATGTCCACTGCAGCCTGCTGTGAAAGGAAAAGGGGAAAAAAAAACAAGAGTTCATCTGGTTCAGTTGGCACTAGTCCTGGCAGTCCCAGTGTAATTTCCATGTAGGCTGCAAGAGTTTCATAAGGGCACATTTTTCATGAATGTGACATCGAGCCAATGACAGGTATTAAGTCGTGGCTGCTGATAGATAAATCCAATAAAAATGCTGTTTTACATATGTTGTTGTGCCAGATAAACTCCTAATCTGGATCGTTTTCTGCCCCTGCCCTTGTCCCTTCTCAACATCTCCCTCTTTCTCTCCATACAGGTATGCTGAACAGCGCTCCTCTTATGCTCCCCGGCCGTCACGCTCTAAACGCCACTCTCATGGCAGCCTCTGTTGGTGGGATGATTCCCTATATGTTGGATCCCAGTTTCACCACAGGAATCACCTGTCTGGGATCTGTCTCTGCCCTCTCTGCTGTCATGGTACGGCATGTTTGTGTGTCTGTGTGTGTATGTTTGTTTGTGGCAACATATTTTTTCAAATACTGACTCAAATACTGCTAATCAGATATTTTGTTCATGCTGACAGACCAAAAATGTAAGAGCATTGTTAAGTGATGAGAACAAATGTTATGTCTCCCTCAAATATCAGTGTCTGCCCAGAAATTCGGGCAGAGAGCCGTTAACAGTCTGGCAACCATTTTGGCGGTCAGGCTTGGCTTTGTAAAACTGATGGATTTCTGTTTCAACCAAGTGTAAAGTCGTGCTTAAAACCTTAGAAAATGTGTGCTAAAGACTTTAAAACTTTACACAGAGTAGTTAAATCACAGATCAGGATGACAGTTACCAGTTGGTTTTACTGTCCAATCAAAAGAAGAAAAATCTCATTGACCATATCAAAAGGATCCAAATATTTCCATCAGACAGTCTGTAGAGGTTTTCTATTACAAATTTCTGCCAGTTTTGTGTTTTATTACCTCCAAATATAATTAACGGGTACAAAATGTACACTAAGGTCACCCCTGTGATTTAAAAATATATGTTATATAAATATTATAACTACAACATTGTGTTTTAACTTATTTATAATCTTTGCTTGCGTTGCACATTTCTGGAAAATCAGCAAGTGGACTTAGACCCAGGAAAAAGGTTGTTGGATGGAGGTGAATCCAATAAATGAACTGGTTCAAAACAGCTGATCACTTATCATCCTGCAGATTACAGTATAATGCATCATCCACGGTGCGTTTTGAATCAGTGAGGTGAACATGAGGTTCAAAATAAAGCTCCAATATACAATCAGTGATGTGCACCTGCGCCTACTGGAGAAGGCGAGCGAACATTTCTCACAGATGGTATTTGTTGAACTAAAACAGTACAGATGATAGAGGGACAGAGAAGAGGAAAGTTTGATTGTGAAAAATGTTAGTGGAGCTAAGAAGGCTGTTTTCATTCCAGTGTAAAATAAATGTCTTTTTTTTGTGAAAAAGGCTCGATAAGTTCATGAAACTTTAAAAAATCCTCTTGAATAACTTTACCATCATTGTAATTAACACTCTCCTTCATTGCTGAATCTGTAAATCCCTTCTTTCTTATTCCCCTCTCTTGTCCTATAGGGTGTGACTCTAACAGCAGCTATCGGCGGCGCTGACATGCCCGTGGTCATCACTGTACTCAACAGTTACTCAGGCTGGGCTCTGTGCGCCGAGGGCTTCCTGCTCAACAACAACCTGCTGACCATCGTCGGAGCCCTCATCGGATCATCTGGAGCCATCCTGTCATACATTATGTGTGTGGTGAGTGCAGTTTCGTCACACTCTCAAGAGGAACATATAGAGTATCAGAATAGTACTGCAGTTGATGAGCATAGTGGTATCATGCTGTTGTTCCTCTCCCATCCACCAGGGGGGACTCTAACTTTATCAGAGTAAAGTCTCTCTTCTAAATAAAGTCTCAGTTTTTTTGTGGACATATCCCTGTTGTTATTTCTGTATTTTGCTGAGGTGAAAGCATAAATTCAAAAATATCTCTCTTCTTCCACAGGCTATGAACCGATCCCTGGCTAATGTGATCCTCGGAGGCTACGGCACATCCTCCACCGGCACAGGGAAACCCATGGAGATCACAGGGACACACACAGAGGTCAACGTGGATCAGACTGTCGATATGATTAAAGAGGCCCAGAGCATAATCATCACTCCAGGTACGACACAAATACAAGCACACACACATTCCTACACACACGCACTCCAGAGGTCTTGTATGTGAGTGGAAAAACATGGCACTCCTACTCTACCAGTGTCTTTCTTTTTTTTTTTTTTGGGGCATTAGCAAAGTGTGTGTTCTGTTTATTTAACCTCTTCTTGACCCATGTTACATCACCATTTTGCTAGGCTAATTGACAAGTCATGCTAGAGTGGCCACACACACACACGCACACACACACAAACCCAGACTCTTGGGTTTCTGTGTGGTCGTCAGTCCCTGGTAAATAGACATTCTACAGTGCTGGATATATATATGCAAGGTCAAGGGCAAATCAGATGGAAAGAAGGAGACTGGCTTTTTGTTGATAATTCAGACACCATGTTCAAAACTGACTCCCAACTCCTTTTTTTCGGCGTTACAACATGAGGTCCAGCCTTTGTTCCAGCGCCATGCTTTTGTTCTTTTCACATGTTTTCAATATTGGACCATAAATATATGTGTGAACCTCCCACTTGGTCCATTACGCTGGATCCTGCGGTCGTAAATTCGTCATTGTGTGGCCCACTGACTTCTCAGTCCCCTCGCCAGACTGTTGGGAACTAGTTCTTAAGAGTTGTTTTACTCACGTGGGTACATGTAAACACAGACCAAAGGCATCCAGCCTGCAAATTGGCGATTACAGTCCCAGTGCTGATATACAAAAACCAACCCTTCAGAGGAAGCCTCTGCAATTTACAAGAATTGCAAAATTAAAGCGTTTGCATGGTTGAGAAGAGACGGAGCAGCATCCAATGTAGATTAAACCATCTTTATTTTCTTTCGTACTTTTGTATCACAAACACTGAAGCTGAAACCAAAACTAGGTCAAGGAAAATGACAGAGCGGAAATTAAAATGTTATTTTTATGCCTTTTTTTCAAAATGTTTTGCAAACATACCACACTAGGAGAAGAGGAGAAGTTGGATAATAAAATACCAGGCATTTCTTTCAAGGGTTGTGGAAAAACAGATTGAGGATCAGCAATAGAAATGTCAGTCCATCAAAGTAAAAATGTTGTACTTATAACAAAAGTTATATAAGAGTTGAATTTGTCAAAAGTTCATCAGCCAGTGAACAGAAGAGCTTCATGGCTGGTTATCTCAGAGTCAGAATATATACCATCCAAAAGCATAACTTCTCTGTGTGCCCTCACATTCAGATGTAAGACTGGTATTGTTAATCACTCAGTCGACTTGTTTCCATTTTAACCATTCTCCTTAATTGGAGCCGTCACAGTCACTTTGCCTGATTGACATCTGTGGAAACGGTTAAGACTCTGCCTGATAAACATAAGTGTTTTCCTGGCTTCGTCTGGCCCATCTCCGCATGGTCTGGGTCCACTTTTTTTTCTCGTAGGAGAAACTCCAGGGAGAATATTGGAAGCACAAGGAATGACAAAACTGTGATGATGGAGAGGGGAAGAAAAGTGCAAGCATTAAATTATTGAGCTAAACTGCAGAGAGTCAGCCATGTTTCCTCAAAGACTGTTTCTTCTCTTCCTGTGCACAAGTCTGACACCATGTCACTTTGATTGGTTCATCATAAGAAAACAGTTTCTGACTGGTTGTTGTGACAAGGGTAGTAAACACCACTGGACCGTTTGACATGTGTTTGTGTGTGTGACGGTGTGATAAAAATCAAGAACCACACACCAGCATTATAAACATGATGGAGGTCTCAGGCTTAGGGTAAGGAAAACAGATACTGTGTCAGGGTTTTAATGCCAGCTTTGTGCTGACAGCCAATCAGTTTGAGTTTTTAGATGTTTAATCTAAATGTTTGACACAAAAGCAACTAATACAGAGATTTCATTTCAGGTTGATTTTAGCCGTGGAAAAAATGTATAGATTTGGTTCTGGCTTTTTCAGTTAGTTTTCGGTCTTTCTGTGGAAAATGAATGAAAGATTTTTTTTTTTTGTTAATCCTTCTTTTGTAGTGTAAAAACATTAATAAACATAACTAAAGCAAAATTCTAAAAACAACCAAACAAACCAAATTTCTTCTTAATTATGTTACTCAGTTAAGAGTGTGGAGGATGGAAATCAATAAATTATGTATATGTGGCTCTGTAGGGATGATCTGTAATATGAGAATAGTGAAGCTTTTAAACTTTGTATCAGGACTGTTTGTAGTAGGCTGTCAGAAAGTGGTTGTTCACTGTATTTAAATTAGGGTGAGCATGCGTCCTATTTTACCCGTACATGTCCTCTTCTTTGGGGGCTGTCCGGCTTTGTTCGGGGTAGTTTAAAATAAAGTGTAAAATCCTTCAAATGTCTGCGGTTTTGTACGGAAGTTTCGAGTCTGTGTCACGCAGACTTACTGAGTTAGAAGCACGTAAGAGACACTCGATCTGACCCGAAAAATTCCCAAATTTAATTTTGTGCAACTCCATGACTCCCTGCACAGTCATGTCTTCTTTTTGGGAAGTCAGAATATGGTCACCCTATTTAAATCTCATTACTGATGTTAGAAACAAAAACAATTCTGTAGTAAATTATGTGTCTCAAAAAAAAAAAAGAATTTCCCACAGAGTATCTGGCATCAAACACAGTGAATTAGATGAGTAGTTTATGCAGCACACTTGTGAAATGATTAGACACATAACAGCACTTTGAAATATGATTTTGCTCTCTAGGTGAGTAAACAGTGAAAGGCAGTGGGATAAAGTCATGAGTATGAATTAACAGATTGATGTATTACCAATCTGTTGCTGTCATCAGGATTAGGTGTCATTTAAACTCTCTTCCACACCAGGAAGTTAAAGTTCTGTATCAGTTTTGCTGTTCACCTGTGTGCCTCACCCTGCAGAGAGATCTGTATGGGTCACTGATGAGCCAAGACACACCACACCACTTGTCGACCAGTTCATAACAGTTGTATTGTTTCAATCTCTCTTTAGGTTATGGACTCTGTGCTGCGAAGGCTCAGTACCCCATTGCTGAGTTGGTGAAGATGCTTTCAGAAGCTGGCAAAGACGTCAGGTAAATGGATGACTGAGATAGCTTGGAAAGATTGAGTGTAAATAAACAAGTAATCAAAAGGAAAAGTATAACGTGTCCTAGAAGTAGTTGAAAACTTCTCAGACTGAAAATGATTGTATTTGTTAAATGAGGAGGAAAGGACAAGAAATCCTGATCATCTTAATGGTGAATGTAACAAGTAGCTGAAAAAAGAAAAGGCTGAAGTTTCAGGCTTGATGACAAGAAGATGGAAAGGGACAGATAGGAAAAGACCTGTGTGCGAAGGAAGAATGAGTAAAAGGAAGCCAGAAGAGAGGAGAGGGAGAACAAGGTAGAGCGGAAGCTTGTGTAATTGTCCTGCTTTGGTCGTTTGATCCTGTCTGTGGCAGCTGCTGCTACTTAGAGCATTTGTGCCTGATTAGAGGAAAGTGGGTGGTCAGAAAAAACCTTCACTCTGATCTCCTTTTCTCATACTTTTTCTCTTTCATTCTATTCATTACGCAAATACACTCGCCTGTCATTGTGCGATCCTTCTGCACCTCTTCCTTACTCTTAACATCCCACATGTTGCTTTGGATGCTGCAGTATTAAGGTTTAAGACACACATGCTTCCCTCAAGACTGAATTTTCCCACTGTCCACTAATGCATGTAGACTGTACAGAATTACACAAAGGGGCAGAAACTGACTTTTTCAATCAGCAGCCTGTGTCACTAATGGACCCCAGGACTGTCAGGCCGTCTGCTCTCTGTATCTGCCTAAACTAGCCCAACAAATACAAAATAAATCTTCAAATGGTGCTCAGCTGCACGGCAAAGCAGCTGGAGAGCGGCTGCCGCCAGACTTCAGTGGCTGCTGTTAGTTCCCTACCTTGATTACATGACATGGCTAATTGAGTTTGAGAGCTGTGACTAAAACCACTAACGTCTCTCAGCTCCATGTGTCTAAAACCTCTATCTTTCATGTCTCTCTCTCGCCACAGTCCCATTTCTCCCCGGTCCCTATCTCTGTCCCTTATATATGGAGAAAAATAAGCATGTTTGTGGAGTGGGGACTGGGCTAGAGTGATTTATTTTTGTGCCCACAGGTTTGGAATTCACCCTGTGGCTGGGCGTATGCCAGGACAGCTCAATGTACTGCTGGCTGAAGCTGGTGTTCCTTATGATATCGTCCTGGAAATGGAGGAGATCAATGAGGACTTCCCTGGTGAGTGTTATTTTTTGTTTTTTTGTTTATGTTCTCTGTCATAGATGCCACAAATTCAGTCTAGTATTGTTCTGTGTGTCACTCAACTACCTTACATGAGAGAATTGCCACCATGGGAATGTTTAACGACATCAAGTGGTCAGACTCTAGATTAAAACTGTCTTTTATTTACCCATGCTGCTGGTTTAAGTCTCATCCAGCTCTTGATCAATGTTGTATTGTTCAGCTTCAAAAAACAGATAAGAGGTGGGTAGGCCAGTGAAGACAGTGAGAGAGAAATACAGTTTTTCTTAGCTAAACTGGCGTCCTCTTGATGTCCTGTTATATCCTGCTATAAATCATTTTATTTTTTTGGTTGATTAGATTTGGTTGGGTAATTTATATATATATATATATATATATATATATATATATATATATATATATATATATATATATATATATTTATTATTATTATTTTTTTTTTCATTTTATTTTATTTTAAAATAATATTCTCCCCCTAATTTGGTTTTAACTGTCAATATTTATGTCCTATCTTTTTTAAGTAGTGTAAACCCTTAAATATGTAAATATGAAGCGGTCTTATATTCGAAGCAGGCCTTTATTTCAAATTCTTGAAATCTCAGAAATTATTACTGTTCATGTTGTAGTGCAAAGTGAGGGCCAAACCAGGAATTAAATAGACTGGCAGTGTCTCTGCACCCTGCTCACCCCGCTCACACAGACGTCTCTGTGTTTGATATATGTTTTTGTTGCTTTTCTGACAGTTGTTGGTAATCTCTGTGACAATAAAACACTGAAGCTGGAGCAAACTGGGCAAAGATGGCCTGTGATGTAGTTTACTACAAAACTAACATTGTTTTATTAGTAAAGAACGAGTGGATGGTGGTGTGTGATCATTACCTCACTGGCAAATTGTTTTCCATATTTCTAAATTCTGTATTAAAACTCTGAAACTGCCCTGGTCAATAATTGAAAGCGGGTCCTTTATTTACTCATAAAGCTCATGATCACGGTCATTATAAGAGGCCTGTCCGCCATTTGAATGCTGGACTTTATTTGAGGATTAGTGGTAATAAAATGAAGTTATCCTTATTATTGTTGTGGTCATAACTAAACCCCAGAGATTCTAGCGGAGGGGGATATTCCTAGGTAATTGTGTCCAGGGTTGGGCAATAAAACCCTGAAATAAGATTTTTTTCATACCAAACTCAAACTATAATTACTGATTTTTTTTTCTTTTCGTTCCTTAACAAGAAACTTAAAGACAGAACTCAGAACAAATTCTTCCTTTTAAACCTTCTCCTTTAGATCTATCCCATCATCTCCAAATGAGTCACGCACTACTCCAACTAAATGAGCCATAAGCTTGTAAACTGTATGTCCAATAAACAAAACCAGGATACGCATAGATGAGATGTCTGATTTGAATTCCTCTCATGTCTTATCAGAAACTGACCTAACCCTGGTGATTGGTGCAAATGACACTGTAAACTCAGCCGCCCAGGAGGATCCCAACTCCATTATTGCTGGCATGCCTGTGCTGGAGGTCTGGAAGTCTAAGCAGGTGAGACATCTGGTGCACGCATGTTTGATAATGAGGCTATCCTGAAGCCTAAGAAGATAAAGAGGAATGGAAGATTTTACTGGGCTGCTTTTTATCGCTGCGACCGAATGTTGGAGTCCACACAAATACAGAGGGGCCTTTACTTGAGGACTCACACACACACACAGACCTAAAAAATGCAAACTCACGCTCACACACATGTTCTCAGGCTCTCAAACACACAGAGACAGATTGTTACAGTTCCAGGTGCGGTCCCATCATGATCCTATTAGTGGTGACTGTGTCGCTGTGGAATGACGACATTCGGAGCATCCCACTGGCACTTCTCTGAGATCTGGGATTTATACAGCACTCCCACTGGTTTCCACACACTTTCCCCTGAGGAAATCAAAGAGGACATTCAAGGCTTTACCACATGTACACTCATACAGACATAGAGACAGGTGCATTGATGAAACACACAAACAGAATGTAGGTACATGAAAGAAGAACCCACAGAAGTGTCATCCGTAAGTGCCCAATGACGCAGCCAAGAGTCATGCAAGAACACAAAGGAATAAACTACTTAAAGCTCCTGTGTGGAATTTTTAACTCATAATGAAACAAGCTGAAAATAACAGTGGGGCCTCTGTATAATCTACATAAGCAGAAAAAGCTTCAGTAGATGATTTCTATACTGTAATTTTCAATACCAGCGACCACTGACACCACAGGGGGTAGGTGTCGGCTGAGGTGTTTTGCAGCAATTTGAATGAAAACCCCCTTTTTTTCCTCATTTTTACAACATATTTTCATGGTGAGCGAAACAATCGACCATGAAAAAAGGGATCAGATTTTTTTTTAATCAGAAAACAAAGATCAGCAGATCAGTAGCAGATGAGAGATGTCTCTTTGTCCACAGGGTCAAAACTTCATCTCTCTCAAGTCAATAGGGCTGCAACGATTAGTTGATGATGTCGACAACAATCGATAATGAAAAAAGTCGACAATGAGTTATATTAGTAACTATTTTCGCCAGACATGTTTTTTCCAGTGGAATGAGGCATCTTACTTCATGACGATCTGTGCCTAGAGTCACACGTGCAATAGCGTCCCTGCCGAGCGGTACAAGTACGCGCTTAAAAACCTCCAAAGTTTGGGAGCACTTTAGCCTAGATAAGGGGGAAAAAAAAAACTTGCAAGGTTTGCAAAGCAGACCTTGCATATCATGGCAGCACATTGGTGATGCACAAGCATTTGAAGAGAAGGTAAGACAGTTAGACTCGCCTCGGTAAGATATCATCCGATTAGTCGATGAATTATCATTTCAATAGTCGGTGACTAGTCGGCTATCAAAATAGTCATTAGTTGCAGCCCTAAAAGTTAAACTGTTGTTTGTACAAGGCAGTGTCTTAAACAAACTTGAATGTGGACCTTAAATGTTATTTCTTATCATCTGCCTCAAATTTATAGTTTTATTTGAAAGATTTTGGATATCACTGAAAGTTACCTGCTTCCCCCAATTGTTGTTAGAGCTTCCGGAGCCTCTTCCATAGACCATACAAAAAGAGGGATGATATTTCAGCATCTAAAAAAGTAAAGCCAAAACATGTACGGCCCCCTTGACTCATTGCAGTAACAGTGTTGAAGCCGGCTTCTTCCATGTTAACCAATGGGACATGGTTCAAACTTTAACATCTAAAATAACATCAAATATTTTGTTCCTGTTTCTTTTGAAGAATTTCCACCGTCAGGTTCTGGTCCCAAATGTGTCAATATTGATGATTTTGGTTTGTCTGTTGTACAAAGACATTTTCTTGACTAGAGACCGCTTGTTTCTTTACGTGTGATTGTGTACGTGACTATATCTCCCCCCTCTTTAGGTGGTTGTGATGAAGCGTTCTCTGGGTGTTGGATATGCAGCAGTCGACAACCCCATCTTCTACAAGCCCAACACCGCCATGTTGCTAGGTGACGCCAAGAAGACTTGTGATGCTCTGCAAGCGAAGGTCCGCGAGACCCAGGGCCAGTAAGGGGATTTAAGGACTTTCAGACCACCCTGATATGAGCGCACGCTGAAGAGAAGACATCACGTCAGAGTGTTTCCAAAAACTATCACAGGATTAAGATCCTCTTTGTCCACTTTGAACAGAAAACTGAGCAAAGATGATCACTGAGATAAAAACAATTGTTGGGGCACCCTTCCTCTTCTTATCTAAGAATAAAAAATACTGCAATGTTGCTGTAAAAGATTTGTGTGCAGTAGCAGCCAAACAATGCAAATACAGTAGTTGTAAATGGTACCACTTCATAATGAACTGACATACAGGTTATGTTTCTTTTTGACGAATCTTTTACTCCTAGATATTAGAGGAAGGGTACGTCAACTGTGTGCACATTGGTTGTTATCTGGGGAGCAGCTGACATGAAATTCCTCTTAATTTTAAACATCTGTATTAATGTAAAACAATCAAATGTAGATACAGTACACTGTTAGATATATTTAATTCAATGGTAAGAAGTTTTAGGCCTTAGACAATATCTGGGAGGAAATCTAAGATGAAAAAGAAAAGTGACAAAGGTCACCCAGCAGAGAGAGGTATGAGAGACTTAATTTCTAATCTTTTCCCTCACTGTAAAAACTGTCTCACTTCCTCCGTCTTTCTGGTTTCTTTCGTTCGAGTAATCTGATATTCCCTTTGATAGATCCGTTTGCTCAAACCTTTCTGTCTCACCTTCTTTTTCTTAACAAGAAAAAGAGAAAAAGCAGAATAGCGCAACATTTTTGTAAAGTTCTTTCTGTTCCAGTTTTATACTGTAATGAGAGATTTTTGTATTTGGACTAATAATTGAAGTAAAAATAGGAAATGTCTTCATAGCCATAGTTTAAAATCTAGTCATGCAGTTTTGCTTTTTTTCTTTTTGCCTTTGTCGTGTGTCTTGTAATCTCCACTTTTGCCTTTTGTGCAGAAATCCCACATGGATCCAAAAACGGTTAAAAATCCATTCCTCGTCTATCGAGCGCCTCGAGCAATAAAACCAAATGAATCTGGTCTTTAAAAAGTAGGAGAGCGCAGCTGTCCTGTAGCTCTTGTAAAGATTAAACAAACACTCTTAAAGCTCTGATAGCTGAATGGATTTTATGATGTTTTTGAACCAGGTGTGTCCCATCATCCTGTGTGGTTCTGATATTACAGTACATGTGATGCTAGCTTTTGGCCTTTACGGCAAAGAAGGGTTTTTTCGTTTTAAGTGATTGTGGCTCATCCACTCCAGTTTGTGTGTCCTCATTATTGCTCTAGAGGGAAATGAAGGATCACTGTTTGTAAAGACGGGCCAGATGTTTATCCGGCTGGTGTGTAGAGAGTCTCAAAAGCAACAATGCAGTTAATTGGCTTGTTGCCACATTTCAGAATAACCGATTTGCTTGAAGATTTTATTAAGTGTGCATTTCTTTTTTCCATTTATTTGTTAAATCTCAACTTTTGCCATGAACAGAAACTTTGTGCCAATAATTGCCAAAAAAATCAAGCTGGTTACATTAAATGGCACAATGATGAAGTAATGAATTGTTATATAACCACTTGAGTAATTCTTGGAAGACCCCCTGACATACTGACAGTAGCTCCTACGTAACACCTGACGAAACACAGCAAAGCCTACTGAACTAAAAACAGCAGAAACTAATAGCATGAACTTTTTAAAGGTGTAATTGACAGCAGATGAATTCATAGCATGTTTTTTCCTGGTATGTAGTTTAAAGAACAAAAGCTCCAGAGGTGACTTGTCAACAGGTGTCTTTGTTGCTTATCAATGTAAACAAATACCTTGGACCACATACGTCGACCATGACAACTATCCTACCTCTCCACAAAAACGACCAATAACTTTCCTTAAGACCAGATTCAGACCAAGAACTTTCGATTCAGTCATTCTTCAGTTATTTTCCACAGACCTTAAAGAAACCAGACAGCTCTCGTTTATCCTTAACCTGACCAATTGCCTTCTGTTTTGTGTTGACATTGTGTTTTTTTAACCATCAGACCTCAGTTTGCCGCTGGCTAGTTTACTGTATGTAATTCAAGTGTAGAGCTGCAGATGTCATTACTGCTCATGAAGGGTTATCGGGACTATTCACTGAAGATGCCTGCTGGATATTGATAGCTTGCTGCCACTTTTGTATTGATCAAATTAAAGAAGATGGGAAATCTTGATAATGATACGGCCAATTTGCCCCCAAATGCCCTTATCTTCTTGCCTTCATTAGAAGGGTATTTTTGTAAAGACGCTTTTTGCTGAAAGTAACAACAGGGATTAGAAGTTGTACAATGTTAAAGTGCACGATGTTAGGAAGATAAAATGATGAAATGTACTGTGAATGTTTTCCCTCTCCTGTTTATCATGGAACATTTTCATCCCTAATAAACCTGTATTTACACTAGATGTTGGCTCAAGCTGTCATTCCTTCCCTGACACGCTCTTAAAGGTGTGTTTGATTTCACTTATAATAAACAAGTTGATCTGCAAGGTTTTCCCTGAGGTCTACCACAGCTTAAATGGTAATCATACCTGCCAAAGTTTGCACAGTGGGGTTTAAAGCTCAAATATTTGCAGAAATTACCTGGATGAAGCACTACTATGTACATTCCCACGTATAATGTTGATGCTGTATTTATGCCGCTTTAGGGCAGATTAGATGATGTAAACAAATTAGCGTGAAATAACTGAAAATGTGATACACATTTGAGTGGACAAATTTTACAGGCAACTGCAGGGCTCAAAAGATACTAAAACTGCAGGTTTCTTGGCTTGGGATAGGAAATTAAATCTCCTGAGAGGTCTCCTTGTTTGAGTGAATCGTTGCCCCATCTGTGGACAAAATGATGGCCCTTATTTCTTTGTTGATTTGTTTTTTTTTTTATCACATGTGCAAGTTGTGTTTTTTCAATACCAGCTACAAGTCCTTACAGGGGCTTTCACCCATAAATGAAAAAAAAAAAACTGGATTATTTATTCCTTAACTACTTCATATCTCAATTTGTTGTTCAAAAAGGTGAAACATAGGGTCCTAATAGCAACAGAAATTCTAATTACACTTTAAAAAAAGCTGGTTAAAAAGGGAATTCAAATAATTCTGCTTTGTACGGGTTTTGAAGAGATTTTCACTATACAGTTCCAGCTGTTTCCATTCATATGTTCCAGGAGCACGTATTTGTATAAAATTCTGTCTAGTGCCATATTTACAATTTGCTGCCAAAGAGTTCGAGTTAAAGGTACGACAGGGACAACAACAAAGAGTTTTTAATGCAAGAGACGAATATGCCCCAACAACACATTTGTAAGGGGTCCAACTACTATCATGCAACAGGCATCCTTGTTTTCCCCAAAAATTAAGCTGTGAGACAAACATAATAGATCTGCCTTGATGAGAGCAGGGAGAAGATGCCACCTCTTTAACTTCAAAGTGTCTCTGTGGAAACAAAATGACATTGCATGCATCCACGATGAGGGCTGTGATAATAACTAAAATGTAAATATCAGTTTGTGTGACATTTTCACCTACAAGCGCCACTTGATTGCTATTCATCAGCGCAGAGTGAACTGGAGGTACTTAGAAGGGGAGTGGTGCCCACAGAGATGGAGCAGATTAGACCGAAGATAGATTTATGAGGACGAGGATCGCATGTGTGTGCGATGAGGGTGGCTTCATCCTGTAACAAGTAGCACTCAGACAGGCTGTTATCTGCTCGCAGGCTGAAGGAGATCAGAGGGGAACTGTCACTCCCAGAGATGCAGCGATAGTGATCATAGAATAGAGAAATTACTTTTTTGTACGCAACACCTATCTACAAGGTTCTATTTTTTTAGAAGTTATTCGTTCAATTTTCCCTCCGAGATTTTTGTTCTCAATGGAAAAAAAGATCTTTAAAGTCTGAGGTTAGCATTAGAGTCAGAGAGGGTTTAAGTAGGAGAGACAGCGTGATGATCAAAGGACTGATAAAAGCTGAGGTGACAGTCTCCTCAACTCACGCTGGTCTATTGTCACCCTGCCAGTATTTACTCAGTGCAATAAAAGATAGCCAGCATGTTCCAGCCACAATATGCCTCCATTCCTCCCCCCCTCGGCAGGAATATTCCATCTTCCCTAAAAAAGAACAGGGTTTGTTTTGCCTTGCCTTGCATGCAATTTGATGTGAAGGGTATTTGATTATTTATAGCAGGTGTTTGTCTTGGTGAGTCTTTTTGATGATGAGATGTAAGGTGGGGATTCCTTGTCTGATTAGGCTGGTGAGCATGCATGTACATGTGAAGAAAGAAAAAAACAGATGATTTTACTTTTTTTTTTTTTCTCCAGGATATATTAAAAATATCTAAAAGTCTATTTTGAAGCCTTGCAGTTGATATGAAAATTGACAGGAGCTAAAGTGTTACTGGCAGAATATTTTAAAAGTTTGATGCCTGATATTCACTGTTTTTTATAGGTATGAACTTAAACAAGTCCATGTCAAAGCCCATATTGGGAAAGATTACAAGTCGTCATCATCATCGTTTTCCTCCACTTATCCGGGTCGCAAGGGCAGCAGCTTCAGGAGGGAGGCTCAGATTGCCCTCACCCCAGCCACTTCCACCAACTCCTCTGGGGGAATTCCTAGGTGCTCCCAGGCCAGGCAAGAGCTAAAATTCCTCCTCCTAGTCCTAGGCCAGCCACGAGGTCTCCTCCCAGTGGGACATGTCCAGAGCACCTCTAACAGGAGGCGTCTGGAAGGCAACCTAACCAGATGCCCGAGCCGCCTCAGCTGACTCCTCTCGACATGGAGCACCTCCAAAGTGTCCGAGCTCCCTACCCTATCTCTTAGGCTGAGCTCGGCCATTCTGCAAAGGAAACCCATTTCGGCCACTTGTATCCACAATCTCGTTCTTTCGGTCATTACCCAAAGTTCATGACCATAGGTGAGGGTCGGCACGTAGATCGACCGGTAAATCAAGAGTCTTGCCTTTTGACTCAGCTTTTTCTTCACCACGACAGATCGGTCAAGCCGCTCTGATTGGCAAAGACTACAAGATTGACTCTAAATCATCAAATGTGATGCTTCAAATGTTAGCTTAATGACGTCAATTCCTATTCTGCAGTTCTCTGACACAGATTTGTTTTCATTCATACTGAAATATGCATTACAGAAGGAGAAGATAAAGCAGTATCAGTTTTACAAACATAGTACAGCTACTCTTCATGTATTTTTTTTAACTATACCTGAAAAATACCTAGTGACTACTAAATTGCACTTTTGCTTGAGACATCTATCCCTGATGATTACAAACTGAAAAATGTCAGCTCTATAGAGCAGCAGCACTAAAAGCATGAAGGCATTATTTTTTCATTAAGTAAACCAATATAATCTATTGAGTAAAGGTTCCAAACTGTATTAGATTGTAGAGCTATCGTTCTAATCTTCTACTTAAGCACTGATCTTGTTATATTTAGAGACTAGAGTGATGGCATATCATCATTTTATAGTAAGAAATCTCTCATGTGGAGAGGAATCTCTCTCATCCTTGATCTAGAGCATGTTCCCTCCTTTAATGTCTAATCTGATTGTCCTAACAGCTTGTTTGGAGAAACTGTGTTATTGAGCAGTGTCTTAAAAGCCCTGAATCCCAGGCCTCTTGGATACATCTTCCCTTGGACACACAAAAACATACACACTGTCTGCCCCGGACTGTCGTTAGGTCGTTTTGACTGTGACAGCTAAAGATAAATGTAGACACACAAACCTGGCCAGCCAGCATCACAACTTGCCTCTTTACTGTTCAGTTTCATTGCTGCTTAAGGTTCCTTAACATAAACAATGTGGGAGTATGTCCTTTTAAGCTACTTTTATTGTCCAGCTGCTTCCCAGCCTCTGGATGTAAATTGTTGAGAGGTCAGGAAGGAAGGATGGGAGAAGTTAGGAATAAGTTGGGGGTGAGAAGAGGTGAGGGGGTGGTTAATGTAGCTGTAAGTAGGATGGGATTTTCTCTGAAGTAAGGAGGGAATCGTTTAGAGTGGTTTATATGTGTGTGTGCGCATGTGTGTGTATCTCTGACTCTGTATGTTTGTACATTTGTGTCATTAAAACAGAAGCATCACACAGCTCAGAGTCACAAAATGTTTATTGAATCACCTTCTCAGAGCACTTAGCATCGGTTTGTTATTGTCTTGTGGCTGGGTGAGAGTAGTACGGGCCAAAAGAAATGCAAAAAGAGACAGATCTTATTTACTCTTAACGGTTAGGAAAACCCAACCTGTGCAAATCATGAGGGGAATCACACAAGTCGTCTTTGAAGCTGTTGCAGCTCCTCTGTGGCTGTCAGACACGAACATGAAACCTTCAGAAATATGTCTGCTATGCAACTGTGGTGCTGTGTAGTATAAGAATTTATTTGTTTGGCTCATGGATTGTCATATCAAAAGTTTTCTCTGTCTAGAGGCCAAAAATGTTACAAATTTTTCCCATGATTCCCTGTAAACATATTTGTGCACAATTCATCACTTTTGTTGTTATCTTTTGTGTATTTATTTTGCACTTTTTACTGATCTGGATCAGTCCTGGTACTGCCTATTAGGATGCTGTGATTTTCACTCACACACTTGTTTATGAATGTGATATATCAGTACAAAAAAAAAAATCACTACCAGCTAGGGTGGACAGGTTTTTTCTATTCTTTTTTCTCTTCACTTTGTGGAGATGGCACGATAGGACCATGATCGCCATATAAACGAGGTTCATAATAATTACCAATCTCTCCGATCGTCAACCATGCCTTTAAATGATCTGTAGAAGTTCACTCAAGTCTAGTCAAGAAACTGCCTTGTTTTAGATCTCTAACTTGTAGAAACTTTACAGTGAAGACATTTATTTCTTTTTTTTAAAAAATAGTCCAGAACTAATGTTGTAATTTATTTGTTCACTTTTGAAAAGGTCGTGTCATTGGCCTTGGATTGTTGATTAATCCCAGATGACCTGAGGTTGAGACTCTGCATGATAGCATTCTGGATCATCGCTAATACATTTTATGCGGCAAACAAAATGTATTAAATTATACATAAAATGCCATTTTAACTAAGGTTTTACACAATCAACGGAGCATTAGTTTTTTTTTGATTCATGGCAAGCAACAAGGGAATTCTTTTTTCTTGCATCATGTGACCACTTTGACCCGCCATACCTACCTATTTTACTTCCGGAAATCACGCGCTCTGATTCCTTATTTGGAAACACGAACCGGCATGACGGCGCGAACGGACACCCGGTAAGTAAGTGAAGGGATTAATATCCATGTGAATGTATGTTCAAGTTAGCCGATAGAGCTCAAGGTGTGCACCCCTGTTTACCCTATCCAACAGAGAAGGGAGAAGGAAAAGTAGCGCTGTTTAGTGGGGAATTAGCGACGCTGGCGGCGAGGGAAATGTTTGGTGTGTATGTCGGTACATGTGGCTCCACGCGCTGCCCGCGGTCAGTGAGGACGCCGCTTCCTCACATCCGCTAAACGCAAAAACTGCGGTAATATTTGTAATGTTAAAGTAGTAGTAATATTTCCCCATTCATTGTCTAAAATGGCTGAAGGGATGGACAGTAGGCATGACCGTTTTAGAAGGGGGATGATTTTGACAATTTTCATGTAAGGGGGATCCCTCCTCATACCCCCTCAAGTACTGCATACACATTAGAAAATGTACTAAGAACTGTTGCAGCTCCGTGTGGCAAAGTATCTCTATTTAACAACTTGGGTCACCCTCAGAAGTGTAGTCTCTGTGCTTTGGTTTACTCTCAACCCTGACTGAAGGAATAAACCGCAGCTGTGGAAAGACTCACAGAGCTACAGTGCCTTGAAAAAGAGATTCACCTTCCAGCAAGACACTGACCCTAAACTAATACAGCCAGAGCTACAATGGAAAGGTTTAAATCAAAGAATATTCATGTGTTAGAATGGCCAAGTCAAAGTCCAGACCTAAATCCCACTGAGCATCTGTGGCAAGACTTGAAAACTGCTGTTCACAGACGCTCTCCATCCAATTTGGCAGAGCTTGAGCTATTTTGCAAAGAAAAATGGGCAAAAATTTCAGTCTCTAGATGTGCAAAGCTTGTAGAGACATACCCCAAAAGACTTGCAGCTGTAATTGCAGCAAAAGGTGGCTCTACAAAGTATTGACACAGGGGAATGAATACAAACGGACACCACACTTTTCTGATTTTTATTTGTTTAAATTTTTGAAAACCATTTATCATTTTCGTTCCACTTCACAATTACGTGCAATTTTGTGTTGGTCTATAACAAAATAAATCTAAATGAAATACTTTTAAATTTGTGGTTGTAGAGTGACAAAATGTGAAAAAGTTCAAGGGGTATGAATACTTTTTCAAGGCACTGTAACAGACCTTTTTCACAGTACGCAGAAGTTAGCATT